ACCCTAAACCCTAAACCCTAAACCCTAAACCCTAAACCCTAAACCCTAAACCCTAAACCCTAAACCCTAAACCCTAAACCCTAAACCCAAACCCTAAACCCTAAACCCTAAACCCTAAACCCTAAACCCTAAACCCTAAACCCTAAACCCTAAACCCTAAACCCTAAACCCTAAACCCTAAACCCCTTTCGTTTTTTTCTGGGTTTGGTTAGGGGAGTTCCGGTTTTTTTCTAGGGTTGGTTAGGGGAGTTCCGGATTTGGATTACATTAATCTACAATCTATTCGGATTGATAACCACGTGCTTAATCGTTTGTCTGTCGTAAGTATAGACGATGTGAATCAAATCTGTTTTGGGATCCTGAATAACAGCCGGATAACTCATTTCGATCGGTTTCTTTTGATTCTTTTTATCTACGTTTACATCCGATATCGCGCCGTCGTCAAAGCTTTCCAGAACAACGGTTGAACTCGGCGTCCACGTGAGACCGTCGTCGTGCGATATAGCTACGTTTAATTTACCTCTTCCGAGACTTTTCAGTCCCCAAGAATGATTATAAATAATCACGACGCGACCGTCTCTTAATTTGACCGCGTCGATGCCGCTGTTCGGGCCGGGCAACGACGTCGGTTTCGCTTTCATCCATTTCTCTCCTTCCTTATCTAACGATTTGCTATAAATAATATACTTTTTACCTCGAATAAACGTCTGCTTCTTGACTTTCACCTGGTCTGCGCGCCGCCCATTCTCGTCATAATCCGTTGCGGTTCTCGCTACCATCCGCAAATACCCATCGTCGCCTCGCCACATCGACGGTTGAATTGCATTCCCATCAAACGGCACTTCTACATTTTCCTCTGGATCCCACGATTTCCCGCCGTCACGAGACCGTTCGACGATCAGTTTCCAATTTCGCGATCCATCCTTTGCGTTTGCCTCTCTGGAAGACGGCGCTAGCCATAATCTATCGTTGACTTCTAGTATTTTGTTTTTCGCCGGACCGATAATGTTCCTCGGCAACTTCTCAGCTTGTTGTTCCCACGTTTTTCCATCATCCTTGGAGCGTTTTACGTAGCCTTCCCAAATCGAAGGATGTTTCCCGGCTTTATAAAACAACGCAACGTGGTTGTTTTCATTTTCTTTTACCAAAACTGGATTCCAAAGCGAGTTTTCTCGTAACTTGCAGCCTTCGCCCCCAGAGATGACCGCGCACGAGCTATCGTCCGGGCGAAAGGCACTCACGGCAACGTCCGGAATCGACTGCCAAGAGCTCGTTCTCGAATCATACGTCGAAGTGTAGATTGCAACATCCGGTGCGTTCTCTTCTGTACCTGCAAACCACGAAGCGAGCAATCGATAACGACCGCCTTCTTCTTCTTCTTCTTCGTTATCAAGCGCGATGATAGTCGCCGAGTGCGACGAAGGGTATGTTCCCACTGGGAAAATGAATTGCGAGGATATAATAGCGTCAGAAGACTGTGAGTTGTCGTGTGTATCACGAAGGCTCGTCGCGAGTGGTGGTTTATCCGATTTTACCATCGTCTGCGCCTTCGTCTCTGCACTCAACTCTCCCTTAGGTGTACTCGTAATCCCCAAACTACTCTTTTCAGCTTCCTCGTCCACCCCTCTCTTCAAAGGATCAAAATACGCCAATATAATAAACACACTGAATATAATAGCGAGTCTCGTTCGTCTTTTGCGCATTCTGAGACCAAAGAAGGTGTCCTTGTTATCCAGTGCAGTCATCTATGCTCCAACAGACGTTTTTACCTCCAATTTTTGAATTTCAAGACGATTCTGTAGCGTGCGCAAGCGCAGGGATGCGTACTAATCGTCTATTACTTCGAAGAACGCATTTTATCAGTTTGCGCCACATCCTTACTGTTAGAATCATCTCTCATTGATAAAAGTAATGAAATAATGATGATGATGATGATGATTGAGCTGGGAGATACAAAAATAAAAGTGAAGGGGAGAACACACCTACACACCTAAAAAAATCGTCAGAAAAAAGAGACGCCCACATGGCGGCGAAGCGAAAGAACGAGGAAAGCCGCGAAGTCAGCGACACAAGAGAGAACTATAAGAAGAAATCATCTAACGGTGTCGTTGTTGGTGGGGACTTTGCGCGTTTCGTCGCAGAGCAACAACAAAAAGACACGTCTAAGGAAGAGCATTTGTCATCGCTGAATGAGTTACAACCGACGCCGTATTCGCAGCTTGCCAAGCTAGACGAAGGAATGAATCGATGTTTCAGAGCAAATAGAAAACGGTCTCGCGATGCGCAGACTCTTTTAAAGCGAGCGAAGAAATTGAAAGAGGTGAAATTCTTTAACCGTCTTATCAGAGACTTTGGAAACGACAAGCAGTTTGGGTTCGCGGAAGAGGCGTTTCGGATACTCGAGAAAGAGTGCAACATCGAACCAAACGCATACTCTTACACGAATTTACTGAACGCGTGCGTTCGAGTTGGCGAGTTAAAACGAGCTAGAGAAGTTTTTCAGAAGATGGAGCGCGACTGCGATGAAAAACCAAACGAGGTCACGTGTACCGTCTTCATCAAGGGACTATGTGAGGAAGGATTGATAGATGAAGCTTTAGAATTAGTGAAAGATATGGTTCGCGGTAGTGCAAGCCGTCCACGAGCGAACGTGCGGACGTTTTCAACTATTTTGAGGAATTGCGTGAGATATCGCGATGTCCATTCAGCGGAAGCAACATTTTCTTTGATGCGAGAATGTTTTGACGTATTACCAGACGCGGCGTGTTACGAGTATCTATCGAAGTCGTACGCGTCAAGACTAGACGTAGAAAAAGCAGAAAAGACACTGAATGAATTAGAATTACAACAAGATGAGAACGGAAAGGTGTTGAACATTCCAGCGTCAGCGCTCGCTTCTTTAGCCGGTGTCGCGGCGACGGTAGGGAAAGTCGACGTCGCAAAAAGAGCAATAGCGAAGTGCAGAGAGAGAGCAGACGAAGAGCAACGGAACGCCGAGCAGTTTAGTAGCAACGCGAATAGCAGCAGCGAAAAAGATAGAAGTAACAACCAAAAACCGAACGACGACTCAACAACGCCGAGTAAATCAGTTTCGAACTTTTTCAAAGCGAGAGCGTCGGACGCTCTTCGAGAGATTGTCGAAATAGAAGCGTTCCTTTCAAGCGATGACGATGTGATTAGACAAGAAGCGAAGCAGCGAGCAGAAGCGTTTGGTGTAGATGAGACCGATGATATTGTCTTTGTTCACAAGCAAAGAGAACTTGCCGAAACTCCTGCTATAGAAAAGTTTTGGGCGTCGAGATACGAAAGGAAAGGAAAAGCTTTCATGAAAGCAAAGCTAGAAGTGTGCTCTGGCCACGGAGATTGGATCACGTCGCGGTGTGCGAAAGAAAAAGAGACGACAGAGTGGTTTGGTATTGAAATGCGAGAGAATCGCGTTGCGTTGACGTGGATTAAAAGTTTGCGACTCGGCGTTCGCAATCTCACGATGCTCTGTGGATTAGCCCACGAGTGCATGCGGAAGCAAATACCAAACGAAGTGCTCGATGAAATATACGTAAACTTTCCGGATCCGCCCGAGTGGAATGGGAGCGCCAATTGTCTCGTCGATGGTGCTTTTTTGGTTGAATCTCACCGCACGTTGAAAACCGGTGCGTATCTAATTTTAGTGACGGACGATCCGGGGTACGCGATGCGAATGTGTCGAGAACTCTCCGTCGTCCCGCACTTGTTCGAACCAACCGCTACGGATGGGAAACCGTTCGAAAACAGATTGCCGGCTGATTACGGGTTCTCTTATTTCAACGCGCTTTGGACGAACGGGAACTTGAATGACCGATACTACATAAAGTACCAGAAGCGCAATATATAACAAGTTTAAAAGATGTCAAAATAAGTCGCGTTAGGTGTTCACATTAAAAAAAAAAGGTACCTCGTCTTCTTCTTCTTCTTCTTCTTCACAAATAAAAAAAGCAAGAGCATGAAGTTCGACCGCAATAAAGACGGCGGAGAAGACGAGGAAGATCGCGTGCCGGCGGCGGAAGCAGCGCGACGTCGCTTCTTTCCGCCGCCAGGTAAGACGATGATGAACGAAGAGAACGCCTTGAGAACCTTTCGAGAAGGTTTAGGTTTCAAAACGGCGACAAAGAAGGTAAAGAAACAAAAACGACAAAGTTTTCACAGCGCTTCTTTCGCCACGGCGCACACGCAACCAATGCAAGCGCCTACCTTTGCAAACTCTCCTGCGAAGAAAGCGTCGTCTTCATCATTTTTGACGCGAACGCCTGGTAAAAAACATCGCGCGTCCGATGCGGCGCTTTCGTTTCGAACGACGACGACGACGACGCAAAAAATACCAAAACCTAATAATTTTAAAAGTGTTTCGGCAACGACGTCGACGGACACGACGACAAGTTCGTTAACAGAAACTGTCGTGATGACCCATCCGGACGTGCTCCAACGGCGTGAACAACGCGATGATGCAGACGAAATGCTTCAATTTCTTAACGAAAACAAGGAGAACGAAAAGACGCGTCGTATGAAGAAGCGCACGCTCCTGGACGCTCTGCAAACAGGAGGAGCAGGAGACGAAGAAGCGCCTGATAAAAACAATACCAAGCCTCCCGACTGGATCAAGGTCCAGCGCGATTCGAGAAATGTCGCGCGCGGAGAGAAATTAGTCGCGAACGAGTTGATGCGCGCGATGCAGTTAGACACGGAAGTAAACGGTGAGTTGATTCCGGACGCCTCGTCGCTTTTTATTCCAACCGGCGCTTTGGAACAACTCCCGCCGTTCGCGCGTTGGTATTGGAGCGTCAAATCGCAAATGATGGACTGCTTAGTGTGCGTTCAAGTCGGTCGCTTCTTTAATCTTTTTCAGAACGATGCTGATACGGGCGAAACGGTTGGTTTGCGACCATCCGGGAAGAATCGCGGTTTCATGCGCAAAGTTGGCTTCCCGTACGTGGTTTTCGACGACTGGTGCGCGAAGCTCATCGCTCATGGATATTGCATCGCGAAATGCGTCGAAGGGAAAGAGATTGACACCAAGAGGAAACTCTGTGAACGAAAAATAACAGAGATTATCACACCTGGTTTGAATAAAGGATTTGTTGACGATACGAACCAAGAGTCGTGGGTTTGCACGCTCGCTCAAGAGGGCGACGACTTCCTCGGCGTTTGCTTAATCGACGCCGATAAAGGAAACGTCAAATTCGGTTCGTTCAAAATTTCAATCGACAGTAACAAAAACAGTATCAACGAATCACTCGTAAACAACGGCGACGATACCAACGATGATACATCCGCTGCTTTTGCGAAGCTGATCTCGATTCTTACGCAAGCTCGTCCGAAAGAAATTATTATTTCTTTGAGAGGGCCAAACTCCATTCGACGCAACGTGAAACGCGCAATACAACGACACTACGAGAGTGTGAGCGCCGGTGCTTTTGCATCAGAACGAGTACACGACCAACACGACGATGTGGATGATTACGACGAGAGCTATGCGAGTCACGCGTCGTTACGAAACAATCCAGTCGTCCGAGTCATCGAGAGAGGCTGCGATCCTCTCCCGGAGATATCTATCGATGATGTGAAGAGGGCTATTCGTCAATTTGCCGGTGAAGCTGAGTTCGAAACAGACACGGATACGCGAAGAGCAGTGGAAGGCGCAGGAAATGCTGGACTCGTTGCGCTGGCGTTCGGTATTCGATTCTGTGCCTGGGCAGGTCAGTGTGAATCAATCTTCAAGTCCGCTAAATATGGTTCCCTAGCCTCGCTCGTCAACATCGATTTCGACGACGTCCAAAACCATGATAACAACAACAGCGGTCCGTTGCGTCAACGTAAAACAATGCTCGAATTTCACGGCAACGCGTTGAAAGAGCTCGGCGTAACCGATGGAGGTAAAAAATCTTTGATTGGTTTACTTTCTCGGGATTGTATTACGCCGCATGGTAAGCGACGGGTGCGCGATATGGTTTTCAGCCCTCTCGTACAAATCTCGGATATCACGACCAGACAGGATACAATACAGTTCCTACTTAAAGATGCAGACGAGCAACGCGCTGCCACGGCGAACGAACACAACTATGAAACGCGCGAATACTTGAAACGAAAGCTCCCGCGTGGTGATTGTGAACGCTCATTGACGAAGTGTATGAACCTAGCGCAATGTTGCGCTACAATGTGCGCGGCGAATGCGAACGTATTGATCGAGGGCACCGATCCAAGCGCTCAGACGCAATGCCGCGATGCTGTCATCACGCTGACCGCGGCAACAGTTGGGGGCGCTCCAAACTCCGACGAGCTTTACGGAAACGCCATGGAAAGCCTCAACGAAGGTGAAACTCTCGACGACGCTTTGGTTGCGTTTTGGGAGTTGAACCAATCGCGCCTCGATGGCTTCTCGAAAGCAGTCGAATGCTTGATGATTTTAGCCAAGTCTTTGAAAGGATTAGCGGCATTCCGAAGAGAACAAAGAAACGTTCCTATAATAATCGACAAAGCAATTGCACTCGGCGAAACCGCGTGTCCGCTTCTCGAAGACTTGCGCGAAGCGCTCAGGGTGGATAAAATCAACGACGAAGAAAACGCGCGCAGAAAAATTCGAATCGTGACACCTGATAAAAGAGCATTTAAAACGTACGCCCGAGCCGACGCTGACGCAGTAGAAGCGGACAACGAAAGGAACATACAGCGTCAACAGAAGCAACAACGTCGTGATTTCGACGTGGAACAGTTCGGAATGATGATGGACGATGAAGACGACGACGTGGAAAACCAAATGCTGGAAGATGAACGCGCTGCGTATTTGTTTGACCGCGCCGACCGTGCTGGAGCCCGAGCTTTTACGACGGTTATTGCGCAATTTGCGACGCACAAGTGCTTATGGCGTGCACTCATTAACGCTGGTGCTGATATTGATGCCTTGAACTCATTCGCTCGTCTAAAAGCCGAAGATACGGCGAATGATTTCTGCGTACCGAGGTTTCTGAGTTTGAACAAGAGCGATGGAACACCCATCGTTTCGCTGACGAATTTCTGGCATCCGCTCTTGGATGCATCGCAACGAAATATTGTGAAGAACGACGCGCAATTCGGTGGAAGCTGTTGCGATAACGATGGCGGTCAGCCGAGGGAATGCCCTAGGTTTGTTCTCTTGTCTGGACCAAACATGGGCGGGAAAAGCACTCTCGCGCGAGCAGTTGGACTTACCATCGTTCTCGCGCAAGTAGGAGCGCACGTGCCTGCATCCGAGTGCGTATTAACGCCCATTCACCAACTCGTGGTGAGATGTGGAACGCTTAGAGACGACTTACGAGCTGGCGTTTCCACTTTTCTCGCGGAAACGCAGGCGTGCGCAACAGCGATGAAGGTGGCGAACAAGAATACAACTTCGCTTATGATTATGGATGAAATTGGCCAAGGTACGAGTACTTCTGACGGGTACGCCATAGCATCAGCCGTTGCTCGAGCGTTGATGAAATCAAACACGGCAATCACTCTGTTTACGACGCATTTTCACGACTTACATGAAAATTTAGCCTCCTCGAGCGCGTTGCGCTTCGCGTCGTGCCACATGTCGAGCGAAATAAACGAAAAGACGCGCGATGTCGTGCGGTATAATTACAAACTGTGCGACGGTTCTGCCCCGTTTGGTTCGTGCGGACTTTCTGTCGCCAGACTTGCAGGCCTGGATGATACCATACTCCAAAAGAGCCAACGCGTAGCGCGTTCATTGCAGACGACCAGGGTGCTCGCCGTGAACACGAAGCGCACGAAAAACGTCATTTTATCAAACGAGGCGCTGAGCGCGTTTAAGCAGCTCCTTCGTGATCCAGGGGTGAACGGGGAGCACATCGCGAATGAACGTGAATGGTGCATCGAATTCTATCAGTATTGGAAGTATGTTGAAAGACTTCTAGCGCTCTGAGAAGAATTTGGTCCCTCAAAAATCGATACGAGTACTCCCTGCACACTTTTGCACATATGCAATCAAATGTTTTTTAATTAGAAAAACGAGAGAAAGACACGACTACACTCACACATATACGGTACTAGTACGCCTAACACCTCCTGGATGTGCTATTACTACTTTTACTACTACTGATTCCTACTCGGAAAATATTTCACCCTGGTCTCTCTGAACACCACGAAACTTCTGATGACGACTATAACGAAAGCAGCACCTACACACGTCGCCGCACAAAGGAACGCCTTCCCTCTGGACGCTGCGAATACAGATCCTAGCAAAACAGGCGTGATGATTCGCGCAGAGGAGTTTATCGCGCTATCGAATCCCATAACCGCCCCTCTGGACGTCGTCGGCACGCATTGCATCAACAGAATAGGGATTGATGGAGTGAAGAGAGGAACCCCACATACGTAAAAGAACGCCCCTAAGCCAGTGGTGAACGCTGTGGTGGATACGCCGATCATCGCCAGACCGATTGCGACGAGCGCTAATCCTATACCGCAGGTTTTCGTCAGTCCGAAAAATTTGAAGATTGGCGCAAAGAGTAGCGTAGATATGCTCAGAGAAACCAAACTCAAAGACGTCAACGTGGCACCAATCATCGTTGGTCCCATTCCCACTGTTCTAGAAATTACGAGAGGAAAGAACGAGTCGAACGTAGATTGACCGGCGTTGTAAAGAAACGACGTCACGCAGATTGTCCCCACCGCGGCGACCAAAGAAACGCCAAGCGGACAACTTAAGTTCTGCGAGTCATACAACGCGTCCACGTTTGCATTTGCATCGTTAGACGACCCTCCTCCTTCGTTTTTGCTCTTTTCCGTGCTTCCATCGGCTACCACATTTATCGTCTGCGCGCTAGTTGGCTCTACGACGAGTACAAATACTAATATGGAGGCTAAAATTGAGGCGTATCCGGTAAACGCAATCGTTGCGGATAAACTCAATCCAGAACATATGATTCCTCCTACGGTTGGGCCAACCACAAACGCCAACGTACAACAAGCCTCTCGCCATCCCATTAAACGCGCCGTAAATGCACCATTTTCGTACCTTTTCGCCGCGATCGCGGCGTTGTTGTTGTTAGCATTCATATCTGCCTTGTCCGTGGTCGCGGCCTCTCTGGTTGCTTTTTTACTTGCCGCTCGCATAGAGGCTGATACGCTCGAGCCAATATCGGCTAAATACGCCTTAATGACCGGGGATGCACCTGCACAACAACCCGCCAGCACGCGAAGGATTAAAAATGTTTCAAAAGAGTATCCAAGAGAAACGCACTTTGCCTGCGCCAATAAAAACGTACCCACTCCAAGAAGCGATAACGTTATTACTTTTTTCCGACCCACCATCGGTAAGTCGGATAAACGAGGCCATAGAAACAACGCAAAAAACATACCCAAAGGATAGGCGGACGTGAGATATCCGATTTTAGAGCCAGGGATGTCAAAATGCTTGACCAATTCCGGCGTGATTGGTCCCGTCGCCGTGAAACCGAGGAGATGAAAGAACGCGGCTAACATGACGGCGAGTATCGATACGATTGTTGATAAAGGTATAGCGAAGTTGTCTCCTTTACTCGAAGATACCGACGATGATGCACAGGCGAGCGTACCCCTACCTCGGAGGCGTGTTCTTCTTTGTTTTCGTTGACCGTCCGTATGCATACTTTTCGTCGTCCTCAGCCGGTGGTGAGAACTATTTGTTGACGATGCTTTCACGTCGCTCCTTTTATTACTCTCGCCGCGCTTCATGCTGTTGCATCTCACGCTGTCTTCTTTAACGTGGAAAATATCGTCTCGTCTTTTTCCTCTGATGTGTCTTCTCGTCGATTGCGTCGCGTGCGGTATCGTTCCTGGTAAAGAAGAAGAAGAAGAAGAAGAAGATTGCGTTTTGTCGCGTTTTCCTCGACGCGTCGAACGAGGACGACGGAAAGGGGAGAAAGGAGATATTTTCATCCTCGTCGTTCGGTGTCGTCGTTCCGGGAAAGTATCGCGAACGTTTCTCGAGGAGAACGAAGAAAACGTTTCCATCGCCGTCATTATCGATGAAAGAGCAAGAGTAAAAGAGAGAGAGAGGCTTTCACGCCGGGGGGAAGCCGTCTCTTTTGTGTCGTCGTCGTCGTCGTCGTCGAAAAAGCATCTTCCACGACGAAAGTAATAAGATATCCACTCAACACTCTCGTGTCTTCACTTTTATTATCATATAATAATTAGTAGTATACCACGATGCACGCCTCCTCCTCTTCCTCGAACTGTTCTCGCGACTCTGCCTCTCTCTTCGTGTCGTCCACGCGAGCTGCTACCGCTCGTCGCAACTCCGCCGCTGCTTTTAGACCAACATCAAATATATATCTTCGTCGCCAAAAACGGACAAGTCGAGGGTACGACAGAAATGCGTCCACGACAACCACCATTCGGTGTCATCAAAAGACGAGTTACGAGACGGTCAACTTGGGAAAAACGCAGCACGGGATTGCTTTCACGGATCTGAACAACATTTGCAACGAGATGATTGCAAAAAACGGGATTAAGAACGGTCAGGTAGTAGTACACTCGCGTCACACCACGACGGCAGTTACGATAAACGAGTACGAAGAAAGGTTAGTGGACGACGCGAGACAGTTTCTGTTGAAGTTGGTTCCTCCTTTATATCCTTATTTACACAACGACTTGCACGTCAGGTTTCCACCCGATGACGATCGTTGGAAAGGCACGGTCGAGGAGTGGAGAGCGCAAGAACCGTTGAACGCACACAGTCATTTAATTGCAATGTTGTTGGGTCAATCCGTGACGGTTCCCATCTGTGACGGGAAGATGACGCTCGGGACTTGGCAAAGTATTTTGTTCGTCGAGCTGGACGGCGAAAGAGAGCGCACGGTGGGCATTCAAGTTTCCGGCGAATGATTTTGACGTTCTTGTTATGCATATGTATTTATCTTCTTAAAATTAATTATTACAACAGTCTTTCGCTGCCTCGTATTTATTTATTCTACTTCTCTCTCTCTCTCTCTCTTTCTCTCTCTCTTGCTCCTCCTCCTCCTCCTTTTCTTCTTCTTCTTCTTCTAACCTCGGAAAACGACGGGCGGGTTTCATCGTTACTGTTTATTATTTCGCAATGACGGAGGCGAAAGATGCGCCCGTCCATTTTGGAGCTTGCTCTTTGTCCGCAGCTTTTTTCACCGGCGCGTTCAACAACTCTTCGTCTTCCGCGGCAAACATGTCTTCGTCTTCGTCCGCCCATGCCTTCTTGGTGTTCAAAGACGCTTTCGGCGTGACCATGTCCAACTTCTCCGCGAAGGATGCACCTGCTGTCGGCGCGTCTTGCTTCTCTTTCCCGCCAAACATGGAATCTTGTTTCTCTTTACCCGGCTTGAAAAAGCCACTATTGTTGTTGCTCTTGAAAAGCTTCGCCGCCATCGTTTCCGCCGGCGGCGCTTTTGGCGTCTCGTTATCGGAAACCATCTCTTCGTACGATGGAAGCTCTTCGGTCAAATCTTCAACGACATTATTGGAGCTCGCTTTAACCTTGATCGTCGCTGGTGTCTTGGCGACCGCTGCCCACGATGGCGACGACGATGGCGCCATCGCTTTCTCAACCGTGCTCGGCGGCGACATGGACGTGTCCATATCTTGTTCTCCGTCAGCCTCTTTTGTTCTTTGGACAGACTTTCTTTTTCTTTGGCGCTCTCTCGCCTTTTCCTTTTCTTCGGCGAACACGTCTTCGTATACTTCCTGGGAGACGCGCTGTTTGAACAACGCCCAAAAGACGCCCCCTGGCGTTCGTCTTCGGCTTCCATCGGCCGTTTGCATCCCTCCTTTACTTTCAATATTTTGAACTTCGACGGCCAAATTGGACACCATCTCGCCACCAACGATATCGAGCGCTCTTCGCATCAAACTCACTTTCGGCTCGTTCAATTGATTACAAATTTCCTTGGCAATTCTTCCCAAATCAGAACTTCTGGAACCGTTGGCAGATTTTCGTCGGTTCGACTTGAACGCCGGCGACGCGTTCGCCTTGCGCTTGGAAGATTCAAAATTCAGAAGCAATTTGCCGTTGTTTTTGTTGCTCGCCCCCGGCTTTGTGTTGCCCACTTTGAATTTCATCTCAACAACATTACTATTTCCAGTCGTCATCAATCCTGGTGCCGTCAACATCTTTGGCGGTTGCTGAGGGGCGGTCGAAGCCTCGTTCACGTTGATGAGTTCGAAGGTTTCCTTCTCTTCGAGCACTCGAACGTCTTCAAAATCTAAAGTAGCTGCGCTCATTTTTCTATGGATGAGATGTAAAATTTCTCTCTTCTGCTGCGACGCGTTAAAGAAGAAGAATTCAAAAAGATGTCTTTTCCGTAGTGTTTAGTAGTAGTATTGCGTTGCGCGTTAAAGTGTGTGTGTAACAGCGCGAATACTCTCTGTAGAAACCTCGGAAAAGTGAGGAAGAGATTAGCCAACGGAAGGACAACAACGACGACTAAAGAGAGCTGTTCTTTTCTTTTTTGAATTTTGAATTCAGACTCGTGTTTTTATGGCCTCCTTCTCGGGGGGGGCCTTCAACCCTAATTCTGAATCTTGGAAAAAAATTGCGAAGATACGCAAATTCTTTGTTTGGGTGCACTTGGAGAAAATTCATCGCTCGGCTTTTTATTAGACCGCGAGAGAGTTCTTTCTTTCCTCATATAAAGCACATAACAAAAACTTAAAACAAAAATGTTTACCACCATGTCCATGAAAACTGTCGCGCCAACGGTACGTGTTGTGTGCTCTTTTCCTCCCTCGTCTCCGCGCGAAGCCGTTTTTCTCTCCCCCTCTTCTCCCTCTTTCTCCTAATTTTTGTTCTTCGATTGTGCGAGGGGGAGAGAGCAGGACATAAATAAGCTTCGCAAAGGAGAGAGATAACGAGAAAAAATTGTCCGCCGAGAGGACTTTCTTATTATATAAACTCGCATCATATCGATGGAATTTTGAGCGCTTTTCGCGGCGATTGTTTTAGTATCGATGTCGCGAGGAGAGCGCGTCTGTTACGCGACGGAACGGGAGAAAAAGAGAGAAAGAGAAAGAGATTCTGCGATTTTGGAACGATCTTTCTCCTCTCTCCTTGTTGTCTCCAATTTTTGCTCTTTTCTTCTTCTTTGGTTTTTTGGACTCTCATCAAAAATGAAACAAAAAGCGGAAGGAGAACAAACAAACTCTCGTTTGGATAGAAATATAAAATAGTATACTAACGACGACGATATCATTCATCATTCATCTCTATTCTACACACAGACTGCCGCAAAGCCGACTGCCTCCGCGCAAAAGAAGGTTTCTTTCAACAAATCCGCGGCTTTGGCCGCGGCTGTCGTCGTCACTTTGTCCAACCCGGTCATGCAAGCGCACGCCGGCTTGACCGAAGACTTGTTAGCCTCTTCCGAAGCAAACAAAGAAATGAACGACAAGAAGCGCGCGATGACCTCTTCTGCTAACTTTGCTCGATCCAGAACTGTCACGGATGGCTCTTGCAAGTTCCCGGACAACTTGTTGGGTTGCGAAAACGCCGCCGAGTTTGGCAACGTCAAGTTTTTGTCTGACGATATCAAATTAGAATGCGAAGGTACCAGATCTGGCAAGATCTGCGCCTCGGAAGGCAGCTTTGCCGGTTCCAGAGGTGGGTCCGTCTTTGGTTTGTAAACTGCTAGACCATGAAAGCGGTTTTACATGTGCTAAAGGAGTTGTGATACTAAAAAATCAATATTAAATATAACACACTTTTGTTCTTCCTCTGCGTCTGATATTTTTTCTTTGCCTCCTCTACGAGTTCTGTCATTCCAAAAAGAAAAGGCAGCCGCAAACACTTTCTTTTCTTCAAAAGAATTGTGCGACCACCCGCGCGCACCGTTTCGTTTCTAACTTGGAAAAAGCAAGCAAGTGTTTTATCCTCTCTTTCCTCCTGCCGTTAAAACGTTATAGAGTCGATTGATTGAATCGTCGTCGGCGGCGGCGCGGTTTGTGTTTGTCAAGCGCACAAAATTACACACTTTCACAAGCAACCTTGGAACGAAGTTGAAGAAGGCTAAATGGGCAAACAATACGACTGTCACAAACAAAAGTATTACGTCCCGCAGAACTTGAAACCGCATCAGATATTGAATTTGAAACAAGCCTCGAAGAGAGTGCAGAAAGATCGGAGCAAAGCGACGAAGCAAGCACTCGGAAAGAAAGCAAAAGTTGCATTAAAACTCGCTAACAGAAAAGGCGGCAGAGGCAAACGAAACGAAGCGAACCCAGAGTTCAAGAAAAATCTCGCCAAGTCGAAACGGTTAAAGAAATCCAAACGAAAAGGCAAGGTTTCCGGACGAAGCCGATAATAACACCTCACGTAATACAGAATAGTGATTGATTGTGAAGAAAATGGCTACCGTGAACAACACCTCGGGTGCTGCAAAAAATGTGTCAGAAGCCGAGAAGTTCGTTTCTAAAGTCGCCGAGTTTCTACGCGAGAGCGTCCAGCGAAACGACGATTGGAACGAAGATACAGTGAAGATGGCGTTCGCGGAGTCCGTCCAAGGGCTACCGAAAAAATCGAAAGCAAAGAAGAAAATTCAAGATAGTTTCGAGTTATACTCGGAGTTATTAATCCAAAGAGTATTCAGAGAGGAGGAGTGCAAACCGCTCGCGGAAATGGATCCAGAGTTGCATAAGTTGAAAACTGAAATTGAAGATCCCGATAACGCTTGGTTTGCGTTGAAACAAGAAATCCCGACGGATTGGTCCAAGCTGAATTTAGAAGAATTACTCATCCAAGCAGACTATGCGATGAAACGGGCATCTTTCGACATCCCGGGTTGGGTCTGGAAAGAATGCGGAGCGGAGCCGAAGTCCATCGCCGCGGCTGAAGCAAAACGCGTAAGCTCTACGAAAACGTGCATTGATTGCGTCGAGCGATGCGTAAAGTACTTTTTATCGATGTCATTTGACAACAACAAGAAGAGCACCACAAGCACGAGCAGCGGTAAGGGTATGCCGTTGAATAAAGATGATGCGAGAGGCTTATCGGAAATATTGGGTAAGATCACTGAGATTACGACTTTACGTCGCGCCGCGGGATGCGTTTTGCAATGTCCGCCAGATTTACAGAGTTACATCGCTCGTTTAGTATTTTTCAAATACGCGTTCAGGAAGCACATGCGTCGACTAATCTCGTCCGTAGAAGCGACTAACACGGACGAACATTCTGCGGAAGGAAAAAAAAGCAAAAGCGCTTTAAAAGAACAACGCAGAGATCGGGGGATAACAGCCATGCACGATGCTGCCGTATTGTGTCGAAATTATCGCGGCGACATCATTCACTTTTTAGCAGACTCTATGGGAGCTCATTCGGGCCAAAAAATAGGGAATAACACCGATGCAAATACAGTATTTCCTTCGTCAAAGTTCCTCGTGGATTTATTGCCGAATGTTTTAGAAGAAGACGACGAAATATTTGAAGCCGCATTGGGTTTGGGTGACTTTGACGACGAATGGGAAAAGCAAGCGTCACGCGTGCTCGGATTGAAGTTAATATCGACTAAGAACGTCGGCATAAACGCGAGCGCTGGTCCTGACCTCGTGCGACGTCCAATGTTGCAACGCTGGAATTTTGAGAGGCAATCCTTTGAAGACGTTCCGTCGAATTTTAGTAAAGAAGTGGAGATCAACTTGTCTTCCCTCCGTATCAACGAAGATAAAAAAGTCGGTAGCAGTGCTGGCGATGGTGCCGACGACGGCGACGATGACGACGACGACGATTCACCAGCCAATGATCCAGACATGAAAATTGACGAGTCAAAGTATTACAAAGAAGAACAGCTCGAAGTGCCAAGAGAAGAACAAGAAGGATATAAGAAGAGAGCCGCCGCCGAGGCGGGGAAAAATAGAATAGATGTAGGAGACGAGAACGATACAGCTAGCGGTACCATCGGTGAAGTTCGCGCTTATTTCGACTATTTACGCGTCTTGCGCCGGTACATTTCCGTTCTCAGAGGCAAGAGAACAACCATTGGTCGTAATAAAGCAGACACTCTGATGCGATGCTCTGGAAACACGCCGGCTCCAACGCTTCTACTCGCAAAGTTGCCAGAAGGCATGATCAGAGCTATAGACCCATCGTCCGCATCTATGGAGCTCGCCGCGATTTCCGAAGAAAAATTTGAATCCATCTTCATAGCTTGGGTATCTGCGAAGAAGTTCCTAACTACGGCGCATTTAAATCCTGAAAAAGCGGCGAACGACGATTTGTTCTTCTTCGATGGTAATACCAACGTCGAAGGTGCAAAAGAGCTTCGTGAGATGATGGAAGCTGCACCTCCTCTCTCGACAGAAGCTACCGGTGCCAAGAAACAATTCATGGAAAGAACAGAAACCGACGCACTCGAAGAAATGGATCAAGATCTGGAGAAGGAAGTCATGGCTTTCCTGGACGAGATGAAACCACCCGATGCGGATCACGACGACGACGAGGAAGGAGAAGAAGTAGAAGAAGAAGAGGACGAATGAGAACCAATTTTTTAATGAATAAACTACCCTTCTAATACTAATATTAGCAACAGCACAATGAAAAGCGCAGACGACACTATCCTACACAAGCTACTACTACTATGATCTTTGTACTAATATTTACGCTTTGAAGGAGAAGTTACCGCTACTGCTGCTGATAAAGTGTTTGCTAAGCGTCTCTCTTTATTCCTTCGAATCTTTGCAAACACAGAAGTACTGAACGCGATGCAGAGAAAGATGCCGATTAATACCGGAGTGAACGTCGGACCCGCCTGACAAAATATGCTCTTCGTATTTTGTTTTCCGCCTTCTTCGAAGCCACAAATTGCTCTCGATATAACCGCTAGTCCAGTTGCATTGAAGAGACAGAAATACCGAAGCAACTTTAGCTTTTCGCTCGATTCCATTCTCCAAAACCAAGCGAAGAACTTTTCCTTCGTTGGCGCGTTATGATGCCACACCGTGTACACCGCTCGACCCTTCTGCGCGACGAAATACAATTCTCTTTCTACTAAGCCGTCTTGATCGTTCTCTCTATCGTTCTTCTTCGTCTTTTCGTTCTCGATAATTGTGAACGTCGTTTTATCGCACGCCACGACGAATGGATTATCATCGTGAATAACGTGCCAATAATCCCCAAAATTCTCAGAAAACCGTTTGCGCAATTCTGTCGCTCTTATTTCCGTGGTTTCGTATGACTTATCGTTCAACACTGCCAAAGCTAAAGCTTCCACGCACTTTGGTAAGGTTTCGTTTCCCTCCGTGACGACCGCGGCGTCTTTCTTGCTCGCCGCGTTGCTCTTCATCTTCTTCTTCGTCGTCGCATCCTCAGACTCGTCAATCGCTCGAAACTTCATCTCTGCTTCCACGACGCGCTCGGGTGTTGTTTTTGAGTTTTCAATCTCGGCATCCTCCGCGGCGGTGAGTTTAAAGGACTCGTAAATCAACACTCTCACCGGCTTCGGTTTCACATCGCACACGACGTACGTCAAAGAACCTTTGCGATATTTCACGAACGCCGAGAAATCATCCACGCCGACGACAACGTTCAGATTTGGCTGTTCACAAACAATCTTAACGTACGTGGCAATCGCTTTTAACTCTTGCGGAGTGAATGACTTCGCACTCTTGACCGCTCCTGCTCCTGCTGAAGGAGAAGTTTTTGACGACGATGGAAAAAGTTCAGGTGCGACGGCTCGTAAAGCATCGCGAACTAAGCGAAGTGCGTTCAGTCTCAACTTCTTCGGCGAATCCGCGCGAACGACTCGAAACGATTTCGAATGCATGGTGATGCGTGTCGTTTGCCGTCTTTTTGGATTCCAGGGATGGTCAGTTGCCGCAGCGCAGCGAAGCTCTTTAGTTGTTAAGCAGAAATGAAGAAGAAACTACTTGTTGAAATTTAGGAAGGAGTGTGATGAGAAGAGCAGAAGTTCTTTGGGGCAGAAAAACTGCTCTTCTTCTTCGTAAAAAACAGACTTCCCGTCGAATTTTTCATTCAAAAACGCGTCTCAATACGCCAAAACACGCGACTGCGCATCACTGAAAGTGCATTTGAACCGCTATCCTGTTTCGAAAAAGAACATCCTCGCGCGATTACGGACTCGGACGGGTACGAACTTCTTCGCGCGATATCTATTCGTGGGCAATTCCGCGCTCTTAATTTTTTACTTCGGTGTTGTTGTTGTTGAAGTGTCGTTTCCGCTCTGATTGAACGATCGTCAACTCGAATATTCGGAGGAGTAGGAAAGAGATTTCCGGAAAAAAGAAACGACAAGAACGGGTCATAGGGTGCGCTCGAGCGCATCGATCGTCTTCGAACGCGCGTTTAGTCCGTTTAATCCGCGTTTAGTTCGTCGCATTCAACTCATAAACGAAAATTTTCCCTCTTAATTTTACAACAAGACAGAAAGGAGAAGAAAGGTTGTGCAAAGAGAGCATACGCACTGCTACATAAGAAACCGAAGATCATCACGACGCGTACGAACTGTCGTTGTTATATTTAAAGAGAGGCGGGAGAGATCGCGGACGCATATATTTTATATTCATTAAAGCTGGTGGTTTTGTTTTGTTTTCGTGATTGTCGGGATCCAAGGAGGAGAGAATCGAGAGGGGCGATAATAAAATAATATAATAATAATAAGAGTGGGTGCGTGTAAGAGAAAGAGAGAGGAGGAGGAGAAATGAGTGGTTTGTACGGAGGGTCTCCTTCGCAAAGCGGGTATCGGAGAGATAACACCAACGCTGGTGGAATACCTCCGCCACCTGCTGGTTTAGGAGGTCGGTTTCCGCCGATTCCTTCCGGAGGCGTCGGTGGTGCAAACGCCCAGCAACAACAAAACATCGGGAACCTTCTCGGGGGCGGTAGTGGTGGAAGACCAAATCCGAACGCTGCTCCGAGAATGAACGGAGGTTTCGGTATAGATCCAATTCAACAACAGCAACAAAACTTATCTGGTTTAGGTGGGGGTAACGGTTTAGGAGGCGAGAGTTCGTTTCAGCAAGGAATACCGCAGCAAGGATATGGAGCTCCTGCGCGCACAGCTTCCTTTGATGCTTCGGACTTTCCCTCGTTAGGTGGTGGAGGTCAAGGACCATACGGTGATACGTATCCTCCTCAGTATCCACACGGGAACGGTTACGATGGTTTCGGGGGAGACGGTCACGTAGGAGGATACTATGCGAAGCCGCCGCCCGAGTTTGCTATCGAGCAGGAAGACTTTCCGGCGCTTGGGGGTATGGGTGGTGGAGGCGGTGGTCCTAGAAAACCTTCGGATGCTGCGGCTGCGGTTGCGGCTGGTGTTGCGAAACAACATCAGCAACATCAGCAGCAGCAGCAACAACAACAGCAGCAACAAATAGGGGGTGGTGGAGTTGGGAATATTGGGGGAGTGAATAGAATATTTTCGGGTGGTGGGCAAGGCGGCGGCATAGATGGGAATAATGATTTGGGAATGCAACAACAAAGACAGCCGAGCTTCGATGCCGGCGGGGGCTTTGGAATGGGGAACTCTCGAGGTGGATATAATGGTCAAGATCTGTTACGCCAAAGTTCTGGTCAATCGTCCAATTCTGTCGCGCAACAAACGGCGAATATGGATCCGAACGATCGGTATGGTCTCATGGGTTTGTTGAACGTCATTCGAATGACGGATCCAAACTTGACCACTTTAGCTCTTGGAACGGATTTGACAATGCTTGGGTTAAACTTGAATTCGTCCGAACCGTTGTACACGAATTTTTCTCCGCCATGGCTGACGGATGCAACGCCGAAGCACGAGTTAGAGATGCTCATTCCGGCGTGTTATAATCAGCACACGGCAGGTCGAGCACACCCTGCAATGTTTTCAAAGTTTCAGCACGAGACTTTGTTCTATATATTTTATTCCATGCCTGGTGAGGAGGCTCAATTGTATGCTGCGGATGAACTGATTCATCGTGGCTGGGGGTTCCACAAAGAAATCAAGGCGTGGTTGATGCGAGTTCAAGGCACGGAGCCGACATCGAAAACGGATTACGGTGAACGCGGTGCGTTTTGGGTGTTTGACGTCCAAACGTGGGAACGTGTTCGCAAGGACAACTTCATGCTTTCATACGACCAACTCGAGAATCGACCGCAGGTGGCCGCCACGCAGTGATATTCTTTCTGTGTTAGGGACATTCCCGCGTCTGTAAATTACAAAATTGCAATAAAAGTCTAAAAAACAAAAAATCTTATTACACGCTAATCAAGAGTATGAATTTCTTCTTCTCTCAAGTTCTCTAATGAAATTCTCTTGTTGTTTGCGCTCAGAAAATTGCTCTTCCTAATGATTACAACTCTTCCTCTTCCTCTTCTTCGGGTACGTGGAGCTTCTCGATGGCGGCTTTGATTGAATTGACATCTGCCGAGGACGGCTTCAAATCTAAAGCGAGCGAAAAATTCAACATCGCTCGGTTTGGCATCTCTAACTTTTTGAAAATCCGACCCATCAAAAAGTAGACCGAAGCTTCTCTCGGCGCCACCTCTCGCAACTGTTCTAACTCGTCCAGCGCCTCAGAATATCTCTCTTCGCTCATCAAAACCGACGCTTTTTCGTATTTCGCCAACGGATTGCGCTCGTCTAATTGAATCGCTTTTTGTAAAGACACGTATGCTTTCTCGGTCTTTCGCAACGCGTGTTGCGCCATCCCCAAATAGCAAAACAGAACGGAACTCTTCGAGTTTATTTCAATGGCGTGCTTGAAATGGTGCTCGGACATTTCATACTTTTCTTGTCGAAAATAGACGGTACCCAGACCGTACCAGGCGTTGTAATGTCTCGGATCCAAACTCAAAGCCGCTCGATAGCACTCAGTCGCTTTCTCAAAATCTTCATTTGCAAAATGTTCGTGCCCTCGGAGGGTATATCCGTACGCGTATTTCGGATTCAACTGTATTGCTCTCGCGAAAAATCGCAAGGCGGAATCGTGTTCTCTTTGTAAGGAGAAACAATTTCCAAGAGCACACCACGTGTGCGGGTGTAGTCGATCAATCGTTTGTGCCTCTCTCGCCAAATGAGAGAGTTCAACCTCACGTTTTAAATGCCACAGCACGGTCGAATAGCAATCGATACCGTCTAAATTGTGCGGCGCGATTTCGCGCGCGCGCTCAAAAGCTCTCGCGGATTCCGTGTATTCCACAGCTTCCGCGTACGCTCTGCCTATTTGAGTCAAAACGTAACCAGTTTCAAATTGCTCTGGGCTGCACGTTCTCAAAGCCGCTATGGCTTCATGGCATCGAAACATTGCTAAATGCCTCGCGCCAGACATGATGGGATGGAATATTCTCGCAACCATCGCGACTGAATCTTTCGGAATAACGAGCTTCGTTTCTTCGCCTACGTTTTGAGTGCTCATGACGGCACTTCTATGCATCGCTACGATATGTTGCTGATTTTGTTGCTGCAGCTGGAACTGCGAAAAAGAATGAAGATGCTGGTTTGCTCTGTTGTGATCTTCTTCGGTCATCATTCTGGCGTGCATACCGACGTCGTTCTTTTTCGCAGTAGTCGTGGTTTGATCAAACATTTGCGCTGGAGTCATCGGCGTCGAAGCTATCGATGGCGTTTGCGTTCCTAAGGCAAAAATATTGGAAGCCGGTGGTACCGGTGCAGCCGATGGAGCCGCTCCCTGCGACGCCAGACGTGAGCTTCTTCGTAAGCCTACTTCTGCATTTCCTAACGCCTCGACATGCGCCGCGTGTGTGGTGGTTGCGGTTGTACTCGTAGTAATTGCCGATTCCGGGGCATCTCCGAATAATCGTCCGGAAACTTTTCTCAATTTACCTTCGTCCATAAACTTACGCCTGTCGTTAAACGGGTTGCTCGATACTCCGTCACCTCCAAGCGGTGCCGTTTGCTGCGTTAGCACGACGGGATCGTTCGTATTAAACGCAGTCGAAGCCGTTGAGGCGGGAGGTTTTCCTCCATGTTGAGGTGGTTTACGTGGAACCACCGGGGTTTCGTGTATACCTAAGTGCAGAGGAGACGGCGTTACGTATCGCATGCCGTCCGCGGGATTTCTTTGTTGTTGATGTTGTTGTTGCTGGTGCTGACCGTCGTGGTCTCCTAAATCGAAAGGTGGCAACGCACTCTCAGCTCCCCTAGTAACCGTCATCGGACCCGTCGCTGTATGATTGCCCGGGAACCCTCTGCTGCGAATGCTGCTATTAAACGTCATCGCTGGTTTTCGACGCAAAAACATGCTGCTGTTGATGTTGCTGTGCGTGTATCGACTACCCCCGCCGCCGCCGCCGCCGCCGCCGCCGGTCGAGAAAACTTCAGGCGAAAACACGTTGGCAGCGTTGAAGTTTGGGGCACCGAAGAAAATCACGTCTTCTTCCTCGCGATCGAACGATGTTCTCTTTCTCATCATCATCGTTTCGACTCTTTTGGTATGCGCAAACGTAATGTCGTCCGCGCCCATGGAACAGAGCTCGTTGAACGCAGCCCACATGAACGGATCTAACTCTAACGCGCGTTTAAAGCAATCAATGGCTAATTGACGTCTGCCGGTGTCTTTTGCAATCTTACCGAGTAAATGCTCTCCGTACGCACCTCCTGGAATAGTTGCATTTTCTTCTTCCATCGCTCTCTTTCGCATCTCTCTCTTTGTCGCTTTCTCGATGTTTGGATTTCTGTTTTCTTCTCCTCGATAATCGTCGTCCTCGTCGTCTGTTTCGTCATCCGAGTAGAAGTATAGGTCTTCGTAGTCTATGACTTCTGTCAGTGTCGTTTCTGCGTCGGCTAATTTCCCAATCTCATACGCCGCGCTCGCGAAGAAATATCTCGAATCTCGACTCCTTCGGTCTTTCAAAATCTCGTACGTTCGATACGGTTGTTTGTTCAACCGATAACACCTCGCTAACGTCAACGCGTTCTCTTCGGTTTTTGATACCGCAAACAAGCGTTCGGCGATGAATATGGCGTTTTGATATTCCATTTTATGCATCGCGTTCGAGACGCACATTTGTAAATACATCTCCGCGTCGACGCCTTCTTCTTCTTCTTCTTCTTCTTCAACGACGTTTTTCTTTTCCCCTTCGTCGTAAAAGTCATCTTTTAAATTGTTTTCATTCTGTTGTTGTTGTTGTTGTTGTTGTTGCGTCGTCGTCGTTTCCATCGTTTTCATCCGCGTGTTTTCTCCGATAGTAGCGCTACTATTCCTCTTCTCTGCGCTCGTGCGGCGCGTCATGATTTATGCTCGTTCTTTTGATTGAGAGCGCTCTCCTACTCCCCACTTCTATTATAATGAGGATGCGTTTTTCATTTTCGTTTTGAAAAAAGAGTTTGTTGAAAATTTTTTCGTTCCTCTTTCTCTTCTGTGTGTCTTCCTCTTCCACTCTTTCTCAGATCGCTTCCAAATCTTCAGAGTAGTAACGCACTCGCGCTGAGATACACACACACACACACACACAATAATAATAACAATAATAATAAGAAGAAGAAATGTCTCGAGGCGCTGGCGGAGGGTACGACCGTCACATCACCATCTTCTCACCGGAAGGTCGTTTGTATCAAGTAGAATACGCGTTTAAGGCGATTAAGGCGGTCGGGATCAATTCCATCGCGGTGAAAGGGAAAGACTGCGTCGTTGCCGTGACGCAAAAGAAATGTCCGGACGTTTTAATCGATCAATCGGCGATGACGCACATGTTTAAAGTGACCAAAACGTTGGGGATGTGCATGACTGGGAAAGATCCCGATATTAGAAACGTGGTACAAAAGGCGAGAAAACAAGCCGCAGAGTTTCGGTTCGAATACGGATACGAAATCCCGGTGGACGTTTTAGCGAATAAAATGGCGGACGAGTTTCAAGTGTACACGCAACACGCGTACATGAGACCTTTAGCGACGATGTGTATATTAATGGGGATTGACGAAGAGCGAGGCGCGAGCTTGTACAAATGCGATCCGAGTGGGTATTACGCCGGATACAAAGCGTGCGCAGCCGGGAACAAAGAGGTGGAAGCGGTAAACTTTTTAGAGAAGAAAATAAAACGCGAAAGTAACGTGAACGATGTCGATGGTGCGTGCAGATTGGCCATTTCGACGTTGCAACACGTGTTAGGTGAAGATGTGAAAGCGAAGGAATTAGAAGTGGCGGTAGTTACGGCGGATGCACCAGAATTTAGATTGCTGTCGGAGGGCGCCATCGAGGACCATCTGACTGCTATTTCCGAGAGAGACTAATAATAGTAGAGAGTTTATTAGTAAAATCAATCTATTTGAGGACCTATGTTTTTATCCTCGTTTGACATTTTCGTAATGCTCAACTCTAAGCCAGCCTTGGCGATTCTTAACATGTCCCCGACCGTCGGCGCCATCAAAAGTGCCGGCCGAATCTCGTACGCAACTCCAAGCGATGGAATTGGGTTGATGTACGAACACACCCATACTGCTCGCTTCGCGAAAGATTTAACGTCTGGAAACTCACCAAGATGCGATTTGATTAACTCCAAGTGGTTCGGTTGTTGTTCTCGTTTCCCTTCGACGACTAATCTCTCCCATTTTTCTAACAAGTCGTCCAGATCGGTCGATAGTTCATGCAAGGCTTCTTCGTTATCGACGAGTTCTCTCAAAGATTCCATCATCGCAAAAGAGTCCGTCCCTGGTCTCGGTATGTAATCATCCAAACTACCGCACGCTTTGTCGTCGTCGATAAATCGCACCCGGACGTGTGGTATCTCTTCTTCGTCCAAGTACGGTCCTTGTTCGTCAATTTTGAATCGCTTCGTTCCGGTGAGCTCGACGAACGTGGACCCGTCTTCGTTCACTTCGAACTGCGTCACTTCTACTTCTACTCCGCATGGTAAGACTTTTTTATTCGTCGGGCTCATACCCAACATTGCAAACTTCGTCCCAAGTGGGATGTCGCCTTCACCCATGCTCGTCCCGCAGTTCAAACTTCTTTTTGCGTCTCCTTGCGTCCCAAAGTTCAACCCAAGTCTTTGCTTAGGTAAACTTGCATCTAAAACCAACACTCGCAGAGGAGTTGTTTCCGTTTCTCTCAAACGCAGCTGTTCCATCCTCAGCTTCAATACTTCCATGTTCATATCGGTCTCGTTATTATTATTATTATCGCCACTTCCATCGTCAGAAGAAGGAGAAGATGAAGAAGATGATGATGCACGAATAACTCTTCGGTGGTGATGAGGATGACGATGACGACGATATCTAAAAGAAAGTGATTGTTGTTGATGATGACGATGAGGAGGAGGAGGAGGAGGAGTGATGTACGAAGTAGACGCTCGAGAAGACGAGGCGCGTGTTCCTCTCGTCGTCGTCGTCGTCATTATCATCGTTATCGCGCTCATCGTCAACGATGCTTTTGTTGCTCTCTGCTGTCGTCGTTGGTGTAGATGATGATATCTACTAATAGTATGTAGGGAAAGTGAGGTGGTGTTTTGTTGTGTGGAATCGATCGAATGGAAAAAAGGGAAATTTTTTTAGAAGAGCAACACAAGAGCGACGACCACATTTTGAGTTGACGCATTTCCTCAAAAGTTATTGTTTGTGTACAACATATATATACAGAGAGAGGGAGGGAGAGAGTGTGTGTGTTGATACAAATAATACTAATGTTCGGGTTACTTCCACCAATAAGCTACTGGGGATGGACCAGATACTTCCTTCCGTTCGATGAAACCACCAACGCCATCATCGTCATGACTCTCGCCATCTGTCTCGGGCTTTTACAAAGTCATCCGGACGTGTTTTTACCTCCAACGTTACCTATGGAACATAAAATTGAATTATATTCGGACAGAGTCGTCACTCCGGACGGGGTTATTCCCGCTTTAGTGACCGTGTATCACGGGAGAATACAGAGGATCGCGAGGATGGAGAAAAAACCGGTGCGACCAAAAACAACAACAACAACGGACGACGACGCCGACGGGAAGAAAAAACTAGTAGACCAAGGCGAGACTTTTTACGATTTCACCGGTAAAGTCATCATGCCAGGACTTGTCGATTTGCACGTGCACTTGAACGAACCAGGGAGAACAGAGTGGGAAGGCGTTCAATCGGGGACGAGATCTGCCGCCGTCGGCGGGGTAACGATGGTTGTGGATATGCCGTTGAACTCGATACCATCGACGGTGGACGTGAAGTCGTTTGAAGCGAAATTAAAATCGATTCGTAAACCGAGAGGGAGGATGTTTGTAGACGTCGCGTTCTGGGGAGGCCTCGTGCCGCAAAACGCTCACAACGCGAGTATTTTGGAGGACTTGTTAGCGCACGGTGTAGTCGGCTTGAAGGCGTTCATGTCGCCCGCCGGAACGGAGGATTTCGATCAAAGTTCCGTAAAGGATATCAAGGCGGCGGCGGCGAGTTTGTCAAAATTCAACGCTCCTTTGATGGTACACGCAGAATTACCGTCTGAAAACGATGTCGTATCCACGAATGGTAAAGATCCGAGGAAATATAGCACATACATGAACAGTAGACCGAGAAAATGGGAAAAGGTTTGTTTCTTTTTTTACGCTGCTGTACATCATCATTTCTTTGTGTTTGGTGCGCGAATTTGCGCGCACGAACGAAAAGAAAGAAGAAGAAGAAAAAGAAACAGAAGAAGAAAACGGATGATGAAGATCCATTGGTGCTAATCTTCTCACCAAAAGTCGCAATGGTTGCGGCTTGATGAAGAGAACAATTACCGATGTTATCCTTGCACTGACGTTTTTCTTGTGAAAATTTTCTCTTCTTTTTCTTCCTTCTCTTCTCGGCGCGATATTATTTTCCCTCGGAAATCTATTTTGATTTATATTGTTTAAGTTACACTACTCACGTCCACTCTTCTTTCTCGTTATCATTAATCTTTACAGGATGCGATAAAGGAGTTGATTGATGTGGCGAAAACGAACAAAATTCCTCACATCCACATAGCGCATGTTTCGGATGCGGATACGTTGTCTGCGATCAAGAGCGCAAAAGATGGCGGCGCAAAACTCACCGCGGAGACGTGTCCGCACTATTTGTACTTTAATGCGGAGTCTATTCCAGATGGAAGTACTTTGCACAAGTGCGCTCCGCCAATCCGCGAGGAGGAGAACCGACAGCGTTTGTGGGATGGTTTGTTGAAAGACGAAGCGTTAGATATGATTTCTTCGGACCATTCGCCATCGCCGTTGGATTTGAAACACGTAGACTCTGGAGACTTTATTAAAGCGTGGGGAGGTATTTCAGGGTTACAGCTTAGTTTACCGTTAACTTGGACGAAAGGAAAGGAAAGAGGGATGACGCTGAGTCAATTCGCCGGTGAGAACAAATTTTATTCAGCATTCTGTTTTTCTTTTTGTTCTTTTCGTTTCGTTTTTACATCTTGCGAGAAGGGACGGGAGACGAGGGATACGGTGATTGATACCCACCAGTAATCGGCTCTATCAATTTATATTTATATTCTCGCTAAATTAAGGTCGTCCGGAGACATATCGGAGGTTTAACCAACATAATATGGATTCAACCTGTGAGCAATCTCCGGGACATTTTTTTATACTGGTTTTGTGATTTCTTTCGGAGAAGGAATTTATATTTTTTTCCTGTCTGACTGGTGTTCTTTCTCTTTCTCGTTATTTTTCGTTACCCGCGTATACACAGAATTATGGAGTACAACGCCGGCGCGAATTGCGGGCCTGGGATCGAAAGGCTCGATTTCTACAGGCAAAGACGCCGATTTTGTTGTCTTCGATCCGGACGGAACGTTTGTCGTGAACGACGAAATGAACCCAATTTTTCACAAACACAACAAAACGGCTTACGACGGGCAAAAGTTACGCGGTGTCATTCACGCGACGTTTCTTCGCGGGCGTGAAATCTACGCGAAAGACGTCAAAGGCGTGCGATGGCCGGCTTGGGGCCAAGTTCACTTGAAGAAGTAATCTATTTGAACTACTCGTACTCTACCTAGGTGATGCTACGACGACTATAGTTTAAACTATTATGTATCTATTTCTCGACTGCTTCCTTCTTAATCTCGTCTTTTCCTTCGCCTGCGCCATCTTCGGCACCATCGTCGTCATCTTCGCTTATTTTAACAGAATTGAAAAACCGTTCGGTGATGTCTAAATTCGACGCCGATATCGGTTCCGCCGGCATTTTCGAATACGCCCTCCTCGGATCCCAATCGCGTTCGGGAATGACTCCACTTTTGAAATACGACGCGGGACCGACCGCGGGGTGCGCGCTACTACTACTCGAACTGCCTCTCTCTTGTTGCGTTTTTAAATTCTTATGGAACTCTGGACTATACCCGATGCTTTTATCGCACAACTGACACACTCGGTTGACTGAATCGAAATCCTCGATGGACATCGCGGTAAACCTGACTAAACCAAAATCTTCAATAATCTCCATGATGCTGTTCGTTAACTTGTTGTACTCTTTAAACTTTGGATCGCTGTTTAAATACTCCGCTAAATAACTCAAATCCTGCACCTCGGTGTAAAATTCTAAATTAAACGCCAATTCGCCGTATTTGTCCATCAAATCCACTTTGGACAAAACGTTCACGTGCGGCGTTTCTAAATGTAACATGGTCGATAACGATAACATCAACGCGGCAACATATTTCCACGGATCCGCGCATAAATGCCCATCCACTAAATGCACCGTCACCACTCGATAGTGCCACTCGTTTTGCATGACGCCGATGATATTCTTCAGAGACTCGTGCAAGTTGAACAACTCCACCTGTCCCGGTAAATCGAATATTAAAAAACACTCCTTCTCGAACGGTTCTAATTTCTCCTTCAACCAATCCAAATTAGCTTCTAAATACTCCAAACAGTACATCATCGCTCCATTTGGCCCTAGATTCAACTCTTCTTGCACGTTTTCCAAGCACACTAAATCGCTAATATCCACCGCGCATTCGTAATTTTCGTTGTCGTGAATGTCGTTCCCTGGGTCGAGATTTATTATTTTATGCGGTCTTCCCAATAAGGTAAAGTATTGCGACATTCCTGCGCAGTAGGTGGTTTTACCACACCCAGGAGGGCCGATGACAATCTGACCAAACATTATTATTATTATTAGTGGTGGTGGTGGTAGTAGTAGTAGTAGTATTCGTTAATATTAAATGTTCTTATTTTATTGTGATGTGAAGTGTGAGGAAATGAAGATTTTTGCATCATTTTTGCTCTTCGACGAATGATGATGGTTTTATTCTAACGACTTTTAAAGTTGTTGATGATATGGTTCTCGAACTCATCACTCGCTTGGAGATTGATCGAACATTGTCGGTCTCAGAAGAAAATAGCATTAAAGTAAACGTAAGAGAAGAGCGAGATTGCGATAACGTGCCTTTGCGAACAGGCTTGCGCGTCTGGTCGGCGAGTTTTATCTTTGGCGAGAACGTGTTGTTGGATGAAATCGAGAATAAAAAAGTCCTCGAGCTCGGCGCTGGGACGGGCGTGAATGGATTGATATGCGCGAAATTAAACGCGTCTTCGGTCGTGTGTTCTGATGTGGACATCAAATCGGTGAATTTGTGCGTAACGAACGCGATGTTGAACAAAGAATTTGATGTGGTCTCTCGAATCATAGATTGGGGCGATAGAAACACCTACTTCGAAAAAAGAAACGCGTTCCCTGTGATTGTCGCGGTGGACGTCGTCTATTTAGAAGAACAGCCAAAGCAGTTGGCAAATTGCGTCGAGTATCATTTATGTAAAGAGAATGGGACATTTTTGTGCGTTTGTGGCGTGAGGAAGCGAGAGTATTTCGAAACCTTTCTTCTCGAACTCGCCAAGCGCGGGATGGAGGTGTATTTTGACGAAGTAGGGTTGTTGCCAAAAAGTAATCGAGAACAGGTGGAGGAGATACGTTCGAATCACAAACACGACGAAGAGTTGTTGGAAGATGGTAAAGGGTACCGAATGATTCGCGCGAGATTCAAGAAAATAGGATCGAAAGGAGAAAGTAATGAAGAAGAAGTAGAAGAAGAAGAAGAAGAAGCGTTAGCCGGCTTCTTGGACGATTTGGACATCGACGATAACGTTGGAGGAATGAAAAAGCAGCGAGCGTACGATGTGCTAACGTCTTCTTCAGATGACGAAATGAGCGCCGACCGAAACGGAACGGAAGACGTGCCGTTTCTCTGCGCGACGGTTGAAAGCTCCTCAAAGTCGCTCCTTCGAAACGGATTCTGCGTTTTCCGAGACGAACATTTTACGCAAACACAAGCGGAAGTACTCGAGAAAGTTCATTCGCACTGCGAAAGCTATTTAAACGACTTGCTCGAAAGGTGTGAAAGTCATCACGGAATCAAATACGACACGGATATCTTTCGCTTCAAAGAAATATGTTCCCGGGCGATGAATGGGAAAAGATATGACTTCCAAGCGACAAAGATTTCGCCCGTCGACGATGAGGCAAAAAATTTGCCAGAAAGCGGGAAGGCGTTCGCCGAGTGCCTCCAAACGCTCGCGAACGTCATAGAACGGAAATGCGAGCGAATATTCGAAAAAGTCACAGGAGAAGAGAAGAGGAAAAAGATTACAATCGTGAACAGAGGATGCGTCACGTCGCTTCCGAAAGCGCCCGAGCAACACTTTCACGCTGACGGAAGAAAAGAGGGCATGTACAACTGTTTCGTGGCTTTGCGCGACGTGCCTAAAATCCAAGGGCCGACTGAGTTTATTTTCGGAAGCCACAAGTTTGATCACGACGCGCCGCACGAAACAACGAAAGCGAGGAAGAAGCGGGAAAAAGCAAAGCGCGCCGCCCCCGAACTCCGTAAAGGAGACATATTGTTGTACGATTACCGCACACTTCACCGAGGCGGTGAGAATAAACGGTGCCACGATCGGAGAGCTATTTCGTACTTCCTTTTCGATACGAACGGCGATATAGGAGACACGTGGAATTTCGAGGACGCTTCGGTATGGGACGATTGATGATAGATAGTTTTTATAGCAAATAGTCTATATGTAGTAGTAAAAGAAATAACAATACACGCTAATGAATATGTATATGTATATATATATTATTCAACCTCGCTCAAGTAGTCCGAAACCTCCGCCGTGGTCAAAATGCGAAACTTTCTATCCTCCCCGACGATGCCGATTTCAATATTGTTCGCCGCGATTTGACCATCGAAGCCTTCTTTTAACGTCAAGATCGCCGTATGAATGGCATCTTCCAGCTCCATATCCTCACTATACCGTTTTTCTAAGAATGTTTTCGCGTTAATCATGTTTTTCCCAATCGCCGACGCTTTCCATCCAAAATACGACCCGCTCGGATCCACTTGGTACAGTTGCGGCCCGTTCGCGTCGTACCCAGCCATCAACAATGACACACCAAACGGTCGAACCCCACCTTGTTGCGTGAACTCTTGCATGGTTGTTGCTGTTTCTCGAACTAATTGTGAACACGGGATGCTTTCTTGATACGTTCTATAATACACCTGCGTGTCTTTGCGCGCCATTCGCGTCAAGACTCTAAAATCTGGACCCATGCCAGAATACGTGATCCCAATCTCGTCCGTTAACAATTGAATCTTCGAGATGCTGGTTTCTTCCACTAAAGTCGAGGGCATTTTCTTCTCCGTGGCTAAAACCACTCCATTCGTGGCTTTAATCCCTAACGACGTCGCTCCAGCCGTAATTGCCGCTAAAGCGTGTTTGATTTGGACGAGTTCCCCAGATGGGGAAAACGTCGTCAACGAAAACGAGTATTTGCTTCCGCTCATTTATTTTTGTAGTATTGGTCTTTCTTTCTTCTCGAGTTCTCGTGCGAAAATATCAGTCGTATAAAAAGTCGTAGTATTAGTGATTACGAGTGCGTCGTCGCGAGAATGTTGTTTGATCTCCCTTCTTGGTTTTCACGCGCGAAAGTTGTTGTATTCTTTTGACGATCTCGATCTTTTTTTTGCGAGATGGAAAAATAAAAAAATTATCACAGAAGAGAGAAGCGGAAAACACACTACTCAAAGCACAAACAAACAAACGGTATTTCATCAAATAAACGTGAATGATATGTGGTAGTACAGATGTGTATAGATAATAATAATGATACTATTGAGGAGTCTCTCTTTCTCTCTCTCTCCCCCTCGTCCTTCTTCTCACTTTGTCTCTTTATACGCACCAATGAGAGACTGTAACAAGCCGTGAGGATTGTCCACGTTCGGTAAGGACTTGAAATCGTTCTTCGCAAGAGCATCCGCAAAGATTTTACACGCGTTCTCAGCTCTCACGCACAAAGCTTCGGCGCCTTGAACGATTGCAGCCGCACCTTCGGCTTGCAACGCCAACGCTCGGTGCGTTTCCAAGCACGAGGAAGCTAAAGTACCTCTGTGTTGCGTCGTCTTCAACACCTCGTCGTGTCGCTTCAACTCTTGTTGCAACAACGCCTTCGCCTCTTCGTCTTGGGTCGATTTCGACGTCGATTCGATCATATCGTCCCACCTTTTCGATTCGTTGTATAATTCCTCTCTCAATTTCCTTAAACTATCTTTCTTCTGTTCTATTTTTTGTTTAATTTGATGCGGTCCTTCGTCAAAGAAGATTTTATCATCAACCAAAGCTTCCTCCACTTGGACGCAGAACTCCTTCATCACCGTCTCGATGATATCGCTCAGAAATACATGCTCCGCGCTGGAACCAAAATTCAGTCTCGCTTTGTTAATTTCAGCATCTGTAATTGCGGCGATGAGGTCGGACATGCGCTCATCTTCCGTGACGTCATTTCTGAGCGCCTCGTGGAAGCGTTCCGGGTTTCCGAGCTTTTGGTGAATGCCCCCCGCGTTACCGACAGGCTGCGCCAGTTGTTGTTGTTGATGGTGGCGATTGTTCATGACCATGCTATTGTTATTGATACCGTACTCCATACCACCCATATTATTATGTACGTTCCCGTACATGTACTGATGATCCATTCCTGGGTTTTCCACGAAACCACCCATACCGGTCGTTTGTCTCGTTTGACGTCGGTTGTTATTGTTGTTCATAGTATTCGTAAAGTTTTGCGTCTTCCTCTTCTTAAACGCAAACCCGCCGAAGGAGTTCTTCACGGCCGTCGACGGTTGCTTCTTCGTCGCCGTGTTCATATTCTTCACTAACATCGGCGTCGGTTCGTTCTGTTTGTATAATTGTGTGTGTGTGTGTAAATTTAAAACACAAATATGTTTCATATATCACCGCGGGTAGTCAGTCAGTCAGTTTTCAGTTTTTTGTGGAGAAAGAGAAGGGGACAGAACAAAAAAAAGGGGGAAATTTTGGTTCAAAATTCAAAAAGAAAAGAAAAATCACGCACCACGACGGAGTGCAAAGGCACTCGAGAACCATTCTTGTTAGCACCACCGGGCGTTTGGAACGCAATGGTTTGCGTGATATCTTCCCCTTCGATCGAAACGCCGTTGATATTTCTGTTGTTTTTCGTAATAATAATAATAATAATAATAATAATAATAGTTAGTTCTCTCGCATAATTCATTCATTCGCGTCGCGTCTCGTTCAATTGGAAAGAGTAGTGTGACATGAACGATTCAAAAAATTCGATGATTCGTTTTATTGAGAAAAGAAGACAAAGAAGAAGTAAAAGAAGAAAAACGTACTCTCGCGAGGACGGTGGTAAAGGCGTGGAATTCATCCTTTTGCGCGTTAATGTTGTTGTTGTTGTTGTTGTTTCCTCTTTTCTCTCTAAACTCTCTCTTGTTCGTGTTTTTTAGTAGTATGGAGAGAGTGTGAAAAGGAATGAGGAGCGATGCATGAGAGAAAACACAAAAATTTCGAAAAAACACAAAAGAAAGAAAATGACTCTCGTTTCGCGTCAAAACGAGAGAACCTTGAAGAGAGAGAGAAAGAAAGAAAGAAAGAAAAGGAAAGCGCGAACGCGACAACGCGAATAATACTACTATCGATCGCACGGTACCATAATCATCTTTTGTGTGCGAACGTGATTTTTCATTATTCGAATTAAAAGATGTCTGCTGCCGCATCATCATCATCATCATCATCACCGTCGTCGTCTTCAAAAGAAGTGACAAAAAGCGATGGAGAAGTTGAAACAACATCATCGAAAGCAGAAGAAGGCGAGAAAGAACAACAACAACAACAACAACAACAAAATGATGACGATGATAATGATGACAATCTTCGAATGCGACAAGCGTTGCTGGATTTCCGAAACAGATACGAACAGTTGAAACACAACCCGTGTTTCGTTTCCGAAATCGTCGTCCGAGGGAACAAAAGGACCAGAGAAAAGTTGATTAAAAACTGTTTCGAGAAACGCGTGGAGAAGTGCGGGAACTTGGAAGAGATTAAAGACGAACTATTGAAGGGTAGAGAAGAATTGGAGAAGTATAACATATTTAAAGGAATAAACGTGACGTTAGACGCGGGTAGCGAGGAGAATTACGTCCCGAATGGTGCGAAGATTATCGTAGACGTCGCGGAGAAGGACGCGTTGACGTTGAAAGCCGGGACATTTGTTTCGCAAAGTGGGGAGGGGACGGTAGAGATAACCGGTGGGTTGAAGAATGCGGTTGGATGCGCGGAAAGGATTGATTTTGAGCTCATCAGAGGACACGAAAAATCAGCGAGTTACGCTTTACACTGGGAACAACCGAGAGTGTTACGATCGGACATCGCGACAGCGTTGAGGATTTTCCAGCAACACAACTGTTCAGTGCGACACTCGTCGTTTCACGAAACCGGAAGAGGATTATCGTTTCATCTGAGCTCACCGGAACGACCGGCGACGTTAGAATATAATTTGGTGTGGAGAGAAATCACCGATCCGACGAGATTTGCCTCGAGAGCAGTGAGAAAAATGTGTGGACATTCGTTGAAATCGTCCATCGTGCACACGCTCGGCGGCGAATCAGAAGATGATGAAGAAGAAGAAGGTGTAAAAATAGGAAAGAATGGAAACTGGTGGTGGAACGTCCGAACTGAATTAGCAGGATTGAATCCAATTTTTGATTCGACGACGGAAGCGTTTGTGAAATCAGAGTGTCACGCGAAATACACGAGAGCGTTTCCGGAACGTGTGAATGATTTCTTGCCAGAAAAAATGAAGCACTCTTTGAGTTGGCAGATTGGCGCGCGCGCGGGTGTTATGCTACCTTTACGAAAAGAATTCTACACGTCGACGCCGACATCTAGTTCCTCTGTTGTTCGCGGATCAAACATTGCCGATCGATTCTTCATGGGTGGCGTCGGCTCTTTGCGCATGTTTGAACCGCACGGCGCCGGACCTTGCGACGCGCGCCGCGAGAAAGATTCGACGTTCTCCTCGCCAAGCCGCACTCCCTCGTCGCCGGGAGTGTCCGTTTCCGGTAATTTGACGCCACCACGTTCGGTACAGTCGAGTTCACCGTATGATTCCTTAGGGGGGGACGTCATCGTCAGCGGAACAGCGTCGGTGAAGATGGACATCCCAGTTGAAAAGTTACGCAACATCGGCGTTCATGGACACGTTTTCGTAAACGCTGGATGCCTCATTCCACACGAACAGAAAGTCAAACACACGTTTAAAGCATCCAACTTTAGAGATTCTTTGAGGGCGAGTTGTGGCGCTGGTATCGTGTGGCCATTGCCCGTAGGGAACATTGAGCTAAATTTTGGTCGCGTGCTTTTGGCAAACTCGACAGATAGAGTTGTGGGAAGCAAATTCCAAGCCGGCTTAGCGGCCTCTTTGAGCGCGTAGGGAAGATGATCTCACTAGATATGTGTGTATTAGTAGCAATATAGAAGTAATCGTCGTAACATTCACAGGGGGTATTGTAGAACACTTTTCTCTCTCTTATAAAACAAAACGTGAGACGCGCCCGGGGGGTCTCGTATCAAAAAAACGATGAAAAATTACTTCTTTTCAAGCGGCTTAAGCGTTGGCGAATTCAACGCCTTTGTCAATGCTCGATTTCAACTCCGCGACGGCGTTTGACACTTGAACTTTCTCGTACGAGTCCATCTCGCCGCATCCTAAAACTTTCTCAACTCCGTTTTCGCCCAACTCGCACTTGGAGGCGAAAAACGCCAACTCTGGAATAACTTCCGATGCGACGTACGCGCACTCGACGATACCTTTCTCGCCGCTCATCGCTCTCAAACAAGATGTTGCCATATTTTCTGCGGCTAACGCCATACTCAACGTCGCAGAACCCGCGCCTGCTTTTGCATCGACAACTTCCGTCCCAGCGTTTTGAATTCTCGTCACCAAAGCCGTCAACTCCTCTCCTTCGAAAGGTTTTGAAAGTTTCGGCGTGACTTGGGACAACAAAGGAATGATAGTCGTACCGGCGTGTCCACCGACAACGGGCACATCGCACATGGTCACGTCCTTAATATCTTCTGGTCGTAACGCAGCGACAAAAGTTTTCGCTCGCATGACGTCTAACGTCGTCACACCCAAAATTTTCTTCGGATCGTAACAGTCGTTCTTCTTCATCACCTCGGCGGCGATTGGGACGGTGGAGTTCACCGGGTTGGAAATGATGTTCAAAATCGCATTCGGGCAATATTTAGCAACGCTCTGGACTAAATCTCTCACAATCCCGGCGTTGATTTTAAACAAATCGTCTCTGGTCATCCCCGGTTTCCTCGGGATCCCGGCTGGAATGATCACCAAGTCGCATCCAGTCAGCGCCTCTTCGATTTGGTCGTTCCCACAGAAACCTTTCACTTCCGAGATGGTGGAGATGTGCGAGAGGTCCACGCCGACACCGGTAACCATCGGGGAAATATCGTCTGTTTTTTTTATCATTATTATTTAATAAAGACATATAAGTCGTCGTCAGATGACGCATTCATAACAGAGGAAGAAGAAGAGAAAGAGAAAGACGACAACAAAAACAGTTACGGTGAAAATTGGATCATCATCGAGTGGAATCTTTTGATGCGTTGGAAAGGACAACACCATCAACAAAATAAATATCTGCGATACTCTACTAAACGCACACAAACGTAAGCTCTTGATAAACTTGCTCTGTTTCATTAAAAGGGATAAAGTTTGTCCAATCCCTCCGGCTGCGCCTAACACGGCCACGTTGTATTGCGCCTTGTGCGACTCACTGGACGGACCGACCCCCATTAGAATTGAATTGAATTGAATTGAATTGTTGTTGTTGTTGTTGTTGTTGTGACTCGACAGTCAAAAAAAGTCGTTTTTCGTTGTGTGGAGATTTGGGTGTCATGAAAACGCAAAAAATCCCTCTCACAAAATCTCTCTCTCAAAACAAAAGGAATAAAAAAGTAAGCAACACACAGACCTAATTAAAATCTTCATAATATCTTTTCCGCACTTTTAGTATTCTTCCGACGACTGCGAGAAGATGACGATAAAACTATAGAAAGGAAAAAGATGAAGACGACGACGACGACGACGACAAAATCCTATTTTTTCCTTCTCGTCGTCGTTCTCTTTTGTTCCTTTCCTTTTCCCTCCCTGGGAAGGAAGTTGTTGTTAAAATCATCATCAGAAGACGACGAAGGAGTTGGAGGTTTCGTTTTTGAGAGTTTCAACAACGGGTGGAGGCGTGCACTGCTCGATACCGATGATGTTGGTGATGCTACCACTACTACTACCACTTTTTCTTCTTCGAGCAACAGCGAAGCACTCGAACCAAAGTATTCTGCCACAAACCCGATGGATTTGTTCGGAGCGGGCGCGACGTTTCCAGCGGTGGCGTATAAATCGTGCGCCCGAGCGTACTCGTTGATAAAACCGTCCGTGAGAGTGAAGTACCTTGACGTCGGATCGGGGAAAGGGATTTGTAGAATCCTGAACGCAACCACAGAGTGTGTAGATACTGAAGAACCGTTAGAGGTGGACTTTGCGTGCTCGGATTCTTTAATCAGTGCGAGTCAATACAGTGAGTTTCCGGACGTGCAGATGTATCCCGTCGTGGCGGGCGCGGTGACGCCGGTGTATAATTTACCCATGATCGATAGCGTGATGGGTAAAAGTTCTTTAGTATTAACGAAAGAAACTTTGAGCTTAATTTACGCCGGGGTGATAACGAAGTGGAACGACGAAAGAATCAAGAGCGCGAATCAACTCAGCATTCAGAGTCTCCTTCCGGATGAGAATATATTAGTGTCGGTGAGGAAAGATTCGTCAGGGACGACGGAAGCGTGGACGAAAGCTTTAAGTCAATTTTCCAATACGTTTAAAGATAACATAGGCGCGTCAAAGTTACCTTCATGGGGAGCGCAGATAGAGAGTAGCGTTTTAAACGAGCTAGATACTGGATATGGTCTGGCGAGTTTTGTAAAAGGGAAAGAGTATTCTATCGGGTACGTGGTGTTGTCTGATGCGATAAATTTACAGTTGAGTACGATTGGACTTTTGGAAAGTACCGCGAGCATAAACAATCCGGTACGCCCGGATTCCAATTCAATCACGTTAGCTATTTTGCAAAGAGGGTTACAGTTTGGGAATAACGAGGACGAATCGACGAGACTCACCGCGGATTTGATGGGCGCGGACGACCCAGGAGCGTGGCCGATTGCGACGTATTCGTATCTGATTCTCAGAAAAGGGGTGAATTCGACCGCAAATATGGCTTTAGATCGTCTCAGAGTTGGTGCAACGTGTGATAACATGAGAGAAACATTGGATTTTTGGTCGTGGTTTTTAACTTCGCCGTTGGCGAAAACTGTCATGGAGACCAATTCTTTAGTCCAAGTTCCCGCGGTGGTGAGAAACTTTGTCTTGGCTCGAATGCAAGGAGATTTATTTTGCGAAGGAGATAGATTAGTGAGTATATATGGTAACGAGACCAATTCGTTAGATAACGTAACGATTGCCAAAGTCTACGGACCTCAGGAGGTCGCAACGGTGTTGGATTCGTTGGCGATTTTACTCTCGGCGAGTAACTCGAGCATGGGTTTAGAAATTGAGTCACTCGGCGCTCAAAACGCCATGTTTGCCGCGCTTGATGATAGCCATGCATCCGTGTTAGCTTTGAATTATGTCGAAGGCGACGTGATCTCGATAACTGAGCCTGCTGCTGCAGTTAATTCAAATATATTTAGCAACGCGGAAGCGCCGATATACCCCTCGCCGTTGCCTTCTGATTTCCCGGAGTACATTTCGTTTCCGTTCGTGAAAATATTACCAGAAATGACCGTGCACCCGAGCGTTCTAACTTTAGGCGAAACGAGTACGTCGATATCGTTTGATGTCTATTCTACCGCGGCTATATTATCCGGTCGTGCGACTACTTGGGGCGACGAAAGTATCGTAAGAATAAACTCATGGTTGAGCGGCGTCACAGAACCGATTATTTTAGTTGGATTAGACGATTGGACGGCGTTTGAAACATTTGAAAGTATTAAGAAGACGATTGCCTCTTCCGTTCCTGGCTTTGCATTTTCGAGTAATCCGACAAAAAATGCGGCGACGTTGAATGAAGTTGGCGCTCTCGTTGTTGCGAACGAGTACGCGGCTTCGCTTTTGCTAAAGACGGCGTACGTGACAAGAAACCAAAACTTAATTTTGCAGTATAACATTGACGAAGTTGGATCCGTACCCGTTTCAGTCACTTTAAGGAGAAGTTACGATGGTGCGCAGTGCTTACGAAGCTCTGGCGCGTACGATAAAGTATACGCACAGCTGCGCTTCTGGGAATGGGTGTATACTGAAGATAACGTCCCTGGTATGATTTCGAGCGTCACGGCTGAACCGAATTTCGATGCTACGAGTTCTTTGGAAATTTTGACTGCCTTGAGATCCATCACGTGCAATGGTAGCCCTATTTTAGTCTCAACGATACCGGTAAATCGGTCGGATCAGAACATTTTGATTGTCGTCGTGACGACGTCGCTCTTTGTCATTCTCCTCATCTTTCTCTGGTTGTTTCGATTTCGAGAGGATGCGATCTTCGCCAAAGGTTTCTTTGAACGATACAAAAAACGAAACGCACCACCGTCTGAAGCGTGCACAATAGTCGTCACAGATATACAGTCATCTACGAAACTGTGGGAAATCGCTCCAGTGACAATGAACAAAGCGCTCGCGGCGCATGATTTGCTTGTCAGACAAGAGATGCAAAAGTTTTACGGATACGAGGTTTTTTCCGAAGGTGATTCGTTCACGATGGCGTTTCATACACCCGGCGATGCCTTAAAAGCATGTGCAAATATTCAGAGTCGATTACAGGCGAGTGTTTGGGACCGATCGTTATTCCTTGCGTGTAGACACATCTATCGAGCAGACGACGCCGAATCGCAGACTACCATTCCGAGACCAAGAAGAGTTCCCGCATTTCTCCGAGCGCTTCTCGAAGCACGCGGGGTTTCGATGAAAAGTGGCAGTGATAAAGAGGGTATAATCAAAAGTAAAAGCGATGAAGAATTGACGAACGGCGATAGAGCCAATAGCAACGAGAGTAGCAAAGCCGGAGGAACAGAACATCACTCCGGGCGCACGGAAGAGGAGGAAGAAATTATCAACGGTTTACGCGTTCGAATGGGTATCCATACCGGAGCCACGAATAGATACGTTCATCCAACGACTAGAAGGCAAGTCTATGAAGGGAAAGCGGTTGAATTAGCGCGGTTGATGTGTCGCGCGGCAAATGGAGGTCAGATTTTAATGTCCGGCGACGTTTTAGCTTCGCTTGGTCCCGACAGTTTGCAAATTTCCCAAATGCTCCAACTCATGCACATGGGAAAACATCAATTAGATATGGGGTATTGGAACAGACACGGAAGCTTAACCGATACTCGCTTGTCAGGAGGAGGAGGAGGAGCGGCTAGTGGGATGGATGGCGGCGATGACATTCAGAACTTGAGAGAGAGTTTATTCCCAAACGTCGACAATCTCAAGAACCCAATTTTCTTGGATTCAGAATCCGACACCACCGATGGTTCGAGCGAATACGAACAGTACAAAGCAGCCACGAGTGCAAAATTACAAGCGCTTCGACGAATGATCACATCTTATGACCACAAGATCATCTCTCAAGAAATTATTCAAGCCATCCCGAAGAAACTCGTGGAACGGATCACGTTGTTCGCGCCGATCAAGACCGTACGCCAGCTCGAACCTTCCATTTTTGAAGCTCCCGTTTTTGAATCGGAAAACCTAACCATCGTATTCACGAGAATCGACGGATGGGAAGAGCTTGGAAGAGAAGACGTGAAAATGCGAGATAAGGCGACGGCGCAGCACGATGCTGTGATACGGTCTACGCTTCTCTCCTTTCGTGGGTACGAGTGCCGAGGCGAAAACGGCAAATTTTTCATCGCGTTTCATCATCCTTTCGACGCTTTTCGATGGTGTTTGGTTGTTCAAACGATTTTACTTCGCGTGCCCTGGGAAGACAAGTTGCTTCAACAGCCGCAAGCGTGTAACATGACCGCCGGTCACAGAGTGACATTCAAAGGTTTACGCGTTACTATGGGCATCGTTTCTGGCGAGGCGACGTTTATGAAACCGTGTCAACGAACCGGACGAGCGGAATATTTTGGACAAGTTTTAAATTTGAGCGCTCGAGTCGCGGGTCTCGCACACGGTGGTCAAACCTTGTGCGATAAGAACACGTGGAAAAAAGCAGCCGAAGTGGGCTTCCCGCACGAGCATTCCAGATACATTGGTCTTTACAGTTTGCGAGGCGTCATGGATCCAGTTGGTTTGGTACAGGTCTCCGACGCTAGTTTGAACATGCGTTCGTTTGCATCAGTTAAAGGTGCTCAAAAAGTAATCGACCCGACAGATAAGTTCAGACTGAGCATTAAGGATTTAGAAACAGAACGCATAGATCGTCCTTTGAGTTATATAGGCGACTTGGATCAAACATTGTCGCACAGGCGCTCGTCAGCTCCTACGCCGCCACCACCGCTGAATTATTCTCTGGATGGATTTGCTGGAAAGTCGCGAAATAGTACAAATCCTTCGCCGAAAATCTCAAGCAATAGTGGCACTAACGTAAGGAACTCACGCGTCAGCGACACATCATCTACGGGCGGCGGAGAATCTACCGCTGGGAGCTCCGATGTAGTTGTACCCAAGAAGAACATTTTACTCGTTTCTTCGAGTGATGTTGCCCTCTTTCGAATGGCTGCGCTAGTAGAAACCGTCGTCGCCGGCGACGAACACTTCTTTATCTCGCGCTCGAAGAATTCGACGGAAGTTTTGAAAAAGTTCTCATTAAATATGGACAGTAGTGGCGACACGTTAGGAACGAATGTAATTGACTCTGACGATAGTCACTTGAGAGATACAATTCCTATCATAGTCATCATTGTTGGAACGATTGAATCAGGAACGTCCTTGCGCGACTTGGTACAAAAGATTCGAAGACTTGTACCGTTTACGTTACAACCTAAAATTGCGGTGTTGCTGACGGATGAATCAAGTATCATCGACGGTGTTGCAAGTTCTCCGGTTGAATACGGTGCCGATATAGAGCTCCCACCTTTGTTATTCGTCGACGAAGACGAAGAAATGACACCACTGGTTGACGAGTTAAAATTGATATTCACCGAAGCCATGGTTGAAGTGCACGGATCATTACGAAGCTCGTCGCGAAATTCGCTTTTACGTCATCATCAACAGCATCATCAACAGCAACAACAGAAGATATCCGACGCGTCGAACGTTGACGAAAGAATGTCGTCTATGAGGTACTCTGGTGGAAGCGGCGTCGCTCCTCTGACACAAGTTGCGACGAAAACGAAAAAAATCTCGAAAAACAACACCAACACGAACAATAGTAACGTTATACCATCAGCCTCTGCGAGTACTCCTGCTATCATCAACCCGCTATCGAACCTTTTACGAGAGGCTGAGAACAGATCGAAAAATTTATCGAATTTTGCCTCGGCAAATTTAATGGTGGCTGGTTTAGAAGCTACTGGATTACCGATATTCGCGGTCGATACCGATGCGAGAATCATTCTGTGCACGAAAAAAGGCTTCGCGAGAGGCATCGTTGGGACGATGGTCTTCCCTCTCAGCTCGTTTGCTAAGCGCCTTAGAGATTCGGCGCGCATTGCTGAGAGAACCAATCCACCGCTGCCGTGGACAGAAAAGTTGACAAAGAATTGGATACCGTTGGACGAAGACGACAGCTATGACAAAACCGCTTCGATGCCACAACCAACCAGTCCAGAAAAGAAGTCGGTATTGAAAAGACTCGCATCTTCTTCTTCTTCTGCGGTTGAACAGCAACGACGACAACAACAACAAGATATAATCACCGTGCGCTGTACTCCAATACGTTTATCGGATGACTTCGGTGCCGTCATCGTCCTCATCAAAGACTAGACTTGCATTTCCAACACCGGAAACAAGAAACCTATGAACAGAAATATATAGTATTTTTTATGTTTGTTGTATTACTAGCGAATAAATAGCTCTTCTTATTATGTTAACACTACATCGCGTCGTCGCGCTTTTCTTTTTCTGTTGTATCCTCGTCTCGCGTCTCCTCGCGTCTCCTCGCGTCTCTCGCGTCTCTTTCTCTCTCTAAATTTATGCAAAAATAATCTTGCTCAAGAACCACATCCCGATGAAGAACCCGAACAAGTAGCAAAAGTACCTCCCATTCTTCGTCTCTAAAACCTTTGAAAAATGCTGGACCGTTTGCGTCAGCACCCCTTGGAAACCGCTCATGTCGTCTCTCATGCCGTCTAAAATCCGGTGGTGCGAATCCGCTTCTTTGTGAATGTCCATGGTGATGTTTTTCAACATCGACACTCGGTCTCCCATCGTCTCTAAGCTTCTATCGTTTTCTCTCTCTAAAGATTCCGGGTCTCTTCCCCGAGAGACGCTCATTATTGCTCTTCCTCGCGAGTGGCTTTTTGGAGACGGAATCTTTCTTGCTTGCTTGCTTGCTTGATGTGTGTGTGTGTGTGTGTAATGTATTTGTATCTGCGCTCAATTAGGGGTGGTGTTTTATGTTTTGCTTTTTTCGTCGTTTTTTTTTTTTTTTTCAAATCGATCATTGCAAAAAGGCCAAAATCATCCAAAAAAAAAAAAAAAATAGACAACAAGCAAATGCCATCTCAAGCCGCCAACTTCACAACAACACAACAACGAGAACATAATAATAATAATACTAATAACAATTAATACTAATACTAATACTAATAAAGATGTTTCAAATAGCGCGATTGAAAGACTCCGCGGTGACGATTAAACCGCAACACTTGGACAAAGAACCGCTCACGGCCATCGTCGCGGAGTTGGAAGAGTTGTACGTGGACAAAGTCATCACGGATTTAGGCCTCGTCGTGACTTTATACGAAGTGAATTCTATTAAAGGAGGGATAATATACGCCGGCGATGGGGCGGCGCATTACGAGGTGGAGTTTCGGATGGTGGTGTTTAGCCCGTTCGTGAATGAGATTTTAGTCGGAAAAGTGTATTCGTTGACGGATGAGAACGGTATTCGCGTGTCGTTGGGATTTTTCGACGATTTGATAGTTTTACCGAACAAGAGTGGGATGGATTTAGAGAAAACAAAGTGGGACGATAAAGAGAAGATTTGGTACATCGAAGAAGAGAGTGTAGAGTTTCTCGCAGAGTCAAATAACGAGGGAAATAGAGAAGAAATAGGGTTGATGGTGAAGAAATTTATAGAACCCGGGCAACAGATTCGAGTGCGCGTGACGCAAGTGACGTATCCGGAAGAACCAAAGACGAAGCAAGAACTACAGAAGAGAAAGTTAGAGGATGGAGGGCAAAGGGAAGGGAAGTTCGCGCCGATGATCGTTAGGTGTTCGATTGGAGAGTTAGATGCGCTCGGACCGGTGGATGAGAACGAGGGCGAGGACGACGAGGATGAATTAGAGGAAGACGATGATGAGTAGAGAGCGAGAATAGTAAAATACCCGTAGCGCGCATTGTTTAATATTAGACAAATTGATTCTAACGACCGGAAAACTCGACGAGCGATTGGTAGGAGGAGTTTTCGTCCGCGGTATCGCCAATTTTCTTCGCGTGAGTCGTTGGCACTTTCGATGATGCCAACACGCCAGGAACGATATTTTCTTCAGTTATCGTTTTTAAAGCGTCTTTCTTCCCCGCCGTTGTTTGCTTGGGAATCTCCAAACCAAGTTTCGCATAAATCACGTGAATGGCCTCTTTCATCTCCGCGTTCATCGTCGCTTCCCAGAATCTCGCCGTTAACATTCCCATGACTTCTTCCGTGTTTGCATCCACGTCATCTTCCGAGCTAAGCGCCATGTGCAAAACCTCCGACGCAATCTGACGAACGCGCGGGAACTTGTTACGCATCATCGCGAGTAAACCCAGGCGCGCGCTCTCTTTCGCCTCAACGCTATCCGTACAAGAGGCCACGTGCGAAAGAGCGTTGGCGGCCAATATATACTTGGACACGTCTCGCGTTCCAGCGCACTCGAAGCGTATTCTGTCCGACAATGCAGTCTTGTAGTCTTTTGATGCTCCATCCGGAGTCTTTATGGTCAAACTGAAGGAATCAAAAGCACCGCCGGTAAAGAGCACGTCGACGCATCGAATCGCCGGGACAGTCACTCGATCGATTTTTGAATACGCGTCAAAGGTCTCGATCAAGTGTGTGGCAACTTTCTCTTTCAAATCAACTCTTTCATCTTCCTTCGAGAGCACCGAAAGTAAAGCAGTGCTAGCAGCTTTAGCTAAACTCTCCGTCACCGCTCCTGTAGACGCGACCCAACCACTCAACGCGTAATCGGCGTATGGCGCTACTAGAACCGCCTTCGTGAGACAATGCGAAAAGACGCGCTGTAATCCAGCTTCGGATGAAACATCCTTCGCGTCTACCGGAACACACGCTTGAATTAGTTCGAAATCTTTTGCGTTTGAAACGAACACGTGACTATCGTCATCATCATCACCACCACCACCACCACCACCACCAGTACCTCGTAATAGCGCGAACAAGCTCTCAAACGCAACGGTTCGAGTTCTGTCAATTTTCTCCCCGCACTGCTTCAACAAGACGCCTAAGATAGTCGTGCACTTTGTCTCGTACTCATCCACGACAACGCCATCGCTATCATCAGAACATTTGGATATTGTTTGAAAACATCTCAGAACTTCAGAAAATGCACGCATAGACGCTTCGCGAACCCAACTTCCAACATCGCCTCGCTTATCGACGGAATAATCTTCCACGCCTTTCAAAAACGCCTCTAAACACATATCCGCCGCATCTTTCAAATCTGAAATACTTATAACATCATCCTTTTCTCCACAAGCTGAAGAAGCAGAATATTTCGCGTTGATCTTGCACAAAATATTCTGCGAAGCAATCACGGCGTCGACTCGAGTTTCAGCATCCCTCATTTCCGGGTTATCTTCCGGAACCGTCGCCTCGAGTAAGCTGGTAAGAATAGCTCTCCAATTGGAGGAGTTGATGAACACGTCCGGAACGATACCCAAAGCATACGCACTCCCACGTCTAGAAAAGGAGCTCGATTCGTCCATAGTTTGTTGCACGATACGTAATCGGTCGGTAACTAAGTATTGTTCAGCCAATGTAGCTTCAACGATGCTTTCGTTTCCGTCGACGCGAAGCGCGCTCGAGGAGGCGATGGAGACCAAAGCTTTTGCCGCCGCCTCGCGAATCTCCTTCTTCGGATGGCGCAACGATTCTGACGTTGCGCTCTCGCAAAGTTGCACGATGAGCTGTTTACCTGGCTTGAAAAATTCCGATGGCGAAGTTGATGAAGATGGTAAAGTTGCCACGCGACCTAAACTTTCGATAACGTTGCACACTGCTCCACGCATAATCTCACCGCCTTTGCCTCGATACAAACGTTTCGCCTCTATTTCAGATACGAGATTCCACGCATTTCTCAGTGTATCAATGTTATTCGCATTTTCGTTTCGCAAATACTCGATGACACTTTTCGAAAGTAAAAGCTGCGCAACCCCTAGCGTCGCTCCGTGTCGCTTCGGTAAATCCATGTCGACGCTCATCCTCAAAAGTTTCGGAAGCGCGACCGTACTCGTCCACTCCACGTCCGTTTCACCCAACGCACCGAGCGTTTCGACAGCTAAGCATCTCGTGGACTCCTCCCAGTGCTCAATTTTCACATCCAATATGTGTGCCAGCATGGCTGGACGAAAAGCCGGAAACGATTGAGAGATGAAGAAACCAACGTCCAAATATGCGCGTCTCGCGGACCCAATCGTGAAGTAATCACACTTTTGCACGATATCAATGCCTGTCACGTCCTCTTCTCCTTGTTTTGCCACAATGCCACCACCACCACCAAGACGACCAACGCACTCTTGGAACGCCGCAGAAGCCGCGCGACGCACGTTGACTTCGCGGTCAAAACACGACGTAACAAGTAACGGCGTCGCTAGAGATCCTAGGAATACTTCTTGAAAGTCTGACTTTGAGTACGCGCGCGCAAACGACCAGCACACGTACGCTGCCGCATCCCTCACGTGCGCACCGACGCTGTGTGAACCTCTTCGAACGTCGTACAACAACGCCGCCGCAGTTTTCTCAGCGGCAAACGGTAATCTTGTCACTAACAAGACGCCTCTTCGGGATAGCTCTGCTAAAGCCAAGCACGCACCGTGCCAAGTGGATTCAGACTCGGTCGCTTTGAAGCACGAGGATAATAAATTTTCAACGACATCATCCGCAAATTGCTTCGGGAGACGTTGGCAAATGCGCCCGATACCTTTTGCCGCCGACCAGCGAACGATAGTGTCCGTGTCTTTAAGCGCCTCGAGAAGAAGGTCGATAGCTTTTTCCAACTGGTCGAGACTCGCTTCGTCGGTTTCATCGTCTGCTGCGAACCCATTGTCATCGGTGTTATCGTCGACAATGTCGACGCTCTCTTCTTCTTTCGTGTTCGCGTTTTCGTTGTTGAGAAGGTTCTCAGCTAAATTTCTACTTCCTCGCGCATACCTCCAAGAGACAACTTTCGGCGCTAAAAGAGTCAGCGCCACGCGCGCGCTCAGTTTGCACGCCAATTGTCGAGTCAATGCGTTCGAGGTTGTCGTGCACGAACCAAAAGAAGAAGAAGCTAACGGCGTTTTGGCATCGAACACAGCCTGGGAGGCTTTCAACGCGCTCTCGCGGAACGGTTTCAAAACGTCTCGACGACCAATCTTAAATATCGCCGCCATCGAGCGCGTCGCTCCGACCGCGACGAAAGAGTCCTCCGATGCGGCAACTGCCTCGGCTATTTTATCTTTTGTCGATTCTTCCTCTCCCGCTTTCTTTCTACCAAAAACTCTCATAAGTTCGCTCGACGACCAATCGAGGTATTCGCCTAGATTCAATTCCGCATCCGGCCGGGTCAATAATCGCGCCACGCAAATCGCCGCGCGGTCTCTGGCCACCTCGGCAAACGACACGCACTGTCTGCACATTCCTAACAAATCTTCTATCAACCCTGCTTTATTCTCATCACCACTACTACTATTACTACTACTACCACCACCAACACCACCTTCGGCACTGTTGTCAAAAGTCGTCGTCGTCGTTTTCACAAATGTCTTCATATCAAACGGCATCAAAACCAAAACCGAAATCCACGATAACAACGTCGCTCTCGTTTCCCAACTCGTCTCAAACAGACTCTCGCTCGCGACTTCTTCCGTCAACGTTTCTCTCGTCCCTGGTTGGTATCTATCCCAAAATCCCGCGACTTCGTATTTCGCCGCGCTCCCGTCCCGCTTCGGCATGAACCTTCGCAGCGTCTTGATAGCCGGTTCCAAATCTCTCGCGCTATGTGGGAAAAATCGAGCGATTGTTTTCGCACCGCGCACCGTAGCAAACGCGTGTAAAACTTTTGACGTTTGGTGCATGGCTAACGCAGAGATGGCTTTCGATGATGTGTTTTTTGTTTCATCATCATCAAAAACATGATTACTCAATTTCACCGCGTGAAACCTTAAAACTTCCTCCGTCAAAGGTACGATCCACTTCTCCAAGTGCCTGTCCAACATCTCGCACTTCTCCTGGTACTTGTTCACTCTCTTAATGATCGCTTGGAAGGCGTCTTCTTCTTCTTCTTCTTCTTCTTCTTCTTCTAAATCTTCTTCTTTGGATGATGATGATTTTTGAATTTCTCTCAAAAACACTCCGTTGACTTTTACAATCTTCTCCACGAAAACATCGATCTCTTTTGCCTCTCTCGAGAGCATCGTCGTCTCCGTCTCCTCTTTCTCGTCTTTCTGATCCTCCTTTTCCTCCTCCTCCACTTCTCTCGTCGTCGTCATCTTTTCCTCCGCACCACCACCATCATCGGTATTCGATTTCATCATCTCGTTTTCTTCGTTAAAAAAGTGTGTTGTTGTGCGTGTTTTTGTTTGGAAGAAAGTCAACAACCAAAAAAAGTGAGAAAAAGTGAGAAAAAGTGCAAGTCGTGAGAAAAAATCTTCAACAAAAATCAAACAACACGAAAACAACAACTCTCTCTCTCTCTCTCTCTCTGAACTCTTTTTTTATTACCCGCAAACAAAGCAGCAGCAGAAAAAAGCAGCAGCCTTACTACCACCAAAACCACTGCTTTGTTGAGAGATGACTCCCCAAAACTCGACTTTGACGATGGTTTCCATGCGAGAAGCGATCGAGAGAGTGGTGAGAACGAGCGAAGAGATTTTTTCTGATATCAGGAGATTGGAATTGGATGATGATGATGAAAATGATGATGATGATGATGATGAGAATGATGATGATGCTTTAACAACGACGACGACCAAACGAAAACGACGAACGCATTTTAAAGTGCCGATTGAGAAAAGCGTCGGAAGAGTGAGCGAGAGAGACGTTCGCGCGAAGAGAGCGCACCCGGTGAAAGACGTGTCCATAATGGATGGATTTTGTTTCAACATTACGAACGAGAACAACAACACAGAAAAGAAGTTCCGGGTGAATAAAATGTTAACGAATCGAGCGCAATATGCAGAGAACGCATACAATGAAGACGCGGTGTTATTGCACGAGGAGTGCGCGTACGTCACCACGGGCGCGGTGTTGCCAAAAGGGGCGAACTGTGTCGTTCCGGAGGAAAATGTAACGAAAGTGACGATGAACGACGACGATTCGTTCGTCACGAACGTGCAAGAGAAAGATTATAAAGTACACAAATGGATACGAAAAGCGCAATCAGACGTAGGAATAGGAGATCTTTTACTAAAAAAAGGTGAAAGAATAGAATGGTACGACGTGGGTATCTTAGCCGCGGGTGGTATACGCGAGATTGAGGTTTCGAGGATGCCGAGCGTAGCGTTGGCGTGTACCGGAGACGAAATTGTTGAAGTTTCGAAAGACACTATTCCAGATTCGAACGCTTCCGCATCGTACGACGTGAATGGACCCGCGCTGAGGAGTGCGTTGCGATCGAGTGGGGCGGAAATTGTGAACATATTCGACGACGACGATGGTGGTAGTGGCGGTGGTGATGATGATGATGTAAAGACTAGGATAATACGAGACGAGGAAGGTGCGGTCGTGGATACGATTCGCCGCGCGTTGGCGTCAGATTGCGACGTTTTAATTACTACCGGTGGCGCGTCTAAAGGTGATCGAGACTATATTTACGACGCAATGATGCGTAAGATGTGCGAAGGCGATGCAAGCGCAGTCGCGTGCCATTTTCAAAGCTTATCCATGAAACCTGGGAAGCCTACGAAATTTTTTACACTTTCGAGACGAAAGATATTAGGAGTAAACAAACCTGATTTATTGTGCTTGTCGTTGCCGGGAAATCCAGTTTCGTGTTGCGTGACGTTTGAGCTATTAGTGAAACCTATGTTGCGCGTGCTTCAAGGACAAAACGTCGTTTATCCGCCAAGAAGTGTTGCAATATTAGGGGATGATATTCAACTCGATGACGAGCGAGAAGAATTCCATCGCGTTTCTTTGGGTTGGAAAGCGAAGAAGAGTTCTGATGGCGAACACCCTTTGCTCCCAATAGCTTACTCTACTGGTAAACAAATAAGCTCGAGGATTTTGAGCATGCGGGAAGCGGATGCGTTGATTGAGCTTCCAGTGGGAAATGCAACGCATACGAAATTGCCGAAAGGAACGATCGTTTCAATCGTACCTATCGCAGATTTGAGACAACGAGGAGCCGCATCTGTTCGAAGTAGTATTCTGCATTTACAGAACGATGCAAAAATCAAAGCGGAAAGGACGACGCAATCCTTCTCGAAGATGGCGGTTCGACGACCAATCGAAGTTATAAACGACGAGACAACTGGACTTGACGACTTGTCTTTTTGGAGAAAAGTTGTCGCGAGAAACGCTTCTGGAGTGGTCGCAGTTGTGGGACCAAGAGCACGCGAAGCGATGCCAGATGAGTACAAGCAACTTCTTCTGCACGATGATGTCCCCGGCGTTGAAGAAATCGTTTTCGAATTGACGAACTTTACGGATGTTTCGGCGTTTCGCGTCTTTTCGGACGAGGGGCGTTTGACATTAGTCGTTGTTGTGGACGACGCAATCGAAGACAGTCTTAAAGATATCGAAATGATCAAATATGCTATAGCTGAATCCATCAGAGGTGACGAAACGTTCTCTTCGATGGGCGTTGCTAACGAGAATGTCAGCGAAACTCTCGTTCGGAGAACATACGCGAGAATAGGCCTCCTCGGGAACCCCTCGGATCAATATTTCGGTGAAGTTGTCGCGGTGTCGATTAAGAATTTCTATGCCGAAACTGTTTTGAAACCTTTACCAACATCTTCTGAAATCAAAATCGTTCCAGGTCCGTACGACGCGAACGATTTTGAATCGATATCGGCGTTAAAACAGTTCACCTCCGAGCACGGCTACGACGGAGGCGCGAAATTGATAAAAGCGTTGTTAGCAAACTTTGCTAAATTTTGCGAAGAGAAGCAAATTGCACTCAAAAACCCATCCGTTGGTTTCAGTTTATCGTATTCTTCGAATATTCCGAAACAGACCGGGATGAGTGGCTCGTCAGCAATCATCATCAGCTGCATGAACTGTTTATTAGACCGATACGACGTTCGTGACAAAATTTCCAAAGAAGAACGAGCGTTTCTAGCATTGCAAGTTGAAAATGACATTGGCATCGCGGCTGGATTGATGGACAGAGTCATCCAAGTGTACGGTGGGTGCGTGCACATGAACTTCCGAAACGCAGAAAAAGTGAAGGAAACGGGAATTGGCGAATACGAGTACGTCGACGCGGAGAAAATTCCGAAACTGTTTGTCGTTTGGAGTCAAAATCCATCCAATTCGGGAAAGATCCACCAACCGGTTCGCCAAAGATGGCTCAGTGGCGACGCTGAAATCATTCAAGGCATGCAAAATGCCGCCGATTGTGCTCGAGAAGGGTTACAGATTATTCAAATGAGCTCTGGGAAAGAGTCGTGCGCGATTCGTTTAGCACCCATACTTTCGGCCAATTTTGCTGCGAGACGAAAGATGTTTACCGACGCCGGTTTGGGAGACGAAAACATTCGAATGATTGAGCTGTGTCAAAGTGTCGGCGCGGGAGCAAAGTTCACGGGAAGTGGTGGGGCTGTTGTCGCGTGCTGTCCAGACGGCGCGGAACAAGAAGCGCGGTTGAAAGCGGTGGTAGCCGAGGCTGGATTCAGCGTCGCGGAAGTCGAATTCGCCCCGCGTGAGTTGTGATGAATAACTTTTGACATGCGTTTGTGTATTATAAGCTGTATCTAAACATTAGGTTATATCCTTTCTAACTACTAATAGTATTTCAAATCTTTGGGTATTTAAAGTCGTTATCGAATGGATTTGTCGGAGACCTTTGTAACGTCGACGGTCTCTGCGGCGGCGTTCCCATTTCACTGTTCACAACTCTTTTTTGACCCGAAGAGCTCGTCGGAGGAGACGAAGAAGCGCTTTTCGTCGTAACACCTTTCTTCGGCGTTAACCCTGCATTAATGGCCAGCGATGCAAAGGGGTCGTGCAAAGTCGCCTCTTGGCGTTCCTTTTCGCGTTTCGCTTCGAATCCTAGAGGAGTTGCACTCCCGTTCAATGCTTTTGAGCTGGGCGGAGAGGAGGACGCGGGCGTAAGAAACTGCGAGGAGATTACACTATTCGATGGCGACCCTTGCGCAGCGTGTTGTTGCTGATTTTGTTGTTGTTGTTGTTGTTGTTGTTGTTTAAGCATGTACTGCTCGCGTAATGACATCGGCCGACTCGATTGTTGTGGCGGAGAGTGCGGCGAAAAACTGTTACCGAAAATCTCGTCGAACGCTTCATCACTGGTCGCGGCTGATCGAACAGACGGAACACTCGACGGTGCCTTCGTAAGGAACGGGTTGGGTGAAGAAATCGTGGTTTCGTTAAAACCTCCTCCATCGGATGATAACCCGAGTAAGTCGTGTTGCACTTGTCGTTGTTGTTGCTGCTGCTGATGCGTCGTCGTTGTTGCCGGCGACGAGGATGTTTGCGGCGCGCGATCGTTCCCGATTCTCTCGTATTTTTGAATCGCGACGTTCAACTTTCCGCTCAATTCTATCAGTTTCGACGTCAGCGCTTCATCCATGTCGCCGTCTTCTTCCGTCAATAAAGCGACTAAAGATGAACTCGATTCTTTCGCCTGTTCCGCGAGAATTCCACACAGGTCGTCATCTTTATCGGGAGCACTCAACGTCTCCTCAAAAACGCACAAAATAGATTGCGCAGATTCGACGACATCGCTCGCTTTTCTCTCGCGCGCTCGTATTCTATCTGGGTGTTCTTGCGCTTTTGTCAAAGAAATCGTTCTATTCACAAACTTGCCTTCCACCGGCATCAGTCCTTCTGGTTTTCGTCCGATCCCGTCTAACTTGTACTTGTTTGGATTTCCAATCGACCTTTGATATCTCTTGGAAGACCAGTGCCCGCCCCCGGGCAACTCGTTTCTTTGCGCTCTGGTCATCCCAAGCGCGCCGTCTCGGCCGCCGTCGTACGCCATACCTCCCCCACCTCCCACGGCTTCCTCTTCTTCTCTCAGCGCCATCTCAATTGCTCGTCTGTCCTCCTCGCTCATTGCCGCGTCGTACTTTAAAACTTGTTTTACCGGAACAGATTGGGAGTGTCGAGGAATCCCGAGCGAAGGTTGCGATGGCGGTGCCGCCGGGTAATGCAACGGTTCGCCGCCGTTCATTCCTATCATCCGGTCTCCCGTAACGTCCACGTTCGAGAAATCGTCGTATTTAGTATCTCTTGTCGCTCTTCCTCCTCCTCTTCCACCACCCCCTCCTGGATGTACAAACTCGTCTCTCTCCGGAAATCTCACCCCGTATCGCGTCAACTCTCTGTACACGCCTTTAAACTCTCGCATGTTCAGATGTTCAGACCACTCTCGAATTAAATGCAGAACTTTATCCCTCACGATGTGATTCGTCGTCGTGTTGCTTCCTAATTCCATGCACGTTTCCAAAACGCCTTTACTCAGCATCATCTCGTGGAAATCTGGTCCGCAGTTTTTCATCAAACATTCCAACGCGCTCAACGCTAAAAACTGTTCTCGAGGCTGTCGACTGATTAATTTGATGCGCAACGCTTTCGCGGCATCTTTCGCCACGGTCGTTCGATAGTGGTCGTGGTTGACTCTGTCCGCGAGTTCGATGTTCCCGGCCCAATCTGGTTCTTGGAGGTACACCCCGTTCGTTACCTGGTCGATGTTGATTTACTGTTGTGAGTTATATACTACACAAAACGACGCGTCCGGTGGTTGCCTTTCCAATTCTCATCATCATCAAACGAGAAGAAGACAAAGAAGACAAAAAGACAAAGAAGACACAACAAAAACGAAGATGAAAACGTACCTGGTTGACTAAAATGTACGTCGAGTTCTTGCTCTTGTCTTTTTTCATAACCGATAATGAGAGTTTTGAACGACTGTTATTCACACCTTTTCGAAGCATGATGATGATGATGAAATTTGAGAGAGTTGATGACGTTCGTTGTTTTTGTGTGTTGTGTTCGTGCCTCGAATTGTACCGAGGAGGAGGACGAAATTTTGTCTGGCGAAAAAAAAAGGAAAAAAAGTTCTTCATCGTGCACTCGAAAAAGCACTTTTTTGCTCCTCAGTAAAGTTGTTCTTTGATGAGAAAGTTTTTAAGGAGACACGCACAAACGCAACTTTGACAACAACTCTAATTAAAAAAGAAAAGAAGACAGAGATGATGATGATGTCTTTTTACTTCTTCTAAAGCGAGGAGGAGGAAAAGAGCGCAGAAAAGGCGTTCGACGATGAGAGGGGAGAGAAATGTGTTGTGGGATTTGGTCGTGAAGTGCGACGATATTTGTTTCACACACATTCTTCCGAGATTGGATTCGAATGATTTGAAATTCTTGTACGAGGTGAATACGGAGACGAGAAAGTTGATGAAGAGATCAACTCGCGAGGGGGAGTTGAAGAAGAAGTTTAAAGTGAACGAGATGTCGTCGATATCGACTTTGGAAGTTGCGTTGGAGAATAAATCGTTGTGGCCGAGTGACTGGACCGAAAGATCTTTCTGCTTGGAAGTTGCTAAAACGAATAAACTCGAGTTGCTCGAGTGGGCGCGAGAGGAGAAAAAGTGTGAGTGGAATGGAAAGACGATTAATGCGGCCGCAGGTCAAGGTAATCTGGAAATGATAAAGTATTGCGTTGCAAATGAGTGTCCTATCGATGTGCGTGCGTGTGCAGAAGCTGCCCGATACGGTCATCTCGAGATACTCAAATACTTACGCGAAGAAGTCAAAGCGCCTTGGGATTTGAATACTGCCATTTGCGCGGCTTTAAATGGTCATCTTCACATATTCGAATACCTTGTTGAGCGTAAGTTTGATAAATATGACGTATGGGCGTGTGAGTGTGCGGCCGAGAAAGGTCACTTAGACTGTTTGAAGTACTTACACGAAACCGCCAAAGCGCCGTGGGACGAGGACGCCGTACTATTTGCACACGAGAACAACCACACCGAATGTGTACAATACCTCCTCGACAACAACTGTCCTCTCCCACCTGGTTGGTCTTACGAAGGCGGAACGTTATACGACGAGTTCTACGATTCGGAAGAAGAAGAAGAAGAATAGCTCCCCGGACGGCGCGTACCAAGTATCACTCTCTCTTACTACAGTAATGACTACATTAAACTACGCAATATAATAATCTGCGAAACATAACAACGCAAAAAACATCAAGTACTACTACTGCTCGTCTTAAAGTTCCTAAACATTTCCACGCACCTCGCGCTGGTCGCGTTCACTTTTACCAGAGCCTCTTCTTCCTCTCGCAGGGAAAAGAAACAACCTCGAAACCTGGAAACGAACCGGTCCGGATGCCAACGCAGCATCTCGGAGCGGAGAAGTTTGACCGCACACGACTTGGAGTGATGACTTTTCCGAGGCGCTTCGCAAGAGCACCCGCCTTCGGGTCCACTCACGGAAGACTTTAAAATCCACTCGATGGCGGAACTTTCCGATTGGTCGCCGACGTCGTGTAAGTACGGTAAATCTTTCGCTCGCAAGGTCTTCTTTTCCGCTTTCTTCGAGCATGCTCTCCATATCGCGTAGTACGATTGCGTCGTCGCGATAGGTAACGAACCTCCGTTTCTTTTTCGTAACTCCCTTTCCGTGGGCGATTTAAACCCGTCTCGTTCTTCCTCCTCTGGAATGGTTCGGTGTTTCTCTTCTCCTTTTTCCGTCTCCTTCTTCTTCTTCTTCTTTTTCTCCTTCCTCGCGTCATCATCCACGGATAAACTCCTCTTCTTGTTGTTTTTCATAGTAGCAGCGCTACTATACTTTCCCCTCCTCGTCTCCTCGTCCTCCTCTTTTTCTTCGTCTTCATACTGCCACAACCGCTCGTATAAAAGTTCGTCTCCTTCGTCCTCCTCGTTGGCTTCGCGTAACTTTTCGTTCCATTTCATCTGCTCGCTCTTCCTCTTCTCTTCCATAGCTTTCTCTCGCCGCGCTTCAAACAGCGTCGCTTCTCGCGCTCTCGATTTTTCGTACCTCCTCGTCGCTTTCTCCGCGCACGCGCCCGGCGGTGTTTTCTTTTTGAGCATTTGAAACGCAAACGGTTCTCTCGAAACGACCGTTTGCTTCGCCGCCAGTTCCAGCGGGATTCTCTTCTTTATTTTCTTACTATCTCTTCTTCTTTTTCCACCTTTTCTTCTTCCTTTCTGCGAGAGCAACGTTTCGAGGAGGAGACTGTCATCCTCATCCTGTTGTTGGGTGAAGCACTCTTCGAGCATAAACTTCAACGTTTCCAGTGGATTCTTGTACGATTCTTTACACCGAGCGATGACGTGAAACGCGTTCTCTCCTCCTTCTTCATCTCTTCGTTTTTGTTTCCTCCTCTTTTCATTATTATTCTCGTTCTTCGTCGTCGTGACGTGATACATCGAACGCGTGAGTGTTTTAATCTTTTGTAAATTCCCTTTTTCAATCGCACTTTTCAACTGTTTAAACATCATCCTCTTCCTCCTTTTTGCTTTGCGTTTACGACGACCATCGCTGCTGCTGCTCGAATAACTGCTGCTCGAACTCTTCTCCTCTTCCTCCGACGCGAGAGAAGAAGAAGACGACAAAGAAGAAAGAGAAGATGATGATGATGATGAGTCTTTTGTTTTCTCCTTCTTCTTCTTTTTAATGTGTTTCTCCTTCATTCTTTCTGGCAAATTCCCCTAAAATTTATAGAGAAAATACCTCACAAAAGTAGTAACAGAGGAACAACACAACCACACGCACAAACAAAAAGATGTTCACGACGATTTCGACGACGTTGAGAAGAACATCGAGGAAGAACTTTTTTGTTGCGAGAACTTCTTTATTTTCTTTTTCTTCTTCTTCGACGAAGAGGACGACGACGGTTTTAGAAACAGATGAGAAAGATGAGAAAGTTTTCCCCTACTTGAGATTCGTGCGCGAAAATGGTCTCGCCTTTCCATCATCATCATCCAAAGTTGGCGGTGATAATGGTGTCTCTGGTGATGATGGTATCTCTGATGGTGGCAATACTAATGATGTTTTAATTTCGAGACTGGTGAAAACCTTGGACGCGTTGAAGTACGCGTTGATATCTCCGGAAACGAAAGTTGGGATGTTTCCTCTGATGATGCCGATAGGTATCTCTCCAGACGACGGGAACGCGATTGGGTTTCTCTTGGAACCTTCATTTTTAGCGGCAAAAGAAAATATTCATATCGGCGCAATCGTGAAAGCGCGAGCGAATCAGCGACAGATTGAGTTCGTCGCGAAAGATGCGACGACATTTATACGACGCGCGTTATTGGAAGAAGAGGTGAACGCGCTGAAGAGAGGAGGTTTGATGCCGGTGAGAGATTCGATTTTACGGTCGAGTTCTTCGTCGAGCGGTTTATCGTCGTCGAACGCGGAACACGCGGAGCACGATCGAGAGACGTTGGCGAGATTGGCGGCGAGTAAGCACATGTTAAACGCGTACACGACGCAAAACATTGGGTCTTTTCCGGACGTGATTGAGAGTTTGATCTCTAGACACGAATTTGTGAAAAAAGATGAAACGAGCGCGTTGGTCGCGTGCGAGTTTTACATCAACAGAGAAGAGTTTACGAATAAATGGGCGAGACCGTACGCGATTAACGCGAGGACTTTGAGACGATATAAGAACAGGGAAAGTGAAGCGAGGGATGCGGCGAGGATAGCTTTGAGCGTGGCGCCGTGGTTTACCCTTGGTGGCGGGTACGGCGAGAGTGGCGTTAGCGGTAGTACAACGAGTAGAAATAGTAGCAGCATCGGCGGCAGCGGAGATGAAGACGCGATACTCCCGCCGTTAACTGGTGCGACTTTAGAGGATATGAAAAAGTTAGTAAACATGGAGAATATGGACGCGAAGTCCGCAAAGAACATGTTAGAAGGCGTAGGAACTGAAATAGCGAAAGAACACGAGAAAAACGTGCCGGAGATGAGCGAGGAGGCGAAAGCGCTGAAGAGATGTTTTGATGTTCTCGATTACGCGAGTTGGGGCAACGAGGAAGGGTACGAAAGTTGGGACAACATTCGAGAAGAGTTGAGCGAATCCTACGAGAAAGCTGGGATGAAACGGTTCGCCGAGATTGTGAAACCAAGTGGGGGGGTAATGAATTGATATTGGCAAAAATTAGATTGTAAAGTCAGATTGCTTTGTTTGTGCGGGCGCGCGCGCGTGCGTTTTGTTTTTTGTACATTTCTAAACTCTGTGATGTTTGACTAATCTTAAGGTAGCTCTTTTTACTGTTGTTGTTTCAACAACTCTTCGATGTCTCGCGCGGTCAATTTACTCGCCTCTTTACTGTCCACGGGTAAAACTGTTCCTTCACTGCGGCGATTCTCGATGACTTTCATGACGTTCTTTTCAATCGAATCTTTTAATACGAACCGATGTATGATGGTTGACTTCGTTTGTCCGATTCTGTCAATTCTTTTAATCGCTTGCGACTCGGCGGAAATATCGAGCGACGGCTCGAGCAAAATCACGTGGTTGGCGCACGTCAAATTGAGTCCTGCTCCAGCTCTTTTCAACGGCAACAGCAAACAACTGACCGAATGCGAGTCGCTGTCGACGAATTCCTTGACACAAACCGCAAATCTACTCCCGGCACGTTTCGTTTTGAGTGACGAACTCGCAGCGGATGTCGGAACGATGGAATTCACGCCGTTCATTTTCAGCGCGTGGTCAACAATCATCAAAACATCTTCCCATTCGCTGAAGATTAAAACCTTCAAGTTCGTATCAAACTTCGACAGATGTTTCACGCGACGAACCACCGCATCGATTTTCGTACCCCATGCGCCTTCAATTTTGATACCGCTTTCATCTCTCGCGTGCGTTTCCGGCGCTCCTAAAGTTTCGAGCATTTTCGAAACGTCCGCGCCGATTCGCGAAAGGTGTAAACTCTCTTCCGCTTTCTTCCGCAATCTCTCTTCTCGCTTCTTTTGCGCCTCTTCGACGTTATCGCGAACGTCCTTATCCTGCGACTTCCACGTGACGTATGAAATTTCTTTGGTCGCGCACTCTTGGCGGCAGGTTGGACATTTCCCGCGCTTGTTGTCGTTGTTATTATTGTGTCGCTCCGGGAGCGGCGATAACGAGTGTAAGAACTGTTTCTTCTTTGAAACCATATTGGATGGTCGCCCGTAATACGCAAACGAACATTTGACGCATAATTCGTGACCGCACGGTAAGATTGCAAGTTCAGCGCCGTGTAAATTAATATCTTCGTCCTCTTCGTCCTCGTCCTCGTCGTCGTCATCTCCAGCTTTCATTTTTCTCAGCGCGCTCTTGGGAATGACGGCATTCTTCGATTTCGTCTCGTCGAACGTCTCTAAACACAACGGGCAATCAAATTTCTTACGCTCGTTTTTGTTCTTCTGTTTCAGCGTTTGCAAATATCGCAGTTGACCGAACGTTTGTTTCATTTCAAATTCGTGCGTGACTTTCTCGTCGCCGTGTTGTTTGAGCAAGGTGGGTACCTCGACTGGATACACGATCGACGCGCGCAAATACTCCGGCAATTGGTCTTGTCCGTCAATTCGAACCATTTCGTTGGGCGTGCGTAATCGAATACGCGTCGTTGACATGCTCAACTCATCGAGTGCGTACATCTTTTCGCGTTGGTAGTGCATCAGCGCGCGTATTTTCGTGAACTCTTTACGAATCTCTTCGATGACTTCGATGTGCGTTTTCGCGTAGGATTGCACTTCGAGTGCTCCTTTGACTTCGCTTTTCAGCGCTTTCAAAGTTTTTTCCGCGCACGACGGCGCAGTAACGTCGTAATAAATGCGCCTGTCCTCATCTTTGACGTTTCTCGTGGACGATTTTACTTTCGCTTTACCGTTTCTCGTCGCATCTCTACCGACACCAAACAAAACGCTTTGTAATTTATTGAAATTTGCATCGCATTTACACACCGCGCATTTCACGCCAACGACCGCGAATTCCATGCCTTTTCTGCACACCGAGCACGAGGCAAATTCAACCACGTCTTGTCTATCCGCGGCTTCTACGATTTTCGTTACTCGATCAGCATCCGCGACGGCTTCGTTGCGACACTCGAATAGGCGATCTATGTCTCTTTGCATGACCATTTTCAGAGCCGCGCCGGTGTTCCAATCTGCTTTGCTACTTTGCCAACGGTTATCAAACTGCTCGAGCAGTTTGCCTACGAAAGCGTCGGTCGTATACGACAAGGCTTCCATCCACCAAAATTCATTTCGACCGAGACTTTTCATTTTCTTGTCGATAATTTTCCGCGACTTTTCGAAATCGTTCGCGGCGATGGATACGTTTCCCCCAACTCGCTCGGCTAAATACGAAATCTTTTCCGTTTCGGCGTCGCTGAGTAATTTCTCATCTCTAAGCGTTCTAGGTATTCGAATGTCTTTGTTTTTATCCACCACTTGCAAAGCTTCGGCTAAATTGTGCAAAGCGTGTAATCTTTGGAAACTATCGAGACGAACGCCGTTGATGTTTGCGTTTGCATCGAGGCGTAAAACTTCGCGATAACATTCAATGACACTCGCGAGATCGTTTTGCGTCCATTTTAATCCAGCGATGGCGTTGATTGAAAACGCGACGAGTCTTTGCGCTTCCTCTGCTTCAAGTCGCGCTTTGTCGACCAACCTGTCGTGGATTTCTTCCATGGAAAGAACTTTGCTCTTTTGTTTCTCCTCGGCTTTTTTTGATTGATCGCCGTCGACCACAAGTTCCGCCGCGATATTTTTCAGACGCCTCCACTTACTGATGCCGTACGAACCAACCTGCGGGTGATCGCAAGCTTGCCTCAATCTCAGCAGAGGCAGCACGATAGAAGTCACGTCTTGCCTCGATAACTCTATGTCATCGTTGTTATTAGTAGCATTTCTCGATCGCTTCACTCGATCGTAAGTGTTTCGCGCTTCTGCGGCGCAGTTTTTGTGCTGCTTTTCGTAGAAATGTTTTTCGATGGGCGAAAACTCTAATTCGGTGACGCACTCATTTTGCGGCGGTAAATCGAGTTCGTCTATAACGTCCTCTCTAGCGTTGCGCCACATTATTGGTTTTAGGCTCTCGGTGAGCACAAACTCGCCGTATCCCGCGTACCCTGTTTTCATAGCCGCGCTGATTATTTTCTGCCACCAGTTATGCGATGTTGTAAAGTTCATCTCGTGGCCGAATGGACGCGCCCTTAAGAATTTGAACAATCCGAACGCGTCGTCCATGTGCGACTTTTCAGATGATAGCGGCGTCCCAGTCACGCACCAACGATTCACCGCGGGAATTCTCTCCATCATCTGCGACGGCGCCGAGGCGCCTCCGCCCACCATCTGTGCTTCGTCCATAATAACGCGCCACCACGTTATCTTTGTCAAAGGCGGGGGAATGTGAGGGTATCTTCGAGTTGCATTCCTTCGAGCGCGCAGTGCGCCATCGTTCACATCCGCGTTTGTCGCGTAATCTAGATTGATTTCAGCTCGCAACACATCGTACGTAGTGATAACAATATCGCATTCGGCTAGCTTATGCGAGGTAATGACTTCCTTCGCGTGTACGGCTCTGGATCCCAAGCTCGCGGTTTGCGGCTGTCCTTCGTATACCAAAATATCAAACTTATTGTCTTTATTGTCGGTCTTTCCATCGTCGTCGTTTCTACGGACGTGCTTTAAAACCTCGTCTCGCCATTGTTGCAAAATCGTCGACGGAACGACGATGAGCGTCGTTTTTGAAATGCCCGGGATTTTCTCCCCCGCTTTCGCGGCGTGGCAATGCGGACATATGAAGTCCGGCGCCTCTGTGCAGTTTTGCTTAATGCCGACGCAATACGCGTGCGACCATTTGTGACAAACTTCGCACGATACCCAAAGACCTTTATACTCTGGATCGTCTTCCATTGCACCGCAGACGCATCGCACTTGCTGCATTTCTTCGTTTTCTTCTTCTTTTTCCTCTTTTTCTAGCTTTGTCGTGAAGCCCATACCGTCTCGATTCGTAATCACTTTGTCTTCTTCTTCTTTTCCTTCCTCCTTTTCCTCCTCCTTCTCCTCATCTTTCTCGTCTTTTGGTTTCTTGTGCGCCAAACACAACATCAAAAGTTCGACAGTTTTACCTAATCCCATTTCTTCCGCTAACACGCCTCCGCGAACGCCGTCGTCTTCCATTGCCATCGACTTCGACACATTTTCCATCCACAAGTTTATTTCCTCGTGTTTCTTTTTCACCACATTTGCCTCTATTAACGTCATTTTTGCCGTCGTCGTCGTCGTCGTCTTAAACATCTCGCGCAACGCGCTCAACTGTTCCTCTCTTTTAAACGTCACCAACTTCTCAACATCCGCGTGTTGAGTTTTCCCATTCTCCCACCCAACTGGCGCGTTCGGCGCTCTCTCTCTCCCCATCATCCAACCCACCGCTCTCTTCTGATACGGTCGTAAAGTCGGTCGCAACAGGTGCGAAAGGTTTCCTAAAAATTCCGGAGCGTTCGCGTTGTTTGGCTTGCACGCTTTCAACATTCGATTTATGTTTATATTTTTCGCTTTGAAATAACACGACGAAGAAGAAGCGACGACGTTATTATTATACTCGTTGTTCTTATTATCTTCCTCCTCCGCTTCTTTGTCTTCTTCTTTGTCTTCTTCTTCTTCTTCTTCTTCTTCTTCATCATCTTCAACAAACATTTCTTCCTCCTGTTGGTCGTCGTCATCAAAATCAACATTTCCTCTGCTGCTCAACATTTTCCTCATCATCATCCCTCCTCTTCTCTCTTCGTCTCTTTGCACGACCATCGGTTCCGATGGGTCTTCTTTCGTTCTCTTTCGAGGAATATTTTTCTTCCTCTTCTTCATCTTGTTCTTCTAAGACGTCGTCTTAATCGATGCGAGACATGCGTGTTTTTTGTAACGTTCGCCTTATGTAAATTTTTGAGGAAACAAACAACTTTTTCCACAAAAACAACACAACGAGAAGAAGAAGAAGACAAAGAAGATATTTTAACTGTATTAGTAGTATATTAAAGTGCGATCGATGATGATGTCAATGTCAATGTCAATGTCAATGTCACCGCAACAAACAACAGAAACAACAGAAACAACAACGAAATACTTCAATTTATCGCCACCACCGCGTAAAAGAGGCGCGTTTTTATTCACCAACACGTTCACGAAAGAAACGAGAGAGATTATGCAAAATTATGCGACCGCGGTGTGTCACGTGTGTTTAGTCGACAGAACATCGTCCGAATCCTGCGCTTTAACCATCAACGAGAACTGCGACCCGTCGGTGAGGACGGATTTGATGCGCGCTTTTGAGGAGATTGAGTTTAACGCCACGTGCATGAAGAGGTCAATATCGGTTCCAGTTTTGAGTGGCGGAGTCGCGTTCGGGACGTGGCAAGGGGTGTATATTTGCCAATTTAAAAGCGACGCGAACGAAGACGAGTCAAAAGTCGGCGTGAAAGTGACGGTGAAAGCGAGCGAGTTTGAGAAAACGAAAAGAGGTGAGTTTGTGGCGCCGAAAAGAGGGTGTCACGATGCGACGGAGCGTATTCAGAACTGCGTGGATATTACGGACGTGAAGGCGGGCTTGCTCAACGTGTTGATTAAACACACGAGCGCTTCGTTGACGGTGAACGACGCGAGGAGAGCGGAGGAGTTGGAAAAAGGATTGAACGAGTTAATTCCGGAATCTTGGAACGATTCGTTTTTGGAACACACAATGGAAGGTCCGGACGATTGTCCCGCGCACATCAAGGCGACGATTTTAGGGGAGACGATGAACGTACCAATTCGAGACGGGAAATTGGCGTTATCGGAGAATGAACAAATTTTACTCTGCGAACATCGAAACGTAGGAGGCTACGGCGGTGGGTTTAGACGTGAGTTCATCGCGAGCGTGAACGAGGCAAAAGCGCAAGAGGTTTTGAAATTTAAAAAAAAGACGACAAAGCAATCGGTAGTAAACGTTTCCGAAGCGGTTCGTGATTTCGTGACCAAGGCCGAGGATGAAACGATCGAGTTAGTGCACGTATTTTCTCCGAAAGGCGGGGTGTTTCTGAGCACCGCGGAAGACGCCGAAGCGTTCGTCGATCACGTGGATAGTAAAGTGGGTTCAAATGCAGCGTTGAAATCTTCCGTTTTCGGCGCTTCGGAAATGCTCGTCGTCGAGGATGGCGACGGACAAAAAATGTTCGCGGGAGAAGGCTGTTTGGAGTGTTTCGTCGTCAGCGGCGGCGACGAGGAGGAAGTCGTCGAGGTCGTTTTCACCGCCCTTTAAGGATGATGCCTCCTCAAAACAACACATTCAGAAGAGAGACTTTTTTTAATAAATAGACATTGTTGTGTGTACATGTAATAAAATAAATAGACAAGCATATGCGAGTTTGCCATCATCTCTCATCATCTTTGTTAGAAAACGATGAAGACCAAGAGTAGGAACAAAAACACATCATCATCATCATCGATCGAAGAATTCATCATCAGTTCGTGCCGTAATAATTCTTGTTCCTATTCACTTTCCAGTTCTTCGGTCTCGGCGCGAAATTCTTCGCGTTCGGCACGAACTGCGAGTGCTCTTCTTTCAACCTCACCTCCCAGTTTTTCTCGTTCCCGCAAATGTTCCCGTTCTCCGGTATCGAACACGGCGTCGTTTTCGCTTGGTTTTCAAACATCACGTCCACTGGTTTCTTCATGTGCCAGTGGCCTTTAGCGCCCCAACACTTGTCCGAAGATGGAACGTACGGTTCGTCCGGCGCGTGGATTCCATACGTCGGTGACATGATGATGTGTTAATAATACTGTTTTACTAACGTAACGTGATCAGCGCGATGTTTTTGTCTTGACTTTTTTTTTGTTACTTGAAAAAAACAAGCGTTTTCTCTCTTGTTTTTGCTTCTCTCTTTTTTTTCTCAAAACCTCTTTCTTCTCGAGCGTTTTGTTATCCACATTAAAACTTGAAAAATTGGATGCATTCTTCTTCGGTTAGAACCGCAACGGGAGGGAGTTCGTCGACGGCGGTGGTGGCGAGAAGAAGAAGGAGAAGCACCACCTTGGCTTCTTCTTCTTCGTCTTTGTCTTCTTCTTCTTCTTCTTCTATGAGAAGGAAGAGTGTTATCATCGCGAGAAAGATGATGACGATGAAGAATTTCTCGTCCACCTCTGCCGCCGCGAGACGAAGCGATGGATGCACGTTTCGAAACGCGACGACGACGATTCAGACGACGACGAGAAAAAGAAATCCGACGAAATTGTTCCGAATCTACTCGACGTCCATCCCGACGGAAGAAGAGAAACTCACAAACCCGACTTCATCGGAGTCCTCTTCTTCAGGAGCAAGAGGTGGTGGAGGCTACCCGTTCGCGGAAATCGAACAAAAATGGCAAAAGAATTGGCAAGAAAACAAAACCTTCCAAACGCCTTCGTTAAACTCTGGCTTAGACCAATCGAAACCGAAATTTTACGCGTTGGATATGTTCCCGTACCCATCTGGAGCTGGGTTACACGTTGGACACCCGGAAGGGTACACGGCCACGGATATTATGGCGAGATATAAACGGATGAAAGGGTACAACGTGTTGCACCCGATGGGATGGGACGCGTTTGGTTTACCCGCGGAGCAATACGCCATCGAAACTGGGACGCATCCGAAAGAGACGACGGCGAAGAACGTGAACAGATTTCGAGAGCAGCTGCAATCGTTAGGCTTTAGTTACGATTGGGATCGCGAGGTAGCCACGTGCGATTCTACGTATTATAAATGGACGCAGTGGATATTTATTCAGCTGATGAAGCAAGGCTTGGCGTATCAAGCGGAAGTTCCGGTGAATTGGTGCCCGGCGTTGGGAACGGTTTTAGCGAACGAGGAAGTCATCGATGGATTATCCGAACGAGGTAATCACCCAGTCATTCGTAAACCAATGAAACAGTGGATGTTAAAAATCACAAAGTTCGCCGATCGATTGTTGGAAGATTTGGACGATTTAGATTGGCCAGAGTCCATCAAGGAAATGCAACGCAACTGGATCGGGAGAAGCGAAGGCGCGCAGTTGAAATTTTCCGTCTCGGAAAATGATTCCTCGTTTTTGGAGGTGTATACGACGAGACCGGATACGCTGTACGGTGCGACATATTTAGTCGTCGCACCGGAGCATCCGATGTTGGACCAGCTGACGACTGCGGAAAATAAAGACGTCGTCCAAAAATACGTTAAAGATGCGGCGAACAAATCGGATTTGGAACGAACTGAATTACAAAAGACGAAAAGTGGTGTCTTTTTAGGCACGTACGCGACGCATCCGTTGACTGGGGAGAAGAACGTGCCCATTTGGGTCGCTGATTACGTCTTGGGGTCTTACGGTACCGGAAGTATCATGGCGGTCCCGGCGCACGATCAGCGAGATTTCGAGTTTGCAAAGACTTTTGATTTACCCATCGTACCAGTCGTTCAACCGAGCAAAGAGCACGATTTCGACAAAGAGGCGTACTCAGGAACCGGTAAAATGATGAACTCTCGCGAGTGTGATGGAATGGACATCACGCAGTGCGCGGATGTCATCATCAAAAAACTCGGCGACGACAACATGGGCGAAAGAAAAATCAACTACAAGTTGAGAGATTGGCTCTTCGCGAGGCAAAGATATTGGGGCGAACCGTTTCCAGTCGTGTACGACGACGAAAATCCGGACGTGGCCATTCCAATTTCCGAAAGCGATTTACCTTTGATATTGCCACAAACGGACAACTTTAAACCGTCCGGTTCAGGCGAAGGTCCGTTGGCGAACGTCACGGATTGGGTGAAAACGACCGTTCCCGGGCACCCGGAGAAATCGGCGACGAGAGAAACGAATACCATGCCGCAATGGGCTGGATCGTGTTGGTATTATTTACGATTTATTGATCCCACGAACGAAAACGCATTGATAGACAAATCTTTAGAAAAGTATTGGATGCCGGTGGATTTATACGTCGGCGGCGCCGAACACGCGGTGTTGCATTTGTTATACGCTCGATTTTGGCACAAAGTTCTGTACGACATCGGCGTCGTTTCGACGAAAGAACCGTTCCAGAAATTGGTCTCGCAAGGTATGATATTAGGTGAAGTCGAATACACCGCTTTCGTGGACGAGAAATCCGGCGAATACGTCTCTGCTGGATCAAAAGAAGCTCAAAACGCAATCGCGACGAAACTCGACGGTTCAAAAGTCACCAAAAAAGGCGACGGTTTCGTCTTGACGGAAAACCCGAAAATTAAAGTCAACTCGAGAGCGTTTAAAATGTCAAAATCGAGAGGGAACGTCGTCAATCCCGACGACGTGGTCTCTGAATACGGTGCAGACTCTTTGCGATTATACGAAATGTTCATGGGTCCTCTGACGGACGTGAAAGTGTGGCAAACCTCGGGCGTTTCTGGATGCTACCGTTTCTTAGCTCGAGCGTACCGATTGTTTGAGAACGAAAAAAGCGCGATTACGAACGAAAAAGCTACCGAAGAACAACTTCGCGACACGAATAAAATGATTGCTAAAGTCACCGAAGCGACGGAGACGCTCTCGTTTAACGTAGCCATCGCGGCGATGATGGAATTCACGAACGCGGCGACGAAATGGGAAACGAAACCGAGAGAGTGTTTGGAACCCTTCGCGTTGTGCTTGAGTCCGTACGCGCCGCACTTGAGCGAAGAGTTATACGCTCGATTAAACTCTTCTGAACAACTCCCATCCAACGCCTACGTCGCTTGGCCAAATGCCGACGCGCAATACTTGGTCGAGGATACCATCGAAATGGGCGTCCAAATCAACGGTAAAACCCGCGGATCGATTAAACTCGCCTTAGACGCTACCGAAGATATCGCCGTGCAATTGGCCAAGAGCGAACCGAGCGTGGAGAAGTTTCTGGACGGGAAAGAGATTAAAAAAGTCATCTACAAAGCCGGGAAGATTTTGAACATAGTCGTGCCAAAGTAAAGAAATCAATATATACCATACATAACTAGTATTACACAACCTAATAATTAGGCTCTAAACACACGGTAATATCCTTCTTTGATGTATAATGTTTCATCTATTATTACGTTTGATGAAACTTGAGAAATTTGTCTGTCTTTTCTTCTTCAGAATTCTTCGAAAAAAAACAGTTAGTTACTCGATACTTACACTTACACTCTCGTTTACGTCGGCATGACGACAGCGGCGATGAGAGATGTTTTCTTTTCACCCTTTGTCGCTTTACTCCAAACGCTCCTCGAGAAGAGGTTGTGAATGAAGAAGGAAGGGTATGTATTAGTATCTTATTTGTATAATATTATAGTAGTAGTAGTAGTATTAGTATTATTTAATATCAAAGTACGTGTTATCTAAGTGATGAATTCTCGCGTACCCATCTTCTCCGCCCGAGGTAAAACTCTTCCCGTCCGGGCAAAACGCCAGAGCGTTGATGGGACCGAAATGCCCTCTAATCCCGCCAATTTCCTCCTCGAAAATCTTATGATAAATCTTCGAATCAAATTTCCCTGCTTTACTCGACGTCGTCGTGACTGCCATCGCATCTTGGCCACCACCTAATATGATGTGCTCTCGAATTGGCGAGATAATCGCCGCGTTCACCGGTCTATCCGCGACGTACGTCTTCAAAAGCTCTAAATTCTGCGCGTCGAAAATTTTCGCCGTTTTATCCAAGCTCGCCGTGATCGCGTGCGTTTTATCCGCAGACAACTCCAAGTGTTGAATCGGTTTCCCTTTGTGCGCGTCTCGAGCTTCGTGTAAAACCTTCCCCGTTTCCACGTCCCACACGCGTAAAACGCCGTCCTCCCCCGCGGTTAAAAACGTTTCGTTGAGCGCGCCCCACGCGACTCTATTTAACCTCCCGTTGACGATCCCGTCCCCGCTAATCGTTTTTAAAATCTTGCTCGTTTGCTCCTCTCTGTTCTTTGTAATCTCCACGATGTGTATCGCCGCGTTCACGCCCATAAACGGATCCGTGGTGATTAACATCTTCTCGTCGCCGATTGCAAACGACACCGCTCGTACCGGTTGGTCGAATTGAAACGTCTGGAAACACACTCCACTGCCGACGTCCCAGAGTTTACAACTCGTATCTGCGGATCCAGTGGCTAAAGTTTTCGAATCTCTGGTGATATCCGCGGTCCACACGGCGCCGTTGTGTCCAATGTACGTTCCGACTCTGTTCCCTGTATCTGCGTACCATAACGTCGGGTGGTGATCTTTCGCGCACGTGACGATTAAATCCCCGTCGGCGTTGTATTTAATAAACGTCAGAGGACGCTCGTGGCCTTTTAACAGGATAGGTCTCATTTATAATAATTCTTCTTAATAAGAGTACAGCGATAACAGTTGTAAGGTCTTCTCTCTCTGATGTGTGCAGTATAGAAAGCGGCGCAAAGGAGTAGTGTGTTCTTCTTCTTCTGAGACTTTCAGGTCTTTTTCTTTCTTTTTTTTGGTGAAAAAACAAGCAACAACACAGAGAAAAAGTAAAAAAAGCAGACAGAGAAAAACAAAAGGGTGAAAAAATCGATTCTCATCAAAAAAGTGTCAAGAATTACGACGACGAGTCTTTTTGGTGTCTGTGTTGTGCGATGGTTTTATTCTTTTATTTACGACTCGTAGTAGTAATGAGCTCTGTTGGCTATGTGATCGTATTATATAGTGTGTGTTTATAGCAGTATCTAAATCTATTGTTACTATAGCAGTAGTATCTCGAAACGTTTCAGTCGTCGTTTCAGTCGGTATTGTTTTTTTCTTCGCACTCGTACTCTTCCTCGAAATCGTCGAACGCGCGAGAGAGGAGTTTACCTTTACCGCCTCTCTTCTCGGCGATGCGATCGAACGCGTCTTCGAGTTTGCGCCGAGTCGGAACTGGTTTCTTTTTATTACTAGTATTGTTCTGCGGGGCCCCCGACGTGGCGGCGTTGAAGTACACCTCGTCTTCGCTCTCGTCTTCTAAATCGTCGTTTTCTAAATCGTCGTTTTCTAAATCGTCGTCTCCTTCTCTTTCTCTTTCTCCTCCTCGTCCTCGTACTCCTAATCGAGCGGAAGTTCTTCTCTTCCTTCGTAAAGGTTTCATCGGCGTCGGCGGCGGGTGTTTCGGTGGTGCCATGTTCGGCGTCGGCGACGACGGCGCCGCGTCCATGTTGATGGTGTTATTGTTATTGTTGTTACTATCATTATTATTATTGTTATTGCTCGTCGTTCTCCTCGCCGTCGTCGTCGTCGTCGATGTTGTTTTCGCGCTTCCTCTTTCTCCTCCTCCTCCTCTGCGCTGTTTTCGTCCTGATGATGTCTTTTCGTCCTCCTCGAAATTCATTGTTGTTGTTGTTGTAGTTCGTTGCTTTTGTTTTTTCTCGTCGATTATTTTCGTCCGGAGGAGATTCGAGGACGAAGAAGGAGGAGAACGCGCGGTGAGTTCGTTTTTATTCGACTTTCCTTTATTCTCGCTTAAAGTTCTTCCGCGCATTAATAATTCTTCTCTCTGCTAAAAATATCTGTATCTCAATTGAGAGATAATTCGCGCAATCAGTCAACGCTTTCTGCGCAATTTTTAGACTCTACTTTGATTCTCTCTCTTTTCTCTCTCTCTCTCTCTTAGTATTAAAGAGAACGGTCTCTCTTTGTAAACTGCGCTTTACTGCTACTCTTTTAATCGTCGTTTTTGCTGAGTAGTAGTAGTAAAAAAAGGTTTCACCCGCGCGACTTTTAAGAGAGCATAACAAGAGAAAGCAATTAATGTGAATTGTGGTGTACGAGAGGATGATGAATGCACAATTGTGTGAGAGAAAAGAGGAAAAAGTGCGACCTGTTTTGGCGGTAAAACTCATCACTTTCCTCTTTTTTTGCTTTTTTTTTCTCCTCTGTCTGAGTTAAAAATCAGACTGATAAAATCAATGAAATCCCCCGCTCTCAATCAAGAGCAAAACAAGACAAAAAAAAAGCAACAAACACCACAAAAACATTTTAAACACACACTCTCTCTCTCTTCTCTCTCTCAATCTTCTTAGTTCTTCTCTCTCGTTTCAAAAGAAGACGGAGCATTTTTATCAGAGCGTTTGTTTTGTATTTCGAGAGCGACGAAAAGAGGAATAAGAGTCTGTTTGTTTCGATTGGTCTTTTAAGGCGAAACTTTGAGAGCGTGTAGTATACACATAAGAAAAGATGATGATGATGAGAATGGCTGCAAATCATCAAGCCCTGACGACGGCGAATTCGACGACGATCGGAAACAGAGGAAAGAAGACGAATTACAATAAAGCGTATTCGACGAAAAAAAGATGTTCTTCGATACTCATCAGAGCATCGTCCTCGGTTTCTCCAACATCCACGGCAGCAAAAGCCGCCGCTTCAGACGACGAGTGGAAAAAGCTCGGCCAAGTCTGCGCCGTTCTCGGCTCGCAATGGGGAGACGAAGGCAAAGGGAAGTTGGTGGATATTTTAGCCCGAGAGTACGAGGTGGTGTGCAGATGTCAAGGCGGGGCGAACGCGGGACACACGATTTACGACGACGAAGGGAAAAAATACGCGTTACATTTAGTCCCGTCGGGGATTTTGAATAAAAAAGCCCTGTGCGTGGTTGGTAACGGAGTCGTTGTCCATTTACCCGGGATGTTTGAAGAGCTGGACGCGTTGGAGAAAGTCGGCGTAGACTGCGCGGGGAGAATGATCGTCTCCGATCGAGCGCACTTATTGTTCGAGTTACACAAAGAAGTGGACGGGTTACGAGAAGCCGAGTTGAGCGGGAACATGATTGGAACGACGAAGAGAGGTATCGGTCCAGCGTACGCGTCGAAAGCGACGAGAAACGGGATCCGAGTCGGCGACATCAAAAACATGGAGACGTTCGCGGAAAAGTTGAAAGCGTTAGCGGCGGATGCGGGGAAGCGATTCGATGGGTTTGAATACGACGTGGACGCGGAGATTGAACGGTATGGGAAAATCCGAGAGAGGATTTTGCCGTTCATCGCGGATACGGTGGAGATTGTCAACCAAGCGCACGCGGATAAGAAGAAAATTTTGGTCGAAGGCGCGAACGCGACGATGTTGGATTTGGATTTTGGCACGTATCCGTTCGTGACATCATCGAATCCGAGCTTAGGTGGGGTATGCTCCGGTCTCGGTTTGGCACCGAACAAGTTTGAAACCATCATCGGCGTCGCCAAAGCGTACACGACGAGAGTCGGAAGCGGACCGTACCCGACCGAGTTGTTTGGCGATTTGGCGGAAGATTTGAGAGCGATTGGGTACGAGTACGGAACAACCACGGGAAGACCGAGACGTATTGGATGGTTGGATATGGTCGCGTTAAACTTTGCGAGTAAAATTAATGGATTCACGCATTTGAACATTACCAAGTTGGATTGTTTGAGCGAGTTGGATGAAATTAAAATCGGCGTCGCGTACAAGTTACAAGACGGTACGGTCACGACGGCGTTTCCAGCCTCGATCGAGGAGTTGGAAAAGGTTGAAGTTGTCTACGAGACCTTGCCGGGTTGGAACTCTGATATTTCTGGAGTGAGAGACTGGAAGGATATGCCGGAAAATGCGAAGAAGTACGTGCAAAGAGTCGAGGAGTTGTCGGGCGGCGTCGAGTGTAGATTTATCGGCGTCGGACCGGGCAGAGACGCCATCGTGATCAAACCTTAACAAAGCACTTAATATTATAATACGATAGAGTAAGTTCTTCTAAGAATGTTTTTAATGTACAACGTTGACTTTTATTAAATAATGATAAATATACTAAACATAATGTCTCTTCTACTCCATTCGAGTGAGAGTTGATTTCATGAACGCGATTGTAACTCCGGCGGCGAAAACCCCCGCGATTCCCGAACCCGCCAAAAAACCGGCGGCTACCAACTGCGATAAACTCTCGAACGAGTCTTTGTTTCTTCGTCTCCACGACCCGGATAAGAACGCACCGAAAAAAACCATCACGGAAAACTCCGGAGGAATGATGAATGCGATTCCCAGCGCCATCGGACTCGGGACGATCTTTTCCGCCAAAAGTCTCGCGCGCGCCGTACCTTTGTATTGCATTTTGAACTCCAAAGTTCTTACGAGAACGGCAAACAAGGCTGCTAAGACGCTCAAAATGACCGCTTGGTGTGGCACACCAACGGCATTACTCCCATCTTCGCTCGATCCAGTCAATACTTCCGCGACTGCTTTCCACGCGAACGCCGAAGGCGCCGGGTATTCGTCGCCGCCTAATTCGTACGTTCGCAAGAACAACAAGAAAGAAGGCACGGCGCCGAGTACACCAAACGGGACGCCTAACATTTGCGCGATCAACTGCGTGCGAGGTGGCAAACGCAAAATGGATCCACATTTGAAATCGTGCATTAAATCTCCCGCTTGTCCGGCACCTCCGCACGCCACCGCAGCCGTGACCAAGTTCGCAATCAATTGTCCGGGATCGAGAAACGCAAAGATGAGTTGGATGATTTTACCCATAGGCCCGATTGGATTTATATCGGTTTCTCCGGCGCATCGGATCGCAATGTATGTCATGAACAAACCAACTGGAATAGACATGATGGAAGTCGTTAATTTCAAACCGAAAAGAATTCTTTGCGAAACCATGGAACTGAACACGGCGAAGAGTAAACCGGTTATCCACCAATTCCGCGGAACGTTTTCTTCGATAGAAAACGGCGTCGCCGAAAGTGTCGCGTCGTTGTCGACTTCTTCAGAGTCGTGTTTAATATTATCCGAGCGATGCTGCAACTCGTTACTACTAGTGGTAGTAGTAGTAGTTGTTGTTGTTATTGTACTACTATCGTTTGAGGCGGCAAATTTAGCAATCACCATCGCTTTAAACAGCTGCGAAAACGAATCAACCGCCATAAACGTCACCCCGGGCCATAACAACAACCCTCTCGCTCCATTTTTCATGTTAAATACGTTTTCGGTATCGGAAACCCACCCCTTGGATTCCGCGAGAGGACCAATCATCCCCCACGCGATAATCGCTCCGGCTAAAACCGAGTACCCTACTTTCTCGCCCATCAACATCCCTCCGCCGACCAAGGCAAAATCTAATCGAATCCCGAATCCACGTCTCGCTAACTCGTGCAAACCTAAGAACACTAGTATTGGTGGCTTTAAAAACCTCGGGAACTTCCACGCAACCATCGCCGTCGCGAACGAGATGAGCGCGGCGCAGAGAAGTGATTTAAACTGTTTCCTCGCGCGATCTTCTGGTTGTTGTTGTTGATGATGAAAATGTTCTTCGTCCGCCGTTGTTTTCGTGGAAGAACTGTTACCGTTACCACCACCTTTTTCCCCCATTTCCACGTTCAAACTACTACTATTACTACTACTGTTACCACTGGGCAACGCGAACGCGGCGCGTATGCACTCCGCAGTCGCCGTCCCGCTGGGAAACTTTAAGCGATGTTGCACCAAAAAATGGTCTCTCAGCGGCACCGCGAGAAACACGCCTAAATACGCCACCGATATCGACCAACTCGCCAGGCCTAAATACGAAAATTCATACCCGAGTAACGCCAACGCAGGCATAGGTCCAATCAACCCCGCGGACATGGTCATCGACCCCGCCGCCGAGGCGACCGTCTGCGCCACATTCGCTTCCTCCATGGAAAATGCAAGTTTTGGTTTAATCAAGGCAAACAAACCGATGGATATGCACGCCGCTAAAACCGACCCTGCTTGCGACCACCCCGTTTTTAACCCGAACGAAACGTTCATGGAGGCGATGATTATCCCTACCATCGCGCCGGAGATGATTGCTCGCACCGTTAATGCCTTATTCGATGATTTCAATGTTGTTCCTGAAGCAGTTACTAATGTTGGTGTGGGTGCGTGATGATGATTTTGATGATGATACATTTGTTCTTCTTGTTGTTTCCAATCGAAAGTTTCAACAGTTTCAATCGAACAACACAAAGCGCAAAGAATACGTCCTCCGACTCCGACGCGCTTCTCCCTCTCAGTTTTGGGCGATCGATTCGAGATCGGTTCTTTTTCAAGGAGTAGCACTACAAGTAGTACTTTCCTCCATTTTGCTTGATTTTTTTTAAGGAAAAGTGGATAAAATTCTCCAAAATTAAAGAGAGACACTCTTATTGCGCACTGCGAATACTCTAACACTACGACTCACACGCAACACATAAAATGTTGACTTTGATGCGCAGCACGAATGCGACAAAAACCAGTTTTGGTGCGATGATGCCACAAAAGCCTTCAAGAAGAAGAATGAACGCTTTTAGGACGACGACGACGACGAAAATTGGCGGCACGGGGAACAGTAAAAGAATGAGTAAAAGAGGTGGAGAGGACGTAATAATCGTTCGTTCGAGCGCTGGAGCAGTTTTAGGAGGAGGAGGAGAACTAAACGAAGAAGAGCGAGCGAGGAAACTTTTAGGCATCAGCGTGAGCGACGACGCGTTAGCCATTCAACAAGCCGTGAACAAGAAAAAGATGTTGTACAAAGGCGATAACGAGAAACTGCGAGAAGTGGAATCCGCGTACGACACGATACAACGAGCGAGTTTACAAGCGAGAATGTCCGGGAAGAAAATAGAGTCCAAATCGGTGTTGAACGCGGACGTAATTCGATCGAAATGGCAGCCGCGATGGTGCCCGTCGCCGAACAAAGATTTGTTCGTGAACTACGGCATCGCGACGGCGTGTTTTTTAGTCACCTGGGCGCAACCGCACAACATGAGATCGTTGCAAGTGACTATTTTTGGTGCCATTGCGATGGCGTTCCGCATGTTCATTAAGCTCGTGGACGTGGACCCGGGACCTAATCCGAAATTGGACCAAGCGGGCGCGGTCAAACATAACAACATGAGATTCGCGAGGTCGTTCGTGTTTTGCATCGGCGGGTTCGCCGCGTGCGTGTTGGCTTTTTACTGGTTGCCAAACTTTATCATTGAAACGTTGAACATTAAGGTGCCACTGTGGGCGCTGTTGGAACAAGAGTTGGGGGTTTCCTTTTTGACGTTGAGTTCGTTGGCAACTTTGGTCACGTTTTACCGTTAATTAATACAACTTTTCACGTACGTAAGTATTAAATATATTAAAAGCAATACTGATCCAACCGCGCGCGTTTTCGCCGTGTTTGCGGTAAATACAAATTCACGTTGTCTTCTTCTTCTCTTCCTCGTTTTCCTGTCGTTTTTCAACGTGTTCTTTTATCTTGTTGTTTTCGTCGTCTTTCTTCGTTTACAGAAGAAAGAAGAGTTTCTATTTTAGGAAGGATTTTGTCAAATTTAAACGCTTTTTTTTCGCTTTTGATGTAAAAAAGTTGGTCAAAAGAAGAAGAGCGATGCTGACCAGACAAAAGACGAGGAAGAAGAGGGATGATGATCTCGCCCCGTCCTCCTCCGCGTTTGAGAGTTCGTTCAATCTTCGCGACGACGATGTAGACGACGACGTAGACGACGATAAAAATAAGCAGAAGAAGAAGAAGACGTTCTTCGTTCCCGGGGAAGAAGAAGAAGAGACAACAAATCACATGCGAGAAACGTTCGTTTTACTTTTCTTGATCGCGTCGATATCGTTTTCGTACGTGTTCGCGTTTAGCGCGAAGCTCGGGTACGGGAGAGAAACGTATCGCTTCCTCGCGAGCGAGAAAGAGCAGTACGAGCTGGAGTTGATATCGTTGTCGGTGGTTTTGCTCTGCGTTCTTTTCGTGTTTGACGGTTTGTTTCGTTTCGAAGGCGAGAGTGAAAATAGCGCGAGAAGTATGAGTATGAGTAGCGACGATAGTTCTTTTGTGGATGTAAAGAAAGCGGATGATCGAAAGAACGACGAATTAAAACCAAGTTCGTTTAAACGAGCAATCAGAAACGGTGCGCTCGCTTTAGCCGCCGTGCTCTTTGTCGCCTCGGCGACTTTATCGGCAAAGACTTACCCGCAAGCGCCGCCGACGATGTTCGTGTGTTGCGCGCCGATGTTCGTCGCTCTGTGTAAGAGGTGGTTTCGCAGCTCTACGTCAAAGTTTTTAATGAAAACAGCGTCGGCGTTGATATTTTCTGCGCTCGGTATTGCTCTTTGGTTAGCGTTTGTGGTTTACTACGCCGAAAAAGAAGGAGACGACGGAAACGACGATGAAAATGGATTGTATTGGTCCGAGGTGAAGAGCGAGTACATGGAAGACGCGGGATGCCCGACACACACGAAAGAGAACAATGAGTGTCTCGCCGCGTATATCATGTGGTTCACTCCTATGCTTGCAATCTTAGCGTGCACTTTGTTTTCGTGTTTCACGTACGTTCTCGGTCTCGCCGTTCGAGAGGAAAATAGTACTACCGATACCACTCGCAATAAGACAAAATTTGCCGCGAGAGCGTTTGCGTTCACATTCGCCTTGGCGGGTTTAGGCATTTGGATCTCGGCGTCGTTATCCGGTGGCGCAGAAGAACTATCCACTTTGCTCTTATCTTTCTCTATGGCGGCTTTATTCGTTCTCGGTGTTGGAACCGTCTTCGCGCTTGGCGGCGCCGAAAACGCTAAACAGAAGGCGTTGGAATCCTCCTCGTTCCTCCGAGCGACGTCGAAAGTGGTCACGGAAACGCACGTTGACGCGTTTCGAGCGATTGTATTATCCACACCGCTGACGCTATTGATTCCGATTATGTTATTTCTTTCCGTAATAAATCAGTTCGTTCGGAGATTTGTGAATACTTCTCAGAGGGGATTTTCGTTGGACGAAAAATTGCACCGCGGTTGGTTCACTTATCGCGTGAGCGCGTTTTTGTCCTCCGCTTCGGAATGGCGATGGACGGCTATTTTCATCAATTTACACTATTGGATATGTCTGTTGGTCTCTTTGAATGTTCTAGCCGGGACGTTTACGGTTGTATTCCTGTCGTGGTTGCGAGTGAAACTCGCGAAAGCTGGGTTTGCGTTCACCTACGTCGTCTTCTCTCTCGTCGGCTTGGCGATGTTTTTAATTCCAGTCATTCCGGGCATCCCGGTGTATTTGACTGGCGGTATTTTGTTGACCGATGAATCGTCGGTGAATTTTTTCAAGAAAGCGTTGTCTGAAAGTGGAGAAACGCCGAGCGAAACGAAAAGTTACGTCTGCGCTTTACTCGCCGCCTCCGGCGCTTGTTTCGTCGTCAAACTCCTCGCCGTGGCCATGCAGCAAAAACTCATCGGCGAACGGCTCGGGAAACGCGTATGGGTTCGACAAACGGTCGGTATAAACACAAACGCTATGCGTGCGGCAAAGTTGGTTCTCTCTAAGAGAGGATTCTCCAAAGCTAAAGTGGCTCTTTTAGTCGGTGGTCCGGATTGGCCGACGAGCGTGTTGACTGGCATTTTGAATTTGAACGTGTTTGAGATGTTGTTAGGGACGGTTCCGGTGATTTTCCCGGTGATTACGACGGTGTTAGCTGGAGCGTTCATGTTAAAGCAAGGTACGAACTCGATGTGTGGCAATAATGGTGATCAATCTAATGATAAATCATCCTCAAATACGAGCGGCCTGTGGAGTTCCATCGCGGACGTCGCGTTACTGGTCACCGCCGTCGTCCAAGGCACGTGTTTACTCTTGGGCATTTATTACGTTGAAAAAACGTCAAGAGAGTGCAAAGAAGAGCTCGCACAGCTCCCGTACGACGAAGAAGTGATGCACATAGAAGAAGAGACCAAAAGAGAAAAAGAGATCAAGGAAAATATCGGAAACTTTTTCAAGCTCGAGCCGCGCGACCGAACGTTGCTCGTATTTTCAACCGCGATTTGTTTACTTTCGTTTTGGGTCATTCAGCTCGGACCGACGTTCATTGGCGAGGACGAAGCCGTTTTAAAAGAGTATCAGTTGACAGATTGCGTCTCGCATACGTTGAAAGGTCGAGTGTGGACGGTAGTGACCAGTATCGGATGGCTCGCTATTCTCGCTTTTATTTTTTCGATGTTTACGCTGTGGACGTTTAACGCGCGACTGAATGGGAAGGTGCAAGATGTTCTCGATGAAGAATACGCGATTGAAAATGGCATCGAAGATTTCTCGGACGGCGATGATGAGAACAACAGCGACGCCTGTGATGGTATTCGCATGTAATTATTGTTATTTAAGCTTCTCTGCTAAAAATATTTATAATCTTCAAGATTGACTCTCGGAAAATTCGCTCCCGAAGGATTCGCTCCTCGCTCTTTTCGCTCTTTTCGGCGAAGCGCTGCGACTACCAAAACTTCTACTCGGACTGGCGTTTCTGCGTGTGCCTCGTTGTTGCCTATCTCTGCTATCGTCTCGTTTTCGTCCTTCTCCTCCTCCGCGTCTTCTGGGTGGCGATCGAGACCGAGACCGAGACCGAGACCGAGACGCTCTTTTTCTTTCTTCTCCTCTCGCCGCTCCTCGAGGCGGCGGCGGAACCTCTACCTGTCTCGGAGGTGGTGGAACCTCCTGTCTCGGAGGCGGCGGGACGTTCATCTTTTTTCTCTCTCCTTCTTTCTCATTTTTTCCATCCTCCGAATCGCTATGTTCCTCCTCTTTCCTCTTCTTCGAGTGGCGTTTCTCTTCTTCATTTTCTTCTTTTCCTTCTCTCTTCTTCTTCGCCTCTACTTTCGCATTCGGTTCCAATTTCTCTTTCAGCGCCATCAACCCGCCTCTCTTCTCAATCTCTCTCTCGACCGCGTCCAACTTCTCTCTCAATTTCGGCAACCCTCTCTTCGCCTTTTCGCCGTTCCGTAAAACCTTCTCCTCTTTCTTCCTTTCCTTTCTCCTTTTCTTCTCCTCTTTCTTCTCCTCTTTCCTTCTCTTCGCCATTTCTTTCTCTCTGCGTAAAATCTCATCCTCCCTCTTCCGTTGCTTCTCCTCTCGCATCTCTCGCTGCAACTCTCGATCGAACGCTTCGCCTTCTCTTCGTTCGTCGTCTTCCCTCGATATGCCAAACGCCTGGCGCAAATTCGCCATCTTCCGCCGCTGTCGCTCGGCGACTTCGTGCGTTTCTTCTTCTTTTCCTCCTCTGTGAAAGTTTTTCCGCTTAAACCCTCTTCTGTTGTTTTCTTCTTCTTCTTCTCTCTGTGATTGTCGTTCTTGTTCCTCTTTCATCTTCTTCGTCAGCCGCGTTCTTTCTTCGTTCACTTTCCTTTCGATGTCCTCCTCTTTTCCTTCACCCAAATCCTCTTCCAACTTGTCTCGAAACGCGACAAGTGAGACTTCAATTTTCCGTTTCTCGTTGTGTTCTAAAATCCCTCTGTTCCCTTCTCGTTTCGAGACGTCGTCTCCGCCTCGTTTCTTCTCGCGATCGTGTATTGTTTTCAGATCTTGAGAATGAAAATCGTCTCTGTGCAAACGACTGCGCTCTCGGTGGAATTTGTTCGATTGGACGTAACCGGACGTCCCGGAACCGCGCGCGGTGGTTAATCCGATGCCGTTGTACATTATTAGTATTAGGAGCAATAGTAGTAGTAGTTATCTTCTTCTGTCGGGGTTTTTTACCGAAGGAAGTACGTGCTTTACCGAAAGAGAGAAAGAGTGAAGAAAATTTCGATTGTGTCGGCGCTCTTTGAAAGAACAAGAGAAGGAAAAAAGGTTCGATTTTGAGCATATCGTAGCGTCTTAGTATTAACGGAAGTTGGTATCTATAATGTGGTGATATTAAAGAAAAGATAAATACGGATACTATTGTTCAATCGTCGTCCATTGGTCGTACTATTTCTTCTCAAACAACCCTGTGTGAGTGTCTGTGGTACACATGAAGAGAGGGTTTTCAACCGTCATCACTCTCGTCTCGTTTTCGATCATCTTTCGCAACTGCTTCGGCGGGCTAAACATGCGAGCGTGCGAAATAGAGTCGTAAAATTGTAAAACAGAATCCAATTTGCGCGCTTTTAATCTCGCGTCGACTTCGTTCATGCCTTTTTCGCGTAAATCTGGTTTCGCCGGGTCCGTGCTCGCGACGTTAAACCCCCACTCGGAGGTGAAGGACGGGACGCACATGGTGTATCCGCTGACGTTGTCGAAAACCTGTTTCAACGTGTTGTGAATTGGCGACCACACGAACTGCGCGTCTCGCACGGACGCGCACCCGCTTTGCGTGACTAAAATACCGTTCGGTTTCAATTTCGATTTCGCGGTTTCGTAAAACGACGTGGTGTAGAGTTGATAACACGGACCGCCGTCCAACGGGTCGGATAAATCCATGATGATCACGTCGAACGATCCTTCCGGGTAATCCTCTAAACCTTTCTTCGCGTCACCAATGACCAGCTTCGCTCTCGGATCATCGTACGCGTTCGCGTTATAAAACGGGCAGTGTTCTCTGCACTGCTCGACCAAAACGCCGTCGATGTCCACCATCACGCACTCTTCCACCATCGGGTGCCTTAACACTTCTCTCAGAGTCGCTCCTTCGCCGCCGCCGGCGATGAACACTCGCTTCGGGTTTTCGTGTAAAGTCATCGCCGGGTGTACCAACGCTTCGTGATACACCACCTCGTCGCACTCCGAGGATTGCATCAACCCGTCCGTGATTAATAACTTCCCGAACGCGTGCGTCTGCACCACCTCAATCTCTTGAAACTCGCTTTTTCCCCGGTGGTACACTTCGTCCACTCTGTAGGATAAAGCTAAACCGTCCTCGATTAACTCGTGGTACCAATTCTCTTCCTTCCCGTTGAATATGTCCTTCCCGTACTTCTGTTGTTCAGTCATTGTTGTCTTTTAAAGTGCGTTGAGTTCTCGCGCCGTCCGCGCGAAGAGGTTCGTTGTTTTGTGCGGAAATCCGATTGGAAATGATTTTTTTTTGCATCAAGCTGGTTAAGAGAAACACGTGTTGTGTGATTGAAGTGTAACGTATTGTATATTAATTTGTCTCTCTCTCTCTCTCTCTTTGTGTATCCGTGTATCCGTGTTTATCACGTGCGTAACGTTCCATCTTCGTATCGCCAACCGGGTGGGAGAGGACAGTTGTTGTCGAGGAGGTATTGTAAACAGTCGGAGTGTTTGTTGTAGTGCGCTCCTCGTACGGCGTGATAGTTCCAAGGCGCTTTGGCGGTTTCGTGCAAGTACTTCAAACAGTCTAAGTGGTCGTTGTTGGCCGCCAACTGACACGCACCTTCGTGATATTTATCATACTTACGCTCAACAAGATATTCGAGTATGTGGAGATGACCATTTTCAGCCGCCCACGTGGCAGTTAAAAAATCCGAGATCTCAAATCCCATGCCGCTTCTGCTTCTTCGCGTAAGTATTTGAGTATCTCGAGATGACCGTTTGCGGCAGCATATGCACACGCCCACGTACTGATAGGACACTCATTTGCAACGCAATACTTTACCATTTCCAGATTACCTTGACGTACGGCCACATTAATCGTCCATCTATTCCACTCACACTCTTTCTCCTCTCGCGCCCACTCGAGCAACTCGAGTTTATTCGTTTCAGCAACTTCCCAGCAGAAAGATCTTTCGGTCCAGTCACTCGGCCACAACGATTTATTCTCCCACGCAACTTCCAAAGTCAATATCGACGACATCTCTCTCACTTTAAACTTCTTTGTCAAATCCCTTGCGCGAGATGACCTCTTCACCAACTTTCTCGTTTCACTATTCACCTCGTACAAGAATTTCACATCATTCGAATTCAATCTCGGAAGAATGTGTTTAAAACAAATATCGTCGTTATTCACAATCAAATCCCACACATCTCTCTGACCAATCCGTCTTTTCTGCCCTCGCGTCGTCACCCCACTCGACATCGCTCCGCTCTCTTTTTTATCTCTCTCTTCCTTTCGTCGGAAACAAACAACCCGCACGTGGTTCTTTTTTTTATGATCTCGCATGTCACATTCAAAGCTTTTTTTCTTCTTTTTGAGGGAGAAAATTTCCTTCATTTTTGTCTTCTGCGCAAGATTAAAATTTCTCTTTAAAGCGCCTTTAAAGAAGAACACTTTACGCGATGGGATATTATTGAGAGAGAAAAGAGAGGCGCAAAACAGCGCGACAGGTAACCCCTTTAGGTCTCTCTAATCGTCGTTGCGTTGTTCTTTTCACGACGAGAGCAGTTTTGCGTTGTGAAAGAGCGCGAGAGATGATGGAAAAAGAAGAAGAAAAACGTCCTCCCAAGACGACGACGCTGCATCCGATGTTTACGACGAAAGAAAAGAAGAAGGAGGAAACGAACGCGTACAATAATAATAACGTTGAGAATATCAACGACGCGAAGAGAGTCGCGGAAGCGACCATTGACTTGACCAAAGGAGGAGAGCAGACAGACGCAAAAACGACGACGAATTTGAACAAAGATATTCAAAAATTCTGTTGCACAAAACAAGAAGAAGAAGAGTCGTCGATTGTCGATTTGACGCAAGAGAAGGACAACGACGACGAAAAGGAGAAGACGAAAACGGAAGAGCAGCCTCCTCAGAAAGTGCACAGTTTTTTCCAAAAGAGGAAACCGCAGGCGAAGAGTACCGCGACGGCGACGGATGTTCCGGGCGCGTCTCGTAAAACGCCGTACGAGGAAGCGGTGAAGCATTTACCGCCGATTCACGTGAACTGTCCGATTCGGACAGTGGTGGGAGCAGATGCAGAGGATGTAATGAAAGGATATGGGATTGCTTTTGAAAACGCGGTGGCGTCTGCGGCGGAGAGACGACGTTCTCTGTTAAAGTCGTCGTCGGCATCGACTGGGGCATCTTTTCAGTGGCGATACGAAATCAAAAGCGACGATGAGAAAAAAGACGAAGAAATGAGCATAGAAACGGAAGAAGAAGAAGAAGAAGAAGAAGAAGAAACAGAACCAATCGATGAGTACTCGCGAGCAATCATAAACCGACTCGAGTCGCAATTTCGCGCGGCGAGTAAAGGGACTCCTTGGGTGGAAATTTGCAAACCAACGCGCGCCTCGGAAGCGCTCGGATCGCAAAACTCGCAACCGGCAGATCTATGTCGCAACTGGCTAACCAACTGGAAAGCGAGGATTGAAAGCAACAAGAACGCGAGCAAACACACGTTTAGAAACGCGCGAAGACAACACAAGAATAATAATCACTCGGACTCAGAAGATTCCGACGCCAAGTGGGAACGCGAAATGGGCATGGAACTCAGCGACGAAGAATACGACGAAGAAGGAGAAAAGAACGACGGTTTCGGCGACGGTTCCGGTGCGAACATCGCGAACGGGTTAATCGTTTTCGGTGACTCGGGAAGTGGGAAAACGGCTACGATACGTGCCGTAGCGAGCGAATTGGGATTTAGTATTTTAGAAGTCAACGCAGGGCAAAATAGAACGGGGAGAGATATTTTAGAACGATTCGGAGAGTCTTTACAATCGAAGAATTTGTTAAACAAGAGAAAGAAGAAGGAGACGGAAGAAGCGACGATACCAACGGATATCAACGTTGATGCGAAGACTACGACGATGACGTCCGAGGAACCGAAGAAAAAGAAGAAAACAGCAAACGGAAAGAAGGCGCAGAAAGCCGTCGGTAACAAAACGCTTTTCGGGTTCGTAAAGATGAAAGAAGCAACGAATGGCGGCGTGGATGATAGTATCGAGAAGAAGAAGAAGGAAGCCGCGGAACAAGAAAAGCACCAGGAACAACAACAACAACAACAACAACAAAAGGGTGCCATCAGCGCCAACAACACCGTAGTCGTATTCGAAGACATCGATTGCCTCTTCAGCAACGAAGACGAGGAGGCGAAAGACGTCGATCGCGGGTTGATCCCGGCAATCGCAACTTTACTCGAAGCCGCGAAGCGGCCGATCGTTGTCGTTTGTAAAAGCGAAGAGATGCTGGACGGTGACGATGGACAGCTTCGTCAGTTGACGTCTTTAGGCACGTCGACGACGAGAGTTGGATTCGAGAAACCTACCGTGGAAGAGTTGGCGAAATATTTGCGCTTGTGTTGTTTGGCAAAGGCGAAAGCTTCTTCTCCTTCAGAAGAAAAAGAAAAAGAAAAAGATGATCTTTATCCTCTGTCGACATCGAAAGGATCGCTGTCCATGTCGCACTGTTTGAAGATTGCGAAATTAAGGAAAGGTGACATTCGCGGCGCGCTGAACGATTGCGAAGTTATGAGCGCAGCTCCTCCCGGTTGCGGGAAAAGTATCGCCTTCAAAGAAAAAGATTTGTTCGCGGCGGGGGATGACGAAACGACGGACGATTTTCTCTTTGACGTCGCTTTGCCGCTCTTGAACGATGCGTATTCAAACGGTGCTTTGCCCGTTGCGGCTGTTGCGTTCACTGAGAAGATTTCGAAAGACTACGAAGCGAAGGAAAATGCATTCGTGGCGAAATACGCGGAAAAGTGCGACGCTCGATTCTTGGAATACTCGTTGAAAGAGAACGAAAAGCGCGAGAAGGCGAAAGCAGAGCGCCGGAAGAAGAAGCTTCAAGCGCTCGGTTTGAAAGAATCGCAAGTGGATCCTGACATTACCGCGTGGAAAGACTTGGAAGAAGAAGGAGGAGAAGAGAAGAACAGTGAAGATCCATCGGCGATGGAAAAAGAGAAGGAAGAAGAAAAGCAAGAAGAACGAAAAGTTGACAGCGTAAAGTGTACGCCGGTGAAAAACGAGCAAAGAGAAAAAGGTGCGATGGTGATTGTAGAGAATGAGGACAACAACGACGGAGAAGGAAGAGGTGTGAAAGAAGGCACGTCGCCACATTTTTCGCAGCAGAATCTTGACATCCCGCCGTCGCCGTTGACGTCTGCGCCTGAAGTTGCCGAGGCTTCTGTAGAATCAGCCGAATTCTGGGAAACTCACGTCCAAAGAATGAACTCAGTATCAAACCTTTCGAGCATTCAAACTAATTTTGACGCTTTAATGCGTCCAAAACCGTTTGGTGCGAACGGAGTGCCGTTGTCGGTGAAACCCGGAGTGCTCGCTCGATATATCGATTACTGCGATACCTTCAATAGCGACACGAAGGAAACGCAATTCATCGACGAAGATTTCCTCTTGACCGGTGGCGAGCCTCGAAAGCAGTTTGGGGACGAGAGAAAACGAGTATCGTCGCAATGCATCGACGTTGGTTTACAACGATTCAAAGAAAACGTCGTTGGTACTGTTTTATGCGAAGGGGGCTTCACGGATGCCGCAGCGATAGACTTCACCGAGCGCGCTCGAAAAGAAGGAGAGAAAAAGGCGACGTCGGACGAAAACGATATTCTCTTCCGCCAACGCGAACACGCGACTCTGTTGAACCCGAAACTAGCATCTTCGAACAGTGTTTCGTTAGCGACGTACGTCGGGTTCGCCTCTAAAATTGCCAAAGCGAGGTTTCAACCAACCGCTCTGGATACTCCCGGTAAAACGCGCACGAGAAGAGCGAAACTGAGCATGCATTTAGATAAGGTCGTCGGCGTGCGAGAACAAGAACAAATCGCAAACTTGTCAAATTTTAATAGATAGTAATAGTAATAGTAAGAATTTAACACGCAGTAAAATTAGTTCCACTCAAAAAGTCATAGAAGAATAGATACGTATTACCACAACGGTCCGACGCGACGACTTCGGGTCGAACTACTACTCGAACTGCTACTGCTATGTCCACTACTCCCGCGTCGACTGTCCCTTTCTGCTTCCCTCGCGGCTTCTTTCAAAACCAAAGCCGCTTTCATCTTCACCTCGTCTTCGGGACAATCCTCCCCGGGCGTACAATCCGTGCTGTCTTCTAACCCGGCGTAATCGCCTTCTAATTTGTCCAGTCTGCATTTTTCTATGTTTGCGTGTTGACACCCGCAATTCCAGTTTCTATCTCCGCCGTCGTCTTTGTACTTGCAGAATTCCCACAAACTCGCCGGCGGTTGCGACAATGCCTCGAACGTTCGTTCTTCGTTATCGAAGCAGTGAACGTCGTTGCCTTCTTTTCGAGCGCCTAAACCGTGGAAGTAATGGTAATTTAGTTCGGCATGTTTTTCATCCTTCGCGGTTTCGTTGACGCCGATGCCGATACCTCGAGAAAACTTTGCTAAACCTTCGACGCCGAAACCGTAGACGGTAACTTTTGAACACAACGAGGTGAGCATGTTCGCGCAAACCCATCCGGAGGAAGGGACATTCAAACCTTTATACGGCCCAAAACCGCTTCGACACAATCGTTCTCGGTAATGCTCTAATATCGGCGCCGCCATCGACGTCGCTCTCGAGGAGATTCGAACGGCTAAGATATCTTTCCTCGTCTCGAAGAGTTGCGAGGCTAAATTGCCGTACTCTTTCAAAGTAGCTCGGGATATCAACAAAGTTAACCCTTGTTCTAGTGGATGTTGTTCGACCGCTTTGTTCCGTATTTTAGAGGCGCCAGAATAGTAGTTTCTCGTCCACAATCGATTCAAAACGCGGTGCGTGACTTTCAAACCAACTCGGCGCGAATACCCTCTTTGCGGCGCTTGGTTCAATCGAACGACGACGTCGTGTGAATCGATTGCCTTTCCGTATTCAGAAAGACGCAACAACCCGCTGTTACCGACGACTGCACACGTTCCCCACTCGCCTTTTTTCACCGGCGCGCGTTGTCTCGCCGATTTTTTATGCGCTCGCATGTTCGACGAAACCGCCGCTTCCAACGCGATCGGCCCGGCGTCAAATTCCTCCGTCCCTGGAATCGGATTCGAGTTCGGTTTCCACATGTAATCTTTCACCGGTAAAGTTGGCATCGGTATACCTTCCGTGCTCGGCATTTCCTCTTCCTGCTCTTTCTTACACTGCACGAACCTTTTGTGCGATAACTTGGCTTTAATCGACGGTCGATCGAACCACGTCATTTCTTTGTTCGGATCTTCCTCGCCGTCGTCAATCATGTCTTGATCGGCAACGCCTTCAATGTCCGCGATTTCGGCTAATCTTTCCGCGCGTAAACGCTTTTCACGTTGAACGAGCTCATCCACGGACATTTTCCCGCCTTTCATGACGTCCGACATTCTACCGTCCGCAATCGCCATCGCCGTCGCTCGCGACAAACCGGCGTTTTCTAATTTCGAAATCAACCACTCTTTCCTATCCTCTTTCGCCTCTTGCTTTTCAGCGCGTTCGTATTGCACGACTTTCTTTTCTTCTTCGGACCGAATTTTGGAATCTTTAATCTCCACCGCGATCCATTCGCCGCCAACGAATTCGTATTCGGTGTTATCTCGCCCTTCTTTCCTGATGTTTTGTTGCGCGTACTCTTCGCTCGCGTCCCAGGGGGCTTTCTCGCTTTCCAACAGATTTTCAGCGTCGAGTTGTTGCATCTTCGCCTCGGCATCCGCGGTAGCGTCTACATCATTCGCTAAACCTTCCGATTGCGAATTCGTGTAGGCGTTGGCAAACCGTCTTTCAATCATTACTCGCGCTTCGGCGTCGGAGATTTCATCCGACCGTAATCCTCCGGCGTCGCGAATGCCGTCCACGACTTCCGGTTTCTTCGGGAAGACGAGATTCGCCAAGGCTTCGTCTTCGGAGAGTTGTTTCTTAGCGAGCGCGATTTCTTCGGACAACAACTTTGGCAACAACCGTTTCAATATCTTCTTCTTCTCTTCGTCGTCGGCGTCGCTCTTCTCGAGGTAGTTCTTTCCGCTGGAAGTTTGCCCGGTCAAAACCGCGTCGCCGCTGTCGCTCTCCACAAACGCGGCTTTGAAAATCTGCTCGATCACCGAGGGCGAAATCGTGTCTTTTGCATCGTCGTCGTCGTCGCCTATCGCGCTCAAATTTGCAACGACTTCGGGCGAAATCTTTGCAAACACTTCCAATAATGGATCGTTCAATAATTTCGCGCGCGCGCGCTTCGTGCTTTCACTCTCCTCTTCGTTTTCCTCATCACCTCCTCCATTACTACGACTATTCCCTTCCTCATCGTTACCTCCATCGTCGCCGTTCTCGTTTTCGTCCTCCTCCTCCTCTCTTCCTTCTTCTTCGACGGCGACGACGGGAAGCTTCGCGTCTTTTTCGTGCGGTACCAAAACATCATCATCTCTGACCGCTCCTCCTCCTCCTTCATCTTCTTCTTCCTCGGCGCTCTCACTACCTAAACTCGTTCCCATCGCTTCGTCTCGATTGCTCAAACCATGGTGTTGATGCTTTTGCAACCTCTTCAAAGCGTCGAAATCGTTCCCAAAAACCACGAGCTCAAACGCTCGTACGATTTGAGGAAGAAACACAGCCACGAAGAATAAAGCGCAGACGAATACGCGCATTTTGCGTCGTTTCTTTTTCTTCGCATCTCCTCCTTTCCACTCTTTATCGTCGGCTGATTTTTCCGCCTCATCATCATCATCACAGCCTCCAAAGAAGAAGAATCCAAAACGCGAAGAAGAAGAAGTCCCTCCTCCTCGTCTGCTCTTGAACGGAGAAGAAGAGGGCATGAGTATCAGAATAGTACGTATATAACTCTAATACTGTTAATAAAAGGTTGTTGTATTGCGTGTTATTCTCCTCCTCTTTTGCTGCGCATGATGATGGTACAAATTTTGAGGTTTTGTGGCAGTCTTGTCTCTTTAAAATACTACTCTTGATTATGCGCGTCGTATGCGCTTTATGTCTCTCTCTCATTCTCTCTCTCATTCTCTCAGAATTCTTTCGCTCCCTTGGCTTCCCTGCGTTTTGTGTGTGTTTTTATGAGGTGTTTAACGTTCCGTCTTCGTATCGCCAACCGGGTGGGAGAGGACAGTTGTTGTCGAGGAGGTATTGTAAACACTCGGTGTGGTTGTTCCAGTGCGCGCCTTGTACGGACGCAGAGTCCCACGGCGCTTTGGCGGTTTCGTGTAAGTACTTCAAACAGTCGAAGTGGCCGATCTCGGCTGCAAACGCACACGCACACACGCCATATTTATCAAACTTACGCTCAACAAGATATTCGAGTATGTGGAGATGACCTTTTGCAGCCGCCCAAATGGCAGTATACTCATCCCAAGGCGCTTTGGCATCTTCGTGTAAGTATTTGAGGCACTCGAGATGACCGTTTTCGGCAGCATCTGCACACTCCAACATACTGATAGGACACTTATTTACAATGCAATACTTTACCATTTCCAGATTACCTTGACATACGGCCGCACAAATCGTCCTTGGATCCCACTTACACTTTTTCTTCTCTCGCGCCCACTTGAGCAACTCGAGTTTATTCGTTAGAGCAACTTGAGAGCAGAAAGATCTTTCATCCCAGCGCCACGCCCACAACGATCGATTCTCCCACGCAACTTCCAAAGTCGATATCGACGACATCTCTCCAATATTAAACTTCTTTTTCAAAGCGCCCGCGCGAGTTGATCTCTTCACCAACGCTCTCGTCTCCTTATTCACCCCGTACAAGAATTTGAGATCGGTCCCGTTCAGTTTCCACATCACGTGCTTCTCCACGATATCGCGACACGCGCCGCCACTCAGCGACGCCTCCCTGAACAAACGCCACAACGGTAAAGGCTCACTCTCGAGAACCTTTCCTAGTCTCTCGCGTTCCTCCTCTTCCGTCGAGTATTCGGAGGACATCATCCTTCTTTCGTCCGGATGAATGAATGAGATCTCGCTTTTTTTTATAATAACGCCAATTTTTATTTTTTTCCCTTCTTTTTCTTCTCTGGAATCTTTTGCAAAATTGGACGAAAAGAACAACACTTGACAAAAAAGCGCTCGTTTACTACGAGTTTTGTCTCGTTTCTTCGAGAAAAGGGCATAAACTGCTTTTGTTCTTGGAAAGGTAAAAAAGAGAGCTTTTGAGGAGGAAAGGTGTTTGTCGCACTAACGGAGTGATTCTTTCTCTCTCGCGTGTGTTCTTAGTAGTAGTATTACGTTTGCGTTTTGTGTCATTTCTCATCTCTCTCGGATAACACGAGAGACCGTTAGAGAAATCAAAATCAGTTTGATTCTTCTTTCGTCCTAATAAGAGGAGAAGTTTTGCGCGTAAAAGAAGAAGAAGAAGAAGTGATTATATTAAAGAAGAAGAAGAGCGAATAATAATGCGCGCGAACAACGTCTCGTTCAACCACGACAGCTCGTGCGTCGTCGTAGCGACGGAGAATGGATTCCGAATCCTAAAAGCAGATTCCGGGGCGTTGCTTCACAAATTCGATGCTATAGGTCCAATGCGCATATGCGAAATGCTTCGCGACACTCGGTTGATCGTGTGCGTGGGCGACGGTGGAGGGTTAGAGACGCCGGATTTATCGCCGAGACGGTTGAAAATCTTAAACGTGGATTGGGAAACTTTAATCGCGGATTTGGCGTTTCGGACGACCGTAAGGAGCGTGAAGATGAACAGACACGTTTTAGTCGTTTGCGAGGACGAAGAGGTGACGGTGTTCGAAATGAAAGGATTGACGAGGGTGATGAACGTGCCGCAAAGGAATGTTAACGCGGAGGGGAAAGGCGTGATGGCTATTAATAGCGACGCGGTGAGCGCGTCTGATTTTAGTAGTAGTAGCGAGAAGGGAGAAGAAAAAGAAGAGACGAAGAACGAGAAAGCGACCAATACCAATAGTAGTTATTTAGCGGTCGTGTCGCACCTGTCCGAAACGACCGTCGTGATTTACGATTTGCACAACGTGCACGTGGCGACGGAGATTCCAAACGCGCACGAAGGACCGGTGGCGATGTTGGCGTTCTCGCAAAAAGGGGACATTTTAGCCTCCTGTTCGGTGAAAGGAACGGTGGTGAGAACGTGGGACGTGCCGTCTGGGGAACCGAGGAACATTTTTCGGCGCGGCGCGACGACGGCGGAGATTACGAGTCTACAGTTTGCGTACAGCAGTGAAAGATTCGCGTTCGAGCCGGAACTTTTAGCCGTGGCGTCTGACTCGGGAACGGCGCACGTGTTCCAATGCTTTGAGAGCGCTACTAAATCGAGTAGCAGTAACGAAGAAGAAGGTAAAGAAGACAAAGACGAAAAAGACGAAAAAGAAATCGATGAGGAAAAGAAAGTGGAAGCGATTGAGGCGAAATACAACGCGTCCTCCGCGTCCACGGCGCACAAAATCTTGCGCCTAGGAGGCCTGGTTTCAAAACTGGCACTCACGGGCGCAAAGAAAGTCACGAAGACGTCCGTGAATGCGCTCGCGAAAGTTTCGAGCACGGTTTTGCACACGACAGGCGTTTCCACCAAATTTACGAAGAGCTTCTTAGAACCGAAACGCGCCGCCGCGGTTATAAAATTACCGGCGCATAAACGAATGGCGGCGGCGAGGAACGAGAAATTCGCGATTGGTTTAGGAAGCGGCGAAAGTAACTTACAAGTAGACGTCGTTAATACGAATAAAGTTAAAGCAGCAGCGGTGCCTTCACCAACTCAATCGCGGGTGGAATGGAACGTCGTCTCCATTCGACCGCCGGCGGATTTCAATCACGATGCTAAAACTATCATCGTTGGCTCAAAAAGCAGTAGTCAGAAAAAGGATGTCGCTCTTAACACGCCGCCTTCGTTGAATCCAGACGACGAAGACGAAGATGTCGGAGATACTACCAATGAAGACGTCAAAAAGGAGCTGACCAAACGAGTCCGCGTCGTCTGCGCATCCTCGACGGGTATTTTGTACGACTACCGCGTTCGATTGAAGTCGTCGGTGCAAGCGGTAAATAACGACGACGACGACGACGACGACGGTGAGAACAATTCGCCACTCCTCGAAACAACGGCGAGTAGTACTACTACCACCACCAACAACAACAAGAAGAGTGAGTGCGCTTTGGAGCGCGAAATCGCCATGCTTACCCCCGGTGCATCCGAGACGACGACGACGACGACGAGATTCACCGGCTTCTCGGGATGGCGACGACCGGGGTCCTCCTCCTCCAACTCCTCTTTCTCGAAAAAGCAACAAACGCAACAAAAACAAAAACAACAGCAACCCTCGACCGCGGACGAGGAGGAAAACGCGCTCAAATACAGCATGATGCAAGCCAGTCAGTTGCGTTCGCCGTCCTCGCATTCGACGAGTTAAAAAAAAAAAGAGGCCCACGCGCCGCGCGACGAGAGAGAGAGAGAGAGAGAGAGAGAAAGAGAGAAGAAAACAGGAACAAAAGCGAAAGAAAGAGCGAACGCTGAACAAGCGTGGTCAAAAGTCTTCGTCGTCGGCGAAAAGGCCTCGTTCCCGACGACGAAAGAGTGTATAGCTTGACTTGACTCTCCTTTTTCTCGAGTTTTAAAAACAGACACAAAATTTGCAACCCTAAATTTGACAAGTAAGTGTAACACCCTCCGTTCGATTTAATGTATTCGTCATTTACTACACACGAAGACAAGTAGGAATAAGACGACGATGTTTTCTTCCTCTTCCTCGACGAAGCGATCGACGCTCGCGTTCTTCGCGATGCTGTTTTTCATCTGCATCGCCTCGTTTGCATCCGCCGCCAGGATTTCTCCGGCGATGAACGAGAATACTAATAATATTCCATCCGCGGACAGTAATGGTCTGATCCCGAGAACTCGAGTCCCAGCTCCGACGACGACTGGCCCGGCATCGGCGAGATTGGGCGCCTCCGGGAACTGGTTCGTGCACTCTTCGGTGCGTTCTTTTTTAGTGCTTTACTCTTTTTCTTCGCTTTGTTTTTCACTCTTCTTCTTCTTCTTCTTCTTCTTCTTCTTCTTCCGTGATGATGATGTTTTGATGAGGGCTGTGGAAAAGCAACAACACCCAAAACCCCATACGGACCCCGACGAAGATCGAACGCCGAACAATCACAATCACAACAACAACAACCAAACACGAAACTGACCTTATTAAAATGAAACTTTTTTTAAATGTATTCACAACAACAACAACAACAATGAAAACAACTATGAAAACAACAGTGCATAATGGAAGCGCCGACGATCGGCGAACCGCAGAACATGGCCAAGATCGAGTCCGACGTCGTCAAGACGGTGATGCACGAGTTCGTGTACCACAACATCAAGAACTTGGGTTTCGACGAGTCGAACGTCCACGTGCACGCGTCCAACGGCGGTCACAGCGACGTCGTCGCCATCGAGTGGGAGATTGAATTGGTCGAAAAGTATCAAGCCGAGGATACCGCCGGCTACTTCAACGACTTGTTCCAAAACGAGAACTGGCATCAACACGTGACGCAATGGATGTCTTTCCAAGGCCAAGCAGCGGGCCTCCAAGCGGGGGAACTGTTGAAGAACTTGGACGAGTTCGAGTTAATCCTTCCGGCGCACTTGGATCAAAAGAAAAACACCGCCATGGACAGCGCGTCGCACTCGGCGGAAGTCCAAGCCTTGATTGATAAATGGCTCGAAAGCGAGAAGCCGGAAGCGAATACGATCACCTTGTTCGCCGGGTGCTCCCCGCTTTCGTCCTTGACGTTTCAACCGACTGACTTTGGCGCTCAAGTTGGCGCTTCTATCATCACCAAGTCTCTCAGCAATGATTTCAAATTCGACTCCGCCGTTGAGATGGAACAAACTGAGTGCGGTACTTTTAAGACCAAGATCTTGCCGAACGCCGGCGAAGAGTTTGGCTTTTATTTGTTCTGGAAAACCAACGTGACTGAAATCGGCTCTGTTTCGGATATCGGTTGCGACGGTTCGGACACGAACACCTGTCCGCCGGGTGATGTCATCGCGTCCCTCGCTTCTTGCACCAACAGCGTCCAAAACCCGGGCTTTGTCTCGCACAACAGAGTTTTCGATGGCAGCACGTTGAACTACAACTGGGGCACCTGCGACTCGACTTGCGACAAGAAGCCGGCTACGTGCGCGGCTTCTCTTGGCGGTCCGGTCAAATACAAATTGTCCTCGCACTCTCCGCTCGGTCTCATGAAGACGAAGATGTCGTCTTTTGCGTCGTCGCCGATCGCCTTCATCGGTGCCGCCGTCGTCGCCGTCGTCGCCGTCGTCGCCGCCTACAAGGCTAAGTTTGTCCGCTCGGGCGAGTCGTCCATCGCCGCCGCCAAGAGCGTCCAATACGGCGCCGTTCATTAATTTTTCAATAACAACACGAAGAAATTCTCATTAAAGAAGAGAATAAAGACGCGAACATGGGATGATGATGATGATGATGATGTTTGTTCGATTACTATTTATTTAGACTCATTATTATAGGACGATGATATCTTTATCTCCTCCTTCGTTTTAAAATGAGCACTCTATCAATCAATGTTTTATGCGCACACGTATTTATCTTTGCACGCCTTTATTCACGCACACGTTTAAAGCAAAACGTCCTTTCGACGCACCACCAAATGTCAGTCTTCGCCTTCATTGCTTTTGTGATGGATGTGATGCAGAGCGTGCGAGTGCACGTCGTAATGATGGACTTTTGAAGAGTTGAAAGAACTTGGAAACTTAACGAACGATCCGAAAAGTATCGCAAAGAAAAAGAGCAGGAACAAGACGAGCGAGAATATGAACAGAGGCGCGTCGATGCGTTTCTCTTCTTCTTTGTTGTTGTCTTCTCGTTCTCGCTCTTTGTGTTTCATTTTCCCGTCGTCACCGCGTCATATCTCTTCACTTTTTATTTCCATTTTATCCATTTTAAAGTAACAACTTTTCCCGGATATTTATTCTCGTTAAACATCGCGCGTTTCTGCGACATCATCTCGAGAAAAGAACGCATCGAAAGAGAAGAATAACGATGCGTTCGTCGTCCTTTCGCTCCTGCTCTTCCGAAAATCCTCCTCACCGATCGTCTCGATTACTAAAAGAATGAAAGAAGATTTGTATTCGATTTTAGGCATCGCTTCAACCGCGACTGCGGGGGAGATAAAAAAGGCGTACATTAAACTCGCGAGGGAGAAACATCCGGACGTTTTGAAGAACTCTTTATCTGTGGGAGACAAACAGGAGGGAGAAGAGTTTAAGAAAATCGCGCACGCGTACGATATTTTACGAGACGTAAGAAAGAGACGGGAGTACGACGCGCTGAGGACGAGTGGTGGTAATACGAGTGGTGGGTTTGCGACGAGCGAGGAGACGAGGACGAGAACGAGGACGTGGCGGCAAAACAACAACCGAGGAGGAGGAGGAAAAGGAGACGCGTACGAAGGCGCGTCCTGGGAAGACTCCAGATTTACCGAACAAGAGTTGAAGAATCGATACGCTAAGTTTAAATCGGAATCCAAATCTCGCGCGGAAAACTCAAAGTGGTGGCGAGAGGAGAAGAAAGAGGCGGAGAAGAATAAGAAGGAGTTTAACGAGAAGGCGTTTCAAGCGCGAGCGAGGAAGGCGGGGAGAGACGCGGAACGGTTGAAAAGGAGCGGCGGTTTCGTCGCGCGGACGGGATACGTTTGGCAAGACGCGATGGTTGGGATGGTATCGGTGGCAATCTGTATAGGCGCCGGGACGTACATCAATCGGAAGATGGAGCAAAGGGCGCGGGAGAAGCACCACGAGGAGTATTCGATGACGAACGCGCCGCCTGTGCCGCAAAAAAATGACGGCGATGGCGGTAACGACGACGTCCAGAATAAATGAATTAGCACACAAAAAAGTAGCGAGCGCGCCATAGTTTTTAGTACCGAGTAGTTCAGTAGTTTGTCCGTGTTTAAAAATGTATTTTTATCTTATTACAATGTACAACTTTTTATGGTAGTAGATGGTGATGTTGAGTACCGTATCTTACAATTCCTTTTTCTGCTTCCCGGTGACGTGTCGAATACCGTCGACGAACGTGTCGTACCCTCTCTTGAGACTTTCCTTCGCCACGTCCAAAGCGGGATCTAACCCTTTTTTAGCCTCGTTCAATCCGCCTCGCAACGCTTCCTTCACGTACCTCGCTTTCCTTCGTACTTCCAACTCTAACTCCGACCGACCTTTCTTTTCAAACTCGGATACTTCCGCTAACACTCGCACGTACGAACGCGTCGCCGTTTTAAACTGATCGATGGAGTAGTACTCGTTCGGCGCGTGGTACATGTTATCTTTGGTCGAGAAAGCCATCAACCCGGGTTCAATGGAGGCGTATTTTTGAATCATGCGCATGACTGGGATGGATCCTCCTTCGTAGACAACTTTCGGTTCGATGCCGTCGTAGACTTCCGTCAATACTTTCTTCGCCACGCGATTGGAAACCGAATCGATTTGGCCCAGGAACGGTTCGTTTGAAAATCCGGAATCGACGGTGGACACATACGCTCCCTGCGAGATTCGTAACGCCGTTTTCTTCACGTGTTTCTTCAACAGCCGTAAACTTTTTTGCGGGTTTTGGCCAGGTGCTAAACGACTGACGATTTTCGCGGACGCGTAGTTTGGTAACACCGTTTTAATCCCGTCGCCGACGTAGCCGCCGTAGACGCCGACGAACTCGATCGTCGGTCTCACCCCGACCTGTTCCGCGACGGATACGTTCGTCTCGCCGAACAACGCGCCTCCCGAGGCAGTCTTTCGAAACTCTTTATTCGATGGGAAATCTCTTTTCATCCGATCGATTTCTTCCTTGGAGAAATCGTAAATGTCTTCGTAATATCCCTCGACTAAAATCTTTCCCGTTTTCGGATCGTGAAAGGAAGCCATCAACGCGCTCAAGGCGTGAATTGGGTTCAAAATCGCGCCGCCAAACGATCCCGAGTGTAAATCCACCTCGGCGCCATTTTGTACGGTAATTTCTAAATCCACTCCACCTCGCAAACCTAACGTCAAAACGCCGTTTTTATTCCAGTCTCCCGTGGATCCGTCCGCGGAAAACGCGGCGTCCACGTTCCCGAGGTACTGTTTCGCGTATTTTTTCATCCACACGTCCAACCCGGGCGACCCGATTTCTTCCTGTCCTTCCATCAAAACAACAACTCGCACGGGTTTATTCCCTTTCTTCGCCATGTACGCCTCTATCGCGGATAACACCGCCCACAAATTGCCTTTGTTATCGCTCGCGCCTCTCCCTTTCACTTTCGTAACGTTCCCGGTATCCGAGTCGACGCTCGCACACTCCTCGAAACTTTTCGGAAACGCTTCAGATTCCGTCCACAAACCATCCGCGGGTTGCGTGTCGTAATGATTGTAAAATAATACGGTCGGAATTAACGTCTCGTCGACGAAATCCACGTTTAACATCGACGGTTTATTAATCACTTTTTCTCCAACCATCACCGAATGCGCTTTCGGATGAAACTTTGATAAATCGAACGTTTTAATCGAATCAAACTTTAACTCTTTCAGTTTTTCCTCCACAATTCTCCTCGCCTCTTCGACGCCTGTTCTCCCATCGCTCGTCGAAAACGCCGAGACCGATTCCGCGCCGATGAAATGGCACAACTCGCGCACGTTCTTTTCTAAACTCTTTTCTAAATTCGTGTCCGAGGCGTAATTCACGAATTGGATTTGCGTCGCAAAAGAAGACCGTAAAGAAGAGAAAGAGAGAAGAAAAAGAAGGAACCCGACGTTAAAAAGAACGCCGCCGAATGTATGTGGTGACGGTGGGAAAGAGGAAACCAACTTCATCCTCGCAAAGAAAGGCAAGAAAGGAATATAAAAACAGAAGAGAGAGATACACGTTTTTGACGTGATTTTGAAAATCTTGCCCGGAATTATGTGTGTAGCAATTTAGGGTTTATAACCCTAGATTCGATTGGCTGGCCGCAAATCTTGCACTCCTTTTTGTTACCCACAGAAAAAGAGGAAGTCCACCCGTTAGCGCACCGCGAATACCATTCTTTGCGACGAATACACGTAAAGGTATTCAGCGGAAAAGACGAACAACCGTAAAAATCGTAACGAGGAAACAGTTTCGCGCGTAAATAAGCAGTTTAGAGCGTCGAACGCCATTCGCGACAGGGAGCAGGAGCGAATCGTCGTTCTCGTTTTCGCGAGTGTGAAAATTTCTCTCTTCTCTGAGTCATTTACGAGGGAAAAAGAGGGAGCTTTTTGCACCCGTTCAAAAAAGGCCAACACATTTTATTTAGCGGTGTCACAAAAGGGAGGAGAGGTCCGCTAGAATACTCGAACGCGAAAAAATGTCCGACCGAATCACGCCGGATTCCTTCTTTAGCGACACGCACGCGTTCGTCGCGCCGCAACCGGTACGTTTTTTCTTCTTAGTTCTTCGTCGTATTCGCGCGAAAATGTATTCTATTTACTCATTCCGCACACACAAAAAAACTTTTGTCAGCAGAGTGCTTCTTCGAGAGAGTTTTTCGACCGCTCCTAGTGACTCAGCTTTTTCACACAACAAGGAAGAAAAAAAAGAGAAAAAATGTTCTCCCTTTTTTGGGTGTGCAAGCAAAAGCCAAGAAGACGCTTTTTTGATATATCAAAATTCATCAGAAGTGCTGACCTGTGTATTCTATATAATACACATATTCTCTTCTCCCGTTCTGATTATTATTATTATTACGACTTTAAAAACAGATGATGACGTTCACGAACCCGCCGGCACCTGCGATCGCGTCCGGAGGAGGAGGAGGGAACAGAGGAGGCAAAGGAGGAGGCGTTTTTAACGACCGGGGTGGGGAAAATTCATCCGACGATCAAAACCAACAACAGAATTCAAACAGCAAAGACGACGACAGTAAAAAAAGCAACAACTCTGATACGATTCACACCACCACGAACAATAAAGGAGGAGGATTTCACCACTTGGACGCGAGGAATATGGACGAGCGACCGATTCCGACGATTGGCGCCACGCACGCGCAACAGCAGTTGGATCAAGAGAGGGCGACGACGACGGGGAATACGAATAAAGGGGGAGGGACGAAAGGAGGGACGAAAAACGAAACGACGACGACGGCGTTTTTATCCGTCCACGATTTAGTGCACTTTGCAATCACGACGTCGAGCACGCGTTCGGCGACGTTGAGAGAGATTTACGAGACGTGCGAGAAACACGGACGGATCGCGCACAAGCATAATCGAAAGTCGAGAGTGATTACGTCAAACGGACACTGGAAGTCGCAAGTGAGACACGCTTTGTATACGAGCAAAAGGTTTACGAGGAACGATGCAAAAGGCGTGCAAGGCGATCGATGGCGAGTCATTCCGCAGTTTGCTAATGAACCAGTCCATACGGTTGTCGTTGACGATGCCGGAGATAGCGAGACGAACGGCATAGCAACGACGACGATAGCGAGCAATAACAACAACAACGGAACAATAGGAAGTAACGGGGGACTTCATAACAACAATAACAACAACACTAGTAGTAAAGCAAAGGCATCAGTAGGAGCATCGAAGAAACCACCGAAAGCGACCACAGGCGTGGCGACGAACAGAAAAACGACGAAAAAGAATCCGACAAAGGCACAAATAGCGGCTGCGGCGAAGAAGAACGCGGCGGAGAATAAGAGCATATCGTCCGATTTGCTTCACGACGCCCACGTGGCTGGGTTCCAAAACGAGCAACAAGGAGGAGGAGGAAAGAGTAACGGAACCCAGGATATCTTCTCACCGTCGACAGGGACAAAGCGATCGTTAGGTCAAATTATGGACGAGGATTTATCCTCGTTTGATATGGAGGCGGTGGGTAGAAGGTTTATGCGCTTTACGCCAGACCCGTCTCTGAACGACCAGACGGCGAACATGAACGGCGCCATCGGCGGCGAGGTGATGCATCAACACCCGTACGACCAAAACCCGAAAGTAAACGGGCACATGGTCAGGCCGTTGAGTCCAGTAGCTAGACAATCGATTCCGATATCTGGACCGAATGAGTTGCGACATTTGAAGGCGAAACCTCGAGATTTACTTAGAAATCGAAGGAAATCGAGTTCGGCGAGCGTCGGACAAGCGCCGTGTTCGCCGGACGCCATCGATAAACTCAACGAGTACTTCCCGAAAGAGAGTGAAATGGCGACTATGTTTTCATTCTTCTAATCGTCGTTCGCGGTTTAGACGGAAGAGTTCGGAAAACAAAACAACTATTCTTTCGTGCGTTACCACACATCATCATAATGATCAACGTTATAGAAACACTGCACGCGGCAAAAACGCATATATAAAAAATGCACACTTCTATTTATCTCGTGAACGAACAATGTTTGTTGTAATGCTAACTAAAAACGTACATTAATATTAGGTTTACCTTTTTGGGGTACAGTATATAATAAAATTATGCGCTTCTCTTCTTCTTATGTACGGGTCATAGCCGGTATTCTAGAAAATCTTTCAACTACGCTTTTGTATGAAAACAACTAAGGAAAGTATGTACGGCATCTTAACTACTGCGAACCTCCAAGGGAAACGCTCTCGACTGCGGCTAATAAGAGTTCCCTCGGTGTCATTTTGTCGTCTTCCGACATTGATCCAGTTTCTCTCCACGATTTTGCGCCTCCTTTCTTGTCTCTCCACTCCTTTGCGACTCTCGCGAGACGCATAAACCGTTCTTCCTCGGAATCTTCCAACTCCAACTGGTACTTACGAATGCTCTTCGCCTTTTCGCGTTCCACTTCCGAGGGAGTGCTCGTGTGATTGTCGTACCGCGTTTTCAGCACGTGTTTTCTTCTCAATCCTTCCAGTTGCGCGTTTAACGTGTCGTGCGCGGCATTCGTGGACGATTTCGACGCGTCTGGACCTCCAAACGCTTTGAAATTTATTCGCTTCTCCTTTGCCTCGGCTTCTATCTTCAATCTTTCCTTCTCCGCCTCTTGTACTCTTTGAAAGTTTTCCATCGGCGACGATTGTTTACTTATCGGTTTAATCACTCGTTTTTTCTTCTTATTCGCTCGCGACGGAAACAGATTACCTTCACCTCCCGCTCCTGCTTTTGCGGTATTTGATGCCATCGCCGCGGGATCGAATTCTTCTTTCATCTTTGCCATCCGTTTCATCTCTTCCACCCTCCTAAACGCATCTTCTCTTTTCCTCTGCGACTTTGCGTTTACGTTTCGATCCAACGCCTTCTCCTTGTCGTATTTCACCTTCCATCTCCAATCGTGTTCTTCCCACTCCTCGTCCTTGCTCATTTCCTTGGTCAGAGCCTCGTTATCCGGGCTCGCGATTTCCAACCGTAGCGTCCGATAGGCTTTTTGCACCTCTTGAAACGCCTCGGCGGACGCCGACTTCCCGCCCGTGTCCGGATGCGTTCTCAAAGCGTGTCGTCTGTACGCTCGTTTCAATTTTCGTTCGTCTTTTGCTTCCGCCAGGGACAGACCTAACACTCTCGCCGCTTTTGAATTCCCATCGGTCGTTCGTATTTCGTTCTTTATTGTTACTCTTTTTCTTCTTCCTCTCGTTCTTCTTCTCGATGATGATGAAACTGATGAAACTGAAACTCCAAACGTCGTCGTCCTTTGGCCACGTCCTGATGGTGGGAACTTCCCCAACGAACATTTTCCTAAAAATCCTCCTCCTCCTTTCGAAGAAGAAGAAGAACAACACGCAAAGGCGGTGTTGGTCGTCGCGCTCGTTCTGCCCAAAGTAGCAGCGCAAGTAAAAGCAGCGGCACCACCGACAACAACAGAGACCATCGTCAAAGCACTCCTCTCCTTTCTACACTACTCTGCTAAGGAGAACCAAAAATGATGTTAATGAGAGGAAATATGAACGAGGGCAAGTTTTAAAAAGGAAAAAAAAAAGGAAAAATCCGCCGAAAAAAACAGAACGAGGGGAGGAGGCAAAAAAAGAAAACAAAACTTCTTTCTCTCTTTGTTGGGTGCTGTCATGGCTGTGCTTTTCTAAAAAAACAGACAAACGAAGAGGAGACAAAAAAAAAAGCACACAAAAGCTTCTTCTTCACAAGAAAACAAAAAAGGACGAGAAAACAAAAAAATCGCATCATGTCAGCGGATGCATTGAAGCAGAAAGGCAACGAGGCGTTCAAGCGGAACGAGTTTAAACTCGCGTGCGAGATATTCACGGAGGCGATTGAGTTGGATTCGACCAATCACGTCTTGTATTCCAACCGAAGCGCGGCCAGGGTAATACTTATTATTATGTGTATTTTTTGTGCATACAGTTGTGTACATTTTCGAAGCGTTTTTCGATCGTCTTCATCTGTTTGAGATGAGATTACTTTTTCTCGTCAGAAAAGAATGAAGAAGTGGGGTTGTTTTCGCGCGACCACCGAACGCTTTTTGTCGTTGCTCTCGCTCTCGTTCTCGTCCTCGCTCACCATCAAAATCGCGTTTGTTTTTGTTCTCGTTCGCAACAATAAAACGCGTACGAAAGATGGATTGATGAGATGACGAAAGAAAAGACGAAGAGGCGGCTGCCCCCAAAAAATGCTCTTCTTTTTGGTCGAAGTTTGACCGCCGCGAAAGATCTCATCATCATCATCATCACGAATACTAACACGCTTTTTAAACACACACACAACACAAACAAAACAAACAGGCTGGAAACAACGAGTTCGACTTGGCGCTCTCGGACGCGGAGAAAGTGATTGAATTGAAACCGGATTTCGTGAAAGGCTACGGTCGCAAAGGCGCGGCGTTGTTCGGGAAAGGCGAGTTTGAGTTGGCCAAGAAAGCGTACGAGGACGGGTTGAAAGTGGACGCGGCGAACGATACGTGTAAAGACGGAATAAAAGAGTGCGAGCAGAAGTTATCCGGCGACGACGAGGAGTCGAAAGAGTTTACGAAGATGTTCTCGGATCCGCAGTTGTTGGGGAAGTTGGCGACGAATCCGAAAACCAGAGCGTATTTGCAACAGCCGGATTTTATGAAGATGTTCGCGGAGATTCAGAAAGATTCCAACGCGTTACAAAAGCACATGAACGATCCAAGAGTGATGGATTTGTTGTCTGTAGCTTTAGGGGTGAACGTCATGGGTGGGGAGGACTTCCAAAACCAAAACCAAGCGCCGCCGGCGCAGCAGCAGCAACAACAAACTCGAGCTCCGGAACCCGCAAAACCGAAGACGACGAAAACACCCGAAGAGATTAAAAAAGAAGAAGAAGCAAAGTTACCGGAGAATAAGAGGAAAGCGTTGAAGTTGAAGGAAGAAGGGAACGCGTTTTATAAAAAAAGAGAGTTTGACGACGCGGTGAAGAAGTACGAAGAGGCCATCGAGAGCGATCCGACTGATCCGACGTACATTAACAATCGCGCGGCGGTTAGATTCGAACAAGGTGAATTCGATAAATGCATAGAAGATTGCGAAAAGAGCATCGAAGTTGGCCGAGAAAATCGTTCGGATTACCGAATCATCGCGAAAGCGATGGCGAGAAAAGCTTCGGCGTACGAAAAGATGGACAACTTGACGGGAGCCATCGAGTGGTACCAACGATCGCTCACCGAACACCGAGAAGCGTCGACGCTAAACAAATTAAACAGCTGCGAGAAGAAATTGAAAGACAAAGAAACTCAAGAGTATTTGAACCCAGAGTTGGGAGAGAAAGCCAGAGACGAAGGTAACGAGTTGTTTAAAAACCAAGACTTTCCAAACGCCGTCGCGAAATACACCGAGGCGATTAAAAGAAACCCTAACGATCACAAGTCGTACTCCAACCGATCCGCGTGTTACACGAAACTAGCCGCTTTTAACGAAGCTTTGAAAGACGCGGAGAAGTGCATCGAGATCGATCCGACATTCGTCAAAGGGTATTCGAGAAAAGGACACGTCGAGTTCTTCACGAAACAGTACGACAAAGCTTTAGAAACCTACCAAGCGGGGTTAAACATCGACCCAGCGAACGAAGAGTTGAAAGACGGCGCTCGACGATGTGTCATGGAACAAAACAAAGCCGCGAGTGGCATGTTAACCGAGGAGGAGTTGAAAGCGAGACAAGAAAGCGCGATGAAAGATCCGGAAATTCAAAATATCTTAGCCGATCCGGTCATGAATCAAGTCTTGCGCGATATGAGCGAAAACCCGAAAGCGGCGATGGAACACCAAAAAAATCCGATGATCATGGCGAAAGTGAGAAAGTTAATCAACGCCGGGATCGTCCAAACGCGTTAAGAGGAAGAGTACAATAATGCGAAATAATAGAACCGCTCGTGCAACAATAAAATAAAGATACAAAATATACTTGAAATGTCTGTGTGTGCATGTATTCATTCGCTTCAAAAAATATTACAAACGCGCTCAAATCATCTTTAACTACTGACTGAACGATAATCTTGTTACGACGCATATTTCCTATTCTCTCTCTTTCTCTCTCTTCTCATGTACACTTTTTGTAATAATATTTAAAAAGAATTCTTATTGTTTTACGGGGGTTTGTACTCGTTGCTTTTTACAAGAGCAACTGACCGTACCCTTTCGCCTCTTCGTTCAACGCGTACGAAAACTTACCACCGCCGCCTTTCAACAAGAACTCGACCGTTCTCTTCTCCACGGCTTTCATCTTCGCGTCTTCCGGATAAATGGCTTTAAAATCACCGGCGGTAATCGTCGAGTTCTTTTCCATCAATTCGTCGAATTTTAACAAAGCGACGTTGTCGTACTTCACTTTCTCTACGGTTCTATACGCCCCAGTGGACGGAGCTTTTTTAGTCTTCGTCGCGGCTTTCTTTTTCGTCGTCGTCGGTTTTGTCGTCGTCGTTGCTACTATCTTTTCTTCTTCTTTCTTTCCTTCTGCTTCTTCGCGAGCGAATTCCACCACGTTCGATTGCACCATCGTCGAAGCGTTCCCGTCCGCGACGTTCACCTCCATGTCCTCGTTCTTCCCGAAAGTACTCTTCACTTCCACCGCGTTCGTTCCAACTTCTTGCATAAACGTCTCCTCCACTTTCCTGTTCGTGCCTTTTTCCCAGAACGTCTCTCCCGATCGCTTCTCCACGACCAATTTGAACTCAAACTCTTTTCGCTCGATGGGTAAATTCCCTCGCCACACGTTCCCTTCCGTCCAGGAGAGTTTAAACCCATCCTCGGCTTTCCATTTCCCGAGTAACGGCGTCGATCCGACGATCACTAACGTTTCTCCCACTTTCAGTTCCGCGTGAAATTGGCATCGTAAGGCCACCAACTGTTGAGAAGAAGAGGAAGAAAGTTGTGAATCATCGACTTCGTTTCCATTGATCATTTCCGCTTGACTCCCTAACGTCATCGCGTGTGTTCTCATCGTCGTATTCTTGGTATTCAGACAAGATCTGAGAGATCTTCTTGATCGGACCGTGGATTTAGACGAAATACATTTCGGTGCGTTGAATCGCGCGTGAATGAGAGAAGATGCGCTCATTTTTGCAAACGTTTGATCTGTTTCTGTGTATCTGAATTGCGCGTAATGAGGAAGGAGTCCAATTTAATATCTTTTCTTTCTTTCAACGGGGGCCACGAGAATTTTGTTTAGGGTCTCAAAATTTTTTTTTGGTTAAAAGAGTATGGAGTGTTTTGGTGTATTCTTTTCTCAAATACGAGTGTTCTTAAAAAATTCTAATGACTAAAAAAGCAGAGAGGAGGTCCCCTCGTCGTCTGAATCGTCGTCGTCTGAATCGTCGTCAGAAGAAGAAGAAGAAGAAGAAGAAACAATAACTTTTCCGAGTTTCTTCTCCACCCAACCGTCGTACGCCGTCTGGACTCTTTTCGCGGCGCCGTCTCTCGCGAAATCGATGGAGGCGGCGATGGAGGCTTCGCCGATGTTGGTAAAACCCGGGATGGCGTTGACGAAAGACGGGAGTAACGCGGCGATGGTGACGTCCACGTCCGCGACGACGATTGGAGTGACGTATTTAGTATTATTTTTGTTGTTTTTCTTTTCTTCTTTTCCTTCGTCCTCCGCAAAGTCTCGGTCGACTCTCAACTGGCAAAAAATGTTCGCGAAGACCGAGACGTCGTTCACCCACCCGCACTCCTCCGCGTCTTCGTCCGCGCAGAGCATCAAATCAAACCCTCGAAAAGCCTGTTTCCCGAACTCTGTCTCGTCTGGCAAAATCTCCAACGTAAACGCCGGAGAGAGCTCCCAAAACGCAATCTTTTTCTTCGACGCGACGAAGACTTTCCACTCGTCCTCGGACAACCTTTCGTTTCGATCGAACACCACGCCCAGGGATTCGTTCGGGTCTTTCAGCCAGTGTTCGATGGAGGCTTTGTTTTCTAACGCTTCTTTTCTTTCTTTCACGGGAACTCGCATCGTTTTCTTCGCTCGGAACACTTTGTGATCCGGCGGGAACTTTGACGTTTCTCCTCCTCCTTTTCCTCCCTTTTCTTCTCGTCCACTCGTGCTCGGTTGTGCCTTCGATAAAGAGAGCTCTTTTTCTTTTCCGTTGGTTTCCTTTGCCGTTTTCGATGAAGAGGAGGAGAGCGAAGAGAACGTTTTATTGGTATTATTACTCCTCCTCGTCGCCGTTTTTGTTGTTGTTGTTCTTCTTCTTCTTCTTCTTCCACTCGTCGTCTTGAATCTCGTTTCCGTCGTCGTCGTCGTCATCATCCCGTCGCCTTTTGGAGGAAAACAAGAACAACACAAGCTCGTGGTCTTCCTCCTCGACGACGACGAACGCATCGACGATGAGAAGGGTGGTGGTAAAAAAGACGAAGACGAAGAAGGCGCCATCATCGTCTCAAAGTCCTCGTCCTCGAATAAAACTGATGAGTAGTAAAGTAGTAGTAGTAGTATTCGCTCGCGCGCGCGTACTAAGAATACGAGGAAGAAAAAGCGTCCTTTCACGTCACCAAAACTTTGTTGTACCAAAATTGTTTAGGGTTAATTTTAGATTAGGGTTTAGGCACAAAAATCAGTCCTCGATTACATCACGAGAGGAGAGTCACTTTTCGTATCAAAAGCACAAACGCGTTTTACAGAACAAAACGCTCTCTCTTTCTTTTTAAATTAGTAGTAGTGTTACTCGTATTACTCGTATTGGTGAAATTATTATATACATAAAGAAGAATATAATAATAATGCCTCGATTACCGTCGAACTTTGTATCCAAGAAGAAGAAGAAGAAAAATGGAAGCGATGATGATGACGACGAGAAGAAGAATACCAATTCGGAAGACGAAGAGGAAGACGAAGACGGAGGGTACACGGTGGTCGGGGAAGACGTGACGGACTCGTCCGCCTCGGAAGAAGAAGAAGAAGAAGAAGACGCGATGATGATGGCGGGAGGAGAAGGAGCGCAACAAAAGCCGACAAAGACGCAACAACAAAAGCAGCTCGAAAGACCGAAAGTGTGGCGGCCGCCGGAAAACTCCCAAGAAGGGGCTTCAGACGAGATGGAATACGACGCCACGGCGTACGATTGCTTGCACGCGTTTTCGCACGAGTGGCCGAGCTTATCGTTTGATATCTTGAGAGACGATATGGGAGACGCGCGCTCGAAGTTCCCGCACGCGTTTTTTATGGTTTCCGGGACGCAAGCAGATCAGGCGAGTAAGAACGCGTTGTCGATATCCAGGGTGGGGAGGTTGAAGAAAACGGGAGGAGGGACGAAGACTAGCAGTAGAAATAATAATAACAATAGAGAAGAGAAGAAGAAAAAGAAGATGAATAGCAACATTGATAATAATTCGGACGATTCAGATGAGGACGACGATTCAGATGAGGACGATGATTCGGATTCGGAGACGGACGATTTCGACGCGTCCAACCCGTCGAAATCGGGGAAACCGACTTTACACGTCTCGTCGATTTCTCACCCGGGTGGGATTAATCGAGTCCGTTTAATGCCACAAAATGCGGCAATTTGTGCCACTTGGTCGGATTCCGGGCACGTGTTAGCCTGGGATATCTCCACAGCGTTTCGCTCGTTGCAAAACTCCGTGGAGGACCAGAAGAATCAAAACGTGGTGAACGAGAAGAAGATGAAAATCGCGCCGAAGAAAGTGCACTCGAAGCACAAAGAGGAAGGGTACGCGTTAGACTGGAGTTCAGTGTCTGCTGGACGATTAGCGTCTGGCGATAATACCGGATCAATTCACGTGTGGGAACCGACGGATGCGAACGTCACGGATTGGAACATAGATTGCGGATACGCGGACGGCCACGACGGGAAATCCGTCGAGGATATTCAATGGAGTCCATCTGAAGCGACCGTGTTTGCCTCGTGCGGTGGGGACGGCGGGATTTCCGTCTGGGATACTCGACAGAAACCGAAACCTGCGATTCGAGTCAAAGCGGCAGAAAACTGCGATATAAACGTCATGTCTTGGAACCGATTAGCGAACTGCATGATTGCCACCGGCTTGGACGACGGAGGATTGAAGATTTGGGATTTACGCCATTTCGATCCGAAAGGGAAAACGAACCCAAAACCAGTCGCGCAATTCACGTTCCATCGAGGACACGTCTCCTCCGTCGATTGGTCTCCATTCGATAGCGCCATGCTCCTCTCCGCGGCGAGTGATAACACCGTCTGCGTGTGGGATTTAGCCGTCGAACGCGACGCCGAAGAGGAAGCGCAAGCCATGGCGGAGAACGAATCCAACGCCGAGATCCCGGACGATTTACCGCCGCAACTCATGTTCGTCCATCAAGGCATCACCGATCCAAAAGAGGCGAAGTTTCACTCCCAAATTCCTGGTTTAATCGTTTCCACCGCTTTGGATGGGTTTCACGCGTTCAAGCCGTTCAACGTCGGCCCGGAAACGTAATATAATAATACTACTAATGTTCACATTTTTTACGCAAACTACTCATATTTTGTGCCACACGCCAAAAAGCCGCCACACGCTCAAGATCTCCTCCTATTCATACTCTTTTATATCATCTCATCGATACATAAACATAAAAAATGAGTAACAAGATAACGACTCGACAAGCCAAGAAGCGTCGACTCGCCGAGAGAGATCATCCATTATGGGAACTCGTCGTGAATAACGACGATATAAGTTTAACCCACATCGTTCCAAAGCTAAACGTCACGGACGTGAAATTCTTGTACGAAACAAATAAGGCATCGAGAGCGTTGATTAAACGCGCTCCGCGGGAGATAAAGTCACACATACGCAAGAAGTTTAGAATTGAAGAGATGTCGTCGATATCGACCTTGGAATGCGCGTGGGAGAAACGACCGCCGTGGTTGAAGGACGAGAGAGATTTTTGCACGAAAGTTGCTGAAACGAATAAACTCGAGTTACTCAAGTGGATACGAGAGGAGAAAAAGTGCAAATGGGACGGATGGACGATGAGTTCAGCCGCGTCTCAAGGGAATCTGGAAATGATAAAGTATTGCGTGGCAAATGAGTGTCCCGTGGATGAGAGGGCGTGTACGTGCGCCGCGCGAAACGGGCATCTCGAGGTACTGAAATACTTACGCGAAGAAGTCAAAGCGCCGGTGAACGGAAAGGTGATTAAGATAGCGGCGTGTCACGGTGACCTCGAATTGATACGGTATCTTGTCGAAAACAAATGCGCGGGGTGGGAGAACGGGTATCTCGATGCGCTCGATATTATCGCCAAACACGGCCATTTCCAGTGCCTGAAATACTTGCACGAAGAAGTCAAATTGCCTTTGAACGGAAGAATGATTGACTTTGCGGCGAACCGAGGTCATCTTGAAATGATACGGTATCTCGTCGGGAAGAAATGCGAAGGTTGGGAAGACGGCTGCCGTGAGGCGCTCAGTTCTGCTGTCTATTGCGGTGAAGTAGAGTGCCTCAAATACTTGCACGAAGAAATCAAAGTGCCTTTCGACCAGGACGATGAAGATTCGACGATGGATTTAGCGTTACGAGGAGGATCTACGAACGTCGAAATGTTCAAATATCTCATCGAGAATAATTGTCCCATAGAAATACCTCATATGATATGTTCGTGTCTTATTGGTTATCAATCAAGCCATCATCATGGCGGGAGAAAACCCAAAGGGAGATGCAATTTTATGCTATTAGAGTGCCTCAAATATCTACACGAGGAGGCCAAAATGCCTCTCACCGAAGACACGATGATTGAAGCCGCGGGATTCGGTGAAATCGAAATCATGCGTTATCTCGTCGAGAAGAAATGTCCTATCAGTTCGGATGGTCGGGCGCTTAGTCGTGCCGCAGAAGACGGTGATCTAGAATCTGTCAAATACCTATTCGAAATCGGCACGCCAGTGAATATAAACGCTCAGAGATGGCTCAGTACGTGGGGGTATACACCCGATATGTATATGGGACCGGAACGAGCCGAACGTTTTCTAGAAAAAGCGGGGGATGACGGCGAATATCCTCACCTTTGGTCGCGATAAACGTTGTGGAAAACGCGGATTTGGATCCCGGTAGAGATTTTCGCAAGCAGTAGCAAAGATGTTGTCGCGTTAATAAATGAATACAAACTATATCACACACACGCAAAAATAAACACGTCTACCTCTATCTCTATTATCTATACATATATAATACACACTATGCTGCTCTCGCGCGCGTTTCGTTTCTCCTAGCCGTACGCTTGCTGCGCGCTGTAGTTCACCACCAACATTTGCTTCTTCTTTCTCGCACTTCCTCCATTCGTCTCAAACTCTCCTTCTCCTCCCGAACCTGACCCGAACCAATCGAACAACCTTCCAACTTGTTCGTCGTACGAAGGCGTGAACGCGTCGTTTAAGTACACGAACACGTGCGCGCGTTTCACTTGTCTCGAGAGGTGCGAGACCACGTCCACGAACTTCGCCGAGCGTAAGACTTTCACTTTGGTTTGTTTCAACAGAGGCGTATCGCCGCCGGTCGGTTTGAACAGGACGACGACTTTGTCCTCGGACAGAGAAGGATCTTGTTCTTTAAGATCTCCGTCTTCTGTTGGTGTTAAGGCGGAGGTGGACATTATTCTCTTTTCTTAAAAATGCAATTGGAGATGTGTTGTAACGACTTTTGGAAAAGAAGAATGGAGCAAAAGAAGAACGAGCGCGCTGGATATGTGTTGATGTTTCGTTCGAGTGAAATTCTTCTCTCTCTTAAATTACACACTTATTTTTATCATTTATGTTAATTATACTCTCTCTCTCTCTCTCTCTTCTCTCTCTCTCTCTTACTGCGCGGGCTTTGTACGATAAGTAGTATTATTATATATTATTTTACTTGTCGTCCAACGCGGCGACGCCCGGGAGCACCTTGCCTTCCAAGAGCTCCAAGGACGCGCCACCGCCGGTGGAGATGTGGGACATCTTGTCCGCCAAGCCAGCCTTTTCGACGGCGGCGACGGAGTCGCCACCACCGATGATGGTGATACCGTTCAAGTTGGCCAAAGTGTCCGCGATCGCAAAGGTACCCTTGGCGAAGGCGTCCATTTCAAACACGCCCATCGGACCGTTCCAGATGACAGACTTGCACTCGTTCAATTCCTTTTGGAAGGACGCGACGGAGTCCGGTCCGATATCCAAACCCATCCAGCCATCCGGGATCGCGTCGACGGAGACAACCTTCGTGTTTGCATCCGCGGCGAACTTGTCCGCGACGACGACGTCAGTCGGCAAGAGCAACTTGACGCCCTTCTTTTCCGCTTCCGCCATCAAAGTCTTGGCGAGTTCAACCTTGTCGTCTTCAACCAAAGAGGCACCGACGGATTTGCCCAACGCCTTGTAGAAGGTGAAGATCATACCACCGCCCAAGATGACCTTGTCAGACTTGGCCAAGAGGGACTCGATGACGCCAATCTTGGAGGAGACCTTGGAGCCGCCGACGATGGCGCAAAACGGTCTCTCCGGGTTCTTGACGGCGCCGTCGAGGTAGTCCAACTCCTTTTGGAGCAAGAAACCGGCAACGTTCGTCTTGCAGGTGCCAGTGACACCAGCGGTGGAGGCGTGCGCTCTGTGCGCGGTACCGAAAGCATCGTTGACGAAGATTTCGGCGGAGCCAGCCAACTTCTTGGAGAACCCGGCGTCGTTGGCTTCTTCTTCCTTGTAGAATCGAGTGTTTTCCAACAAGCACACGGAGCCGTTGGACATGCCGGCGACAGCCTTCTCAACTTCCGGGCCGACGCAGTCGTCGATCTTGGTGACCGGGCAGGAGAGCAATTCGGACAATCTCGCGCCAACCGGGGTCAAGCGGAACTTGTCTTCCGGGCCAGACTTCGGTCTGCCAAAGTGAGAGCACGCCAACACCTTGGCGCCGTTCTTGACCAAGTATTCGATGGTCGGGACGGCGGCGCGGATGCGCGTGTCGTCGGTGATGTTCATGTCGCCGTCGAGCGGGACGTTGAAATCGCATCTGACGAGGACAGTCTTACCTGTTGTTATTATTGTTGTTGTTTTAGAAGAAGAAGCATTTTCGCGTCAGTACAAAATAATTATATTATTGTCGTTGTTCCAGGTGGTCCTTTTCCCTCCTCTCGAAGATATCATTTGCCACCTCATCTCTGATCCAAAATCAATAAAAACACATCCATCGCGCGCTTCTTTCCGCCGCTCTCGTGATGCTTTTTGTACCGCATTCATCATCATCATCATCTCTCGAATAGGACGACGATGAAGGTATTATTATTGTGAACATGACGCGTGAACACTTCTCGAGAGAAGACTCTTAAACTCGGATATATCATCGTGTCATTTCGGATATGACCTCCCCCCCATAAAACAGACGATGATGATTAATGCGGGCAAATGTGCGCGCGTTTAAATAAAAGAATACACGCGTGATGCGAACGGAAACGGAAAAGAAAAGACGCAAAACCAAACGCCCATCGCATTTCTCCGTGCAAAAATACAAGAAGAGAGATGAAAAAACGAAGAACGCAACGGCGTGCGCGTTATTAAGCGTACCTTCCAAGTCACTTTTGCTTAAATCCCCGACCGATTTCTTCGCGGCCTCGACGCGTAAACTGCATCGTTGAATTTTCTTCGATTGTTTCTTCGACGAAACAGATTTCGCGACGACGTTCGCGCGGAACGCGATGGATTGTTGTTGAGCAAATGCAGACATATTTTATAAATGTGTGAGTGAAATGTGTTTGGGAACACGTGGGTGCGTTAAAAGTGGCGTTTTCCGCGAATAAATCATCATCTTTAATCATCATCGGGAAAGAGCTTAAATGTTAATATCTGTCTCCTGTGGTGGTCGAACCACGAGTTTCGTTCAAATTTTGATCTCTCTTCCAGCTGGCATTTCTCTCTCTTTTTCTCGCAAGACCAAAAAAAAATTTCTTCTTTTTGTTTGTTTTGTTTTTTTGTTCCGTCGATCCGAACAACGGACGAAAAATACTCGCGAAGAGTGCATGCGTGACATGCGTGCAATTCTCTCCATTAATAAAATACTATATATCTTTGCGCGACACACTTCACCGAAAAGTATTCAAAAACACGCAAACACATCTGTATATAATAATAGAAGATAACCAGCAACGATCGGGAACTTAACGAGCAAAAGAGAGACGAATATGGGAGGAGGAGGCGCATCTTTTTCGGATCGGGAGGAAAAAGATCAGGAGGCGAAAAAAGAAGGTTTTGGAAAAACAGAGGAGGAAGAGAAAGAGGAGATGACGAGTTTACGACGATCGTCGGTGCCGCACGAGTTGGAGAGCGCGCTGATCGGCGGGATTGGTGGGCAGATGTCGAAGAACGAAAACAACGACTCGTCGTCGAGCGAGGAAGGAGGGAGAGTTGTCGTAAAGTCCAAGAAAATTGGAGACAGTCGATACTTTCCCTCGTTGGAGAACGACGAGGACGAGGAGGAGAGTGCGGACGATACGAAGAACGAAAATAATAATACCACGAACAATAACAACAACAAAGGAGAAGGAGAAGGAAAAACGTACGAAGAAGGCGAGATTCGACAGACGAGAACAGAAGAAGACGATTTAAAATCGGAAGAAGCTTCGATGAACGAGAAAGTGCGACGACTCTCACTCTCGGTGCGCGTTTCGAATAATGAAGACGAAACGACGACGACGATGAAGAAGAAGAACAACAACAACAACAACAATCAAGATATCGACGAAAACGACGTGAACTTACCGCGCGATTTGATGTCCGCCGCAATCGGAGATGACTCGCTCGATTCGCCCATACTTCCACCACTTTGGGCTCAGATTAGAAGAAGAAACTCTGCTTCCGAGGGAAGAGAGCAGATTTCGTACGATTTCGTGGACGAAGCGCAAGGAGAGCAGCGACGTTCGTACGCGCCGACGCATCGCGACACGACAGACGATCCACACTTAAAAGCACAGCTGGAACAACGCGTGCAACAACAACAGTCGACGCACCAATCGCAGACGCTTCCTTTTTCGCAACCGTACAGAATGCCGGAAAACCACGGCGCGACTCGAACGCTTCTGTATCGCCTTCTTTGCCCAAACGCTCGAGCCGGATCGGTGATTGGCAAGAACGGTGAAAAAGTAAAGCAGCTTCAGCGAGACTCTGGGGCGAAGATTAAAGTCGAACCGCCGGTGGATAGCACGATTGCCGAGAGAGTCATTGCGATCGAAGCGCAAGACGTGGACGACCCGACGGTTTGGGCGCCGTCGCAAATCGCTCTTTTGAGAATAGTCGAAACGATCGTATTAGACGCGGAAAGAAACACCACTATCGGCGCCGCCGAGGAAAACAACGGCCACATTGTCATACGTTTACTCTTACCGTCCTCGCAAATCCGCAACGTTATTGGCAGATTCGGAAACGTCATCGAACGCATCCGCGTAGGATCTGGATCGCACGTTCGCGTTTTACCGTCTTCGGAAACGCCCAGATGCGCGAAACGAAACGACGAGGTTTTACAAATAAGCGCCGAGTCGATGGAAAACGTCGCTTCGGCGTTGGCTATGATCACAACACAATTACGATTGGACCCGCCGGTCCGCGCGCACGAGTTACCCGGAGGCACGAAGGTGCACTGCGACCGCGCGAGCTCTGAAGCTATCAGACGCGCGGCTTCCGGCATCGTCAACGAAGGCGGTATTTTAACCTCCGTGGAGACGACGACGACGACGACACAGCAGCAGCAGCAGCAGCAACAACAACAACAACAACAACAACAACAACACCAACAAAAACAAAAACCGCCGATTTCGCCAACCTTTTTCGACGCGACCAGTCCAGATGTCGGTAGTTATTACGCGCAAAAAGTCTCGCCGGGAAGTTCGGATATATCGTCTTCGGACAGCCCGCAAAGTCCTGGGATGTATTCCTCCTCCCAAGCGCCGATGGTGCACGCTCACGGAGGAGCGTACGCGGAACAGTTCCCAGACTCGAGCGACGTGTGTGGTTTATTCAACATCTCCAACTTTGAAGGTTTAGACGATACAGAACCTGAGTCGCGCATCGCGCCGGGCATCGTTACGAGAACCTTTTGCGTCTTTGAGATCAAAAACGCGCTCGACTCTGCTTCTAAAAAACGCGCGAAAGGTATCATCGAACTCGCCGCCGAGGAGACCAAGTGTAAAGTCACGCAAAGACCAATCGGCGAAGAGCAGGTGAAGAACAAATCCATGCTCCTGACGGTTTCTGGAACGACAGAAAAAGTGGTCGCGGTAAAGACGTTGGTCAAAATGCGATTGGCGAAAGGTTTCGCGGAATCAAAGCGAGAGGAACGTTCCTCGTTCGCCGCCGGGAGACGCGCGAGCGGCGAATATTACCACCACCCTTCGTATTAAACTTCTTTTTTATCAGTAAAGGAAAGGAAGAGAGTTTTAAGAAAGAGCTTACGAAGGGAAGAGAGAGAGACTACGGGCTACAGTATTGTTCTATTTGAGAGTCGACGAGAGAGAAATAACAGAGCGCATATATTACACAACAAGAAAAGAAAGAGACACGAACCTGTGAGAAGTACAGACAGCAACAAAGTGAACCTCTCGGACCGATATATATATATATATATATAGAAAGAGAGAGAGAGAGAGAGAAGAGGACACCTACATTTCATTTTCCGCGCGTCGCGTGTTAGCGAGAGCGTTTTATCCATCACACAAAGAAGACTATAAAACACTACTAATCATTTCACAAAATACGCGTCGCACCGTACTTCGTTTCTTCCCCTCCTCAACTCCTCTGAATGATAACGATGATGATGATAATGATAGAATGATGATTGCATGACGCGTAAAGTTATTCGTATTATCATTACAATTAAAAAGTAAAGTTAATCCCTTTCCCGACGGTAAACCCGAGGAGTTCCAACAAGCCTTTCCCAGCCACGAGTTCCACCAACAGAAGACTCCACCAACCAATCATCGACGCTCGAGAGTTCATCGTTTCCGCGTTATCCACGAACCCAAACTTCCCGGGTTCGATCACAGGGACGATTGGCGGTTGGGGCACGCCTGGTGGGGACGCGTATTTCATGCGTTCGCGACGGGAGACGTCTTTTTTGTTCTGTTCGATGGCTTGCATCACGTCGTCGACGACGCCCATCGCTTTAATCATTTTCGGTGATTGGAATCGGATTTTACTGTTATTGGATGATCTTTTTAACGAAGAGGAGGAAGAGGAAGAGGTGGAGAAGGAGGACAAAGCGCGAGAGGAGTGTAACGCGCTCGCAAACATTTTCGTTTTTAAATGTTTATATGTACTTTGCGTGTATGTATCGCGCGCGTTAAAGTGAGGATGGAATGAGCGCTTGGAGACACGTCATCCAAAAAACTGGAAACTGTGACCCTAAATATAAGACAAGATATTCGGCGAACTCCTCCCTCGACGATTACTCTTCCGAGTCTTCTTCCGAGTCGTATAACGTTCCTCCTTCGTATCGCCAACCGGGTGGTAGAGGACAGTCGTTGTCGAGGAGGTATTGTAAACACTCGGTTTGGTTATTCTTGTGAGCGTAGCGTACGGCGTCACTGTCCCAAGGCGCTTTGGCGGTTTCGTGCAAGTGCTTCAAACAGTCTAAGTGGCCGTTCACGGCCGCCCACATACACGCTCGTTCGTCATATTTATCATACTTACGCTCAACAAGATATTCGAGTATGTGGAGATGACCATTGTGAGCCGCCCAAACTGCAGTACAAGAATCCCAGGTCGCTTTGACTTCTTCGCGTAAGTATTTGAGTACCTCGAGATGACCGTTTTGGGCAGCACGTGCACACGCAAACGCACCGATAGGACACTCATTTGCAATGCAATACTTTACCATTTCCAGATTACCTTGTTCTGCGGCCGCATGAATCGTCCTTCGATCCCACTTACACTTTTTCTCTTCTCGCGCCCACTTGAGCAACTCGAGTTTATTCGTTTGAGCAACTCTCCAGCAGAAAGAAGTTTCATCCCAGCCTCTCGGCCACAACGATTTATTCTCCCACGCAAACTCCAACGTAGATATCGACGACATCTGGCTCACTCTAAACCCCTTTTTCAAATCACCCGCGCGAGGCGATCTCTTAATCAAAGCTCTCGTCTCCGTATTCACTCCGTGCAAGAATTTCAAATCATTCGAATGCAATCTCGGAAGCACATGTGTGAAACAAATATCGTCGCACTTCACGACCAAATCCCACAACGAAAAAGAATCTCTCTCCCCAATCCGTCTTTTCTGCCCTCGCGTCCTCGCTCCAAACGCTCCCGAAAGAGTCGCAGCAGCAGTCGCGGCACCAGAAGAAGACATTTTTACACAACAACAGCGCGCGTGTGTGATGCGTGATGTTCTTTTTTTTTTCTGAAAGTAAAAAAGCGAGCGTTTCGTTCTTTTGCCAAAGAAGAGAAAAATCACAAAAAAACTCGAGAGAGACTCTCTGTAATTAGTGAAGAAGAACAACTAGAAAAGGAGATGAGGCGAGGCGTCTCGTGGGCGGAGGATTTAACAGAAACGATTTCAACACCACCACCCGATGATGATGATGGTGTTAAGAATGATTTTGTGAACGATGATGTGAATGATGAGGATGAGGATGAAAAACATCACCAAATTCGAGACGAAAACTTTACATTCGCGATGACGGTCTCGCAGTTGGAAACCGCCGTTCGAGATGAAAATGATTCGGTACAGAGAAACGTCGAGAGATTGGCGCGACGGAAAGAGTGCGAGAGATTGATGGAGAATTTGTTCGAGTTCCTGAAGAGAGAGATTCTTGCCACGAGGAGGAGTACTTCGAGGAGGAGGAGGAGTTCTTCTTCAACATCTGTAAGACTTTTGCACGCGGAAGTGCACAACTACGCGTCGAACGTATCGGCGTTTCAAAAGTGCTTAAAGTTATGGAAGAAGAAAGAGATGCACATGGTGAAACAGCTGGAGGATGGCGAAAACGGGAAGTTGTTCGCGACGAAGACGACGCCGCAGAAGACGGCGGCGTCGCCGCTGAAGAAGCTGTTCGTGACGAGAGCGGAGGAGACGGACGGGTTGTTGAGAGAAGTGGAGGAGAAGTTGGAGATGTTGAGAGTTTTGTCGTCCGGTACCACGACAGAGAGTAATCACGATTTGATGAAAGGGGATGTTGAAAACGGCGAAAAAAACGGCGGCGCGACGATAAACACGAAGCCGCCGCAAAGAAAATTTACGTTTGCCGCGCGCCAAAATATCACCGCGAGGCAGAAACGAACGAATCAGAAAGTTTTAGTTTGCGTCGTCGGTATTCTCTTCTTTGCTTTGTTCGTCGCCACTTTCGCGTGGTTGTGGACGAACGAAGCCGAGCCATGGATTGAGAAGAGCATACGAGAAAACAGAGAACATTTGACGTACGAAGAAATCGTCTATCAACCAATCGACCGCTCGAACAACTTTGATTCATGATGATGAAGAAAGAATCCATACGTGACAAAAAGCATGGAAGAGAACGTAGTAAAATTGGAAAAGAAGAGTAATAGCACGAGTAGTAGTAGTAGTAGTACTAGCAGTAGTAGTTTAGGAGGATAGCATCGAGTAGCAGTAGAAGGGCGAGCGCACCGCATTAATGTTTAAAAAAATAGAGATACCAAGCAATGGATCAAATGTCCTTCTCGGGCATTTTTCAACTCACGCGCGGCACAACATCTCACATAAAACAATAATATTTTTACTATCCGAACTTTCCGTAATCCACGGAGGACATGCTCCCGCCTTTCACCGGGTCAAATTCCAACTTGTAGTAATTCCCGTCCGCACAAATAACGACTATTCGATTGTCTTTCGACGTCGAAAACGAGGCTTTACAAAATCCAAACGAATGCTCCGGGAACTCGCTCGTTCGATGATGATCGCTCTCTCCGTGGTAGTTTCCAGCAGGAGTGACCCCTCCTCCGCCGGTGTTCATGCGAAACTGCGCGAACGATCGTTCCGCTTGTAAATATTTTGGTAAAACGTTCGCGGCGACGCCCATGGAAATGACCGACTGCAACATCGATGACGGCGATTTCGGCGTCATCGGACTTTGCGGCGGCGCTCGATGGCCGTTGTTGTTATGCGTCGGCGTGTTGTTTCCACTGTTCGCGTGGTAGTGATGGTGATGATCCCGTGCTGCTATGTTATCGCTACTATTACTATGTGTCATCTCTCCTGTACCACCACCACCACCACCACCCATGACGCTTCCTTCCGGTATCCTATACAAATGCACCGTCCCTTTATCGCTCGTGCACACCAACCACTCTTTTTCTTTACTAAACGCCAAGGAGTAAATCGTCGCCCGATCGGTCCCTCTGCGAAACTCGTGCAACAAACACCCGCTCTGGCAATCAAACACTCGAACTAGCGTCCCTTTCTCGCTCGCCGTGGCGACTAAACTCCCGTCTAAACTCAACACCACGCACCTCAACGGTGAATCGTGCGCTTGAATAAACTTGGTCACGTTTTGCGGTTCGTACAATTCCACTCGCACTTGACCTCGAATCAACCCAGGACAGGCCATGACGCAGCTTTCTTGCGTCGGACTTAAACTACAAATCCCGTGCGGGTTCCCCCACGTGTCCGTCTGATGCACAATCTTCAAATCCGAGAAATTATACACGTAAATCTTATGCTCCAAAACCACCACAATCTTGTCCCTCCTCAGCTTCACCGCTCTCACGGGAACCCGAAAGCTCAACTCGCCGATACACCGCGCCTGATGATCGTCCCAAATCATCACTTTATTCGGAGAATATTTCGGCACCGCGCCACCTCCAACGAGCGCGAGTATGTTGCACCGAAACAGCATCTCCACGATCCCAACCCCGCCGCCGTCGAAATCTCGCCTAAACGTCTCTTTGAACGGGTCCGAGTTGAATATTCGGAACCCGGAATCGGTCCCGACCGCAAAACAGCCTCCGTCTTGGTTGAACGACAAGAACTGGAGGGATTCGTCGAAAAATATGGATTCCCGAATGTCATCCGATGTTGTCGTCGTCTTTTTATTCGCCTTATTCACCCCGCGTCGATTCTCCATCGCACCACCCCCGGACGAAGAAGATGAATGCAAAGAAGAGGAAGACATTTCCCCGCGGGTTGTTAACGTGGAATTCAGACACGTTTTTTCTGCTCTTAATTAGTATATTATCCTCCTAAAACGCAATAAAGAATGCCCAAAAGCGAGAGAGAGAATACAATCAGAGTAAAGGTACGCAGCCGACGATGAGATATTTAACCTCCACTAGAATGATGACGTCGTAAACGAGGAAACAATGAGACAAAACCGTGATCCCCAAAACTCCAAGGTGAAAGGAAAAAAGTGACGAGGGAAAAAATACGACAATTAAATTCAATCAAAAACGTCTTCAAAAGTCTCTCTTTTCCTCCCAATACTACACCCAACGAACTAAAAAGCTTTCTGCTTTAACGCTGTCGTTGTGTTAACTTGGTCTTTTCTTCTTCATGAGTCAGACCTTGCTTTGCAGACAATCTTCCAAACGCAAAACCGGTCGTTTTTCGCGTGAATTTTTAAGTCTATTGTTTTTGTGGTTTGATAATATTGAGCGACGCTTTCGAGCGGGACGTAACGTTGGCAGACGCAAAAACACGCGCCTCCTTTCTTTTCTTTTTTCAAAACGTTCGGGAGCTCGGTGAGCATGTGACCCAAAACGCGGAAATCAGGTTTGGCGTTGTAATGCACCGGTGGGTTCGTGAGAATGAGTTCGCACGGTTTGGTGGTGGTTTTTTGAGGGAAGCCGTCGGAGAGGAGGTACTCGATGTTGTTCTCGTCGTCGTTCACGTCGTCGTTTCCGGAAACGAGAGAAGAGAAATTTTGTTTGGCGGCTTCGAGAGCGACGGCGTCGGCGTCGAGCATGGTGAGTTTGACTTTCTTCTTCGTCTTTTCTTTTTCGAGAGCGTTGCGTAACGCGTACCCGATGACGCCAGAGCCGCAACAAAAGTCCATGAGGCGTTTTGTCTTGTCGCTACAAATACCCTTCTTTAATCTCGGAGAGGAGGACTTTTCGGGATCTTCTTCAAGAATCGAATCCAAAAGGAACGAAGTCATGATGTCCAGCCCACCTTTAGCAAAAAATCCAGGGTACGTCGTCCATTCCTTCGCTTCAACAACACTCGAAGAACCACCACCACCGCCGGAAAACAGTTTCACGTTCGAGTCGACTTTTTTGAACGACTCGAGAGAGGCGTTTTTCTCGTCGCCGTTGGAGAGAACTTTGGCGGTGAACGCAAACGCGAAGTCGTTTTCGCTCTTTTTAGCTTCCTCGGAATTTGGCGAGTGCGCTATGGTCGCGTGTCCAGGAACGCGTCGAGGATGTTCGTACAAATCCTGTTTATATTTTTTAGAAGGAGAAGAAGCGTTAATACGAACCCCGGTGGAACGAAAAATGTCATCATCGTATAAAAGGAGAAAAGAGGTGGATGTATCCGCCGCTTCGAACTCGAACGCAGATGACGGCTACGAACGAGGCTCATTAATGGACGGATGAACGCGAGACGACAACGACGCAGGCTGGATGTGCCCTTAAATGCGACGTTCTCAATCCCGCGTCCAAATGTAGCGTCTGTTGTAGGCCGAACCGCGACATTTTGGTGTTCTATTTTTCAATCGGAAGAATCCTTCTTCTTCAAAAGGAGAAAGACTCGATTCCAACGTCAAAGCAAAAACACGAGTCGCGGCGGTATATGCTAAACGCTGAGACGAGATGCGACGAAAAAAGTACGACGACGACGAAAGAAGACAAGACGAGTTTAGCAACAAAGATAAATAAATAACGCACCTTGTTGAAAGCGTCAAAGGCGTTCAAAAACCCTTCACTTCGCGACCCGGAAACGAAGACATCGCCGCCCACTTTCACTCGCGTGGCGACCGCAGTCATGAGGAAAAGAAGCGCCTCCTTATCCGCACACGCTCTCACGAACGCGTAGTCGCACTTTCTCTCGCTCACCGTCGGCCAGGGACGCGCGTTGGTGCGCATCGTGGCGTTTCTCGAGGGGGCGTTCTCATTCTCCGCATCGTCGTTGCACGAGAACCTTTGCCACGTTTCAAATCTGTGACCGAATTTCTCCACCGTCTGGCGCAATTTGCCTTCGCTTCTGCTCTCGCAGTTGGCAATCAACACGCGCCGTTGTTTTGTCGATTTCGATTTCAACTGCTCTTCGATGTGTCTCGACAACGTCTCCGCGGTCGCCTCGTCCACGTTGAAGCGATCGAGCTCCATGATTTTAATCGCTTCGACACCAGATGAAAGCAAGCGTTTCTTTGCTCGCGCGTCGACATTTAGCGCTTCCGCGCTCGAGAGCAATCTTCCGCTCGCGCGCCAATCGCACGTTTTTGAAATATCTGTCACGATTTTCATCACGCGGTCTTCGAAGTCTGCCTCTTCGAGTAGTTTATTATCTTCACCACTTTTTTTTTTCGTCGTCGTCGTCGTGGTAAATGCTTCTATGAATTCGCACAAATCGCACACGTCCGCCGGCGTGACGTCCCGACCGTGTGTCGAGGTATCTTCGAAACAATCCAACGCGCGTTTTAAGAGGAGGCGTCGTCGCAACGATGAGGATGACGACGAAGACGAAGATGCGTTTTGAATTGTCGTCGCTGCGCTCAAAAGCGTCGCAAAAGCTCTCGGCTCTAAATGTTGCCACAAATTTTCATTTTCGAGCGCAATCTCAATCGTTTCTCGCAAGACTTTTCTGGTATCCTTCGTGAGAAGAGCATTCGCGAAGAGCTTCGCGCAACTCCACACGCAATTCGCGACGACTCTCGATTCGCTCCAACTCGTTTTTATCGCGTTGTCCTTTGATTCTTTCTGAAACGCCTTTTTAACAACTTTCGCGACGCGCAAAATTGTCGCGTCCAACCCATCGGATGATTTTGAAGATTTTGACCCGGACAAAATGATGCCGTCCACGTGCATCGTCGCCAACGCCCACATCGCGGATGAAACCTCTTTACTATTATTGCTTTTACTATTCGTACTACCACTCATTTCTGCTGCTACTGCTGCTGCTACTACTACTCTTTCCGCTAACTTAGCCACCACCGATTCAATCTCTTCGCTTTTCAGCGACGATTTCACGCGCAGTTTGGCAATCCCCCACAACGCGTTCGCGCCGTCTTGACTCGAAATTTTATCCTCTTCGCACGCGCGCAAACCTTTAATCGCGGCTTTGATGGATGCCGAAAAAGATTCGCTCTTTTCGCCACTCATCGTTCCGCTCGTTTGTGCTAAAAACCATAAGTTTGTCGCGCACGCTCTCGCGTCCGCTTTCTCCGCCAACTCCTTGAACCGTCTCGCTAAGTTTTCTCGCAATAGCATCGACTGCTCTCGAAAACCGTTATTATCATTAACGACGAAAACAGTTTTCCTCCTTTTTACCATGTTCGCGCACATCGTCGCCAGCGACCACTGCGCCGAACACGTTCGAAAGCTATCGAATCTATTCACGCGCAGATTCACGTCTCGAACGCACCGTTCGGCATTTTTGTTCATCATCTCGTCGTCGTCGTCGTAATCATTCGATTCATCTTTCGCCGACGTACTTAAAGCCAACCGGTGAAACGTCTGCGTCGCCTTCCCGTCGTCCGCGATAAAATCTTTCTTCTTTTGCTTCTTACTCAGAGGCGTTATTCCTTCTTCCAGTCCTTCTCCTCCTCGTTTAAGACTCTTTTTCTTCTCCTTCTTCTTCTTCTTCTTCTTCGATGAACCGACGAAATCCAAATCGTTCGCGACTCGAAAACACTGCTTCACTTCCTCGGAATCTCTCGAGATTCCCAAGCGCGTTCGCAAATTGAATAACGTTTTCTCCACAAAAACATCTTCGTCGTTGTTCGATGCTTCTTCTTTCTTCTTCTTCTTCTTCTCGCGCGAAGCGACGATTTGCCATCGAAGCTTTTTCAGCAGCGCTTTCTTGTACTTCGCTTTATCATCCGAATCATCTCTCAAAATGTCATTCAAGCCGTTGTGAGGAGTCGTGCGAGGAGGAGGAGTAGAAGTAGTAGCAGTATTCGAAATCATCTCGTTTTCAGATCATCTCATTTCTCGGACATCATAAAAAGACCACCACCTTTCCAAACGACGACGGACGACGAATGCTCTAAAAGGTGTTTGCCGATGCGTTTGTGGCGGCTAAAATTTTTGAAGAACTCGTACGAGAGAGATTTTCCAACTGTCGCATCATCGCTTTTGATTTTTTGATTTTGCAAAAAGACGAACGAATTTTGACAGACAAAGAAGAAAAAAAGAAAAAAAAAAGAACACAAGAAACAAACAAACACAGGAGAGACAAAAAAAACAAAAGCGCGACAGAATTTTTTTAACACAGACACGAGAAGAAGAAAAAAAAGAGACGAAAGAGAAGAGACAAAAAACACCCCACTTTGAATACTACTAACAACAACACCACCAATCAATGGGTGGTGGCAACAACACGAACCCGCACGCGCAAGGCATGAAGTGGCTGAAACGAAGGAAGAAAAAGATGAAACGGATAAACGAGGAGAGGATGCAATGGAAAGAAGACGAGGAAGAGGAAGAGGGAGAAGAACGGGAGAAGAAGAAGAAGAACGGATTGGAAATCAACGAGACGGACATCTCTTCTTCTCTCATCGGGAAGACAAAGAAGAAGAGAAAGAAGACAAAGACGGTGTCATGGGAAACGAATCGAACGAGGAAAAGAAGAGAGGAGGAAGCGAAAGAAACAGAGGAGGCGAAACGGGAAGGGAAACCGACGGGGACGACGACAGGTTTGAGTGGTGGTGGTGGTGGTAATACTACTAATGTGAACAACACAAATCCTTTCGCCGTGTTGAGGCAACTTCCGAGACTCGAACGATGATTACTCTACAATTACAAACACGCAGCAGCATTCAAACGGACTGACAAATGATGCCAGAACAAATGATGATGACTTTTACGACGCGTTAAACAACTTTCGACGAAGAAGCGCATTCGGAGCGCTGACTTTCGCCGCCACCCGTGGTATTCCTTGGTGTCTTTTTTCTTCGAGCGAAGAAGTGAGCTCTTTCTTGACCCGGGCGATCGACGCTCAAGTGCGCGTGGAACTCGTTCGCGATCTCTTCAAACTGGAAGGATTGGAACCAGTTCCAGAGGATGTCGCGCTCGCGCTGGAAGACGACGACGTGGCTCGGGAGGAGATTATTAGCTTCGTCGTCGCTCGTTTTAGCATCTTCATCGGCGTCGTCGTTTACGTCGTTTACGTCGTCGTCGTCGCATTTCAATCCGCTGCTTTTCCCGTATTTACGCTCTACGAATGCCAAGGGGTTCTTTTCGAACGCTCGCCAATTGCCCGAGGACAAATGCGACGAAACCGACGACGCGTTTGGAGGATCGCATTCCAAATAGCGCATCGTCAAATTTTTGTGGACGCTCGCGTAGAACGGGTGTTCGTGACACGGGGTCCAGAAGTGCACGCCACCGTCGAACACGTCGTCTTCCACGGTTAGTTTGGATACGTATTTGTTGACGATGGTTTCCATGCCTCTTTGATGTATCAAAGAGAGATACATCGCGAGCGGAATTTGCGCGGCGAGACCGAGGCGCACGAACCACCGAGCCAGGAGAAACGTAGTATTTTTAGAGTTGTTCTTCGATGATTTCTTATCTGGCGGCTCGCTCTCCAACCACGCCCACGACTTCGCAGACGCCGCAATGGACACTGGAATCAACGGGTATAAAAAGCGGAACTCTTTGTGCTTTGGAATGGAAACGATGAAAACGGTTGCCAAAAAAGCAACTTTCGCCACCGCGGGCGTCGACAAACGTTTTCTTCTTTTCGCGTTTGTTCCATCGTTATCTTTGATGATTTTACCCCCATCAGGAAGATTAGCACTACTAGTATCTTCTAAATTACCGCGAGCATTCGAAGCGAGGAACAACTCGTAAAGACTGACTGGAAACAAAACGCCCAAAACAACCGGTAAACCTTGCGTGAAAACCCACGCGTTGGAATGCGTTCCGTATTGACTCGCGCCTTCTCTCAAGACGTTAAACTCGAAAAAGTTCCACGCCGGGAACGTCCACTTCTTGTTGTAATAATAATAGTTCACGCACGCTTCTATCGATAAAACGAGACTTCCAACCCAAAAGGCATCCGCGCTAAACCTCGCTCGTCGCTTCGCCGACAACGCCTCTCGATCGAAGAAAATCGTACGCGCTCCTACGCACGCCCAAAACGCGTACGCCGTCGGCCGCACGGTGCACGAAACGAACGCTAAAACTAAACCACGGATGCTCTTTCTTCTAAACCCGCTGCTATTACTACTCTTACCGCTATTACTACCACCTCCTCTTTTCTTCGCGTTCATATCGAAATACCCGCTCGGCCAAAACACGAGCGCCCAGACGCAAAACGCGGTTTCCGTGACGTTCGCGAACGACCGACATCCGCAATAAAAATGCCAGTGCGATGCGAGCGACAGTGCGAACGCTTTTTTCGCCACGTTCTGGTCGTTGTTGTACCATTTGCGCGCTAACCGGTACGTCCCGACGTCGATGAAAGCGCACTGCGCGGCGTTCACGACTCTCGGCATCGCTCGCACCAACACCCCCGTTATTAAACTCGCGTCTTCGTCGAGCCGTAATCCCTTCACGAGCGCGTACGGCCACGCGTACGCGAGCAAAGGATGCACGAAACTCCTCAACTTCACGTCCTCTCGCCATTCCCAGGTCTTCGCGCCGTACTTGAATATAAACTCGTGCGCGATTTCCACGCTCTGATAGTGCTCGTCCGCGCTGTGAAACGTTCGCAGGAAAAGAAACGAATTCAATACGCGAAAGAGAAAAGAGACGAAAAACGGGGACGTGAATAAGTGGTGACGACGATGGTTTGTATTCTTCGTCATCTTTGTGCGTTCATTCGTGCGAAGGGCAAAGAAGCTTTGAGTGAGAGGGGTGCGTGCTCTAATGAAGCATAGTACATTCCATTTTATCCATTACAGTTACACGTATCTCATCGTGCATCTCAATTCATCACGGAAAGAAACTCTCGCCTCGTCTCCGTTTCCAAACCTCCCCGGTCGGGAACACGATCTCCTCGTTCTCGTTCAGTTTTGCGATAACTTTCTCCCCGCTCCCGTCTTTCTGGTCGAAATCGATGTATATCTCGTCCTTATTCTTTCCAACCGGTTTGGTTTGGATTTCCCAATACCGCATGGTTTTCCCCGGGTATTGGAACACATCTTCGGGCGTGACAACTTTCCTCCCTCGGCACCCTTTGCCTTTCTCGAACGGCACCGGGTCGTACCCTCTCAATAAGCCGTTTGGGGTGATTTCTCGAGGGCACCCCGGGTGGTTCGGGTCCGCGAACGATCCGGAGAATCTTTCATCGAAAGATGCGAGACTTGTCGCAGGGGAAAAGAAAAGCGAACAACAACAACACGAAACGACGAGAACGGCTTTCTCTGTTCTCTCCATTAACGACGCTCTGACGACGCGATTGAAGCCCGCGCTTCTTTGTCGTCTTCTTGTTCTTGGTAACGATGAACTCGTGAAACGAAAACGACTCGTCGTCGTTGCGTCGGCGGACGTGAACGACGACGCCATTTTCAATCGAATTGGAAAAAAGTCTGACGCAAAACTCGGATAAAAATTCATGTCTCATCTCATGTTGCGTCGAGACATCTTCTTCTGCGCGAGGAGTAGTAGTAAAAGTAGTAGTAGTAGTAGTAGTAGTAGTATACTTGTAAGGAGGAAAGTGTTGAGAGCGAGTGGTGAAAGCAACGAAGAAGACAATACTAATCACAAACGAAGAAGACAAAGAAGACCAATCGAAGAGATGTATAACTACTTTACGAAACCGGTCAAGTGCAACGAATGTTTCGGGTACAACAGACGCGTGTGTGCTCACTGTCAAGGCAGAGGGAAGATGACTGACCAACTTTTACGGATGGTGATGATGATGACAATTGCTGCAGTCGATGCGTTGGCCGCGGGTACGTGCGTTGCGACGCGTGCAACGGGACCGGTTTGAAGAACGGGTGGCTGTTTACAGTGAAAGGCGGTTGGGGACCGCGAGGCGAGTAGTCGACGAATAGTAGTAATAGTAGATGTAGTATTAAAAAGGTAAAAGTACAAACGGGTGCAACAGCGCCTGCGTGGCGTCTAATCGACCTCTTCGCGTGATACCTCTGGCGGCGACGAGTCGACAGGCTAAATCGAACCCGGCGCCGCCGTTTCGATCGAGAGCGGAAAAGTCCCAGCCTAAGTTTCCGGCTAAGTCTTTGCGCACTTTGCGCAAATCGTAGTTTTCGTCCTGTAACCGTCGCTGGAACGACCCGGATGGTTCTAACACGCGTTTGCCTCTGAGTTGCGGGCATCCCAACTGGAGTAAGACGAGGCCGGCGGAATAGCTATCGAATAATTGCGGTTGGAAGACGGTCCACGGAAGGACAGAAAGCGCGCCGGCGATGGCACCCGGAGGCGCTCTCGGCGTTCGTTCAGGCATGATAAAATCCTCTGGTGGTGAGAACGAAGGGTCTAAGATGGAAACTTCCGGTTCGTAGTTCACGCCGCTTCGTAAATCCGCGGCGCCGCCGAAATCGATCAGTTTGAATCGTCCGTTTTCGTTGACTAAATTCGCCGGTTTCACGTCTCTGTGAACTATACCGATGGAGTGTAACCCTCTCAACGACCACAACAACTGTTGCGTGATTTTCTTTGCGACGGCGTAACACCTCGCGTCGTAATCTTTATCCTCTTGAGATTTCCCAAAAAGCGCCACCTCTAACGCGCTCGGAAAATTTCTATCCAACACGTAATCTTCGAGCGTGTTTTCATCGCCGGCGAATTTCCACACCAAAACCGGTGCCGCCGCGTCTTCAATTTCCTCGTAAGATCCGACGTAAGACGCGCAACCGCCGGCGACGAAAATGTCTCGGGATATCCGTTCGTTCATGTGTCGTTCGGCGCGTTGTAACCCGCTCGCGCCGGTTGTATTTTTCGCAAACTTCAAGACCAAATTCTCCGCCTCGCTGGAATTTAATCGTCCTCGATAGACGGTCCCGAACGACCCGTCCCCGATTCTCCCGCCTAAGTTTACGTTCGAACCTCTTTTGCCAAACTTATTCCCAGCCGTGGCTGTTTGTATCGCTCTCGCGACGGTTTCATCGAACGCGTACCCCAAAATCCCCGGCTGCGCGGTTAAATAAAACACGACAAACGCGACGAAAAGAAACTCCTCAAACGGCGTCCCGTTCGTGTATAAAGTCCACCCGTTCACTTTTTCATCCAGAGCTAATTGTTCGACAAAGTCTTTGGCCACGTCCGGTAATGGTAACTGCTCGTATAAAGGCTCTAAAACGACTTCGTATACCGTTTTCCCTATTTTCAACACCGGCTCTGGAACCTCTGGAAATAAACGTTCCAGTTGCTCCAAAGGGTCGACAATTTCTGTTCCTCGATACCCGTACAAAGCCTTGATTGTTGTCGTCGTCGTTCTCTTCGTCGTCGTTCTTGCAGAGAAGCGACGAATCCTTCGTCCTCCTAAAACCACGTTCTTCGCGTTCGTGGTTTGATGATGATGACTCTTAAAATTCATTCCCCGGTACTGTTCGTTATCCAAAAATCAAAAGTAATCCGTTTCTTTAATACTGTATATATCTCTGTCTCTCTTTCTCCAATAAAGCAGTCTGGCACGATGCGTACGAATTCGATGAAAGTGTTATTATGTAAATACTTTACGCCGCGTATAGTAATACTCAGAGTCACAAACAGAGAGAGAGGAAGAGAGAAAATTTATGCCGAGTAGGGGGGTGGTTTCCCTAAAAAACGAACAAGAAGGAAAAAAGAGGAGGAAGGAAAAGGTACGCGAGCGCTGAATCTTCTTTTTAAATTACAAGCTGTGTGTGTGTGTGCGCGTGTTTATGACGTGTGCAATACTCCGTCTTCGTATCGCCAACCGGGTGGTAGAGGACAGTCGTTGTCGAGGAGGTATTGTACACATTCGGTGTGGTTATTCTTGTGAGCGTAGCGTACGGCGTCACTGTCCCAAGGCGCTTTGGCGGTTTCGTGCAAGTGCTTCAAACAGTCCAAGTGGCCTTTCTCGGCCGCCCACATACACGCTCGTTCGTCATATTTATCATAATTACGTTCAACAAGATATTCGAGTATGTGGAGTTGACCCTTTCCAGCCGCCCAAATGGCAGTATACTCATCCCAAGGCGCTTTGGCACCTTCGTGTAAGTATTTGAGGCACTCGAGATGACCGTTTCGGGCAGCACTTTCACACGCGTCCTCATCGACAGGACACTCATTTGCAACGCAATACTTTACAATTTCCAGATTACCATGATGTGCGGCCGTATTAACCGTCCTATAATCCCAACCACACTGTTTCTCCTCTCGTATCCACTTGAGCAACTCGAGTTTATTCGTTTGAGCAACTTTATAGCAGAAATATGTTTCGTTCAACCAATACGACCACAACGATTTATTCTCCCACGCTAACTCCAAAGTCGATATCGACGACATCTCTTCAACTTTAAACCTCTTTTTCAAATCATCCGCACGAGATGACCTCTTCACCAACTTTCTCGTTTCACTATTCACCTCGTACAAGAATTTCACATCATTCGAATTCAATCTCGGAAGAATGTGTTTGAAACTCACATCGTCGTTATTCACGATCAAATCCCACACATCACTCTGACCAATCCGTCTTTTCTGCCCTCGCGTCTGCACTCCCGAAGGCGCAGGAGGAGACGAAGAAGCGCCACGCATCGTCGTTTCTCTGCGTCTTTTCTTAAAGTTTTTATGGGGGAAAAAACGGCTTCACAAAAAAGAGGCACGAGAGCGCTCTGCGACGTAACAACAACAACAACAACAAGTAAACAAGCATGGCCGTCGTCGTTGTCCCCACGCGAGAAGCAGCTCGTCGTTTCGTCGTTTTTTCAGCCGAACGACGCGTGGGAGGCAAAGGAAAAGGAGGAAGAAGGAGGAGGAAAAGCAGAAGTCGTTCCAGACTGAATGCGAGGAGAAAAAGCGGCGACGACGATATAGATGATGATGAAGATGATGAGAGTAGTGTTATTCACGAGGACAGGATAAACAGCAGCGACAGCAGTGAGTCGTCTTTTTCTTCTGCTGCTGCTGCCGATGATGACGATAATAAGAATACAAAAGAACAGTTGAAAGAAGAAGATTCAGAAAGTTTCCTGTACGAAGAAGTGGAGGAAGAAATCGAAGTGGAATACACGGCGATGGACCACGTTTCAGATTTTATTGCGGAAGTGCGAGACAAGCGGAATGAAATCAGTCGAGCGTGTTTCGGCAGTTTTGAGAGAGCGCCAGTAACGCCGGAGTATTTGAGAAGTTCGAGAGGACGGTTGGACGCGCCGACGGAACTGATATCGCTGGCGTTGGTATCGGTTGCGTTGGCGGTTTCCAAGACCGTGCGAACGAATAAAGAGAAGAAGGAGACGTTTATTCGAAACGAAAAGTGGACGGTAGTGAAAGCGTTTCAGGAGTTGAAAAGAATAGACGGTCAAGAGAACGACGCTTCGGTGGAAATGCGATTGTACGACGAGGGGGATTTAAGACGCGACTTGGAAAAGAAACAGAAAAAATTGGACGAGAAACGCGCGAAGGAATTGGAGAGACGCGAGTTGAGAGACGAAAAAGAACGCTTAAGAGAGGAAGAGGAAGAGAAGGAGCGACAGAGATTACTCGAGATTGAGCGTAAAAAAGAAGAAGAGGAAGAACGAAAACGAGAACAAGTACGCGCCGAATTTCGATTGAAACAAGCCGAGGAGCAAGAGCGGTTGAAAAAACGCGAAGAAGAAGAAGCGGCGAGGAAGAGGAAAGAGTTGGAGGAGGATAGGAAACGGAGAGAGGAAAAGATGCGATTGGAACGAGAGGCTTTAGAAGCGGAACGATTGCGACGAAAGAAAATATCGGAAGAGCGCGAGGAAAAAACGTTTGACATTCAGGCGAACATTAAAGTCGAAGCGAGGAGGAAAAACGGCAAGTGCGAAGTGACGGCCTCGTGCAGAGTGGAGTTATCAAACACGTGCGAAGTCGCGGAAACGTACGAATCGACAGAATTGGCGAGATTGCAAATGTCCTGGGCCTCGAAGTTATCCGGCGAAGCCATGAAAGCGTATAAAAGCGACCAGATTTTGAAGAAAATGATGGGCGAAGGCATTTTGTCCAAGACGCCTACTTTTTCAGACTTGGAATTTGAACACTGGATGAAACTCGTCAGAGTTCGATTGGACAGAGAATTACGAACGACTGGTTTACGCGCAGTTGCTGGACTCGAAGCGAACAAGTTGACCAAAAACGACAGCTTCGTTGAACGAGAAGTGACGTTTTCGAGAGCGCTGTTACCTGCAGAAGATCCAGAAAACGTCGAGACGCGAATACAAAACGCTATTCGGTTACTCATCGACCAAGTCGAATCCAAGAATAAAAATAAAGACGGCGATGCTAACGATGGTGGTGGTGGTGGTGATAATGACGACGACGACCCGTACCTTCTCGGCGATGGAGACTCCCCGGCCCTTGTCGACGAGGCGATAGATCCCAGGAAAAGCCCGACGGCAATTTTAAATCGACTTTCCGAACACGAGCTCGCGCAAATGCACGGGTTAGATCCATCTCTGGTATTCCCCGCAGAAACAGACGGTTTGACCACTGAATTGAACGGTCGCGTTTTATCCGGAATCTTAACCGCGTCTCTTTTTGTCAAAATCCTTCGCAGCGTCACCAAAGACGCGAAACCGGAAGTTTTACGACGGGGCACGCAGATGGCTACCTCTTTAGTCGGTCGATGCGCCAACGACGAAGGAAACTGGCGTGCCATGTATTTAGACGGTTTTCGCGGCGATGCATTGGAAGCCGGCGCTTTGATGGCTCGAGAAGTTATTCCAGACGAAGAGAACGATATCGTTTTATTAAACATCTTCGCCGCTCTGGAGGCGATGGAAAAAGCGAAAAACCGACGCCCGGAGGAAGCGGGCGAAATGATCGATAAAGAAGTGCTGAGAAAAATGAAAGCGCAGCGACGAATGAATGCGGTGCCAATCACCGAAAGGTTATTCGCCACGCGAAACGCGGCGATTCAGTTAGCCGGAAGTGGTTCCGTCGAGCAAGGTCGGGCGATGTTGGAGGAAGCTTACGCGTTGCGAGTGAACCACGTGGAGAAAAGACGCAAAGAGTTAGGGTTGACTGCAAACGACGAACGGTTTGGTATTCCAGAAACTTTGCCAGAGCTGAAAGCGCTGCTCTTTGTTTTAGAATACGGCGGCGGCGCGTGGGAAGCTGACAAGAAAGGCGTGCAGAAACAAGTCGTGAAAGCGGTGTACGAGGCGTGCGAAAACGGGGCGATGAAGAAAGACGCTGAGAAGGCGTTGGCGACGTTTGCAGCCGTTCGACGCTCGTTTATATTTGAAGAGAAGGATTCTGAATTCGGTCGAGAGTGGGAAGAGAAATTGTTCGAGAAATTCAATCAAACAGGAAACGAAGGCGAGGACGAAGAGGAAGGAGGAGGAGGAGGAAAACCTAGCGTGCAGGAGATCATCGAAAAATATTACCCGAGAGGCGTCTCGGACGCGCTCGAGTTTGCCGTGCAAACGTACGACGCCGAAATCGAGGCGCGCAGGAAAGTATAGAGAGTGTAGTCATAGAGAGATGAGTTAGCTACGTAGCACTTACGCGTTTTAGAAGCGTTTTACCTTTGGGTTAAAATTACAATAAATACAAAACATCGCAAACTCTTCTCTGCTTCTTACGCGGACGACGAAGTAGTATCACCGCCACCGCCGCCCGACATCATGCTCTCCAGCATTTCCGTTTGCAGCTTTTTATTCCCGTTCTCGATGTCTCTCTTCGCGAGCGTTTCTACGCTCTTCCACTCGAAATCCATGTTCGCGTACCCTTGCCTCGCAATCATAATACGGTTCGCCAAACTCTGGTCTGCTTTCGAAAGCTTGCTCATCCACTCTTCTGGGTTTCGAATCGGGTTTTTCTCCAGAAAATCCAACAAAAATTCGTGCTGATTGTTCACTCGGTTCACTTCGCCTTGACCGTCCAAGTTCTGCTCTTTGCTTTCTCCGTCTGGCGTTTGCACGTTCAGTCTGCAATTTATAGATTCCAACTGACCAATCACCACCCAGGTTGCTGTATACGTCAACAACTGGTGCATGACATCCGCCGCTTTCCTTTCCGGCGAGGACGCTCCGCCAAACGCACCGCACGGGACGTAAACTTTCGGCGAATCATCGTTCTCGTTGCGAACGGAAAAACATCTTCTTCCTCTTCTGTTTCTGTTGTTGTTGCTTCGTTCTCCATTTTGAAGAGAGATTAAAGTCGCTGCTCTGTGCCTCGACGAGAGCGTTTTCGTGGTAGCACTCGTCACACCAGTCGTCGCCGCAAACGAGGACACACAAAACAACATCACGTCTTCTTCGTAGATGCGCGCAATAACGCTGAGAAAACGAATACTATTAATAATAAATTAATGCCGATATGTAACCAACTGACTGAGCAAAAATCTCAAAAGTTCTTCTTAATTTCTTAAAAACGCTTAAAACGCGGTCAAACTTTGAGAAAAAAAAAAACATCAAAAGAAAATATCACAAAGCGACAAAGACAAACACTTATATAATAACAGAATGACAAAATGGTCGATGCGAACGTTACGAACGAACGAGTGTCGCGCGATGGTGGAAGGCCAGGAGGCGCACCGCTTGTTCGAGGCACCGGATTTGCACGAGATGGCGAGAACAGGAGATCTCGACGGAATGAGAAGATTGATTTTATCAAAGGATGACGACGACAAAGTGAACGCGTTGGACCCGGCGGGGAGGACGCCGTTACATTTCGCGGCTGGGTTTGGGCGAGTCGCGTGCGTGAAGTTTTTGCTAGAGAGAGGGGCGAAGTTAGAGGTGAGAGATTTGTGGTCCAAGGCGCCCGTGGATTGGGCGTTACAATCGAAACACGAGGAATGCGTAAAGTTGATGAGAATAAAAGCGATCGAGACCAATCTCGAGATTGGTGGAAGAGGGCAAGTCTCTCCGTTGAGGACATATCACGAGTATTGTTACGATTTGACGACGGAGGAAGTCGAGGAGAGGTTGGAGCAAGACAGGAAAACCGCGATGGAGCAATACGAAAAGATGAGCGAGGAAGAGAGGAAACAGTTTCGCGAATCAAACGGGGTGGATCCTGCCCAGCCGGTGCCATTTTAATGACAATGTGATAGTGTATAAATAAGAATGTTGTGAGCAGCTATTTTCAATGTAGTGGGCTATCTCTATTTGCTTCTAAAATTACAGCTGAATTTCCGTCAGAGCTTCTTCTTGTTCTCTGTCCGATTCCGTGGCGTCGCCGTCGTTTTCTTTTTCTTCCTCCGCCTTGTCTCCCTTTGCGTCTTCAAAATTTAAGTGCTTCTTTTCTTCTCCCCCTTCCTGATCTCCGCTGTTTATATCTTCGTTTTCTTCCAGTTTGTTTGAGTCGGTAATGCCTTGCCCGCGCGGCGGCGTGGGAAGATGGAAATCGGCAAAGAACGCGGAAACGTCCGATTCCGAGACGCCCGCCGGCGCGTTTGGAATGACAAAAGCGCTGTCCTCGGCATCTTCCATCTCCTCTTCTTCTTCATCTTCCTTGGTTTTTTCGTTGTCGTCGTCGTCGTCGTTATCGTCGTCGTCTCTATCTTCCGTCGTGGAATCGGCACCAACGAAGGGAGAATCCGGCGCGTCTGGAAATTCGAGGTCGCCCAGAACGTTGTTCTTTTTCCTCGCAGAAGTAGGACTTTGCGGCGGTGTCGCTTGCTCTTCTTCCGCCGATACTTCCGCTTTCTCTTCCACACTTGCTGCTTGCGCAAACAATCTGTTCAACTCTTCGTCTTCTTCGGCTTCTAACTCTTCGAGTATCGCGTCGACATCGGCGCCCGTTTCGGCCAACTTTTCCTTCAAACGATCGCACGCCCTTTCGCTTTGACCCAAGCACATCAACAAGTCGTTCATCTCCTCCTCGAAGTGCTTGGTCGCTTCATCGTAGCCTCGCTTGTACCCTCGCTCCTCGGCTTCGGCCACCTGCTCTGCCGTCAACGCTGCGTCGCGCTGGTTCTGTAACTGCTCAACCTTTAACTTCAACTCTGCGACTTCTCTTTCCGCTTGCTCTAAATCCGTGGCCGCGTCAGCCTGCTTCAACTTGAGATTTTCATTCTCGTTCTTTACCGCGTCGATTTCGACGTTTTTATCGCTAATTGTAACCTCTGCGTTTGCAAGTTTCGCGGCGACGTCGTCGTAGACTTCGCGTTCGATCCAACCCGTCGTGTCGTACTCGTATTCTTCGCCTTCGCCTTCGACGTATTCGCCTTCTTCCTCGCCATCGCCGGCATAATACCACGCGCCTGAGGCTTCGTCTAATACCCATCCCGGGTAATCGTCCGGGTTGAACGGCGGTTGATCTTCCCCCGCATTGTCGTGGTCTCCTTCATTTCCGTTGTCGTTGCCGTCGTTGTAGTCGACGTAGTCGTAGTCGTTCATGTTTTCATCGTTGCCTTTATTCTCGTCGTGTGGCGCCGACGGCATTATTTCGTTGCTGAAATCGTAGTCGTTTCGCGCGAAACCATCCGAAGAAGAAGGCGGCATGAATGCAGTATTCGCGCTATTGTTATTGGCGGCAGTAGTATTCACGGTACCGCCCTCGCTAATTCGAGGTGATGGCGGAGCAAAATCATACCCGTCGCTGTTTCGTCCAGGAGATTCTGAATAGTTTTGTTGGTGTTGTTGTTGTTGTTGTTCCATTTGTTGCGGAGGACGCAAGTAATCGTCGTCGTCCTCGTAATCAACGTGTTGTTGCTGCGTTTGTTCGTGAAGTGGTTGATCGTAACTCGACGGATACTGATTATTCTGATCGATGTATGCGTCGAACTGACTCGTCGATTCGTGCCCCTCGCTTCGCATAGATCCCGTGGCGGATGGAGGTTGCGGAGGCAGCTGTTGCTCTATGAGATTTCCCCACTGGTCATACATCGGTTGTTGTTGTTGTTGTTCGCTAGTATTCGATATCATTCCATTCTGATGGTGTTCTCCAGGCGGAGGATAATTCAAAACTTCATTCTCTGGAACCGCCGGCGAGCCCGGTTTAAAATGAGTGAGGTGTTGTTGCTGCTCCTGATGATGATGATGATGATGCTGTTCACCATCGCTAGTAAAAGTATTGCTATCGTTGTTGTTGCTGCTACTGTGATGAGGACTTTCTCTTTTCGTCGGCGAGAGCACTTGCTGATTCTCTACGTAATGCGGCGATTCGCTTTCTAATTTACCTTCGTTCTTCGCTTCGTCCTCGTCCTTCGCGCTCGGCCCGGGAACGAAAAACTTTTGCGGCTTTGCCACGGCAATCGGCGGCGGTAAAAAAGACGCCACATCCGCCGCACTTCCCGATAAACTTTGAGCGCCACCACCACCACTACCACCATCGCTCGTATCCCCACCCGTCGGATTGAAAACATCCACGTATCGGCTGCGAACGTCGCTTTGCCTCGCCACGAAACTACTCGCTCGCGGCATCGGCGGCGGTTCATTCGAATTCAACGCAGACGACGTCCCAGCAGGCTCCTCGTCCTCGCGCGAATGTTGCTGCTGCTGCTGCATCGCATCATTGTTATTACTGCTACTAAAGTTTTGGTGGTAGTTTTGGTGGTAGTTTTGGTGTTGCAGCTGCTGATTCGGATTCCGCGGGTCGCTTTCTCGCGAAAACGCATCCACTCGTTCGTGTTGCTGATTTCCCTTCTCAAAAGACACGTGTTGCTGCTGTGCTTGCTGTCCTCCTCCTACGCTTGCATTCGTCGCATTCCCACCACCATTGATATTACTGCTACTATGCATCGTCATCATCGGTGGCGGTCCTCCGATACTCCCGACGGCTTGTCTCGCCACATCTTTCCCGTTCGGATCGGAGCCGTCCACCCACGCTTTGAGCGTCTCGTCGTAGTAAAATTCAGAGTCGTTCCCCAGTTTCGCTTTGGTCACTTTCTTCCTCGGTTCGTTCTGTTTGAGTTAAAGTTGTTGTTCGAGAAAAAGAGAGAGAGCGGTCAGACGCGTCCCGATGTGAAGAGAACGACCACCATCTCGCGCTGTTTTGCGCGTCGCGAGAATGCATCAACGCGGGGGGAAAAAAGCGGATTTCGAATCAAAACGTTTACGAACGAAACCACAAAGAAGAGTTTGAAAAGAAGACAAAAACGATACAAAGAACGCACCCCTGCGTTGCCACCGCCGAACGAGGTCAGTCGGCCGAAGAATCCTCCGCCTGATCCTCCTTTGCTCGCGTTTTCTGCCATTTTAGTATAACGTATAAAGCGCAATTTTTTATGGCGAATTTTGGCTTCTCGTGTTGCCTTCTTGAGAACAAAAAACGTCTGAGACTTCGTTGTCGTCGTCGAGCGCTTACGCAGAAGTCAGAAGTGTTTCATTATCGGTTCAGTGCTTGGTATATACGTTGTGTGTAATAATATGTATTAATAAAATCCCTTCTCTGTCTTCTTCTTCTTTATAAAGCTAAATAAAAATCTCTCTCTGACCTCTTTCTTCATCTCTCTCTCTCGCTGCAACAATCAATTAATCTCTATTTATTATTATTAATCCATGTAGCCGTCGATTTCGCGTTGCTTTTGCAACATTTCGTCCTCCTCTCTCATAGCTTCGGCTTCGGCGCACATTCTTTCGATTTCTTCCGGCGTCAAACGTCCTCTGTCGTGTTGCAAAGACACGTTCGCTTCGGAGCCGGTGACGCGATCTCTCGCGGTTACCGTCAACAAACCGTTGGTGTTGACTTCGAAAGTAACGTCGATTTTGGGGACGCCTTGTTCGGCTTTTTCGATGCCGGTGATTTGGAACTCGCCCAATAAGTGGTTGCCGTCCGTGGACATGCGCTCACCCTCGAAGATTCTGACGTCGATTTCCGTTTGGTTGTCGTACACCGTGGTGAACTCGGACTTCTTTTTGCACGGGATGGAGGTGTTTCTGTTGACGACTTTCGCAAAGTGTCTGCCTTCGCACTCGACGCCCAAAGATAACGGGACAACGTCCATCAACAAAACCTTGGAGGTTTGCTTGTCACGGACGCCGGCCAAGATGGCACCTTGCACGGCGGCGCCGTACGCGACGGCTTCGTCCGGGTGCACGGATTTGTTCAACGGCTTGCCGTCGAAGTATTCCGTCAAAATCTCTTGGACTCTCGGGACGCGAGTGGAACCGCCAACCAAAACAATTTCGTTCACCAATGATTTGTCTCTGCCAGCATCGGCCAAGACTCTCTTGACTGCTTCCAAGCATCTTTGGAAAGTCGCCTCGTTCACCTTGTTGAATTCGTCTCTTGAGATGGTCATGTTCACCTCGTGTTCGCCGACGAAGCATTCCAACTTGGCGGATTGCGTGATGGACAACTCTCTCTTGGCTTTTTCGCACGCGGTTCTCAACTTGCGTTTGGACTTGTCGTCGTTGAAGATGGAGTCCGCGTTCGGGTACGTCTTTTGGACGTGCGTCATCAAGGATTCGTCGAAATCTTCGCCGCCCAAGTGGGTGTCGCCAGCCGTCGCCAACACTTCAAAGACGCCGTCTTGCAAGTGCAACAAGGAAACGTCAAAGGTACCACCACCCAAATCAAAGACCAAAATAGTTTGATCTTTAATGATTTCACCATCATCGCCTTCTCTCTTATCCAAACCGTACGCCAACGCCGCCGCGGTCGGCTCGTTGATGATTCTCAAAACTTCCAAGCCGGCGATTTGGCCGGCGTCCTTGGTTTGTCTTCTTTGCGCGTCGGAAAAGTACGCCGGGACGGTGATGACCGCCTTGTTGATGACGCAACCCAACTGGCCTTCGGCCGTGGCTTTCATCTTTTGCAAAACCATCGCGGAGATTTGCTCCGGGGCAAATTCCTTCTTTTCGTTGTTTTGGGTCGGGTCTTCGACGACGATGATCGGCTTACCTCCCGGACCTTCCTTGATCTCAAACGGCATGTGCTTAATATCCTCGCCAATCTCCGAGAACTGTCTCCCGATAATTCTCTTGATGTTGAACAAAGTGTTCTTCGGGTTTTGCGCGGCTTGCCTTTTGGCGGATTCACCGACAACTCTGCCGGCTTCGGTGAAGGAAACCCACGACGCGGTCGTTCTGTCGCCTTCGGCGTTGGACAAGACGTGCGCCTCGCCATCCTTCCACACGGAAACGCACGAGTACGTCGTACCTAAATCGATACCGATGACGTATTCGTCCAAAGTCGCGTTGTTCATCTTCGATGCCAACTTGGCTTCTTCAATCTTCTTCTTTTGCGCCAACTTGGCTTCGCCCATGCCTTCCATCAACGCCAAGTTCTTCGGGTCCAACGTGAGCCCTTGCGTATACGCGTGGATAGAATCGTGGAAGAATCCTGACTTGTACAAGGCAAAACCTAATCGAGAGTACCCTTTCACAAAGTCTGGTTTCAATTCCACGCATCTTCGCGCGTCCGCGCACGCTTTCGAGTGTTGGTCCAACGCGGCGTAACACGCGGATCTGTTCGAGTAAAACACGTGGTCGTACGGGTCTTGATCGATGGCTTTGGTAAATTCCGAAGCCGCTTCGTAAAACTTTTTCTTCGTGAACGCGGCGTTCCCGTTCGATTTGTGTTCCAAAGCGAGTTTGCGTTGTTCCGGTGAAACCTGATATTTTAAAGAGTGCGTACATTGGTGGTGGTGGTGAGCGCACGAATACTAATGCTTTCAAGAATGACGATGAGGATAAAAACACATCGCATCACGCCGCCGCAAAAAGAAAGAAAAAAGGGCCGTCGAAAAAAAAATCATCATCATCTCATCGCTCTCGGATCGACGAAGAAGAAGAAGAAAAACAACTCATAATACTAACAACAACAACAACAGTACCTGAATCTTATCCTCCTCGTCGTCGTCCAAAACGCGCACGGCGGCGCCCGTTTTCGATTCTTTCTTGCCTCCTTTTTTAGATGGTGCCATGATGCGATGATGATTTGTGCGTTCGAGTATGTGTGAGGGGCTTTTCGCTCTTCCTTTCTCTCTCTAGTGGTCTTCTTTTTCGAGCGTTTGTGGCTCTCCTTCTCGTGTTTTTTTAAGCAAGCGCTTCTTCTTTTCGCCTGAAAAAAGCTCTTCTCTTTCAAATTTTTCGATTGATTTCCGTCGTTTTTTCTCTTTTCCCTCACAGAAAAGATGCATGGGGTGCTAAAGATATCGTCTTTCTCATCATCATCATCATCATCATTCAGACGCGTATACCGCGACGACTCGTATTACCACCACTCGAGAAAAAACGCTCTCCTTCTCTCGAGGAAGAGGACGCTTTTATTACCGCGAAGCGTTTCAGCGGCACAAAATATATCCGAAAACAACGCGGTGATGACCACCAAAACCACTTTTAACGAGAAGCGTGACGACGACGTGAACAACGGGAAGGAGGAGAAAAAGAATGCTACGAAAAGTAAAACGTTTACGTTGCGACCGAAAGAAAAGCACGGCATGAATAGAAAGGCGAGATACGTGACTTTACATTTCTTACGCCACGCGGAAGGGACGCACAACGTTTCCAGAGAATACAACGATCCGAAACATAAGGACGCGAGATTGACGGATTTTGGTATACAGCAGTGCGAGAAGTTGGCGAAAGCGCAGCCTTTGTTGTTGGAATCAAAGTCATCAAAGAAGAAGAAGATGACGGTGGCGACGTCGCCGATGACGAGGTGCGTGCAAACCGCGCGTTTATGTTTCGATAAAGAGTCGCACATGATTACGGAAAAATACGTCGCTTTAGAGGAGTTGCGGGAAACGGTCAACTATCAGTGCGATATTCGGAGGACGACGTCAGAGTTGAAGGAAGAGTTTGGCGCGAGCGTGGATTTCTCTCGATTAGAAAACTACGAGGAAGATCCTTTGTGGCAGTATTGGATCGAGAGGTGCGGATCCGAGGAAGAGCACACGATGCACAGAGAGAGCGCTTCCTTGTATAAGTGCGCGGATAGGGCGAGGAAATTCTTCGAATGGGTGGTCGAGAAAAAAGCAGATACAGAAGAAGAGATTATCGTCAGTTCGCACTCGGCGTTTCTTCGCTGCGTGTTTAATTACGGTCACACGCAAGAAAAGTTCGAGTATCACATGGGAGGGTCGGAGCAAGTATTCGACGATCGAGAAGACAAAACAAACAACGTAAAAGTTGTCCAGTATTTGCCGGAAGACGGCGACGCGTTCGAGGAGTACATGCGGAGAGATTACGAGAATTGCGAGTTACGGTCAGCCGTGTTGGAAATTCTTTGATGATATGATGTTTTTTTAGTAGTACCTAGTAGTAGAAGTAACCGAGTAGTAGTAGTAGTAGTAGATAGTAAATGCGGTAACAAATGATGCGGTATCGGTTCGTTTTTTATTCTCAATGGATTCCTTTAGCCGCGATGTTCCCTAACTCGTCTTCTTCGTCCCACGTCATGCTGTAATCGGAGAAATCACCTTTCGCGTCTGCCTCGTCTTTCGACTCGAACACTTGACCGGCGTTATCGAAATACCTCCAACTATCGTTCAACACGTGCGACATCCTTCTCTCTTTCGCCTCTAAATACTTCTCCGAAAACAAATTCGCTTTCGTCACGCACGGAATTCTCGACGTCACGTTTACCCCTTCCTTTTCTAATTCGTTAATCTTTCTCGGGTTATTCGTCATCAGCGCCACGCTCTTGATGTTCAAATCATCCACAATATTCCTGACCGCGCTGTACTCCCGTATATCGTCCGGTAATCCCAACTTTCTATTCGCGTCCACGGTATCGGCGCCGCTCTCTTGCACTTTATACGCCGCAATCTTATTCGCCAATCCAATCCCTCTCCCTTCCTGCTCTAAGTAAATCACCACCCCTAACTCGTTATCCCGTATGTATTCCAACGCCATATCTAACTGTTGTTTGCAATCGCACTTTAACGACCCTAAAACTTCGCTCGTAAAGCACGCGTCGTGTACTCTCACCGGCACGTTTTCCAAGCCTTCCACGTTCCCGTAAATCATGCACGTGGGTTCGGTAATCACGTGCGTTTTCGGCCCGCGATGGCGGTAGCCTCGCAAGCGGTAAAAGCCTTTATCCGTCGGCAGTTTTGTTTCGGCGATGAATTGCGTTTGTGACTCCGCCACCCAGTAAGATTGCGGGATGAATTCATCGTTCGTTGTTCCCGATTGCGATGATGATGATGAGGATGCGGAGTCAGCAGAGAGGGATGACGACGGGGAAATCGTAACATCTCTTCTTCTCCGTCTTTGTCTTCTTTGTCTGAGTCGTGTTCCTCTCGCGAGCAGTTTTCGTCCTCCTCCTCCGTTGTTGTTGTTCATAACAACGGTATTGTTATGAGAAGAAGAAGCGATCGAGGCCGTGCGGGCCAGAGCAGCAGCAGTCGTCATCTTTGTATGAAGACGAAGCGGCTGCGTAGTTTGGATAACACTTGGGTTTAGGGTTACTTTAACAAAAACTTGAATTTTTTATAAATGTATTACTAAACCCTAAGCCAGATACACTCAAAACGATATTCGATTAAGAACGCGAATGAGCAAACGATCACAGGTTCGACCCCTGTAATCAGCATTAATAGCATTGCTGATTTGGCCAAGTGGTAAGGCATTTGTTTTGTACACTCTTTTTTTTACTCTAAACTACTACTATTACTACTACTATAGCTACTATACTACAGCACAGGATAAAGTCAGAGTATATCATCATCATTTTCAACGATTTCAAACCTCGGCGCGTCTCCGGTTTGTATTACGTCCACGCGAAATCCGGTCTCTTTCAGTTGGAGTTCAAACGATTCGACGTTTGCCTTGGCGAACAAAAGCGCGTCTTTGAGCAACGGCATAACGCTATTTTGTTGTTGTTGTTTCATCGTCATCATCAGTTTGGAGACAACCAAAGACGCGCTCAAAACGTCTCGCACGCCCGCATCGTTGGTGAGCATGCACGCGACGATGATATCATCATCAGTATTATTGTTATCTTCTTTCGTCGTCCTCGTTAGGTCTCGAACGACGTTGGCGACAAAGTTTTCGTTCGCGAAAACATTCTCTCTCACTCTTTCAAACGCCTCCCAATCGTTGCCGGAAACGACGTCCGGCGCGACTCCTAATTTACACGCTTTTAAGTACTTTTCCTCTTTGCTCCACCAGACCCCTTCGACGTCGCTGACTTCTTCGACGGACAAAACGTTTTTACCGTTCGATTCCACAAACGTTTTGGCTTGAATCAACGCGCGTTTACGACTCAACGTCTCAAAATTCAAGCTTTTCGCCGCCATGTAGCAACAAAACGAGTGCGCGAAGAGCATGGAACCGTACGTGGCTACGCCCACCGTCACGCCTTTCATCTCTTGGCCTAAACTGTTCGTCGCAAAATCCAACTCTAACCCGTTCGTGACGGCTCTGAAAAGCGCGATGCCAACCGGCAACGCGGCGATTTGTAACCATCGTCCTTGTACTTCTAATTTCGTCCGTATATCTCCGGCGTTTTCGTTTCGAGAGAAATGCGTCATGAACGTCCCGTTGATGAGCGACGATCTCCCCGTCAACGCGGCACTTCTCACAAACGTCGCGGTTCCTGCAATCAACAAAAAATGCGACGGAAACAGCGGCGTCAACAACTCCATCGCCCGAGACACGTCTTCCAATGAATTCGCCGTCGACCAAAAGAATTTTGGATTCTCGTCAAACTTTTTCGTATTCAGCGCCCCCAACGCTAACGTCGCTAAACCGCCGGTCCCGTCTTTCAACACCCACTTCGCCGCCCCTGCCACGGGTGCCGCCGCGTTCGCTTGATTCACGTCCATCCCGACTGCAACCAATAACGACTGCGCCGAGAGCACTTCCAAAACGTCGCGAAAAAATAACGAAAGCATTTGCCATTTCAGCCAAGGCAAATAGTCTCTCGAAACCGTGTTCGGGAACCCGTCCGGAAGGAATATTCGCTTAAACTGCGCTCGAAACTGCGACGTAAACGACGAGGAAGAAGAAGAAGAAGAAGAACTGTTATCGATGTTCTCATCGTCATTATTCAAACTCGGTTGTCGTTTCGCCATTTTCACTTTTCTCGTCGTCGTCGTCGTCGCAGGTGTTGTTGTTGTTTCCGCCTCGTTAAAAACTTTCCTCATCTCTTCTTCTTCTTCTTCTGATGAGAAGAACGCGGGGACGTATTCATCGTTCCTCGCGTTCCCGCTGAAATCCACCTCTCTTATTTTCTTTATTTTCTTTGTTTTCTTCTTCTTCGGCTGTTCTCTCGTCGGAGGCGGAGGAGGAGACTTTGTCGTTTCTTTTCCCATTCGTACAATCCGACTTTGATGTCGTCGTCTGCGATGCACAAAATCATCATCATCATCTCGAAGACGACGTAATAAACGACGACTGAATCGACAAAACGAAGACGAAGAGGAGTGCGACGACGATAAAAAAGAATTCGTCGTAAAAGACATCTCTTTTTCCTCTCTCGATTTCTTCTATTCTTCTATTCTCTCTTATTAAAAGTAGTAGTGCATCTCACAGAGAGAGGAGAAACTTTTTTTTTTGCGCTCAATTAATTTATCACGTGTCGTTGTTTTTCGTCTGTCGTTTTTGCAAAAAAAAAAAATTGTGATTCGTCCTCGGAATGCGTTCAAGTCTCTCTCTTGACAAAAAAATATTTTACGATTTTGGATAAACCATCACACAACATCACCTCTACGAGCTCTCTCGTTTATACACTACTCCGCAGAGAGAGAGAGACGAGACAAACGAAGATATAAGAAAACTGAGCGTAAGTGAGAGAGATCGAGAGAACAAAGACAGAGAGACGCAGAGAGGGTTACAAAAAATGTCATCCTCGTCTTTGCGTGCAGCGCTGATGACACCAACAACGTCGTCGTCGTCGTTTCATCTTTTTAATCTGCGTCATCAAAAAGATTATTATTATTCGAAGAGAAGCGCGCGTTGTTTTAGGAGCAGCAGTAGTCGTAGTCGTAGCGTGATAAAGAAGACAACAAAGATGATTAAAGTGTTTTCGAGCAGCAGCGATAGCAGTTCTTCTCGGGGAGAAGATGGAGGAGAAAAGAAAGCGGAAGATATCCCTCCGGAAGATTACGCCATCGTGGTGGAACTTTTGGATTGCGAAACGGGTGACGAGATTCAAGAAAAAGCAGATTTGATGGCAAAGAACGGGTTAATCACAGCCGGGGTGGTGGAAGCGGCGAGAGTTATACTAGACGGGAACATTCAGCAAGGCCAAGACGAGGAGATTATTTTGATTTTACGAGCGATATACGACGTGCTTTTGAAAGAGTTGCAAAAAATTCGAGCGCCGTACGCGAAGAAGGTGCTCGAATTCGCGCAGGAAGTCATGGGGATGTTCACGGCGGAGGATTTGGAATGCAACAATGAAATGGCGTTATCGAAAGTGAGGTTGGTGTTGCAAGAGGAATTCGATAAGGACGAAGAGATTGGCGTGACAAGAGAAGCGTTGGAGAAATATCTAGGCGACGTGTTGCCGGTGATGGACATGCAAGACGACCGATTGAAAGAACAGCTCGCCGCGTGCGAGGATCCGAAAGTACAAGTCCAAATGGTTGCGCAGATGATGCAACGGACGAAAGAGAGAATGCAAATCGACCATTTAAGAGAAGTTGCGAGAACATTTAGAAGCGAATGATGAGAATAGAAAAGAAGAGTTTTTCGCGTTTTGTATTTGATATTCACAAAAAAAATGTTTGACCACCTTAAATTTATGTTTATTCGCGATGATGAAATTTGAGAAAGAATGAGATGCGCGTCTCGCGATGAACTCGCTGTTGTGTTTTTATTATTAACCTCTGAGACCTGAAAAGCCCGGTTGCGCGAACGCGACGTGGTGCGCGGTACCACTTTGAAACAGAGGATCTTGCGCGACGATGTTGTTGATGCCACCGAGTGAGCTCACACCGAGACCACCAACGCCGAAACGATTGAGGCCGCCGATGCCGCCACCGAAGCCGATACCGCCGCCCAAACCTTGGAGCAATTTTCTCGCCGGCGTTTGTTTTTGGTCTTCTTCGGGCGTCGGCGGCAATCTCACGAGCGCGATGTGTAACAGCAACGGTGGTTCTTTGCTTCCCTCGCTGTCGTCGTCGCCTTCCAAAGAAGTCTCGTTCCCTCGAATCTCTTGCAACGAGACCAGATTCGGCGTTCCGATGAATACGATTTCTCCGTCCTCGTTCGTATCGCCTTCGGCGATTAATTCGCAAAAGTGCGACGTTTCCGCCACGTCGATATCCGCTCTCCCGCAAGTGTACTCGTCGTAATCGTACGCTCCGCCCATCATCGGAGACCCCATGCACTTCTCCGGGTGCGCAAAACCACACACGACTGCCCCGTACGAGGCGTTCGGCGTCAACTGTTCGCTCACCGCGACGAACTTCATCGAGTAGTTATTCTCGGACGTGGGCAAAGTCGTCGCCACGAAACTCTCGGTGACGACTCTCAACCCATCCGCCTCGACGTCCGCGAACGTTTGCACGTCAAACGCGTCCGCATCGGTTACGTTCAACTCCTCTTGAATCTCTCCTGCCAAGAAAGTCGCTCTTTCCAAGTCATCCGCAGACGGGAACGTCTCCCGCAAAGCTTTTCGTATCGCGTCGTTGTTCACTCCCAAAACAACTTCTTCATCTTCTTCCATCTCTCGTCGTTGTTGTTCTTCATCTCGTTGCTGCTGTCCCGAGACGAGGACGACAAAGAAACAGAGGAGCAGCAAACAACGAGGCGCGAAAGAAAGAAAACCTCCACGCCTTCTGCTTACTCCTCCCATGATGCAAACGACGACGATAAAGACGACGAGGAAGAAGACAATCTGTTTTTGCTTTGTGCGTCTCGCGCAGTGTGTGTGGTGGGTTTACTTTTGCGCGCGCGGTGTATAAGTGGGTGTACTTTTATGTATCTTGGGAACAGTTGTTAGATACAAAATAATGTGGATGATCAGAGATTTGGTCAAATTCTTTTTCTCGGTTTTTTAAAAAAAGACGTTACTATGAACTCGATTTTGGCGAATAATCGAGATAACGGGGAGAAAAAAGAAGTCGTTAGATGCGCAAACCAAATCGACTTGGCGCGGATGCGTTTTGTCCGCGAATATCCGCTCTCCCCGATCCTTGGCCTATGATCGTCTCAATCTTTGACTCGACCTGAGTCCCGCTCGCGGCGAACCCGGTCCCTCCTCTTTGCAAATGAATCACGTCCTTCTTCGGATCTACTTTCTTCCCTTCGTACGCGCCTTCTTTCTTAATCACCAGATCGTACGCCTCTTTCGAAATCGCGTCGCCGGTTGGTTTTAAAATAACAATCGGCGTGCTATTCGTAAACGTCTTCATGGTCACCGGACAAATGAAAACGGATTCGTCGTCCGTCGCTTTCGTCCACTTCACTTTCGTCAAGTCTTTCGCTCTTAACTTCTTCCCAGTTTGAGGACATTTCGTGTATAAACTATTCTTCTTCGCGCTAATTCCGCTACTACTACTTTCCGCGACGTTCTCCTTCGTCCTCACCGTGTTCGTCCAGAACTCGTTCAAACTCTCCGCGCGTTCCTTATCGAACTTTGACCCAAACTCGGATCTTTTTGCGATTTGTTTTCCATCTCCATCGTCGAAGACGTCGTCCATCTCTTGGTACTTCCCTCCGCCGTGATTTTGCGCGTGAAACTTCTTAATCTCTTTCGCTTTCGCGTGCTCTTCCTTTTCCTTTTCCTCCTCGCTTCTTTGCATCTTCAAACGCTCCACACTCAGTTTCATCTTTTCGATCGATTTCTTCTGTTCGATTAAGTTCCTCACTATAAACTCTCGCTCGTATAAAACGCCTTCGTCGGTCGCGTACGGGTCTGCGCACACGTGTAATCCCAAGGCGCAACAGTTGAAATCTTTCACGGTGTCTTTCCCTAAGCGTTCTTTGATGGTGCCAAAACCTAACGCTTTGCGTTCGGCGTAGTTGAGGTTTTCCGAACCCATGTTCCCGGCATTTTTGGAGTGTTTTCTCCCCGAACCGCGAGGCATATTTAGAGTGTTTATGTGAGAGTAGTGGTGTGCTAAAACGCGCGCGAATGTGTTCGATGGAATGAAGAATTTCATCTAAAGCGTTTGCTTTTCCCCACAACAAAGAGTACTACAAACAAACAATAAACATGGCCGTCATCATCGACGACGACGAACGAGAAGACAAAGACGACGTAGAAGAATCGATGGACCACCCAACGACAGGAAATCGCCAATTGGAAGAGTTAGCGCACCACTTAGAGGAGACGAAAATCGAGATGCAGAGAAAAGGGGAGACCTTCGTTCCCATGCGCTCGAGCAACAACAACAACGCAAACGAGATTGGTTTAGACGCGTTGGCACCGTCGCTGGCGAAACCAGTGTCCGCATCTAGAGAGATGTTTGAACGCGCGAAAGAGACGCTCGTTTTGAGCGGGAAAACGAAGATTACGACCGTGTGTTTCAGCAACAAAAGCGGCGTGGTGGGGGTACGCGCGGAAGGGAAAATCGAAGCGAACGAGCGCATTTTTGAACACTCGTGGAGAGAACAACGCGCGCCGTTCGGCGGGATGTGCATGGTTGCGATTGAAAAGTTAAAGTTTGAATACAACGTGAAAGAGGTGTATTTGGAATTGTTAAAGGAGCGGTTTTATAGCGACGGGCGGAAGCAAGCGGTGCCGACGAGCGCGCAGACGTTTCTGAAGTTGGCGCCGGAACAGTTCGTGAGAGGAGGAGAAGAGGATTTGGCGAACGCGAAGTACGATTGCATCTCGGATACGTATTACGCGTTGAGAGATATTCAACCGGGGGAGGAAATTTTAATCGCGAAGAAAGACGCGCTCGCCGCGAAACCGGGATCCGTGGCGATTACGTGCGATTCCGAGTCCGTGGAGAACGAACTGTTGAGTTGGCTGGTGGAAGAGGAGTGCGCGCCGTTGCGTTTGCAGCCGTCGCAAATTCACGATGTGGGCGTTTTTCTCGCCGCCGATTATTCGAAGCCAATCGAAATACCGGTGTCGCAACTGAGCGAGTTGTTGCAAGGTCACTTTCGAATGGCGCAGTGCCCGCACGGATGGTTAACGAAGGAAGCTCCCAAGAAAAGTAAGAATGGTAGTGGCGATTTGGATGAAGCGATGCGAAATAGAATCAGAGAACGCTTTGGGTTTACCACGGCAAATCAGACGTTTCCATTGCAAGGTGGGTTTCATCGCGTCACGTTTGCGCAGTTTCTGAATCACGACGGCGATGACGCAAACGTCGCGAGAGATAGGAAGAAACCAGTCGCGACGTACAAATTTACGAATAATCGAAAGGTTGGCAAAAAAGGCGACGAGATTACCATCGACTACCGCGTGGATTCGCCTACAGAAGACGCTCGCGATTTACCCGCGAATAAAGTGTATTACAAATGGGCGATTGAAAAGAAAGGCGGCCCGTGGGATGAGATTGGTAAAGGAGCGAAGGAACGGAAAGGCGCGGTGGATTATTCCAAATGGGACAACATCGATACGGATTCAGATTAGCAATATAGCAGTAGTAGTACCTGGAAGTAGAAGTAAAATCAGTTGTAATAGTAGCAGTAGTAGCAGCAGCAGCAGCAGCGGTGCAATCACGTCAACGCTTATCGACGAAATCGTTAATTTCACCAGCCACGAAATCTAACTCTACCGGTTTTAAGCCGCGTCCAAACTTATACGACTTCGCGCCAACTTCCATGGAAATGATTGAATTTGGAATCCCGTTGGTGATGCTCTCGACGATGACCTCCGCGCCGGAAACGTCCTCAATACTCCCCGAATCATTCACGTATTCTTTTTTACCGATCGTCCTCGTGACGATGTTAAAGTCGGTATCCGTCAAGGAAATTTCCGCAGATTCAAAGGTTTCGTCGATGAAGCTCTTCCCCATTTGACCGCCTGCGAGCCAGAACGGGATGGAAAATAACGCGAAGAACGCTCCGCCAGATGCCAAGGCACCAACCGTCCACGTGGCTACGAACGCGTTCCACGCTATCGCAAAGCCCCCTGACATGGCGCTATTCCCGGTGAACCCCGCGGGAGGGATTAAAATTGCCAGTTCTTTCGTGTCTTCGTTTCGATACACTTGCACTTTCGTGTTTGCCGGTTTCTTCCTTCGATTCGGTCGTTTCGATTCTAGTTCCGAGGATATCGTCGTGCTAAACCCCGGAGCGCCGAAGGTTGTTCGACCGTAATACGGATCGTACGGGTCGTAATATTGTCCTCTGTTGTCGTAGTACCCGTCGTCTTCCTGGTAGTACTCGTCGTCGTAATACCTATCTTGTTGTCTGCTAGTGCTACCGTTTCTAGTGCTATTATTCTTCATCTCTTCTCTTCTTTGCGCGCCTCTTTCTAACAACTCTAACGCCTCCTTGGCGTTTCGAAACCTGTCCTCCGGCAACGGTTCTAATAGAATATCGAGACACCTTTCGATGTCTCGATCGTCGATAGTCACTCTCCCTCTGAATGCAATTTTTAATCTCTCGCTCGGGAACGCGCTCGGCGGGCACCCGCTCATGGCAAACAAAATCGTCGACCCAACTCCGTATTGATCACTCTTCTTTCCTACTCTTCCTTGTAACTGTTCAGGCGCGGCATACCCAAACGTCCCGACCGAAGTACCGACTCTCGTCATCTCCATTCCGCCGGACACGGCGCTCTCCGCGACCGCACCAAAATCCACCAAACTTATCGTCTCGTTCTCCATATCTACGATGACGTTATTCGGCGTAATATCTCTGTGCCACACCGGCGGCCTGAGCGTCTCTAAATACGATACCGTTTCTAACAGTTGTACCAACATCTTCTTCACGAACGGCTCGGATGGGCGCCACGTTCCGCTTTCCACCAACTCCGTCAACGATTTGCCTTTCGCCACTTTTTGCACCAACACAAACTCCAAATCTCCACTCTTCGTCCCTTTCTCAATCTCAAAGTGCTCCACGTATTTCGGTATCGTCTCATAATCGATGGATTGTAAAACTTTCGATTCGCGCTCGAACGAATCTAACGCTTTCCAAGGCGACGCGTCATTATTCGCGCCTCCGCCAGCACTCATTTTCTTCAAACTTTCCCAAGGTAAAACTTTCAAAGCCACCTCTTCTCTAACGTTTCCCACCAAGTGCTCGCACAACAACGTTTCCCCGTACGAACCGGTCCCGAGTAAGTCTTTCACCACGTACTCTTCTTTGATAACATCGCCCGTTTGGTAATACGTGCCAACTCCTCCTCCTCCGGTGCTCGTCCTCAAAAGATTACTTCCCGGGGAAAAAGAAGAAGTCTCCTCGTTTACGTCGTCATCCTTTGCGGCCGCTTTCGTTGCGCCTCGTGGTGGTCTCCCTGAAGAAGTACCTTTACGACGAGAATACGGGAGCGACAAAAACGGATGCTTGGAAAGCAAAAGTCTTTGAGTCATACTCGTACGCATTGGTGTCTTCTTGTAAATTATTCGTGGATAAAGTTATGACGCAAGTTGATTACACAAGTGACGTAAAAAGACTTTGCGAAGAGCGGATGATGTACATGTACATGTATATATTTAATTACAAAACGCGTCGTCGCAAAATTACACAACAATCCAACGCCCCCTTCTTCGCCTTCTATTATCTGGCACTAAACCCGGGGCCAACACCAAAGTCGTCCGAATTACTCTCGTACTCTTTCGCGCACTCGGCGTATCTGCCGCCTCTCAACATTTGAAAATTGTGTTCTCGCTCCATGATATTGGGGACGTTCCCGGTTGGGACGCCGGTGGTTAAAGAAGTCCCCGCGTCGTCGACTAAAACAAACCTCGAAAAGTCCCCCAATTCCCCTGGAACCCAAACGAGTTTCCACGCGATTTTAGACTGGAATTGCACGTGCGCGACGTCGTGCGGAGGTTCTTGATTGGCGCCGAGCGAACACGTGCACCACGTCCCGCCGGGCCCGGCGTCGGGTAAACTCGCCGCTCGAATCCCCTCGCCCAGTTGATTTCCAACCGCTATGCCTCTCACCGACCCGTCGTGTTCGTTATCCGCCGTTTGCATCAACATTGTCGTCGCGTCCACGTGGTTGAAATCGTTAAAGCAGTGGCCCGTGTTGCCCTTTCCCGGTGCCACGTTCGTGAGGTCTCTCAACCCGGCCGCCCATAAGAGCTTTGGGCGAACAATCGCCTCCCAATCTTGGGAGAGTTCATTCGAAGTGAGTGACTTCGCTCGGTTTTTGCACGTCTCCAATCGTTCATCCGCCGTCCCCGGGTACTCGCTGTCACCCATGATGGAAAACTCCGATATCGACGACGACTTCACGCTCGACGGAAACGCACTGCACAGGAATAAGAAGGAAAAGGATTTGCGCAAGAAGGAAGATCTCTTGGCAGTACTCGTAATAATGGTGCGAGTCGCGATGCGTTTAGATGATGATGATGATGATGATGTCGTCGTTCTCGTGGCAATTGTTCTCGCCCCCGCAAACATTATACGCGTGTGTTTAGCGCGTTTACTTTCCGGGAGAAGTGACGTCTGCAAAGTCTCCATTATCTCCCCTAATAACACACGAACACAACGCCGGAACAGAAGACATACGAATACAAAAATGTTGTTTTCTCTTCCCTCATTCATGAACCGAAAACCGTTCCGGAGATTTCTGATACTCTTCCTCGTTTTCGTCTTGAATTCCGTTCAGCGGGAGGATGTTTTATATGCAGAAGTTGGATTTTCTGCGACACCGACAACAACGGAATGTTTCTTTGGTGTTGCATCACCTCAACAAATCATCATCATCGAACAACGCGACGACGAATCATCATCATCCGCAGGTGGAGCAAGAACAACAGCATCAAAAGCACGAGGAAGAGGAGAAGAGGTTGTTGGAAGGGAACCCTTTGGCGGACGGGTGAGCTGTTGTTGTTGTTGTTGGCCAACGAAATCCCCTAACGAAGGAGCATGTTAGAGAGAAAAAAATAAGCGGATTCCTCATTTTCCGCTTAGCGCGCGCGTTCACGTATACACACAACGCGAGCGAGAAAACGAACGAAATGGCCGCGGATCGTCCGGAGGAGACCAACGAGGACGCGAATTCTAATACTTGCGATCACGAGGCGTTGTTGTTGAGAACAACAAGGCTTCCGGAGTGTCCTTCGGAGGAGCGAGAAGAGGAAACAGCAGCGGCGCTGAATAAAAAACAACAACCAAAGAAGCAAATTTTAACGCATGTTTTGCCAAAGACTTTGGTGGAAAAGACTTTACCTATTCTGCGCCTGTCTGGATTGACGCAATTTATCGTCGGTTCCGGAGCGGTCGGGTTAGCGGTTGGTCTCGTCGTCGGTGGGTGCATTAAAGACGTGGTGGATTCGTTCACGTCGGCGTTTATATCGCCGTTGATTGCGTTAATCGGAGGGAAAAGAGAGATTGAGGATTTGTACTTCTCAACCGGGGGGACTCGATTTGAGTACGGCGCGTTCCTCGGCGTCATGTTGGAGACGTTTTGTACGTTGTTTTTCGTGTATTATTTGATCGTGGTACCGATGAACGCGTTGACGAGCTTTAAGTACGGGCCTTTGGTGAAGTGCGACGAGTGCGCGTCTTGGATTAAAGAGAGCGCGAAAAAGTGCCCGCAATGTTGTTCGTATTTGGACGAGAGACGCAAACAGAATTTGGCGAATTCCGCGAAAGAAGAATCGAGACCTCCTCGGATGCGTCACTCGCGAAGTTTGAGCGACGAATTGATGCGATGGTAAAGAAAAGAGGAAGAAGAAGTTTTAATGCGATACGAGTACCTTTGAGTTAACATATAATACGTTATTCGCGTGTATATTCTTCGTGTTTGTTGCCACCGCTGCTGCCGCTAAGTAGTATTTACCTGTCTATTTCTGCCCGCGCTTGCGCTTCCTCTCTCTCTCGCAATCGAGCTTGGGCCAGTTCTTTCCGCTCTCGCTCTCTTCTACCTCCTCTAATTCCGCCTCCTTTTCTCTTGAATCGCTTTGGCGAGGAAGTAGTCTTTGTTTTATCGTCAATTTGCTGTAAAGGCGTGGACGGCGACTGAGGTTGCGACGACATCGATCTATCCTCGGACGCTCCAGCGCCTTCCTCGAACGCCGTCGCGTGCGACGACATATTTTCTGATTTACGCTTCGGGAACTTTCGCGACGCGTCTCTCGTCGCGTTTCTTCTCTTGTCTCTTCTTCCACCTTCGATATCTTCTCTTCTTCTGTTAGCGTTGTTGTGGTTAGTGTTGTGTTGGATGCTTACTTTCGAGAAACTTTGTTCCGCCTCTCTGAGCTCGCGCGAGGAAACCCCTAATAATCCAACCTCCTCCTTCATCCCTTCTTCTTTTTCTTCATCGCCTTCCTCTTCGTCTTCGTCTTCTTTGGATGACGTCTCGGAGGATTCTGAAAGTTCTGTCGGTGCCATGGCCATGATGATATCCATGACATCTCGCGCGCGTTCGATTGCGTCCATCTCTTCTCTCGTTACTTTTGCGCTCTGTTGTTGGTTGTGGTGGTGATGGTGATGCTCTCCTCCCGACGAAACGACGGCGTTTGTTGCGACCACCGCGCCGCTGGATGATCCCATATTCAGCATACGTTCGAAAAAATTACCCTCGTCTCTGGATGACGTGCTCATCCTTTCCACGGACGAGCCGTCACCTTGCTGTTGCTTTACCAACACCAAATCCGCACCAGACGTTGCCTTTCTTTCCTTCTTCCGCAAGAACAGTTTCGCCGCTTTCGTGTTCATCGCGATGCAAGCGCCGTGTTGCATAACGTCGCGCCTTTGACACACCACCGCTCGTCCAGCGATAACGACTGCGTCCAAATCTTCACCAGTTAACGGTCGCGATCCAGGGGCGCCCGTGTACGACGATATGTGTTTTGCAATGCATGCGTCTCGTTGAATCACTCTCGCGTGCTCGATTTCCACCGACGACGCGTCTTTTACGTCAAATAGTCTCGCAAAGTACAGTAACGATACCAATCTCTTCAAATCTTCGGAATCGTATTTCTTACCATCTCTTTTCATCCTCGCGGCGGCGGCTACAATCGACGCCGAAGGCGGCGTCGGCGGTAAAGGCGGCGACAACATCACCCCTTCCTCCGTCCTCCCAAACTTCAACGGCAAACGCGGCGGCGACTTTGGCGATGCGCTGCTTGCCATCACCGGGGATCTCCCCGTCTTCTCCTCTCCACCTCCTCCTCCAACAACGACACCGCCGCCGCCGCCGTCGTCGTTGTCCTTCATCCTCTTTTCTTCCATCGCATTTGCCACGGAGACTGCTATCTCTCTCTCCATCGCGTCTAAAAGCCTCGGTCCGATGTGTTCCAGCTCTTGTAAAGCGCCTTCGTACATGACGCGTTTGCGAACGAAGGATTCCTGTTGTCGTTTGTTTAAAGCGTTGTTTATAAAGAGGTAAGAGTAAAACGTTTCATCATCACGATCAGTCGAATTCAAAAAAAAAAAAAAAAAAAAAAAAATTCTCGCTTTTCGTACCTGCGCCTCCGTCAACTGACTCCCGCTCGCGCGCGCGACGGATGCAATCTTCTCCATTTCTCTCAGAGAGGATTTATAGTGTCTTCTCCTTTGTTTCAAGATGAGTTCGGTGGTTTCTGGTTGGATGAATGCATCGAGATGATGATGATGATGATGCGCTTCGTCGCTTTCGTCGTCTGAATCGTAAACCTCGTGGTTTCGATGCGTCGTCGCATTCGAAATGGAAGACGATCGAGGAGGTCGTCCTCCTCCTCTTCCTCTTCCTCCTCCGAAACCACCAAAACCAGACGACCCGCCGCCGCGAGATCCACGAGATCCACCACTTCGGGGACCGCTGCTTCGCATGATGAATGTGGTTTTAGAAGAAGATGTAATACCGAGACAAACGCGCGCGAATGTTTTTTTTTAATGAGGAATTCTCTCATCTCGCATGTGATTGACTTTCGTTTTTTGTGCTTTTTTTTTTGACCTCCAAGATGAATAAAAGCATGATGGAGCTTATTAGATTTTTTATACTACGTAGTGTTGTTATAAAACGGCGCGGCAATACCGTCGTGTATTTCAATTTTATCATCGGTATCTCTCTCCTCCTCTCTCTCTCTCTCTATAGAAGAGAGTGTATTCAATCTATTTGCATGCTACTCGCCGCGGCGGCTTGTTGTCTTCTCGAACGAAGCGAGGCTGGGCCGCCGCCGCCGGTACCTTCCCCTCCTCTTCGCGAAGCGCCCGGTATCGTAGGTATGCGGTGCTCGAAGCGTTCCATTAATCCGACACCACCAAAAAACTTCTCGTCTATACCACCAATGTGGCCGATTCCACCATTAGAGGAGGAATCGATGTCCTCTTTCTTATACGCCGCGTTAAACCTTCTCGCGAAACTTTCCGTATCCGCGCACGCCTTGGTCAATTTGGTTAACGTTTCAATCAAAGCCGCGTCGCTCTTCTCGCGAGTGGCTTTATCTGTGTTTGGAAGTTGGGTATCTTTTTGCGCGCATATGGCGTTTAAGCGACGCAAAATTTCAAATCTCAACGCGTCGTCTTCCTCCTCATTCTCGCCGGCTACTTCCTTCTCTAAAAACTCCAACATCGTCCCGATTCGATCTCTCAAAGCTTTTACGCTGACTCTCTGCTCCGTCAAATACGCCAACACTCTCGACTCTTTCGTTTCCAACTCTGTCTTTTCCGTCGCTTTGGACGCGTGGTCTGACGCGACTCTTTCCGCCGAGCTCGCGTCAATCCCGTACGCGATAGGTTTGAACGTTTCGTCCGTCTCTTCATAACGGTACAATTTCGCCGGTAACGCCGCGCGCTTTTTTTCAGCGTTTGTTTCGTCCTCCTCGTTCTCTTTCCCACGTCCGTCTCCTCCGCGCACGACTACTTTCGCGTTTACGGTCAACAAAACCATCGGACAATCTATCACCTCTTTCACGCACTCTCCTATTTGTTCGTGCACTCTTCGCTGAAACGTCTTCTTCTCTTCTTCGTCTTTTTCGTTCTCCTCCTCCTCGAAAACCGAGCAGAAATACCACCCGACGACTTCTAAATCTTGAAACGTTTGTTTGTAATTGTTTCGCATTCTTTGGAGGAATTCCGCGTCGACGACGTAGTCTTTGTCTTTGTCTTCTTCTTTGCCGTAGTACTCAATCTCGAAACAGTTCGTGATTGAAACACAAAACTCTTCCCCAGCGCCTGTTGTTGCTGTTGCGCTCTTCTTTTCCTCTAACGCGTCTCCTCCTCTTCCTTGTCCTCCTTCTTCACCACCACCTCTGTGCCCTAAGAGTAAACCCGCCGCGCCGAGCGCGTTTTTCTTCCTCGTCTTTTCATCGTCAGTCTTCTCTCTCGTCGTTCGTTTGTGATGGTCCGTGCAAGAGAGCAACACCGTCGGGTGGACTTTGAACGAGGACAAAAGTAACGATTCAGACGACGATGCGTTTTCTGCGGTAGGAGTAGTAGTTGTAGTAGTAGTTCTGCTTCTCGTCGTCATCTTTCTTTGCGAACGCGTCGAAGAACTTCTCTTAAACAAGAGCGCGTTTATATGATGATGATGATGATGATGATGAGAAGTCCAAACTTTTCTTTTGTAGCTCTCTCTTGCGTAAAAACGGCTTAATTTCTTCTCTGCGAAAAAAAACAACTTCAGATCTAAAAAATACGAGATATGAATAACGTGCAAACAGCAATCGCGGCAATCCGCAACATGACGAACGATGAGATCAACCAAGTCATGGAAGCAATCAAAATGCAACGCACATTCAACGCTCAAAAGGTTACTCAACAACTCACAGTGGGCGACACGGTAAGTTTTGACGCGAAGACGCGAGGGGTGATCACTGGCACGGTCACAAAAATCAACCCTAAGACGGTCCAAGTCCGTGCGCATCGGACTTGGACGTTATGGAAGGTCGCCGCCAGCGTGCTCACAATACGAGAGAAAAACCCGTTCATCGGCTGTGTGGATGATGACGGTACGAAGAAGAAACCACGATTGGAGGAGGACTAAAGAGAGGAGAGAGAGCGAGAAAAACAGAGAGAGAAAAACAGCATCCCCTACTTATTTTACATTTTCACCAAAAAATCGCACCGTTTTCTTCTCTGTTTTTTCTGTCTTTTCTGCGCTTCGAATTCTCCATACATTTCTTAGAAAACCCATCATCGTGTATCGCGCGCAAAGAAACGCAATTCAGAAGAAGAACTACAGAAGAGATCTGCTTGATCTCGAGGCGTAAAATCATCTCATGTCGGCGGCAGAAACTCCAGGAGAAATCGAGGCTTCGAACGACGGAGGAGGAGGAGGAGGAGGAGGCGCGATAAAAACGACGACGAGTGCGGGTGGTGGTTTCGAAGCCAATCACGAGCGAGCGCATCATCATCATGAGAAAAGCAACGACAACGTCGAGAGTGCAGACGACGATGACGACGAAGACGACGACGACGACGACGACGAGTCGTCGTACACCGAAGAGACGCCGCGCTCGACGGATTCTCGTCGCAGTCATCATCACCGGAACAACAACAACAACAACAACACGAATAACAGAAGAACGACCAGCAACAACAACTACCACCATCATCAACAACGCTCGCACTCATCGAACACGAGTAATAACAGCACGCAACACCACCAGTACAACCACCAACACCAACAATTTCAACATCAACAACAACAACAACCGATATTCTTCGCGGAATCGAGGCACGAGTTCGCGGAAGTTACGAGAGACGTTTACGAGAATCGAGAATCGGTGAGGCGGATGAAGATGAGAGCTTTACGACGCGCGAGGAAAGAAGCGATGGAGAATTATTTGATGCGGTTGAGCGACGATACTTCGTCGTCTTTTTTGAAGAAAAAGAATACTGCTTTTGGGGTTGTTGGCGGGGGCGCCGCTTTCGCGAAAAATCAGCAGAGACGAAGCGTCGGGCAAGAGAATCAGCAACAACAACTGCTACGACAACAGGAACAAATGGCCGCGCAACAGAAATACGGAGAGATGTTGTTAAACGGAGAGCGGTCGAATTACTTGCAAAAGTTAACCATCGAGGATGATTTTAGCTACGACGGCGAGGAGGACGAGTTGGATTTCGGAGGAGGCGAAGGAGGAAGCGAAGACGAGGGCGGATTGACGATGACCTCGACTTCGACGATTTATGCGAATTTTTTGGAAGATGATTTTGAAGCGGCGTTGAGGAGTGCGAGGGAACGAAGACAACAGCAACAGCAGCAAGCGGAAACGAGTAGTAGTCGTGAAGCGATGCCTTCGCTTTTGAATAGTAGTAGAGATAACAGTAACGGCGATCTTAGAACGGCGACGCCGCCGAATTTAGGTAATGGGACAATGTCGACTAATTATAACAGTAACATCGTCTCGACGTGGAGGATGAAGGATCGCATGAAGACGACATCAGTCGCATTGGTGCTTTGCTTGAACATTGGAGTTGATCCTCCAGACTGTTTGAAAGTATCGCCGTGCGCGCGAGCGCAGTGTTGGATCAACCCGTTAGCGACGCCGCCGCAAAAGGCGCTCGACGCCATCGGGAAAGCTTTGCAAGCGCAATACGAACGATGGCAACCTCGGGCGAAATATAGATTGCAGCTCGATCCAACCGTAGAAGACGTGAAAAAATTGTGTCTCTCGTGTCGAAGAAGTGCAAAGAACGAGAGAGTTTTGTTCCACTATAACGGCCACGGCGTCCCTCGCCCGACGCAAAACGGCGAAGTGTGGGTGTTCAATAAAAATTACACGCAATACATTCCGCTCTCTTTGTACGACGTGCAACAGTGGACGGGAGCGCCGGCAATTTATTTATTCGATTGTTCGAGCGCAGGTACAATCGTCAAGTCGTTTTTATGGATCAACGAAGAACGAAAACGGCGGCGGATGGAAGAAGAGAAGAGTAAAATGCAACAGGAACGACGCTCGGCTTCCGGGGAAAACCTAGCAGCGGTGAGCGAAAACTACGACGGCACCATGGATGACTTGACAAACACCAATAAAGATAACAACAGCAATTACGGTCACAACGAAAAGAATACCAACGACATCAATAATAGAGAAAACATCGAGACTGAAGGGAGAGTGCGAAGCGCGAAGCCGTCTGGCGCGTTCAACGCTTCTAACTTCCCACCGTTGCCGACGCGTCCGCCGACGCCGGCTCCACCAATTAGAGAGGAACGTATCGTTCTTGCCGCTTGCTCGGAAGATGAAAGCTTACCACAAAGTGTAGAGCTTCCCGCGGATGTTTTCACGGCGTGTTTGACGACACCAATTAAAATCGCGTTGCAATGGTTCGTGAGTCGGTCTGTTTTGAAAGGCGAAAGCGGCGTGAGCGAAGATATCATCGATAAAATTCCAGGCTTACAAAATAATAGGAAAACACCACTGGGTGAACTCAACTGGATTTTTACAGCGATTACGGATACAATTGCGTGGAACGTGTTGCCTCGTCCGCTCTTTCAGCAACTCTTTCGACAGGATTTATTGCTGGCAAGTTTGTTCCGCAACTTCTTATTGGCGGAGCGAATAATGCGCGCGAACGATTGTACTCCAGTTTCCATTCCTGAGTTGCCACCAACGCACCAGCATCCGATGTGGCTTGCCTGGGATATGGCGGTTGAGAATTGTTTGCTCCAAATTCCCGATTTGATTGAGGCGGAGAAGAGAATGGCAGCTTCGCAAAGCGCCTCCGCCGGGACGAACGGCGCGCAACAACAAGATCCCTCCCAGCAAGCCTTTCCAAACTTTACGCCCAGTTCGTTCTTTTCGGAGCAGCTCACAGCCTTCGAAGTGTGGCTTGAACGCGGTGATAATTCCAAAGATCCACCTGAACAACTTCCGATTGTTTTGCAAGTTTTGCTTTCGCAATCTCACCGTCTTCGGGCGCTCGTTTTGTTAGGTCGATTTCTCGACATGGGTCCCTGGGCGGTCGATCTTGCGTTATCCGTCGGTATTTTTCCGTACGTCTTGAAGCTTCTGCAAACGACTGCGCCTGATTTGCGACAGATTTTGGTATTCATTTGGACCAAGATTCTTGCGTTTGATCGCAGTTGTCAAGTCGATTTGGTCAAAGATTCCGGACACACGTATTTCATTCGATTTCTCGACGCGCCAAACATTCCAGCCGAGGAAAGAGCAATGGCGGCGTTCGTCTTAGCATCCGTTTGCGACAATCACCCGAAAGGCCAGAGCGCGTGCTTAAAAGGTAGTCTTGTCGATGTTGTGCTCGCGCATATCTCGAGAGCGTGCGATCCTCGAGGTACGAGAGAGGCGACGAGTCCGTTACTCGCAAAATGGTTGTGTTTGTGTCTTGCAAAATTGTGTGAAGATAACGTCGAGGCAAGGCGAATTGCGTTTAGAGCTGGCGCTGTAAAAGTACTATCGAATGCATTTTCGCATCAGAGTCCGGACGCGCGATCGGCGGCTGCGTACGCGCTCGGTGTGATGATTGATGTCCCGGAAGAAAGAGAAGCAAAGGAAAAGAGACGAAAAGAAATGGAAGATTTGAAAATGGCATCCATGGGGTTTCCACAAACGCAACATCAGCAAGGCGGTAGCAACGATAGCATGTTGCGGCCGTCTTCGAGGGGTTCTAGAGTGCAATCGAGATCGTTATCGAGAGTCGAGAAGATTGAATCAGAAGCCGAGTTGCTCGGAAGAAAGCTAAGCGGCATCGCGGGCGAGGGCTCCGACGAAGGTAAGCAACATCACGGGCACTCGGGATCTACCGGGGTAGGCATTGGCAGTGTCGAACAACAAAACGGTGAAAGCGTGTACGATGGCACAGGAGTAATCTCGGCGAATGACGTGGATGAAGAACAACAGAGACGACACGAAGAACACGAACGCGAACTTGGGTTGCGCCGACAACAACACAGCGACGAGCGCGAGGCTATCGGAGCGATACTTTCGAAACTTTCTTCGGATTCGTGCACGAGTACTAGGTGTGAAATGGCTATTGCGATTGGACGATTTGCGAGAGGACATTCAGAGACTTTCCAAGCAACTGCGCAAAAATGGAGGAAACGCCGCGAATCGAAGCAACAGGAGAGACGATTATTGAGAGGCGGTTCGGTTGGAAACAGCGGTGGTAATATCGTCGGCCTCGACAATGAATTAATGAGCGTTTCAGCGCGACCGATGGGAAACTCTGCAGCAGCAGGTTTGCAAAAACCGTCTGCACGTCATCAGAGGCGATATTCTGCGGTTGATGATCACAGAGATCTCAAAGCGGCAACACCTATCGAAATGCAGCGAACAAAAGGTGCGGCACAGGAAAGACATCGAAGTTTAAGTAATTTAGGAGGTTTTGCGGAGAGATACTCGTTTTCGTCAGGTGGCGGATCGCACGATGGGGTTACACACTTTCCACACATGCGACGAGTTGCGGAAAGTGATTCAGACGATCCGGATGATTCATCTTCTACATCGAACTCTGACGTTGAAGAATCGGAAGACGACGACGACGTATTTGAATCGAACGTCGTTCTGCGGGACAAAGAAGATAATAATAATGCACAAGGAAGCGATAATGATGACGACGATGATGATGATGATAACGATGAGGAGGAGGACGAGCTCGACGGAAACCATCCGGATTCTCAGAAGGGGAGCAGCGGCGATACTCTCACGGACGAGCAGCCTATGCACCCACGAAAACGTTTTCCACACCGAAGCAATTCGTCATCGTTTTTGACGAAAAATCTGTACGACCAACGAGACGAGGAGATAACCAGTCACGCGGTTTTGGTTGCATTGGCTGATTTAGCCGTCGATCCTTCACCACGAGTCGCGAGTTGCGGGCAATCCGCGCTCTTGTGCTCAAAATTGCATTCGAAACACCCGATCTCTTTAGCGGCGACTCGAGCGGAGACGTTTGGTGCAAAACCTGGGAGGCAAGCGAGAATTCAACGCGAGCGAATGCGAAAACGCGAAGATTTACAGAGGAAGACGCATGAACTCCTTTTTGGTAGCAAATTTGGCCCGAACAGCGGTGGAATTAGTAAAGATAGCAAGGGTCGCATTGTAGAAGCCTCTAAAAGTCTGAAGCGCGCAGATTCTTGGTCAAGTCGTTTGTTTGAAAGGGGTCGAAAATTGCTCGGTTCATCGCCGCAAGGTTCGCACGGCTCTCTCGATATTCATAACATCGATAATAAAAGCGACGATGGCAGTGGGAACAAAGTCTCCTCGAGGTCCCCCGAGTACAACATGTTGCAGCGAACGACATCAGAGCGAGCCGCCGGCGACCCGCGAAGCCTTGGACGACTCTCCATCACGTCTCGAAGCTCTATTTCAATCAATACGACGGTTCAAGCGTTTTCTGGCGGCGATAGACCTGAAAATTCGCCGCCGGCGCCGAGTGTTTTGGCTCGATCATCGGTGATGTTGCAATCACCGCCGCAATCGCCCCTCAGGCGCGTCGCCAGTTCTCTGTTCAACTCTTTCAAATCCTCTGGATCGAATCCAGACATCGCTCGGGGAGACTCCGAAACACTTGCGAGAAGTGTGAGCGGCAGAGTTGCTCGTATGTCTTTGAACGACGAAGAGATGCATATCAGCAGTTCTCCCAGATCGAGAAGATCTTTGTCAATGATCGGAGGTCACAGCGATAGCAGCGACAAGCTCATGCTCGCGAGACAAGACTCGAACGATTCAGCAAACGAGAACAAGCAAAACAACCCGAAGGCTCCGACTTCAAGTAATGACGATTTATTCAACTTAGCCGAAGACGAAGCGTCGCTCCAGGGACGACCGGCGAAACCTCCACTTTCTAGACTGTTCGAGGCTTCGCGAGAGCATTTTTCGAAATCGCTGTTGGAACCAGAGGAAGATAATACGACAGATTTCGACGACGACGATCGAGATTCGGAGGATAGCGACAGCGACCAAGGAACTTTTAGCGATGCCGATCGAGATTCGTACGACGATGATTACAGCGATGGAGGGTCATCAGTTGAGGAGGAGTACATGTACGCGTACGGAAGCTCTTTTGCGCAGGCGAGACGAGACGCGAACGCCACTTTCAACGCTTTCAATGGCAACAACAACAATGCCGGAGCAAAGAACAACGAGGAATTTTTCGACGGCGATTACGTGGACACATCGAGCGAAAAATACTATAACATTGATAATTACTTCTATGAAGGTGCGACGCTCTCGCAACGTCAACAACGTCAAGAAATTATTCTCGAACCGTTTCGTCGCCGCAAGCGTCGACAAACTGCATCGGACAGAAGTTATCGAGGTAAAGAACGCGCCACGCAAAATTTGGTTGATTTTACGAACGTCATAGCGTCCCATGAAAATGTTCAGAACTCAAGACACAACGCGCCAACTGCTGTTGTGATGCATCCTTTGTTACCTCACATTGCATCTTCGGGCGGAAAAGGATTGATACGTGTCTTTGATTACGCTTCGAAAACGATTACGAATGCCTTTGATGCTCAACTCCCGACGAGATCGGCGACCCAAATATCACTCGTAAATCAGCTCGATGATGCCATGTTGCTTTGCGCCGGCTCGGATGGAAGCGTCAAGTTATGGCGAGACTACTTTCGAAGAGGTGAAGAGACTCTGGTTGCCGCTTGGCGAACGCTAAAGTCTCGCCCGAGAGCGTACAAAACTCACGGAACGTACAATGCGGAAGATACGGCCGATTGGCGACATCACCATTCGAGTCACCATCCAAAGAATTCGAAAACGAATGCCGTTGTTCTTTGGCAGCAAGCTGCGGGATGTCTTTATTCAGCCGGAAATACGCTCCCAAACCCTATTTTGAACGTTTGGGACGCGTCGCGTGAGTTATGTCTGGAGTCTCTGGTTACGCCATCGGCGGCGACTTCGTTAGCCGCCGAAGGCGCACTTTTAATGGTTGGTGCAAACGATGGGAGCGTATTATCTTACGATTTACGAACTCCTGCTCGCTTGTTGAGCGCTATTAAAACGCACGGAGACTCTGTAGTTTCTATTTTGCTCCAACCTGGAAGCGTTGGGAATCTAGTCGCCACCGGGTCCTCCAGCGGTGACGTGCACTTTTGTGATTTGCGCAACGCTGCGAAGCCGTTCTTCATGGTGAACGTATCTGGAAAACCAGTCGCGAGACAGGATTATGACGAAGGGACGACGTTGGATGGGAACGCGATTGATTCTGTTGTTGGGGGAGTCAGCGGTGCAGCAAAGACGAATCAGCCGTCGCCTTTGGGTGGAGGAGGTGGTCGACACAGCTCTCAATTGCCGGCAAAGAAGAGATTGCTCACTACGCTCATCTCCACGCCAGTGGCTCCATGCATCGTAGGCGGTACCACAAAAGACGCCATTAAAATTTGGGATGTCGAAGGGAACGAAATTGGTGAAGTTTTGTACACGAATAAGACCACGAAAGCGCGCCTCGGTGCCATCTCTGCCATGGCGTTTCATCCAAACCAAATGTGCTATACGGCCGGTGACATTCGGGGCGCGACGACTGTCTTTGGTATGTCGGAAGATGTGCTCTAAATTTAGCAAAAACTTGAGATTTCTAATATTAAATTATCTATACTATTACAGCTTGCGCGCAGAATCATTTGTGCATGTGCTTCGAGGAAAGCACGTTTTCGTTTTTAGCGAGAAGTACTTTTTCAAAGACAGCGGGACGGGGGACGGTGACCGGCACCCCTAGCATTTCGCTCAACACGGTTTGCGCTGTCGATACCGTCTCTTTATCGAATTTAGTCGCACTCTCGAATCTGTCACCATCTCCTTCGCTACCACGAGTCTCTACGATATCAACGGCAATTCGAATTGCCTCGAGAGCATGAGACGAATGTTCTCTCACGATTCTCGTGCATCCTCTTTCAGACACGACGCCAATCGACAGTAAATGAACAAAAGTCGAAATCGCTTGGGCTTTGAGCTCCTCTCGATACTTCTCTGCAGCGCGCTTTGATGTTACGTTACCATCGTCGTCTTCGAACTCTCCGACGAGTTTACTACACTGTTTCTCGCCTTGGACGAGCGCTTCAACGACGACTCGGATGCAATCGACGTAGGAAAGATGGTCCAAAAACGTACGCGACGCTCGCGAAATAGCCGCGAGAGATTCTCTACGAATTTTGAAATTCTCGCTCGTTTTAATCAGAGTGAGTAATAGTCGAGTGAGAATGACACCGGCGTTGCTGACGCCTCTGACTGCTGAGAACGCTTCGTTAGAGATCGCATCCTGGTTTTCGAATAAGTTTTTTATGGCAACGCAAGAGTTCCATTGCGTTTTTGCGGAACCCGTAGAGGCGCAAGAAAAGAGCGCCTCGCAAATCAGTTGAAGCGTCTCATCCTCCAAGTCACGAAATTTCGCAATGTGTCCGAGCCCTCGCGCCACGTTCGCCCGCACTTTGTCTGCTTTCGAAATAGTCCACTCGTGGAACAAATGCGTCAATTCTTTATTAATCGATACATCATCACTATCATCCGCAGAAGGCGTCGGCAACCTTGTAGCGCACAAGGCGATGTTTGCAGCGCACAAAGACGCGTTCATTTCCAGCGTCTTTGAAAAATCTTGATGCGTCCTTTCTTGATTCATAGCGTTCTTGACGCTTTCTAACGCGCCCAAGAGAACCTCATTCATTTCGAAATATTTCGGATCTAAGATGAGAAGTGATGCGAGCGTTCTCATGGCTTCCGCGCGAGTTGCGCTCGGATATCGACGATGTTTTTCTCGCAAAATATCGAGAGGAGCCTCAAACACTGCTTTGATTCGAGAAATCTCCGCGGTACCGTTACTACTCGATCGTATATCGCTGATGACACAATCTGTCGTTTCGCTCAAACACCGCAAAGCGGCGATTTTTACGAGTTGCGTGACTTCATCCGATCGCGTGTTCGAAAGGCACGACGGAAGCGCGTTGTCGATAAAATTGCACCACAGCTCGCGGCGAATTTCCGCGCAGAAGAGAAAACTGCTGTTCTTCCTCCTGCTCTTTTGAAGGACAGCGGAGAGCATCGCGCACTGCAATTTTACGCTCGCGTGCATGACCTTCTCGAAAGCGACTTTATTTGCCCTGGAGGAAGATTTTGCCACAAAAATTGCCATCAAGACGTCCGGCGAGAGTTTGCAAACGCACTCTCGATTGGGAAACAAAATTTTTGACGCGTTTTCAGAGGACGCCAACTTTTGCAGCGCTTTAAAAGCCTCGCACGATTCCTGAACTTCTTTGTCTATCAAGGAATCGCGCGTAGTCGATGCGGCTGCTTTTTTCCACAAAGCTTCGCACGCTTGCAAAAACAGCGTCATTTCATCCGCGGTGTATTTTCTGGCGTTTAAGCTGGATTTGAACACCACAGAAGACGCGTTGCTTTCCAAACTTTCAAAGCCGATTTTCGCACTCAACGTGATTCCAAGACATCGAATAATTGGTGCTTCTTTGAAAAACGCGCTCACTACCGCGCTGCTTGGAAACGAGGAATACTCAATCAAAAGTGCGCATTTGATCGAGTTCGCGAGCTGCGGTACCAACCGCTTCGGCAATCTCAAAAACGGCAAGGAATCGACCGCTTTCTCCGTCAAGATGCTCAGCCAGCTTATCCATTTGTCCGCGCTTCCTATGTTGTCTTTACTCGGCGTGGGTGCACCAGGAAAACGTTTTCGAAAATGGTGCTCTGAAATTCTGGTCCACGCGTACGAAATCGTTTCGCACAGCGCCACTGCGTTTTCCCCTAAGTTCATCGATACCGTAGAGAATCCCGACGAAGCTCGACGCGACGATGAGGAAGACATAGCACTCACAGCGCTACCGCCGCTTACACCCTTATCCTCTTTCATCTCTGCCATTGCTAAATACTTCTTCGCTTCGCTTGAATCTAATAACGAAATAATCGCAAAGCACGCCGCCGAACGAACCGATGCGCTTCGTTCGAAAACCATCAACTTTTCGAGCGTTTTCTGCGACGCGAGAAGAACGCTGCTCTTCTTCTTTTTCGGCGCAGGAGAAAACTCTCGAGGGAAGACTATTTGCCATCGCGAACACATTCCCGATGGGTTTCTTTTGGCCATGTACCCCAACGCCGCGAGCGCCTCAGTTTTCAAAAGTTCCACCGGGCTCACCTCTGTTATTGTTGTCTTTGCTTTCCCCGCTTTCTCGAACGCGCTCGACGGTGGTAAGCACCAATCGCTCTCCTCCGCAAACCCGCCGATATATGAATCCTCACTCACCTTCGTCTCTCCATTACCGTCGTCCACTTCGCCTCTCCTCGCACAACCTTCGTACTTATAAAACGCGCATTCTCTCAACAAGACATTCACCAGAGCGTCCATTTCCCGTTCCGGCCAACTCGTGAGCGTCGCGCACGCCTTAATCGCTCTCACTACACACGCCGCGTACCACTGCTTCTCTTCGAGTCTTTTCCCACCACCGTCGCTCTCATCAGTGCTACTCTCCTCCTCACCGCCGTGCTTTTTGAGCGTTGCTACCGCGTCTGCTAAAACCTCCTTCGCCAGTAACGTCGATACGCTCTCGATGTCGGCGACGACGACGATATCTTCGTCCTCCTCCTCTCCTCGATGATTGCTATTCGTCTTTATCGTCGTCGTCGTTTGCGTCTGAATCAGAACACTCGAAAAGTTCGCGTTCGTGCTCGACACCACGCGTCCTACGTTCAAAACCACGCTCCCAATAGCGTGCGCGATGAGCGTCATTTCTCGCGTTCGAATTCGACTTCGGTGCTTTTGTACTTGGTTGTCTTCTTGGTCTTCTTTCATCAAGAATTTTAAAAATCTCAACTGTACGTTCACCAATCGCAAAGAGCTTTCCACGAACACATCGACGACCAAAACATTTTCCTCTTTGTCCTCTTTCGAGTTTGAAGAAGACAAAGAAGAAGAAGAAGAGGTAACACCGCTAAAGCTGATGAAAGCTGATTCTTCTTGTTCTCGTCGTTGTCTCTCTAAAAACTCCAGCGAGATAAACTCGTCTGTATCGTCCTCGTCTTTCTCGTCGTCGGTTCGTTTTCTTCTCGTCAAGATTTCAGACATCTTTTTCTCCAACTGCGCGTTTCTTTCGACGATTTTTGAAAGTAGAACTCGTCGACGTGAGGAAGAAGAAGAAGTCTCCTCTTCCTCTTCCTCTTCCTCCTTCTCGGAACGCCGCGATGCTTTGCCCATGATGGATGATGACTTTTCTTCTCTTCTTCTGAGGAAAAGAAAGAGAGAGAAAATCGAACGCTCGTTATTTAGGGTATTCAACCCTATATCGTCTTCGAGACGAAGGAGGCGAGCGCTCTCTCTCTCTGGCGCATTTTTTCACATCGAGAGAGTTCGTTATAAAGTCGCGCATTTTAGGGGAGTTGAGAGAGCATATCATCATCACTTTTTTTGTGCGCTCGAGAGAAAAGAGACCTCTCTTCTGAGGAAGATGGAGATACCGCGAGCGAGAAGAAGAAGAAGAATAAAAAGAAGATGACGATGAAGCGGAGGAGCAACGAGAGCAAATCAAAAGAGCATAATATCAGGGGAAAGTGGAAATCCGTTTTGCTCGTGGCTTTCATCGCGTTTGTCGCGGAAAAAGCGACGAGCAAAGCGAGAGTGCACTTCGCGATGAGAGGAAAAGGAGAAGTGGTGTTTCGAAGTTCTGGCGCGGGTTTTTTGGAGAGATTTCCTTCTTCTTCTTCTTCTTCTTTGACGACGACGACGACGACGACGACGACGGAGATTCTCGCCGTGGTGACAGTTGGTTGGCAGATATCGTCCTCGTCGAACGAAAGGAAAAGGCACTTACGGCGAATCATCGAAAATTATCGGGAGATGTGCGCCGCTACGGATGACGGTGACGCGCCTCGATTCAAGCGCGTCACGGTAGCCGTAGCGGCGTACGATTTCGACGCGGAGTCGATGACGTCGTTTCTATCGTCTTCCTCTGAACATTTTTTTCGTTCGTCGCGAAGAAACGGCGACTGGCAAATATCTCTCGAGGAGGAGAAGAGTAGCGATGGTCGTCGAGTAACAATTGAACGAGCAGAACGCGCGCTGAAGATGAATTATGTGAAAGAGAACCGGTCGTCGTCGCTGCCGTGCGAGTTTGCCTTGGATTTAGAGTTGTTCGGTTTCAGAGAGATCGACGGGACGAAATCGCATTTGACTCCCGGAGACTTGGCGCTTCGTCACAGGGATATTTTTTTGCGCAGAATACTTTCCGATTGCGAAGACTGCGATGACGAGAGCAGCGATAAAGTCTTATTCATCGTTCAAGAAGACGACGTGTATTTGGATAAGAAACATATTTCTTCATTTCTGGAAACTTCGAAACTTACCGAAAGTGCAAATAAGTTTGCAGAGGAAGGGAAGGGAAGCTTATTCTATCATCCGTTCTTTTTCGATTACGAGAAGGATAGCGACGGCGTCGTGTACGCCGACTGGAGAGTAAACGCTGGCTTCGTTCAAAAATGGAACAACAATCAAACAATTTTTACGAGCACGAAAGCTTCTGGCGGAGGGAGGAGTTTAATGATCCGAGGTCGCTCTCGCCTTCAAGATTTACTTTTTTCATCGGAAAGCAGTAGCAGTGTCGGTGAAACTCGCGTTGCGGAACTAAGAGAATGGCTCGACCCACTCTCTGTGCATCCCGGTGAGTTCAACGTCGAAGTAGCCACGAACAGGTGGATTGAAAGAAAGGTACACGCTCGCGTCCATAAAACCAAAGCTAGAAGGCAAGTTCGCTTTCTCTTGCCACTCTCTTCAGGCGTTGTCGACGCCAAACATCGCGCCGGATCGTTGGAGACTTTGCTCGACAGCGCCGGCATCTGGCACGCTTCGAACACGTACGTGGAAAGGAGGAAAGAGCTTTCACCACTCGATCCAACTTCTCCGTCGAAAAACAAAAAGAATCAAGAAACTTTGGAGCGTTTGCGATGGCGCGAGCTTCAACAAATCTTTCGCTCGTGTCTCGAGGAAGGACAAAAAAGCGAAGAAGAAGAAGAAGGAGGTGAGAACGAATGTTTTCGATGTTTATCGGTCTCGTCTGAAAAAAAGGCGGAATACCGCGCTCGCGTTGTCGTCGACGACGACGACGAAAAGAGAAGAACGAGGAGAAGAAGAAGAAGAATCGATGTTGTCTTTTCGTGCGCGTAGAGAGAGACGGGCGCGGCGCCAGCGCCCGAAAAAGTGTCAGTTAGTTATTTTCGTTCATTCTCAATATACGCGTAGTTCTACGACATAGTCCTTTCGGCGTGTTTTACAGGGCGCGGGGTGCACACAAAAAAAAAACTACGTACTTGATGCCTCTGCTTACTGCAACAGTTCCTCGCACGCAAAACACAACACGCGCGCGAGATTATTAAAAATAAACGAACGAAATTAACATGCAAACCCACTTGAAGAGTCGTCAGCAGCAGCGTCAAAGCTACCGCGACGACTTCCCCGTGGCGGCGAGAGTCGACGACTCGGTGGCAGCAGATTTTGACGATTCGAAATCGAAAAAGCGCGTTAACACTCCGCGCCTTTTTTTCTGGTGGAGAAAAGCGAAAAAGTCGCGCGATGTGGTCGCGCTTTCGATCGTGTTCCTCCTGACTTTTTTTCTCTCCTACTCTTTGACGTCGTCGTCCTCGTCGTCGTCTTTTGAGTCGAACAGCTTTGGACCAGCGGTGCAACGCGGTCTCGCGCTGCGAAAGAAATTCGCCGAACAATCAGCCGCTTCTTCTAACCACGCGTACAGATACTCGAACAGCCATCACGCGTTGGAGTACTCGACTCGCAGACAATTGTTGGCGACTGCATATCCTGAAATCGATGAAATTTCACCTCCAGTGACGACGTGCAGCGTGACTGGAGAATCTTACGTCGTGCAAGGTGCCGATACCGCGGGAGACTTTGGCTCTCGAATGTGTTGTTCTTCGTATTATGCGACGGAGGTGACCTTTTGCGGGTACACGACGACGGCGCCCAGTTTCGAGTATGCAATGCACGTGACGTCGGGTAGAACGTCGACGACGAGTATAAGCTCGGGAGCGACGGAAACGGGAGAGGGTGACTGTAAAACGTACGATACTTCCGCGGCGCCCGCGAAGATTTGCGTGTACACGGAGTGCCAGACCACCGATATGGCTGACTGCACGTTTTCCGAGGAGGGGGGGCATTCGGTTACATTTACTCACGCGCCTTGGCCGAGTCCACCGCCAACGCCGAGCCCACCTCCAGCGCAAGCTGCAGTCGATGCCACGATGGAGCTAACGGGATACAGCGCGGCCGAGTTTGGTGAAGCGCAAAAGACGGCGTTTAAGAAAGGCATGGCGGCGTATTTGAACGTTGGCGCCGATGCTATTACGGTGAAGAGTGTTATCGACGTCGTCGACGCAAGTCGTCGTAAACTTCAAGCGGCTACGGACAAAGTAAAAATCGAATTTACGGTGGAAACAACCACTTATGCCGATATTTCAGACGTGGAGGAAAAACTCGTCACTGAAGATTCGACGAAGTTGAACGAAATGGTAACTACTCTCAGTGCGCAAGCGGATTTGACCGTTACCGCCGTTACCGCTCCGGTGTCGCTGACGAAACTCGCGCCGCCTCCTTCGCCTCCTCCGGAAGCTCAGGCAATCATATCTGGTGCAATTCCTCGTTTAACTCGACTTTTATCGATCGTATCGCTCTTGTGTGCGGTTTCGATGACCTATGTTTTGTAATAACTGAAAATGTACGATGAAGAAATATTATCACGGCGTTCTTGCTTTTAAACAAATCTATATTCTATTTCATTTCTAGAAAGTACCGCACAACTACACTTTAAGGAGTAAAGAGAGAAAGTCATGACCAACGCTAAAAGCAACGAAACCCTCGCGAAAGAACAACAAAATAAGAAGAAGCAAAAAGAGCTCGTAGATTTAGAGTGCGACGACGAGTTCGAGGAGTTCAACGAAGAAGGTATTCTATATGTAACGTATTTAAAATCGTAACGCGTGAAGATTTGAGATCTCTCTCTTCTCTCTCGTTTCTTTTCTGATCTTTGTTTTGCGCGTAAAAACTGACGATCTCTCTCTCTCTCTCTCTTTACTTCAACGCGAACGAAAACAGAGTGGACGAGAGAAAACGAGGAGAAAGAAGACGTGGCGCAGTGGGAAAACGATTGGGACGACACCGAAGAAACGGACGATTTCAAGACGCATTTGAGAGAGGAATTGAAGAAGAACGCCCACAGGAAATAAATACTAATAATGAACGCTACTACGACGACTTCTTCTCCGTACGCGGCGATTGCAAAGATGCGACGCGAATTTCCGCAATCGTACGTCATTCAATTAGCCACGGTGAATAGTCAAGGGAAACCGAAAGTGAGAAGCGTGTTGTTTGAAGATTTGAAGACGAGCGAGAAAGAGCAAGTGCTCGTATCGATGAAGTGTTCGAAGAAATCGAATAAGTTTGCGAAAGCTCTCGAAGATGGGTCAGCGACGGCTGATGGGGAAGTGTGTTGGTGGGTAGAAGATTCGAATTGCCAGTGGCGCTTCAGTGGGAGTGTGGATCTCGTCTCCGACGGAGACGAAAGACGCCGTCTTTGGGATCACATGAACGCGGGCGGCAAAGGTCAATTCTTATTACCCCAGGACGCGGGAGAGATGCAACGAAATACGGAAGAGTTGAGAGAGAAACAAATAGAAAAGTTAAAATCGTTCGGAGAAGACCAGAGCGCAGCGTTTGACGCGCCGATGGAAGATTTTTTAGTTTGCGTTCTCAGATGCGAGGAGATAGATTACTTAAATTTAGGAACTTTAGAGAGGAGAAATTGGATTTACGACGACGAAAAGGCATCTTACGATTTAAGAAAAGACGGCGTGTGCGTTCCGGTGGTGTCGTCCGTCAAGAATGCATAGTACAGTAGGTAGTACAGCTGACATTTAGATTTTTTAATATACTACAACTATGCTTGGTTACTACTAAATAAATCAATCAATCAGTACGAGAGATCGACATACGAGTGCGCGTTGTGCAATACGTACGAAGGAACAAACCTTTCTAAAACTTCTCTATCGACGTTCGCGAAATACGACAAAGTTTCCAAGTACGCGACCAATTTGCGCACGTCGTCCGGATACGAGTACGTTCGCTCCAAGTTTCCTTGGGCGATGTTTTTGCGAGTGCTCACAATACTACCTCCCGGCTTCGGAGGTTTGACGTTTGCGTATTTCGAAAGTTTGTCCTCTCTTCTCTTCATGGCAATCGCCGCGATTCTTGATTTGATTTCGAGGCCGACGGAGGCGATGTGCTGCGTGAGCGTTTCGGTCCCGTTGAACTGCGCGCATAAGCTCGCGATGCCTACGATGATGGCAGACACGTCGTATCTGAAAAGGCTCCTTCCGCTCACCTCGCTCGCGATTAGAATTTTCAATTCTTCCGAGTATTCAACGTTTGGAAAGACGTATTTCTCAAGAAATACGAAAAGAACGTCCGCGACGTTGATTTTTTGTGCGTCGGATTCGTCAATTTTCACGTACGTTTGCAATAAAGGCGTTTGGAATCCAATACTTTTTAACTTATCGCTGAGTTCCTCGTAAAATCTCGATTGCGAGGGCAAGAGTTTGGCGCTCAAAACGTGTTGAGTTTCGTCACACAGCATCGCGTCGTTCACGTTTTCAATTGCTTTTACCAAATTTCCAGAATCGATTTTCGCGCTCGAACTCAATTCTGTATTCACGAACGTTCGCAAGAGTAAACACGCGCCGATACCGTGTAAATCTTTGCAAAAGTTCTTCACGAATGCCTCGTCCAGATTTGGTAAGCGATAGTCCCTTACTCCTTCACCAACGCGTGTTAACGTCTTCGCAACGATCGCGCCAGCGACGCACTCCCTCAAACTTTGAGCGATAATATTCGTCAATAACTCATCCATCGAGCGTAAACCGGAAACTCCAATCGCTTTATTCACGATTTTAAACGTACTCGAACTCAATTTCTGTCTATCGGTTTTCACGAAATCGACCCAGGCGAATCGATTGGGAAGAAAAATCATAGTTTCGTCGATATATTTCGGTTCAGACGTCAATTTAATCAGTTTTCGAACGATTCTACCCATGTACGTCTGCGAATCCGGTTCATTTTTGGTGGGAGGAAAGATCGGTATTCCCAACGCAACCGCGCGCGGCGTCGAAGAGGTACCAACGTTTCTGCTCGCCGAAGGACTTCCCAAAGCGCGTTTTTCGCGCTCGACGCAAAATTGGTTCACTCGTGCCAACTCTTCTCGCCACGCTTTCAATCCTCGCACGTTGACGTAATCCTGAATGTATTCGAACGAGCTTTTGAAAGCTTCGAGCCTTTCGACGCACGAGATGAGTTTCTCTTTGAATACTCGCGCGGAATCTCGATCGTGCCCTTCGAATCTACACTCCTCGTCGAATAGTTTTGCCAATCGTCGCGCCAATTGCTCGCGAATGCCATCCTCTAATAGTTTTCTCGGGTCGAGTTCAATAACGCCAACGAACGTTTTCTCCATCGCTAAAATACCTCGCGCGAACGCGGCTATGTTATGAGTCGTTTGCGCCAGTTCCTCTCTCGTTTCTAATTTTGCGTACTCGGTGAGTTCTCGCTTTTCAATCGTTGCCGGTAAGTTTGTAAGCTCTGATGTTCGTAGACTCACCACTTTCTCGTCGAGTATTTTAAAGACGGATTCAGGAATGACGGTCAATATCGTGCTCGCGTAAGATGCAATTTCTTTGCTGTAAAATTTTGAACACGCGTCTACGTCTTCGCTGCGCTCGTCGCTCGAGATGCGCATGAGCGGCATCTCGAGCACTGAACGCAGCTTGAGCAGCAAAGAACGCACTTTAGAACACGCGAAGGGATCTTGTTGCACGCGACTACGCAAAGCTTCGCGTATTGAATCTTTAACCGACCACGCATACGAGGCGTCCGAAACAGCAGTGATGGTATTCAACGCTTTTTCACCGACGCTCGCTGTTTTCAACATGACTTCTAAAAACTGTCGAGCCTCTGCAATGTACGTTTTCGCTTGAAGGTTGGTGTTGATGGAATGAAAGTTATCGACTTCAAGCAACGCGGAGGAAAGTTGCTGAATCGTTTTCGAAGGCTGCGTGTGCTCCAACTGTTCTATTTGCTCGGCGATGTGCGCGAACCAGTGCGTCAAATTCTCGTCCTTCTTCACGGAAAACTTAGTCAAAGTCTCCGAACCAGCAAAGTAGCGCGACAGTTCGGAAATTCTCGACGTTGCTTCTTCTCGCGCGTTTTCCCACCGCGTGTTTTTATCTTTTAACAACTTTGCGTACGTGAGTTTCGTAACGCGTTCGATTTCGGCGACGTCGAGCAAAAGTTCCATTTGTCGTTCCATTTTCGGCGCGTAATACGCAAACGAGGATGATAAGTCTGTATTTTGAGAAACGTTATGCAGCAAACACCAGCGCAACCAATTATTGGCATCTCGCAAACTATCGAGAATCAAACTTTCGTTATCGAGAACGAACTTCTCGTCGACGATTTTCCTCTTTGCGAAAAACGAGCGAAAGACTTTCGAGATCTCGTTGAATTTTCTATCGCACCGTACGCATAATTTCTGCACATTCTTTGCGTTTAACGCGATGTTCAAAGCCTCGTTCGCTGCCTCGCATCGTTTCCATGCCATTCGCAGATCTATCGTTTTACCGAACGTCCAATTGACGATCCAGTTATCGGCAAAATGTTTCTCCACAATCTCTCGCATCACTTCTGGTTTATCCATCAACGTTTCCGGGGAGAACCACAAGATGGACACCAACAAAGACGCTTGTTGCGACAACGCTATCGACCGATGATCGGGGTCTGGATAATATTCCGAGCAACAGTTATAAATATCGTCCGAACGAAGTTTTCCAATCGCGAGCGATAACGCTCGTTTCGGCATCGGAAACCTCGAGAAGTACGCGTCGTGCGGGTACCCGCTCGGGAAATTGCTCTCTAAGCTGTTTTCACTATTGCTATCGTTGTTTTTGCTATCGCCGCCACTGTTGCTACTGCTACTTGTAAGAGTACTACTTCCCAACCACGACGACGATGACAACGACGACGACATCGAGGACGACAAAGAAGCGCCGTATTTCGTCCTCTCTGTCAACTTCACCACGTCTTCAAACTGCGCAAGAGTCGCGTCGTAGGAATACGCGGTTCCATCGCCGGCATCGTACGCGTTCCTCTTACACCGATAATATGCCACCACTATGCGTTCTTTCACTTCGTAATCGAACGTCGTATCTATGGATAACAAAATCTGCCCAAACAACGCCACCGCTTCCGGTAAAAGCTGTTTCCCCTCTCGATTCGTCAAAAGCGTCTCAATCGTCTCGCTTCCGTATACACCAATCTCCACGTCCTCGGTAAACTTTACGAACGCTTTGTACCAAGTTGTAACCGCATTAAACGCCAAATAATACCTCTCTAAAAGCTTTTCGTACTTCCTCCTAAACTCCGCGTCCAACCGTCTCGACGTCGCCGATTTCGAAATCGAATGTTCAATCTTCTCCGGCGTTTCTAAATACTTGAAATCGAACAAGATTGGTTTGTATTTATTATTACTGCTATTATTGTTGCTCTTTCTGTTATTTTTCCACTCGTCTGGTACGACGCGCGATAACAATCGTAACTCGCATATCAGCGCGTGCGCTTTCGAAACCAAGTGCGAGATATCTTCGATGCCACTTTTCGTGTTCGTTTTCGTTTTTAGCAAACTTGCAGAATTCATCGTCGTCGTTTCGGTGGTCGTTTTATTAGTAGTAGTATTGTCAACAGCAGTGGCAGAGACGCTTCCCTCTTCTTCTTCTTGGTCGTCTTCTTCTTCGTCTTCGTCTTCGTCTTCTGCTGTCGTTCGAGGCGCTACATCATCATCATCATCATCCTTCAAATCCTTCTTGGATTCATCAATTTTCTCAATTCGCCCAAATCTCGGTGGAGGAGGAGGCGGAGGCGGAGGAGGCGGAGGAGGAGGAGGAGGAGGAATAGGAATAGGAATAGGCATCGCGTCGTCATCGACGTTGTTTGTGTTCATCCTCTCTCTCTTCTCCCTTCTTCTTTAACTTCTTTTTTTTTTCGTTCACTTAAGAGGACACATCATCATCCGTAATAATAAAAACTGTTGCTCTCCGCCTTGTGAAAGTGTTGTTATAAGAACGAGAGCAAAAAACCAAGAAAAGAACAGGAGTTCAAAAAAAAGTCAACAAAAAAAATTTTGAAAAATTTCTTTTTTCTCTCTTTTTTCTCTCTTCTGTGTTTTGCGATCATCATCATCATCATCATCATCGTCGTCGAGATCTCGTCATACTTTTAAAAGCTCTTATTATATATATATACACTTAAAGAGAAGAGAAGAAGTGAGATAATACGAATAAGATACGTGAGATACACACTCACACGCGCGATCATCCAAAGACAGATACACAGAGAAAGATGGCGGTGCAACAAACACAAAAACAATCAACAGTCGGGGAACGGTACACCGACGACAAACTGAAACACGACATTCGCATTTCAAACATGACGGCGGCGAAGAAGCTCGCGGATGCGATACGAACGTCCTTAGGGCCGAGAGGTATGGATAAGATGATGGTCTCGGAGAAAAACGACGTGACGATTACCAACGATGGGGCGACTATTTTGTCCAAGATGAAAGCCACGCATCCGGCGGCGAAGATGTTGGTGGAACTGTCGAAATCCCAAGACATCGTCGCCGGAGACGGGACGACGTCTGTGGCGGTGTTGTGTGGAGCGTTGTTGAATAAATGCATCGCTTTACTCGCGAGAGGCGTGCATCCGACGATTATTTCGGATTCGTTGGCGTTGGCGTGCGACGAGGCGTGCAAGTTGACGGAAACGTTTGCGATTCCGGTCAACATCAACGACCGAGAACAGTTGATAAACGCGGCGACGACGAGTTTAGGGAGTAAAGTCGTCGCGCAGTATTCGGACGTGTTGGCACCGATCGCGGTGGATTGTGTGAGTAGGATTTTGGACGATAAGAGACCGGATTTAGTGGATTTGAGAGACGTGAGGTGCGTGAGAAAGCAAGGCGGGACGATCGACGATACCGAGTTGACGGAAGGCATCGTGTTTGACCAGAAAACGGCCAAAGGCTCCGGGTCGGGGATTCATACCGTAGAGGACGCGAAAATAGCGTTGATTCAGTTTTGTATCAGTCCACCAAAAACGGACATGGAGAATAACGTGATTGTGAGCGATTACACGCAAATGGACAGGATTTTAAAAGAGGAGAGGAATTACGTCATCGGTTTGATCAAGAAAATCAAAGCGACTGGGTGCAACGTTTTGTTGATTCAAAAATCAATCTTGAGAGACGCGGTGACCGAGTTGGGGATGCATTATTTACAAAAAGCGAAGATTATGGTCATTAAAGACGTGGAGAGAGACGAGATTGAGTTTATCGCGAAGACGTTGAAGTTGCAACCGGTGGCGCATCCGGAGCAATTGACGCCGGAAAAGTTGGGAAGAGCCAAGTTGGCGAAGGAAGTCGTGTGCGGTAAATCGAAGGTGGTGAAAGTGACTGGAATTGAAAACATGGGGAAAACGGTTTCAGTCATCGTTCGAGGCTCAAATCAGTTGGTTTTAGACGAAGCAGATCGATCGTTACACGACGCTTTGTGCGTCATCAGATGTTTGGCGCACAAGCAGTTTTTAATCACCGGCGGAGGGTCGGCGGAGATTGAGTTATCGGTGAGATTAGGACAGTGGGCGCGAACGTTATCTGGGATGGAATCGGTCTGCGTGAAAGCGTTCGCGGAAGCGTTGGAGGTTATTCCGTACACTTTAGCTGAAAATGCCGGGTTGAATCCGATTGAAATCGTCACGGAGTTGAGAAACAAACACGCCATGTTGGGCAACGTCCACGAAGGCATCAACGTGAAGAAAGGGACGGTGAGCGACATGAGAAAGGAGAACGTTTTGCAGCCGCTTTTAGTAACGACTTCGGCTTTGAGCTTGGCCACAGAGTGCGCGAGAATGATTTTGAAGATTGATGATATCTGTCCGGTTCGATAATAATGAAACTTGTAAGAATGGGGTTATGGAGAAGAAGGAGATTTTGAAGATTTGGATAAAGATTTGAGGCGGGAGAAAGCGCGAATAGGATGTAACGCACATAGAAACGAATAACAAATTGTAGTAGAAGTATAAGAGAACGACGCGTCATAAATATAAGAGAGAATGCGCGTAGTATGGATATATATATATAGATATAGATATACGTATGTGTATCAATGATATATATATAATAAACAAAAGCTAAGGACAATATAGTAGATTTTAATTTGCTAACCTCTCTCAAAAGAAGAGAAAAGAATTCTACTTTCTCTCTTCCAGGTTGACTACGCAGGCTGCTCCGCCGCACTTTTCCAACAAATCCTTGGTGATATCCGTCGGGTTTTGCGCCGCGTGCGGATGTTCCGACCCTTTGTACACTTTCAAGTGTCTAAACACTTCTCGACCCATTCTGTTTTTCGGCAACATGCCTTTGATTGCTTTTTCGACGATGCGTTCCGGTAATCTCTCTTGCAAGTGACGGAACGTCTCAATCTTCATGGACCCGGGTCTCCCGGTCGTGGAGAAGTTTCTGTATAACTTATCCTCGAATTTCTTCCCCGAAACGACCACTTTTTCCGCGTTGATGACGACCAAGTTCACCCCAGTGGTAAACGACGGGTGGAACGTCGCCACGTTCCCACCTCTCAAATACGTCGCCGCGACGGACGCCATTCGCCCGAGTCTCAAATCCGTCGCATCGACGACCACCCACGGCTTGCGCGAATTATCCACGTCCTCGGCTTTCGGGTAATACGTTTTGTTGAAAAAGTCTGCGCCCTTTTTATCCACGGAAACTCCCTCCGGAGTGTTTTGCAACGACCTACCGCGCAAAGCAGACATAGGCGTCATTCTCAAAACCTCTTTTTTCGAGGGAACGGCGGATTTACGGAACGCGCTCGCGTTGCCCACGAAGGACGACGTGGAAGCTAAAGCAGACATTGTTGATGTATAAAATTAAGTTTTCTTTATTCGAATTTGCGACGTGATTCCAAATGCTCGTTTCGCGTGGTGATGATGACACAGTACGCGCGCGTCTAAGAATGAGGTTAATTCTCCCCCCTCGGGATAAGCTTTGAGCCGTTTTTTTCCTTTTTTTTTTGTCTGCCTCTTTTCTTTTCGAGAAACAAACAAACACACAAATAAACAGAGAAAGAGAGTGTGTTTCTGCGCTCTGCGCTACGAGTGATATCGTTGTGTATCATCCGTTTCTGCATATTTTTATTCTAAATACTCTAAATACTAAAGCTAAAGCGAGAGCAACCAATCATCTTTGGAGGAAAACGGAAGCGGCGGCACGAGATTTCCTGGATTGAGTGGAAACAAGGAGGTGTAATACTGTTCTCGAATCCCGACCATATCGGTGGTTTCTCGAAACGCGTGCAAGGCGTATAAAGTTTTCAAGTACCGGGATAAGTTGGGATAATCGCATATCCGCTTGCGAGTGCAACGAAAGAGATGGTTATAAACCGCATCGAAACGGATTAAGGTGGTGTAGAAGCAGATATCGCAGAGAGTCAGAGAGTCGTCGCCGAGCAAAAACTTCGACCCCTCTAACTTCTGGTCCAAGACGTCCAACGCCTGGAAGAGTTTATCGACGGCATCGTCTAACGTAGCTTGAGATTGCGCAAAACCAGCTTTATACACGCCATTGTTTACGTTTTCGAACAAGTAAGCGCACATTTCATCGATTTCTTTCCTATTCTCTTTTGGATATAGTTTTTCATCGTTCTCTCCGTTTAAACAATCGAAGAGACGAATGATATCGGCCGATTCGTTGCAGACAATCTCAAAAGCTCCACCATTACTGACACTAATTAATAACGGTGCAGTGGCTCGACCTTCGAATCTTGTTCCAGAAACGTACGAGTACACGTCTCTTAACGTTTCAATCATCGGTTGTTGTTCTTGTTGTCGTTGTCGTTCGCCGGTATCGCCGTCGTCGCGAAAGAAGATTCGCTCGACGGCCTCTTTCGGCACCGTCCACAAACCCGTATTCTTGTTCGGTTCCAGATATATTATTTCCACCTGTTCTTCTTCTTCTTCGTTTCTTCTTTGCTTTGAGCTCTTTTTAATCAGCTCGTTCACTATTAACGTTCGATGCGCCCAAGGGCACGTTTTTCCCGCGAAAAGATACAATTTTTTACCTTCGGAATGAAAACCATCATCGTCGAAATCTTTGACGCGAAACTGCGATTCTGGTCTCGAATACTCCCCGGAGACTTTATCCTTCGGAGCGAGTTGACTCATCATTACGTTCCATCCAAGATTCCACGCGGTTTTTGCGACTCGAACGAGTATTCCGGGCGGTAAAGACGATGATGTTTTCGACGAAGCACTTTTACATTCTGTTTTCTTCTTCAACTGTTTTCCTGCTCTTGCTCTCTTTCTTCTCGACAAAGACGACGAAGGAGAGGAGAAAAGATGAACTCCTCGCTTTTGTGCGGTGAACATGACGATGAATGTTATATGTTACAAATAAATACACAAGAGCTGCTTTTACTATGTTGGTATATTTGCGCGTAAAGCAAACTTTATTATGGAGCTTTTTCTTTCTCACGATGTAAGACTTCCATGTGGATCAAGAGACTGTTAATATCAGCCGGCGTGACGCCTCCGACGCGACTGGCTTGGCCAATCGTCGACGGACGCACTTTTTCGAGCTTTTCTCTCGCTTCTAACCTCATCGGGATGTCCTTGTAATCGATTTCCGATGGAATTTCTTTCCCGTGTTTGCTCAAGTCTCGGTCGATTTGTACTTTTTGTCTTTGGATGAAACCGGCGAATTTGACGCGAATTTCCACGCACTCGGCTTCCCATTTTGTCAGAGGTCTCGGAATCTCGTCGATTCCAGCGTCTCGTTTGTATTCGACAAACTTGTCGTACGTGACGCCTGGTCTTCTCAAAAGCTCTTCCAACGTGAACGACTGCTTCCCGCCCGCGCCGAGATTTTTGGATTGTTCCAACGCAGCGGCGACGAGCGGAGAGGACTCTTTCAATCGAAATTTTTTCAATCTCGCCAACTCGTTTTCAATCGTATCCCTTTTATCTTCGAACATTTTGAAGCGCTCGTCGTCGATTAAGTTACACTCTTTTCCTATGGGTGTTAATCGCGCGTCCGCATTATCGCTTCGTAAGGCTAATCTGTATTCCGATCTGGACGTTAACATTCTGTACGGTTCGCGCAAATCTTTCGTCACTAAATCGTCAATCAATGTCCCGAGATAACTGCCTTCTCTTTCCAAAATTAATGGTTTCGTTCCCAACGCTTTCGCCGCTGCATTTGCACCCGCGACTAAACCTTGCCCGGCGGCTTCTTCGTACCCGGTCGTGCCGTTGATTTGTCCAGAGAAGAACAGGTTGGCGATTTTTTTCGTCTGTAAATCTCTCGTGCATTGATGCGCCGGTAAGTAATCGTACTCCACCGCGTATGCCGGACGCATCATCGTTGCGTTCTCTAATCCTGGTAACGTTCTCAATAATTCCAACTGTAATCGCTCCGGTAACCCAGTGGAAAACCCCTGAACGTAAATTTCAGGCGCTTTCCTACCTTCCGGTTCGAGGAAAATTTGGTGCGACTCCTTCTCCGCAAACTTTACAATTTTATCTTCAATGGAAGGACAATACCTCGGTCCTTTCGAGCTTGCCCACCCGCCGTATGTCGGCGTCTCGTGTAAATTTTGGCGAATAATTTCGTGCGTTTTCAGCGTCGTTCTGGTTAGATAACAGGACATTTGCGGAATGACCAAATGATTCCTCGGATCGAAGGAAAAAAACTTGGCGTCCTCGTCGCCTTTTTGTTCCTCGCACTTGGTGTAATCAATCGTCCTCGCGTCCACTCTCGCCGGCGTCCCGGTTTTCAATCGATCAGTTTCAAATCCCAGATTAATCAAGTGCTCGGTCAATCCAACCGAACTGCCTTCCCCGGCTCGTCCGGCGTCGATCGTTTTCCTCCCGACCCAAATCTTACCGTTCATAAACGTTCCAGTCGTCAACACCACCGCTTTCGAGTGAAACTGCATCCCAAAGTGCGTCTCAACGCCAACGCACTCGTCGTTTGAGTTCACCATCAATTCAGTCACCATCCCTTCCCGAATGAACACTCTCTCGTTGCTCTCCACTTCTTCTCGCATGGCGTTGCTGTATTCCCACTTATCCGTCTGCGCTCGAAGCGCCCACACGGCTGGGCCTCGACTGGAATTCAACACTCGCTTTTGCAAGTACGTCTTATCTGCAATCTTCCCCATGCTCCCACCTAACGCGTCTATCTCGTGCACGACTTGCGATTTCGCCGGTCCGCCTATCGCCGGGTTACACGGTTGCCACGCTATTTTATCGAGCGACAACGTCAACAGAAGTGTTCGCGCGCCAACGCGTGCGCTCGCCAGCGCGGCTTCGCACCCGGCGTGCCCGGCGCCAACGACGATGACGTCGTAGTTCTCCGCGTCCGAAGTATCCACGAAACTACTCGAGGATACGGACGAAGAGGGATACGACGCTTTCAAAGTCGTCGTGATGTTGTTGTTGGTTTTGCGCCGTCGGCTCCCATCAGATAAAAAAAGACGACGACGGAAGCCGCCAGAAGAAGAAGAAGAAGAAGAAGAAGATAACGAGGATGAAAGCAGTCGAGTGGTGTGCTGCTGATGCTTTTGAGTCGTCGACGATGATATTGAGGATGACATCATCATCGTCGCGTAAAGATGATGATGCGTTTGATTGTGGCGCTCAATTTCTGAAGGAAGTCAATTCTTCCTCTTTTGCTGAGAACAAACTATCGCACTGCGTTTAATGGTATAGAAGTATTTTTATCTAGTTACAATGTCTTTTGATGTCTTTTTCGTGTGAGTATAAAGTTACTTCTCTTGCGCCTCGATAGTTTTGCTCGTGAACGCGAAATCGATGTCCTTGCCGTTCTTGAACGCGCTCGTGTCGTACCATTTGTGACCGAATTTGGTGCCGTGCTCCATCGGTTCGCCGTTTCTCTTAAACTTTCTCAAGTTGCTGACTTCACCGTTGACCAAACCTAAGTTGACGGCCATTTGGATCGGGTTTAACGTGCCAGTCACGAACGGCAAGAAGATGGCGGAGACGCCGGAGACGCCGATGAACAAACCGCCGATCCATACCTTGATGGCGCCGGAGTTTTCCGCCGAGAACAAGTCGTAAGCGAACGCCGGAGAGGTCACCGCGAGCGTCGCCAAGGAGGTGGACGCAATCAAGGCTTTCTCCTTGACAGATTCCTATTAAATGAGGAGAAATTCATACGTGAGTTGAGTGTGCGTGATTCACAGAGAGAGAATATAGGGAAAGAAAGAGGATTTGAAAAGGTACGCGCTTCGAGGAGTAAAACTCGTTTTACCAACACGCTCGAAACCGCTTTCTCACACAAATCATTCAAGAGGAAAATCAAGGCGAAAAAAGGAGAAGAAAATGATGATCGTACCATGGTTTCCTTAGAGACCCCTAAGGCGTTGACTTGAACCTGTTGCGATGATGATGATGATATCATACATAATAAATGAACAACGGAAAGAAGAGCGATGTAAGGTATTAGTAAAGCGTGACGAGCAAAAGCACGAATACATCTTGATCTACTGGGGAGAAAATTTGCTTTCTTTTCTCTCTCTCTCAGAAGGGAGGAGGACACGACGAGAGCACGACGACGAGCGCGCATATACACACAAAACAAAACAAAACAAAACAAACGCACCGCTGAATGGTGGCATCTTTGAACTCTCTTCGAACTGGTGGTCTTTTGCGTTTTTAATTGGCACGACGAACTGCTGCGCGCGCAGATGGACGACGACTGGACGGCAAACATATTAGTGTGTGTGTGTGTTGTTCGCGTGTTATCTTTCTTTGGAGGAGCGATTACCAAAACAAAACCAAAACAGTCACCCGAGCCAAAAAGAGAGATTTTTCGATGACGCTCGTCTTCGGTGCTCTTGGAACCGCCAAAGAACACTGTTTTTGATACGGGGCAGGCCCACCAAAAGAGAGCCAAAAAGTATAATAAGATTCGTCCAAAAACAAAACAACACAAAAACACATCCATCGCGAGAGACACGATGAAAAGAGTTCTATCGATATCCCAGACGACGCCTTCTTCGAGCGAAAGACAACAGAGAAGAATGAGGAGGACGAGTTCGACGAGAGCGTCCACGAGTTGTTCTTCTTCGGCGTTAAAAAAGACGACGACAAGGATTAAGGGACAACAACAAAATACATTCTTCGCGGCGTCATCATCATCGAGTGGACGACGACCGCCGGAAAAACACGAACGAAAACACACCGTCGAGACGAGAAGAAGAAGAGATGATGCGAAGAAGAAGGTGGTAGTGCGCGCGATGCCACCACCTTCTTCATCAGGACATCCAGCGGAAACTCTTTTGGATGAATCCAGAGGGTTGTACGAGCAAGGCGAACGGATGCAAGGGTACAAAAAGCTCGAACAAGCGATGAAGCTCGACGAGGACGCTTCTCTTCCGGTGCGAAGAGAGATTCGATATCAGGCGATGTGTTGCGTGGCGGCGTTTGGAGACGTGGAAATGGCCAAACAGTATTTACGAGAGATGGAATTGTTGGGTTTACCGTACGATGTGGCGATTAACGATCCGTCGTTGATGAGGATGGAGTCGTCGGCGTTGATGCGAAACCAGTTGAAGAAGTTCGCGTCGGGAAGCGAGAAGAGTTTCGGGACGGTGCAAAGAGAAGTGTACGAGAGAACGAAGAAGACTTTGCCGGGTGGCCCAGGAGGAGACGCGCCGATTGTGAATAAAGGTTTGATGGAGTTGGAGATTGACGATAACACAGACGCGTCGGTAGGTGGGATCGCGAAGAGAGTCGGCGGGGTTGTATTGGCGAGCATCGGCGGCTTCGCGCTCTTGTTCTTCGCGGGGTTGAAATTGATCCAAGAGAGCGGATATTAGTTTAGTTTTTACTATGTTATTCGAATATTATTAATGCAGTTGTTAGTGGTGTTGTTATTACTTCTCGATGATATTGCACAAACGCGCTCAAAGCTATGATTATTACTTCTATTACAAATCGTGACTGACGTTTCAAGAATTTCTGTTGTTGTTCGTTATTTTACACTCATCAACGCGGCGAAGGTTGACGGTTCGACAACGAGGAGATGCGTTCGTCGCCTTCGTCGTCCTCGCTCGCTTCCAAACCTAATGAAGATGCGCTCGCGGGTGGGATATAATCTCGCAAGATGCCATTTCTGGACGGTTGCCTCAACTTTCTCAACGCCTTAGCTTCGATTTGTCGAATACGTTCACGAGTCACCGAGAACACGTTGCCAATCTCTTCCAACGTTTTCACTCTACCGTCGTCTAAGCCGTATCGCAAACGCAACACGTCTCGTTCTCTCGGGTTTAGAGTGTTCAAAACGTTTTCCAAGTCTTCCTTAAGAAGCACTTTGCCGGAAGATTCTTCCGGGTGTTCCGTGATGTTATCAACCAACGTGTCTTCAACCGTTCGCTTATCGTCATCCGCGCCAACCGCTTGCGCCAAGGATACTGGAGCCATGGCAGCTTTCTTTATCTGCGTGATTTTCACTTGAGGCATTTCCATCATCGCCGAAATTTCCTCCAACGTAGCTTCTCGTCCGTTCTGGACGATGAACTTTTGTTCGAGTTTGTTCATTCGCGAAATGATTTCAAACAAGTGCACGGGCAAACGAATCGTTCTCGATTGATCCGAGATGGATCTCGTCACGGCTTGGCGGATCCACCAGTGCGCGTACGTAGAAAACTTATAGCCACGCTCGAAATCAAACTTCTCGGCGCCTCTGATTAAACCAACGCATCCTTCTTGAATTAAATCTTGGAAAGACATGTTGCGATTCGCATATCGCTTGGCGATGGAAACGACCAATCGAAGGTTCGCTTGAATCATATGATTCTTCGCGTTCTTCCCTTCCGTTAATCTCATTTCGAGTTCGAATTCGGTTAAACCTAATTCTCTGGCCCACATGCTCTTGGTGACTTTATCTCCATGCGTTTGCGCGATAGGGTCGTTACCTTCGGCGACTTTGGCGACCAACTCTTTATACGTCGTCTCTAAGTTCATCAAGTCTTGAATTTTCCTCGCCAACTGCACTTCTTCGTTCGCATTCAACAGAGATACCGATCCAATTTCTTTTAAATACACTTTCATGGAATCTACTTGTTGCGCACTGTGCTGGTTTGCTTGAAGAATTCCTCTGGGATTCAAAACGCGAGTTCGTCCTTTTTTGAGCGACGGTTTTGTCTTTCGCTTGGCCAGTCTCGCCTCTTGCATCTTGCCGACAATCTTGTCCGAGGCTCGCACCCTTTCCGAGACTTCATCCAACTCAGCTGCTTTTTGATTTTCATTCTTGATCGCTTTCTTCGTCGAAGACGAGTTCCTCTGCGAACGGACGCCTCTGGCAATGCGCATCGCGCGCTCTGTTCGAACATTCGCCGCAGACTTGATAACTCTTCGCGTCTTTGGTAAAACTATCTCCTCTCCTTTTCCTTTCTTCCCTTTTATCGTTTCCTTTGTAATTTTCTTTTCTAACTCCGCTTCAATCGACGCAATTTCAATGCCGAGAGATCCATTCCCTTCGATGATATCGCTGTCCAAAACTTCCTCGTCGTCATCTAAGTCCAGATCTTCGTCGTCGTCCTCGTCGTCGCCCATGAGAAGTAACTCTTCGTCGTCTCTTTTTTTCTTCATCGCCGCCGCGCTCGCCTCCGCTTTGCTTCTCGTCGTCGTGCTCTTTGGCTTCTTTAATCCACGCATCGTTTCTTTCTCCGAAATAGACTCCTTCTCTAAAGTATTTTCCAGCTGATCCAACTCCCTTTGCGTAGGCAACACGTTCATCGCTTCGCTCGCCGCGTGCAACTCGTTCACTCTCGATAAGAGCGCATCGATGTCTAGGTCAGCCACATCTCCGCCAATATCCAAATCCATGCTCGCGCCGGCGCTCTCACCTCTCGGTATGCTGATCGCCCTCCCTAACACCCTCGTCGATGCTCCTTTGTTTTTAAACGCCGCCGTCGACGAGTGCGATATTTTTTTCGTATTCACTTTTCCACTTCCCGAAGAATTGAACGAATTATCCCGAGAACTGCTTCCAGCCGGCAAACGCGAAGAAGAGGACGATTTCGTCGATTTTGAGGACGTTCGGAAATCGTCCGCTGCGTTGGTCACGCGAAGCGTTCGTGATGGTCTCGCTTGCGGTTTAGCGTTGTATGATGTCGATGCTATTTGATTCGACGCTATTCTCGTCCTCGCGTGAGCGCAGCAGAGGTGCGACGCAGAGGCAGACATCTTAATTTTTAGTGCGCCGCTTAAATTATCACCACTCCTTCTCAAATACGTCAACAAGTACGGTTACGCGCGAGTAGTTTTATTTCTCGCTCAATAAACTCTCTGTCTCCTCTCTCTGTCTCTCTCTCTCTCTTCTGAGATCGATTTCAGAAAAAAGGAACGCTCTGTTCTGTAATTCCTAGAGGAAACGAGAGGGTAAAGCTTCGCGCGTCGTCGTCGTCGTGAACGTCGTCGTGAACGTCGTAAATAATGGAGAGCAGGAGAGCTACGACGCTCAAAATCTCAAAAACTCTTCTACACATGCTCTCTCTCTCTCCTCCATAAAATTTTGGCAATCAAATTTTTTTTCAACCAAAGTGCCCACAAAAAGCTTCCACCTAGAAAATGTCTCGACACGGTACGTAGACATTTGTCTTCCTTCTTGCTTTCATCTCTCTCTCTTCTTTTATTAAAGACAGTTCAGAGATGATGATCTCAGTATTCTCTCTCTAAACTAAACTCGCCTTTTTTTAACGAATCGCGTTTTGTTGTTTCCATTTGTCCGATCGGTGGCGGTGCGTGTGCGTGTGTGCGTCTGTCTCTCTTAATCTCTCCGTCTCGCTTTGGATGTGTTGTTTTAGAGGAGTGGAATGCGTGCTCCAAAGGTCGCACCCGAAATTGATTATTTCTAACGACCTCTCTTCTACCTCTGTATCATCCTTCGCGTACTGATGAAAATAATACTATGAAACTCGCGAGAACAGGCGATATCTCCTCCTCTCCAGACACGGTTGGCGTGTGCGTGTACCAATACCCGATGCCACGTCTTCACAACTGCGAAGAAGTGATGGAAAACGTTGGAAAAATATGCGAGCTCGTCAAAGGTATGAAACAAGGTTTGCCGGGAATGGATATGATTGTCTTTCCGGAATATTCCACGCAAGGCATCATGTACGATAAAGACGAGTGCTTCGCAACCGCGGTGTCAATACCGGGGCCAGAAACGGACGCGTTTTCAAAAGTGTGTAAAGAAACGAAGGTCTGGGGGGTGTTTTCGCTCACCGGGGAACGACACGAAGAGCACCCGAAGAAGCAGCCGTACAACACGTTAGTTCTCATCAACGATGAAGGTGAGATTGTCCAGAAATACAGAAAAATTTTACCGTGGTGCCCAATCGAAGGGTGGTACCCAGGCGATGAGGTCCACGTGTGCGAAGGCCCGAAGGGAATGAAAGTATCCCTGATTATTTGTGACGACGGCAACTATCCAGAAATCTGTGAGTTTTCTTCTTTGGTTTCCACATTTTGGATGACGACTAATATTTTTTTTTCTATTATAGGGAGAGAGTGCGCGATGAAAGGCGCCGAGCTCGTCGTTCGTTGTCAAGGGTACATGTATCCGGCCAAGGAGCAACAAGTGATGGTGGCGAAAACGATGGCGTGGATGAATAACGTCTACGTCGCGGTCGCAAACGCGTCTGGAAGCGACGGCGTGTACACGTACTTCGGGCACTCCGCGATTGTGGGCAACGACGGACGAACGTTAGGCGAATGCGGCACTGAAACAAACGGCGTGAACTACGCGCAGCTCTCCATCTCCGGCATACGCGACGCCCGTAAAAACGATCAATCTCAAAATCACTTATTCAAACTTCTTCACCGAGGGTACACCGGCGTGTACAATTCCGGCGACGGCGATAAAGGCGTCGCCAAGTGCCCGTTTTCGTTTTACGAAACGTGGGTGAACAATCCCGAACTCGCGCAAAAACAAGTCGAAGATATGACGAGAAGTACCATCGGCGTGCACTGCTGCCCGGTGTATAATCTTCCCACGCAAGATAGAGAGACGCACACGCACTCCATGGAGGAAGATCTGGCGTGAAGAAGACATCTTTAGTGGCGTGTGTTACGATGAATTTTATATAAAAAGTGTATTAATCCAAAATCTTCTTCCATTTTTTCGTTTGCGTGTCCCCTCACAAAAACAAAAACAACAATGCCGGTCGTCGCTCGCAAAGTTTCCGATGGGAAGAAGCGCGCGATAATCGTCAAAGAAGTGTTAAAAGAAGGAGAAGAAGAAGAGAAGGAGAACGAGTTTGAGGCGACAAATATTCTTCCTTCTTCTTCCTGCTTTTTTGACGCTTTGCCGGACCATCTCAAAGAGGAAATCTTACTTCGCGTTCCCGGGAAAAGCAACAACGTTGGAAATATCCAACGCGTGTCCAAATCCTTCCACGACGTCGTCAACTCTTCGGAACGATTGTGGAAAACGATGTGCGAAAAAGAAGTCGGAGAAGAAGGCGCGATCGTCTTTCGAGAATTCGGAAGAAGAGAAGAGAGGTGAGACGTTTTGATTTGATGAGAGAAAGTTTTGTACCTTTTTTATTCGCGTTCGTGTTCGTTACTAGAAAAAGCGCGCTTTTTGTATTTACGTTTTGCTTTTTACGCGCGCGCGTGTGTCTGCGCAGGATGCTGACAAAATTCATTCATTATTATTATTATTACTATTGTTAGGAACATATCTACCCGCGAGAGCACGGAAACAGAGCTCGTCTGGAAGAAGAAGTATCGAATGTGGTGTAAAGGAGAAGACGGCATCATGCGCTGGGGCGGAAGAAGCGAGTCGAGCGAGACGACGGTGTCGGATGAACCGAACTGGTTTCCGCACGAAAACGACGGGTCGACGGAAGAAGGAGGAAGAGGAGGAGAGAACGACGAAGACGATGACTACGATAGATTTTCTCCGAGGTATTTACACCGCGCGACGCAATGTGGGAAGGATTTGACGAAAGTAATCCTGTTCGGTGGACAAAGTACTTCTGGATTCCATAACGACGTCTTCTTCTTAGATATGAACGAGAGGAAGAATCCGACGCACGCCTTTGAAAAGTTGCACGTGTCTGGGGAGCCACCGCTTCCTAGATGCAGTGGGTCGATACAAACGTTGAGAGTGTTTGGTAACAAACCTGGATTAGGACGCGAAGTTATCGCGTTATTTGGAGGGTCGCAAGGCTACATAAGTGGATTCCAGGACGATCTTTTGGTCCTAGCTCCATCCGATAAAAAATCAAACGAGGATATATCCATGGCTTTAGAAAGAAAGAGCTCGTTGACGTGGTACGAACCGACAATCATCGAGAAGAATCCGGTGCACGGAAGACCAGCACCACGATGGGGACACGCCACGTTCGCTCGGAATGGAAAATTGCTCGTTTTTGGCGGGTCAAACACGAACGCGTGTTTCAACGATTTCTGGGAGTGCACGTTGGAGAGCACGGACGACGCGTGTCCGTTCGCAATCACGGCGACGTGGAAGTTACTTTGTCCAGAAAACCGTCGAGCTTACGAATCGATACCATGTCCAAGGGCTGGGGCGACTTTGTGCGTCGTCAATGACGTCGCGTACTTATTCGGCGGGTGTCGCGTTTCGACTACGTTTAACGACTTGTGGAAATTCGACTTGAGCGAGACTGGCGATATCCTCTGGCAGCAAGTCACAACGACTGGCTTAGCACCGACACCTCGCGTCGGCCATTCTATGTTGACAATCGGAAACCGACTCATCATTCAAGGCGGCCGAGGGATGCAAGCAAACTCAACAGTTCCTGGTAAGATGAGCACAAGAGGCTTAGCCGCTTTGCAAGGTCTCGTTTTCTACGAATCCGGGTTCTCCGTGCTCGACCTTTCGAAGATGAACTGGTTGCCGAGGCAATACCCGAAAGCCGCGGAGGAGGAGGAAGAAGAAGAGGAGGAGGAAAAGAAGGAATCTCTCACTACGAATACCGAACAAAATAGGGACGACGTCAACGTCCGAGAACACCGAACTGGACACGTGATGATGCTCGCGCCGCAAGGTATCATTCTCGTCGGTGGATTGGGCTACAATGCCCGATTTCAGTCCGACGTCCAAACAGTCAAACTTTTTTAAATCGATCGAAGAGATCGAAGGACGTGTAGATTAATATACTTTTGTAGGAAATCGACTGAGAAAAATGTCGAGCAGGCCTTTAAAAGCAAATAGAATCGCAAGAGAAAGAGATTTAAAAGACAGCCGCAAATAGGATCTATGTAACAAATTTCTAATAACACCACCGCTACTACTACTACTACTTCTATTACTACTGGTACTAAAACTACGCATCGCTAAAACCGGCTGGTCTTTGTAAATTTTTGCTCACCATGCACAACGCTTTGTATCTTAAGCCCATGCCCGGTGTTTCGCCTTCCTCAACTTTATCGTCGCCGACTAACCTCTGACAGCCATCCGCTAAAACTTCCAACTGTTCTTCAGAGCACGTCTCCGCTAATTTTTTAAGTCTCTGTACGATACCAAGTTCTAAGAGAAGCTTCTGTTGCGTCGTTGGACCGAAACATTTCACCTCGCTCGTGTTTTCCTCGTTTCGCTCTTCCACGACGCCTCGTAGCGCGCCAAAATCGACATGTGCCGATAAATCGCACTCGCCTGGACTTTCCAACAGATTTTCTACGAATTTATGATCTTTAATTGCTTCTAAAGTATCTGCCAAAGGTCCTTCGTCGCCGTAATCGATGGCGATAGCCGCGCCGCCTCTCCCGCCGTTCTTCCCCTCGTCGTTGATTCTGTCCATCATTTTTTCCCAATGGACGATACTTTTCGGCGAAACTTCTAATGATACAATAGTTTCGTTGTTCATATCGCTATCACTGCTACTGTTGACATCGGATGATGACGATGATGATGAAGACGATAATGATGACGATGTCTTTCTCAAACGTCTCTTGACGAGTTGAGAAGAGCTCAACGTCGCGCCCGGTGAAAGTACAAACTCTAAGCTGTTGTTCTCCTCGTTCATCGCGACAAGTTTCTCCACCCATCCACGTTCGGTGCGTCGAAACTGGTGCACGGGTAAAGCGTCGAAGAACTCATGCGCGATGATACACGTTGGACCAGAAGGAACGTCGTCTAATGAGTTGTGCCAATACACCTTCGTGCTGTGCGCGGTTATTCCAGAAACGTTCCCTTTCGTCGATAACTTTTCATCTTCTTCCTCGCTATCATCATCATCATCATCATCATCATCAGTGTTTTTGGCGGCAAACGGATTCGGTTTTATCTCTGCCAATAACGGGTTATTCAAGCTTTCAAACGTCTCCAAACTTCCTTGACATTTCAGCGTCTCGAACTGTTTCTTCCTCAACGCCGGCGAGATTTCAATCAAGTGCACTCGTAAAGCCTCGCTAAACTTTTTAAAGTTACTCGTTCCTCTCAATAAATCCATCATCAACGTCCCTCTCCCGGGACCAAACTCAATCAAGTGTAACTCTTCTGGTTTCCCCAACTGTTCCCAAATCGTCGCGCACCAGACGCCCAACAATTCGCCGAATATCTGCGATATCTCCGGCGACGTCGTAAAGTCGCCGCTCTTCCCGAATACTTTATCTTTCGAAGACGTTTTCGTGTAATACCCGTACGTTGGGTTCGTCAGCGCTTCGGACATGAACTCGTGGACGGTGATTGGACCTCCTCGGAATTTAATCAGCGATTCGATGTGCCCGAGTAAACCTTCATTTTTTTTCGTTTCTATATTCTTGTCGTTATTATTCAAACTCCCTTTCGCATTCTGTTGTTGAACGGTTTCGTACAATCCAGTTCGGTCGATGGCAATCTCAATCATCTCGCGGCGCATTTTGCCTTGCATTTCCCTCTGCCTTTCAAATTCTTCCTTCATTTCCGTCTTCTTTGTCGTCGTCTTCGTCGTCTTGGAATCATCATCGCTTTTATCAGAAGAAGAAGAAGAAGAAGAAGAAGAAGAAGAAGCGCTCGAAGAGGAAACCATTCTGTCGATGTTATTCTTCAACATCATCATCATCGTCGTCGTCCTCATTCGCATCGAAGACAAAGAAGACAAAGAAGAAGAAGAAGAAGAAGAAGAAGACAAAGAAGAAGAGAGAAGCCGAGACGTTGACATTCCTCCTCCTCCTCCGAAAAGTCTTTTCCTCCTCGTCGTCGTCGTCGCGAGAACATCGGTAGTGGTATTAAAAAGCGCAAAAAAAGCGCTTTTGCTCCTCCTCCGAACAAAGCTTTTGCTCATGTTTTTTTTTGCAGCAGTTTTTTCTTTCTTTCTTTGTGGTCGGTTTTTTTCTCCTTGGACAGTTGGAAGAAATTACCCTTTTTAACCCTTGGCTGAATGCCTGGAGCTCCTTTTGGGAGGGTTTTTGCTCTTTTTTGCTCGTTTCGTTCTCGCTGTCTCTCTCTGAAGAAAAGAAAAGAGACTGTCGTCTTGCGCCTCATAATTACTTATCTCTCTCTCTCTGTCTTTTCAGAAGAGAGAGATGTTGACGACGACGAGGAGCGCATCATCCGGGGCCGTGGCGTCCACTTCTGCTTCGTCCAGAGGAGTGAACAACCGAACCGCGAGATTTTTATCTTCTTCGTCTTCGAGTGTATTCATGAGAAAAGAATTTTCTCAGCTCCTCGTACTCAAAAGCGGCGGCAGAGCGGAAGAGAATTATCCACTCCCATCTTCGCGGCGTTCGAGGCGAGGACACTTCTCCGTGAAGCCGCGTTCTGCTTCCGCTTCCTCTCAAAGTTTCGAAAACGAAGAGAAAGACACCAACAATAAAGGTGAGATCTTCTTCCCGATCGCCCCGGGACGAAGAAGCGATGGTAAAAGGCACAAAAAGACCGAGATCCACGCGATAAGTGAACCGAGAAAACCGAGCAGCAGCGCGAACGAGGGCAAGACCGGATCTGCGACCTCGAGGGCAAAATCATCGTCTCACAAGGGAGGAAAGAAAAAGCCCTCCTCTTCCTCTTCTTCCAACAAGAGATCGCCTTTATCGAACGGAGGACAGTCGTCACCGAACGGAGGAGGAGGATCTTCTTCTCACTATAAACCGTTCACGCCGACGTCGTCGAAAGTCAGCAACGTGAGGAGAAAAAAATTTGCGCCCTTAATCGCGGGCGTGGCCGATAACGTCCCTCTGGACGAGTTGTTGGAAAAATATCCAAACTTTGCAGATTGTTTAGGACCGAAGAAGTACGATTCTGGACATTTTATTCGATTATACAGCGATTTAGTTCGGTGCGATCGATTGGGAGACGCGATTGATTTGCTGCAACGACTGAGCGACGCCAAGGTTCCGTGCTTGAACGATACGAGAATAAGGAAACACGGGACGGTGGATTTCTTGGTGTCGTGCGAGCGATCGAACAAGTTGAGCAACTCGCCGGTGACGCACGCGTTTACGTTTACGAATTTGGTTTTGGGAGCTGCGAGAGAGGAGTTATCGAACGCAGAAGTTGCGACGATATATAACAAGCTCTTGGCGGTGTGCTCTGCGCACGGAGACTGCGAGGCGGCGGCAAAGGCGTTTGAGCAAATGAAGCAAGATCCAAAAGGGTTAACCATTGACGTCATCACGCACACGAGCTTGATTGTAGCCTACGGGAAGGCTGGGAAAGTCGATTTGGCGTTCGATCAGTTCAATACGATGACGAAAAAAGACAAAATCGAACCGACTATCGTTACGTACGGGGCGTTAATGGACGCGTTGTCTCGAGAGGTTGGAAGGCGTTCGGGCAACGGCGGTTTCAAATCGAACAACAAGAAGGATATTTCGTACGTGAAAGATGCGTTGGATCGCGTGTTTAACTTGCGCTCGGATTTGCAAGCGAGTGGGTTGCATATGGACGTGAGAGTGTTGAATTGCTTGGTCTCCGCGTGCGGACGAGCGGCGGCTTTTGAAGAGTTGAGAACGGACGCGCTCGATCGCGCTTTTGACATTGTCGCCGAATCTCGTCGAAACGGGTTGTTTCCAGACGCTATCACGTACTCTTCGCTGATGAGCGGGTGTGTCAATGCCGGCGAGCCGCAGAGAGCGTTAGCGTTGTACGATGAAATGGAGACGAAGGGCGTCGCGAGAACGGCGTCGGTGTACGCCACCGCCATTCACGCGTGCGCGACGGAGTACGACTACGACAACTCTGCACCAAACTATCGTAAGGCGTTCAAGATTTGGGAAGAGGTGCAACAAAACAAACCGAGAGTGGTGGTGGATCCAGTTTTATACGCGACGATTTTGACCGTCGCGAGTCGAGCCGGGAACGTTGAAATGTGCGCCAATTTAATCAGAGAGATGGAAATGAACGGATCGATGATGTCGCCTGCGGTTGTTTCGAACATGTGCGGATCGTTTGCGCGAGCCGGTGATGCTGGAGCGGTAGATCGCATCTTATCTGACGCTGAAAAGTCCAATGAAATTGTCCCGCGCGCTTGCTACAACGCGTTGATCAATTCGTTTGCGAGAGATGCTGATCTTGAAGGAGCGACGAAAGCTTACGATCGATTGATTGAATCCGGGCAATCGCCGGATGAGATTACATTCGAAGGACTCATTTTAGCCGCCGCGAAGAAAACAGAAACGCTCGCAGAAGCCAAGAAATTGTTACAAGAGGCGTTGGATTTGGGTTTGCGACCGACTTTACCGACGTACAACGCGTTGGTCAGAGGTTTCGGTCGAGCCGGGGACTTGAACAAAACGTACGCCACGGTCAAGGCGATGAAGTACGCCGGGTACACGCCGGACGAGATGACGTGGAGAGAACTCTTATTCTCGTGCGCTCGTCATGGAAACTGCCTGCTCGCGTGGGATGCGTATAAAAGTTCTCGCGCAGCTGGAATTGCGCCATGTGAGGTGACTTTGAATACCATTCTCGGTGCTATTCTCGCGCACATTCGCACGTTGACAGATCCGACCAGATTAGCTTCGGATAAACCCGGTCACGGATTGACGGATACGACTACGAGTGGTGAAATCGCCAGCTCAGTGGCGCAACCGGCTTGGAAGGAATGGGCTGATCGAGCGACGGCAGTGTTCCACGAAGCGACCACGCACGGTGTGAAACCGAGAGTTGAAACGTTTTCTTCCATGCTCGCGTGTTTGCGACCGCCGACAGATCAAGAAGTGCAGTTAGCGTCGAAGTACGGGGGCGAATCGCTCGCAAGATTGGTCACTCACCAATCAAACGTTCACGAAGATGCGGCGACATACTACCCAACCAAGGCGTTGATATTGTTTGAAGAAGCGCAGGCGATTGGTATCGTTCCCCAATTCGAGATGAGCGAAGACTCGGAGTACGACATGCGAAATTTTCCTCCGGCGGCTGCGGAAGTTGCGCTCTTGACGTTGATTCGAAAGATCAAAAGACACGTAGAAGCGCACGGCGAGAAAGATCTGAAGAACAGATTACCAACATTTACACTTCTCGTTCGCGAGAAGCCGGAAATGTTGGTCGACGAAGATGGATACCTCGTTTCGTCTAGCGCGGATGAGTCGCTCGCCGATCGTGGCGCGACGAGACGCTTGGAAAGAACGGGCGAACGTCTCGTCGTGCTTCTGAGAAGATTGCGAATTAACTATGCCGGATCGCTTGAAAGAGGAAAGATTGAGCTCTCTTCCCACATCATGTATCGCTGGATCCACGGTAAATCGTCCGCTCCCCACGCGTTGCCAGGCATGGAGGCCAGATTAGCCGACGACATCACCATGCAGGCGATGCGCATTCGTTCGAGAGATATGATGAGCGGCAGAGGAACTATTGATCATTACGGAAATGACGCGGACGAAGACAGTTCATTCATTCCTGGATACAGAGCCCCGGTGTTTAGAAACCCGAACGCGAATTACGGCCGATCTGATGGCGGATACGGGGCCGGTGGTAGATGGTCTCGAACCGGATGGTCCCAGAGTTCCTACGACGACATTCCTTCGGATCAACATTTGAGCATGGATGACTTGGACGATTTGATCAAGAATAGGACATAAAAATGGGGAAACATGATAATAAGTTGTAAATACAAATAATAAGCAGCGAAAAACACACGCCGCAGCAGTATTGAATTAAATGAATACAGACTACATCTCGTCGTAAAATATTCTCGCTTCAAATTTATTCTCGTGCTCTTTGGATTTCACCACGCCTCTATAACGGCTCTGTCTTCTCTCTATTTTCGCCGAACTTTCAACCAACGCTTCCACGAAGTCTTCGTTCGTGCTAGTGGCTGAGATATTTATATCTTTCAGCTCTTTCAATGTATTTTCGTATTCGCTCATCGGAAAGTTCATCATCTCCCTCGTCTCTTTGGAGTCTCCTCGCATGAAGAGTAAAGCCGCGTCGTGCGCTCTCGCCGCGCTCTCTTTCGTCGTCCAAGTTCCGAGCTCGTATCTTTTATTCACCCCAATATCTACGAACGACGACCACCGCGTTACAAAAGCAGGGCGAAACACGCCGTTATACTCTCGCGTGTGTTGCATCATCGCATCCTCCGCGGCGGCGACGTTACACGCGTTCACAGGGGCTGTCACAGAGCGTCGAAGAACAGGATTAGTATTATTCAGCATCTCTTTTTCTTCTTCATCTTCTCCTCCTTTTTCTTCGAGAACTGTCGATGGAAGAGAGGAAATGAAATGCGATAGGAACGACGGTTGATGATGATGATGATGGTGACGATGGTGTTGGTGATGATGTTGGTTGTTGTTGTTGTTTATGTACTCGCTGTTTGTTCGTCGAAGAAGAGGAGGAGACTGGAACGAAAACGCGCCGGCGCGATTAATGTCGTCGTCGTCGTTCTCGTCGTCCTCGCCCGCTTCTTCCTCGCCGTCCTCGATAATCTCATCGTCGACGTCGATGTACTGTTGTAACATGCTCGCGGCGGCGATGTCGTCGATGAGACTCGCCGCCGGCGATACCATTTTTTCTGAAGAGGTCTCTCCCTCGTATTTTTTCGATTTGTAAATACGAACCCAAACAAAAAGAATAAGAGAAGAAGGGAAAAAGGAGGAAAAGAAAACGAGGAGCAGTCGTACCAAGGCACGAGAGTTACGAATACTCACAACACTGTGTATTTAAAACGAAGAACACGCTCTCTCTCATCTCATCGTCCTATTCACGAATTATTTATTAATTCCAAATAGCTCGGAACTCCTCCTCTTCTTTCAAAATCTGGTCCTCCGTGACCCACACTTCCGTATCTACTACGTCTCTCTCGGTCGCCGCGAGTTGTCTCATAAACTCAGCGTGTAACTCGTGCGAAGCTTTGTGACACAAGACGTGCCCGATGGGAACGCCAGCCATGCCGGGTTCTGCGAATAAGCTCATGTCGCCAATTAAGTCCAAAACTTTGTGCCTCGCGCACTCGTTTTCCCAGCCGTTTCGCATGGGCGGATTTAAAAATTCAGTCCCGTTGGCGATTAAACTACACGAGGCGGTCCCACCTTTGATAATGTCGTGTCTGTAAAACGCCATGTAATCTTGAATGGTACCAAAAGTTCTCGCCGGCGCGATGACGACGTCGTACTTCGCATCTTCTAAAGGCGTCCATGAAAACCATTGCTTCCCGATGGCGGTCGACTTGTACGTCAAATCGATGCCGTAGGAAATTTTTGACTGATCTTGCGGCGTGAACATGATGAACGCGTCCTTATCTCTCACAATGACCGGTTCTCTCGGTTTATACTGTTTCTTTGGAACTTTCTCTCCGCCTTTATCGTTTGCGTCCCTCGCCGGCGTCACTCCGGCTTTGCAAATTTCGTGCGCCCAGTGCCCGGCGCCGCCGTCTAAAATAGGCAATTCACCCGTTCCTCCGATCTCTATTCTGCAGTTATCTACACCGAGCGCTTCTAAAGCCGATAAAAGGTGTTCTGGTTTCGTCACCGCCGCTTCATCTGTCCCGGGCGCGTTCAACACGCTCGAGATTTGTAAACCTTTCGCCAAGTTTGCCAAATTCGCCTGCACTCTCGTCTCTGATCCTTGGTTCCTTAAAAAGTCCCCGGGAGAGTCAATCTTTTCCTTATCCTCTCTTTTTAATATCGACTGGTTTCTCAAAATTTCTTTCCTATCGTTCGGGTCGTTCGAAAGCATCGCTCTCGCGCGTTCCAACAATAACTTATTCACCTGCGCGTCCGACAGCGCGCCTCCGTCCTCGTCTTCGCCCGTCTCCTTTTCGATCGAGTCGTCCGAAACGCGAACAAAATACCGTCCTTCGTTCGCGTACGCCGGGCACACTCTCACAATTTCGTCTTCACCGGAGTGTAAACCAAACCCGGAAACCACGAACGCCTTCTTGACTGTTTGTTGATACGAGCGGTTCGGCGGGTACGCTTTCGGTTCCGCCCGAATCGCCTCGTTCAAGAACGCCGAGGGAAGGTCTTCTTCGACTGCGGATGATGATTCTTTCGTGGCAAACGTGGTCGTCATTTCGCCTCGTCTTCTTCTTCTCTGTTCTTGTCGTTGTTTATTAGCATCCTTCGACGATGGAGTGGTTGCACGAGAAGAAGAAGAAGAAGAAGAAGAAGAAGAAGAATTAGGTCGTTGCCCCCTTTTTGGGGTGGCGGCGAAATTGGACGACGCCGACGCGTAGGAAGTCGACGCCATCATCTTTTGTTTTCTTTCTTCTTCTTCTCAAATGATCAGATTTCAGCAGCGGCACGAGTAAAAGCGCTCTCCTTTTCGATCGTCCTCGTCTTCGTCGCGAGAGAGAGAGAGAGAGAGAGAGAGAGAGAGAGAGAGAGAGAGAGAGAGAGAGAGAGAGAGAGAGAGAGAGAGAGAGAGAGAAGAAGAAATATCTCGAAGCACGCGCACTAATGTGTTGTTTTGTGTCAAAGTTCGTCGTTTCAAAGCGAGAGAAAGAGGAGGTTTTCTGGGCTCCTGTTTTTTTTCTCGATTTTTCTTTTTTTTGCTCTTTTTTTGCTCTCCATGGTTTGCTCTCATTTTCCTCTTGTCGTCTCTCTCTCACTGTAACTGTTTTTGTCAAAACATCATCAATCATGAGAGAACCTTTAACAAAGTCAAAGACGAAGAAGAAAGAAGCTTTGAGAAGCGCGACTTTGGAGAAAGACGACGGAAAGCAAACAGATTTTTCTGTGAAAGAACGAATAGAAACGGCGACGATGGAAGTGCTCGGAAAGAGAGGCTTGGAGAAGACGTGCTGACCGTCGGAGATTCCCAGATTACATGTGTTCAAGGGAAATCCAAACTGGCGGCGGTTCATGGACGCGACTCGAGACGTCGCGGTGAAACTGATGAAGGAAAGTAAGGTTCAAATCGAACAGAACGGAGAGGTTTTGAGAGGCATTCAGAGCGCGAAAGATTTGAAAGGAAGGATTCGGTTGCGGTTGGTAAAGGAAAAGAAGATGTAAAACAAAAAGAGAGTTCGTTGTTTGTGTCTCGGCGTTGAAGAAGAAGAAAAAATGACAGCGCTCGCAGAAAAGAAGCAGAAACACGCGAGCGCTCGATAATACATTTGCTGAGATACATACATTAGACGAATGTGAATTGAAAATACATTTACATAGATGCGCGCGCTCGCGGATGAAAAACGCCCGACGACTTTTAAAAAGGAGGGACGACGAAAGCCGGTCCGACTTTTTGGCGATATTCGTGCCACCACCACCACGAAGCGTACGCGCGTTTTTCCCTCCACTGTCTTTGAATTTCCTCGAAATCTTCCTCGTCGTCCTCGTCCTCGTCGTCGTCGTATTCTCCTTCACTATCCTCACCTTCGCTGCTACTACTACTACCACTACTACTGCTACCACTACTACTACTTTCCTCTTCTTCTTCGCTAGATGTTTCTAAAAGCGCTAATTTTTCCTCCTCTAAATGTAAAGCCTGAAGCCGTTTCTCGTCGTTTTCTTCGAGATCGTACGCGTACCAACTCTCTGGAACTGTATCGGGAAGTTTTTCGAGATTGCAAAACGCGGCTCGCGTGGATTTTTCTCCGCTTCGATACTCGTCGTCGATTTCATCACCTTCTTCGATATTCCAGCGTTCAGATTCTTCCTTGGATGTTTTATCGAGCATATCTTTCAGCGTTTTCAACTCTTTCTCGTCTTCGAGAACGGCGACGGCGACACCGGAAGTACCAAATCTCCCCGTTCGTCCACATCTGTGCATAAACGTTTGACCATCTCTCGGTAAATCGACGTTGATGACTAAATTCACCCGTTCGCAATCGACGCCTCTGGAGATTAAATCGGTCGATACGATGGCGCGAAGCTCAAAGTCGCGAAAGCGTTGCATGACATTCATTCGTTCGCGCTGTGGAAGCTTTCCCGAGGTGAAAGCCGTTTTAAAGCCTCCTTTCTTGATCATTATTGCGGAGAGTTTCTCGCCTCGGTCTCGACTTTCAACAAAGATAACAGCTTGGTGAAAACGAACAGAGTTGAAAATGTCAATGCACGTCTCCGCCTTTTCTTCGAGAAGGCGCATGCCGTCATCGTCGTCATCACCGTCGTTATCGTCGCCTTCTTTTTCCTTCTCATCTTCCTCTTTTGCCTCTTCGCGACGACATATGAACCGATAACACATCTTCACTCCTCTCAACGCCACCGTCTCTTCGCACAAGCTCACTTTCTCAATCGCGCTCGGTTTACCGTCTCTCGTCGTCAAACTCTCCATTCTTTTCCTCGCGTTTTTCGAGAACGTCGCCGAACACGCGATCAATTGTCTCTGCTTGTGACTCGCCGCATGTATCAAAAACAAAACGTCCTGGCAAAACCCAGTTTTCGTCAACAACTGATCTGCTTCGTCTAAAACTACCGTTCGTATTTGATCGGTTCTCAAAATGTCCATCTCTACGAGCTGCTTCATTCTCCCGGGCGTTCCGACGACGCACGCCGGCCGTCTTTTCATCGCGCGTCCGTCGTCTGCGACTGGTAAACCGCCTAGAAAACACGCCAGCCGTTCTTGTTTAAATCGACCTTTCGAGCTTCCCGCACACGCCGTCGCCAGCGTTCGTAACACGTCCGCCGTCTGTAACGCAATCTCTCTCGTCGGCGCGATACACATCGCTTTCACGGACGAAGATACATCTACTCTTTTTCCTCCCCTCTCATCGATCGCAAAAGTATCGACATCTGCTTCTACTTTCGTCAGTAAAACTGAATCTAAAAGTCGACAGGCGAACGCGACTGTTTTCCCAGTCCCCGATTTCGCTTGCACTAAAACGTCTCTCCCTAACCGTTCCAAAGGAATCGCCGAGACTTGCACCGGGGACGGATATATAAATCCACACTTTTGGAGACCTAAAACGATGTGTTCTGCTAGCGCTAAATCGTTGAACGTTAATCGAATATCGTCGTCGTCGTCTTCCTCCTTTTCCTCCTTCTCGTTCTCGTGAGAATTTTCATCGATTCGACTCCACTTCTGTTGTCCTTGTTGTTGCTGTTGTTGTTCGCTCCTTTTAAGAGAAAAGAAAACGTCGGAGGAGCGCGAACGAGTCGAGCTCGAGTTGGCCAGTATTCTCGGCATTTTCAGCGCAATGACAGCTTCTTCTTAGTCATCATTTTCTCTTCCGTGTGCTTCGTTCGTGTTTTTTTTGTGCCGCCGAATTGGAAAAGCAAAGACGACACAACTGTTTACCCGTTCTAACGAACCACACTCTGTCTGCTCCACGGAGAGAGAGAGAGAGAGAGAAATTAAAATGGGTTTATTTGACGCTTTGCCTCCGTTGGCGTCCGCCTCCTTAAAGGCGAAAGTAAACGTAAAAGAAGAAGACGACGAGACGAGGCACACCGAGAAGAAGAGGAAGTTTGATGATGATGATGACGAAGAAGAAGAAAAACTGAAGGGAGTGGGAGTAAAGTCGTCGGTATCATCGATGGACGACCGTTTGGAGAAACTCTCGAAACACGTGGAGAAAAAGTTTTCGACGTGCTCTCGAGCGTTTTTGGAACTGGTTTCAAAACCGGAACACGCGAGCGCGTTGGAACGGAAACACGGGAAGAAGATTTTACTCGTGATGAGACGAGCGATGGCTTCGCATTTTCCACAGTCCTCCGAAGAGTATCTCCTCTCTTTCTCGTCGAAGAAAGAGACGGCGACGATTTTTTGTAATCTCTTCGACGCGATAGAAGAGTTGAGAGAAAATGGAATCGTAGGGAAGAATGTGAAAGTGACCGCGGAGATGATCGCGTGGGAGTTGTATTGTCGAACGATGCGAGAGATTGCCGCGAGCGAAGATTCGTTTACGCTGAACGCGTCGACGAAACGTCTGAGGAAGGCGTTCGAGGAGGCGCCGAAAAGGAAAAAAGAAGAAGACTCGGAAGGAGATTCGGAGGAAGTAATGAAACGAAAATTAGAAACGGAAATAGAGGAAAACGAACACATTCCAAAAGAAGAGAAAGAGGAGGCTTTGAAGTGCGCTCTGCAAGCTTTGGAGGCGGAAACAGCCTCGGCGAGAGAATTGGAAGAAATGCACTCGAAAATCCGCGAAGCTTTAATCGACTGTTTAGCGGTCGCCGAAAGCTCGATGCGGACGAAAATGTGGGCGAAATCGATCGTCGATCAACTCTTTGATTTTGTCGAAAAGTTATTGGTATCGCACGATTACGACGTATTCAACCAGACGCAAAAAGAAAGGATTGTTTCGTTGCTGCAAAAAGTGAAAGCCAACGCGAATAAAACGAGTTCCTCTTCGAAAGCCGGCGTCGATTGGGTGAGCGATTTCGATAAGCACAGCAAAAATTTCTCGAAAAGCGAAAGCGTGAGCGTTCGAGGAAGCGTTGGAGGTGAAAGGACGAAAGATGGTCGCGGAGACGGAAAGTTTGGCGAACGATAGTTTACGCTACCAGTAGTTTTTTTAGAGTAGAAGTAGTAGTAATAGTGTTGCACACTCTAACAGGAACTTTGCAACTGTCACTGTACGCGTCATAAAAAAGCAAATCTATTCACATGAGCAAAGAAGATCCGTTATTCTCGGTTTCTGGGAAGACAGTATTAATCACCGGAGGCGCTAAAGGCGTCGGATTGATGCTCACGGAGACGTTTTTGGAGCGAGGCTCGCGCGTGTGCATCGCATCCAGAAACAAAAACGACGGGGAAAAGATATCGAAACGATTGAAATGTGACTTCATCCAGGCCGATTTATCCACGGAGGATGGATGTAAGAATCTCGCGAACGAGTTCAAACGTCGATACGAGTATTTAGACGTGTTGATAAATAACAGTGGTGTCGCGTGGGGTGAGCCGTTCGAGTCGCATTCGGAGAAAGGTTTTTACAAAACGCACGCTTTAAACGTGGTTGCCCCGTTCCTGTTGTCCCGCGAGTTTGCAGATTTGATGGAAAATTCGTCAAGGAAGAGAGGAACCCCGTCTAGGATTATTAATATCGGTTCAATTGCAGGTCTAAAGCCCCAAAAATTTCCAACGTTCAGCTACGACGCGTCTAAGGCGGCGTTGCATCATTTGAGTAGAAAGTTAGCGGACGAGTTATCGTCGCGGAATATAACCGTGAACGTGATCGCGCTCGGGTTCTTTCCGACGAAAATGACGGATAGTTTAGATGTGTATGGAAAAGACGTGAAAGATAACATCATGGCGAACGGCTTATTAATTAAAAGAGTAGGGAGGGCATCCGATGTGGGTGGTGCGGCTGTGTATTTAGCCTCATCTGCTGGGAGCTGGGTGACAGGCACCACCTTAACGTGCGATGGCGGTTTTCTCTCAAAGTTGTGAACGTGAAAGCGTGTTTAGATTAGTAATAAAAAGAAAAGTAGCGGCAATAGCTTTTAGGAGTAGCAGTTTATGCAGATATAGAGAGTAAAATCGATGATTCATCATGTATAAGGATAAGGTTTTGTAAATAACAACGTATCTAACAAACGCCTTTCGCATTCGCTTCGGGCTATCCCACGTACACTCCGCTTTGAGGAAAAAGACGTGCGAAATTAAGCAGTCTTCAAGAATTCTTGCAAGACGCCGAGTGCCGGCGTTTCCTCCCCGTAATCGGAGACGACAACGCACGAGCACTTGACAACCTTTCTCGCTTGGCCTTCGGCGTCGAGCTTGCACAAGCCCGCCCACTCGCCGAGAGACACCGCGGACGGCACTCTCACCAAGTGCACGTTCGCTTCGTTGCACAACGCTTGGATCAACTTGGTGTAATCCGCTTGGTCGCAGTCTTGCGCCAAAACGCACAACAACGCCTTTCTGGATTCAATCGTCTTGCACGCCTCTCTGAGACCTCTGTGCAAGCCGTCTTCGGCCAAGGACTTCTTGAGCACGATTTGCAACGCGCTCATGAGGTCCATCGGTTCATCTCCAGCCGGTTCTTCGACCGCGACTTCTTCGACAATTTCTTCGGCTTCATCGCTATAAAGCATTCATTAAAGAGAGAGAGAAAGAAAGAAAGAAAGATGATAACAGTCAGCGTTGTTGTTCGGCGTAAAGACATTTAAAAGGAAAAAGGAAAGAAAGATCAGATTCCAAATCATGCGGAAAGCGCAAAGACCTAGACAGAGAGAGAGAGAAGGAGGATGACAGAAATCTCCTCTCTCTCTCGGAAAAGAAACGCGCATGAGAGAGAGAGAGAGAGAGAGAACAAGAGAAGCAAAACGAAGAGAACGACTACTCACTCAGACATGATTGCTTTCTTTCTTTCTTCTTTGTTGGGGTTTTATAACACGTCCTTATGTCCTTATGTGTTTATATCACACTCGACTCGATGTTATGACGTTCGAGTCGGAAATTTTTCATGCAAAAATTTGAGCATCGGCCTCCCTTTCTCTCTCTCTCTCTCTGACCTGCTGACTCACAAAATTCGTCTCTCTGCCTCTCTGCAAAAAAAAAAAAAAAAAAAACGCATTGTTTGTGATCTTTTCTCTGTTGTTTACTGTTTTCCTTTGAATAATGAATACACACGACGACGCACGTATTCAAAAGAGTTTTTGAAGAGAATGAACGATGATCGCGAGGAGGAGGAAGAGAACGGTGGTGAGAATTGCGCCGCGCTCGTAATAGAAGAGATCGAGCGAGAAATCGAACGGGCGAAAAAACAAACGTTTTCTTCTTCGCATGTCGTTCATTCTGTAACTCCGCGTTTCGGATCAGATCAGGAAGAAGAGGATACCACCAACAAAAAGAAGAAGAAGGAGGAGGACGAGAACAACAACGAGAATAAGAGCAGAGAAGAAAGGAACAGAGCGAGAAGAGAGGCGGTCGAATGGAGGCGGAAGAAGATTGAGGAGAAGACGTTCGATCCGAGAGCGGCTTTTCGAGAGAGAGTGAAGAAGAAGAAGAATAAAAACGATGAGAACGATGAGACTATAGGAGGTGATGAGAACGATAAATGGCAGTCGCCAAGCGTGGTGATGCGGAGACGAAGAGAAAAGAATGTTACGGTTTCAACCAGAAAGAAGAGCTGGACGGAATTGGAAACCGAATGGAAACTGTTTGAAGAGAAATGGAAAGACTCTCGCGGCGACGACGAGAATGAAAACGAAAACGAGAAACAACGAAGACGCGTTTTACGTTTTCAGGACGTCCCATTTCCATCCTCCGGAGCCGGTTTACTCACGTTCTTGATTTCTAACCACGGTCCGTTTTCTGAGGATGAAAACGGGAGGAAAAAAGCGAAGCGGGAACTCGCAAAGAGATGGCATCCGGATAAGTTTGCGCAAAAATTTTCGAGACTTCTCAAAGACGAAGACAAAGAAGACGTGATGGAGATGGTGAAGGAAATTTACCAATCTGGAACGGCGTTGATGAATACGCTTTCCTGGGACGGCTGAGATTACCATGAATAATAACTAAATTCTATTTCGCTTGCACTGCTTAATTTTCAATCTACTCTATTCGCTACATCTAAATCTCTCGTTCGCAAGGCTTCTCGCCTCTTCTATTCGTGACCGTCGTCGCTTCCGGATAATTCGCGACGAGCGCTTTCACAATCTTCTCAAATTTCATTTCCGCTCGTTTTCTTCGTTCCTCCTCAAAATCTTCATTTCGTCGTTTTTCCTGTCGAATAAAAGTGTACGCTTTATGCAACGCGGTCTCTCCATCGTCATCTCTCAAGCTCGCGTCCGCCCCCGCTTTCAACAACATTTCGACTATTTCAGCCTCCCCAGTTGCACTCGCTCGCATCAACGCCGTCGAGTTCCCCGATGTCGTCCTCGCGTTCACCTTGCATGCATACTTTTTCTCCAGCAATAACTTCACGCACTCCGAGTGGCCGTTCCTGGACGCGTAGTGTAACGGCGTCAATCCGCTCAGTTGAGTGTCGATGGAGTTTGTCCATCGCTCGCAATCGTTCTCCAATAACTGTTTCAGTTTCTCGACGTTTCCAATCTGCGCGAAATGACACGCGGACTTTTGGAACTTGAGTTCCTCTAAAGATTGATCGTAGGACGATAAAATTCGTGAGTAGCACTTGCACTCGGGCGGGTGATTTCCCCCGTTTGCGATCGTCGTCGACGTAAATTGACAATAGATGTTGTTGTTGTTGTTGTTTCTATTCATCATCTGCATTCTCGTGGTGGTTTCAAGGAGTGCAGAGAAAAATTCAGTAAAAAAAATGCAAAAAACACACGAAATTTGATGAAAAAGGAGGAATCCTTTTGAGGATATTCGATTTAACGACACTTCACACAATTAGTAGTTATATTCGGCAGAAGACGAGAAAAGAGAGAGAGTGTTTTTGTGCGCGTGAAGAATATATCTTTCGCGCTTCTCTCATCTCTGCTCGATGATGAAGATGGCGTCGTCCTCTTCTTCGTCGTCGTCGTCGATGATGATGATGATGATAAAAACGACGACGTCGTCGAAAAGAGATTCAAAAAATGTGTTTACCACTCATCATCATCAAAAGCAAAGAGGAAGACATCATCATCATCATCATCGAGTAGCGGCGATATCCTCCTCTTCTTCTAATAAGAATAACGATAACGGAGGAGGAGAGTACGATTACAAGCAGTTCATGCCGATGAAAGAAGGAGAGCAAAACGAAGAAGTGTTACAATCCACGGACGAGGAGAAAATGGGCAGAGCTGCGCAATACATGAGAGAGTTGATAAAGAGACAAGTGAGATCGAACGACTTACCACGAGCTGGATCGCTCACGGACTCGACCGTTTTGAGAAGGAAAGGTAGATTAAAAGAGCAAGACGCTTTGATTGAGTTCATGGTCGAAATGCACAAGACGCACACGACGGAAGAGGTTATGCTAAAAGTAGAAGGATGGATCGATGAAACGCTGCAACTCCCGAAAGAACGCAGACAGTTCACGAGATTGCACAAAATGGTCCCACAGGTTGGATACTTTTTCCACTCGTTACCGCTTACGAAAGCGTTGAAAGAGTACGACGAGTTTTCGCATTTGACGAAGAGACAGTACGTTTTGCCGAACTTTGCGGAGATCAGACATATTTTGAACATAGCGCAGGTGCACGTCTCGGCGAAGGACGTGAGGCTGGTTACTTTCGACGCTGACGGGACCTTGTATCAAGACGGGAAACATTTCGAAGACGACAATAAAATGATTGATAAGATTATTCAGCTGATGGAGTTAGGAATTCACGTCGCTATTGTTACCGCGGCGGGATATCCAGGGCAGCCGGAGAAGTTTGAGGAAAGAACCAGAGGTTTGTTGGACCAGTTCAAAAAGCAAAAGTTACCGCCAAACATCACGAAGTATTTCCACGTCATGGGTGGCGAATGCAACTATTTGTTGAACGTGAACGAAACTTATGGGCTTCAATTCGTGCCAAACGAGGAATGGGCGACCGTAGAGCAGTACGGATGGAGAGAAGGGAAGGATTTGCAAGCTTTTTTGGACAGAGCGGAGATTTTCTTGACGAGATACTCGAGATATTTAGGCGTAGACTGCGACGTTATGCGTAAAGAATACGCGGTCGGTGTCATCCCAACCACGGATACTATCTACGAAAATCTCGAAGAGTTGGCGTTAGCTGCGCAAGCGGAGTTGTCGACATCGGATATTCCGTTTTGTGCGTTCAACGGAGGTAACGACGTGTTTGTAGACGTAGGAAACAAGCACATCGGTTTGCAAGCGCTCATGAAACACTTGAAGGTGAAAGGATCACAAACTTTACACGTAGGGGATAGATTTACGCTAACCGGTAACGACAGTAAAGTGAGAGAATCGGCGTCGATTTTATGGGTGGCGAACCCGGACGAGACGACTTTTTTCATGCGTTTGTTATACCGAGACATCTTGAACGCCCGCGTGCTTTGAAGCCTTAGTTGTTTTTTTATGGGGATGCTGCTGATTGTAGAAATGCGCGATACATATTTCATACACAAATAATGACTGCTACATAGATGCTTTTATATTATATAGCTATGTTTGTTTACGAGCCCGAGGCTTCTTTCAAGCTTTGCTTCGCGAACGTTATTTCTTTGCTTACTAACTGAACTTTTCGTTCGAGAGCGCCGAGCTCTTGCGTCAAAATTGTAATTCGACGTTTCCAATATTTTTCCAAGTTTGCGTCGCTATCTCCAAACACAACAACGAACGGATACTTCGCGACGTACCAGAGCTTTTGTGCACAACTCGCGCACATCGCTAAGAGCGTCCACGCTACGACTACAAAGAGCACAAACATCAACAAATTCTGAAACGTAAACAACCCGAAGAATTTCATCGCCAGTTCCTTCGTGCGCCGCGCGCCGGATACGAGCTTATCCTTTGTATTTTTCTGCGTGGACAAAGAAGTAGTGGTCTGGTGCGTAGTTGTTGAAGCTGGCTGCATGGTATCGTCCGAATCTTTTCCTACTGACGGATAGAGCATGCTAAAAACGGCATCGCGCGAACCTTCTGGGATTTTCACCTTGGTCACGTCGATCGAAAATCGTTTCGACAACCTTTCCAAGAACGTCGCGCTTTTCTCTTCGGACATTGCACTACTTTTACTATTCGAACTGTTGTTTAATACGTCTTTAGCGGCGTTCAAGAACACTTCGGCACTTTCTTTGGTCTCCGAGAGTACCGACGATTGAATCACAGACTGTAAATACGTATATTTTTCAAACAAAACGTGGACGTGAAACGTAACTTCGCATCCGTTCATTTTACGATCGCCCTCGGTGAAAAGCGGAACGCAATTCCATTTGGATTCCACGGAGAAGTAATCTCCGTACGGGATATCGAGTTGAACTTGCGAGTAACCAATAATTAAATTATCGTCCGGGTAGAGTTTATACGTTTGCGTCTGCACGCATCGCGTCTCTTTAGGACCGAAAGTTGAATTTACCGGTGCGACAAATTTAACGTCCCGTGAAAACCCATAATGAGAGTGTTTTGCCCACTCCGTGCACGAGAAATTCGTCTGACCAGACGCTTTTGATTGCGCGAGAAAGAACGTGTTCGTCGCCGAGTTTGAAAAGCACGCTTTGAAGAATTCTTTGGGGGTGCAATCGAATTTTGCGCTCACCAATGCTTTACCGTATTCATCGGGTATTCTCGCGCTCTCGTCTTTCCCATCAACTTCAGGCAACGTTTGGATACTCGGTATCTCGCCAAAGTCATCGGATTCAATTTCGTTCTCAACTTCTTCTCTATTCTCTCCTCCTTTTTCTGTTTCTTCTTCCTCTTTATCAGTGATGGAATCTGACGTTCTCGCGCGTCTCTTCTCGGAAGTGGCTTCGTTTTCCTCAACAGTATTCTCTCCGGTAGCCGCGGTATTGTTTGAACTCAGATCATCGGTGTTATCTTCCACAGATTCGCGACGTTCGCCCGTTCTTCTTCGTATCCTGAGTGATTTCATTTGTTCGTGCGTGAGCTCTGAATCCAGAACTGGCGTATTCGTCAAGCTTTGATTGCCGAGCATGTTGATTATTTTCCTCTCCTCGGAGTTATCCTCCGTATCGGATTGATCGGAATCTCCGAGTTGCGCGAGCATTTGTTGTTCCTCCCTCCGTCTCAACGTCGCGTCAAAGTCCATGGAATGGTGCCCTCGATGTCCTCTGAAGAGTCTACCGTAATCACTACTCGTTCTCCACTGCTGTTCGAGAAACTTGAACACTTTTTCCGGGAAAATAAAACTCGTGAAAAATTCTCTCTTCCCGCCTTTGTGCACAATATAAAGCGCGTTGTTGAAAATACCCGCCGTTTTCGCTTTTTCCATGAGCGTCACATCTTTGAACGGAATGCGTTTCTGCTTTTGATATCCGAACACGCTCGAATAGAAACACACGAAATTGTTGAAGACGTACATCCGTCCTTGCAACAAAATTTTCTTGTGCAACGCGCAAAGGAATTCGTCCAACAGCTCCTCGTCCGACGGAAGCTTGAAATACTCTCGCAGCCTCTCCACGCGAGTCATCTTCTTCTTCTTCTTGCTTTCGCTCTTCTTTTCTTTTTCTTTACTCTCTTCTACTTCTACTTCTACTGTTTCCTCTTCCTCTTCTTCTTCTTCTTCTTCTTCTTCTTCTTCTTCATCTTCTTCCACGAGCGTGTGATCTGGATTTTCGTAGAGTATCGAGGAGCGCATCCCTTCCTCGTCGTCGCGCAATATTCCCGCATCATCATCATCATCATCATCATCAGAGATAACATAGCTTTCTTTCTTGAGCATATATTTTTCTGTCGATAATCTTCTGTTCAATTTTCCTCCTCCTCCTCCTTGGTTATCGTCGTCGTCGTTCTTCTTCTTCTTCGACAAAAACTCGCTCGAAGAAGTCGTCTCCTCTGGGCTCGAATTGTATGAATAACTCGTCGTCGAGGTCGTCGTCGTCGGCGACAAAACGCTCCGGCGACGAAGACGATGTTCTTCTTCTTCTTCTTCTTCTTCTTCCGCTTCTTCACCTCTCTTCTTCTCCTCTCGCACAGGCGGAGACGGTTTTATCGGCGACTGGAAATCTACATCTGATAAAGAATTTTCTTCCGTCTTCTCATTCTCCAAATCCTCCTCCTCGTTGTTTATGTTGCTGTTGTTGTTAAACCAGAAATCCATTTTTATCTCTCAATAATTGTGAGTATTCGAATCTCCTCGTTCTTCTTCTTCCGCGATGAATGAATGATGCCACTAAATCAGTAGTCTCTGTTGCTTCTCTTCCTCATCCTGTTCATCATCTTCAAATTGATTTGATTGCGGGTGTGGGGTAAAGAGTTTGTATGCTTTTTTTGTGCTGCCGCTCCTTTTTCAGCTTTTTTTTTCTTCTCTCATCACACCGCAGTTCTACTTTCCTCATCATATCCAGGACACGTGTGCATTCTATTCTCTGCGAGAGACAATACCATCCCACACGTGTAATAATAATATATATATAAATAATGTTTGCATTGCGAGGCGTCCCGGTCTTGAGGGTCGTGCGGGCATCTTCTTCCTCTTCTTCCTCTTCTTCTTCAAAACCTGCGAATAGAAAAGAAAGAAGAAAGATGGAAAGAGAGATGACGACGACGACTTTGAACACGGTGGAAAAGAGTGAGATGAATTTATCGTCGGAGAACGACGAAAAGGAAGAGGAGACGACGATGGAGAGCAGCAATAATAATAACAACAACAACAACAACGTCAATTTCAAATTACAGAAACCAAAGAAACGAAAAGTGAACAAAGAGACGTACAACGACGTGGTAGAAAAGAGACGAAGAGAGTCTCAAGAAGCGAGAACGATGAACGAAGCTTCGACGAGCTCGTCGTCTTTGGTGATTCCGAGCAGAGACGACGTGGTGGCTTCGTGCACGTCGACGTCGACGTTGATTTTAATGCTCGGGTTAGGAGCACGATTTGTCGTTCCGAAACTCGCGGAGATGAATCCACTGACGCTCGGTTTGATTAAAGACGGCGTGGATTGGAAGCATGCGTGTTTAGCGTCCGCGTTGGCGGTTGGCGTGACGGCGGGGAGAGTCGCTTTTATGTCCGCATCGGAGGATTTCAGGAAGGAAACGAATGATTCGAATAAACAAGTTTTGACGAATTTAGAGTTTCCAGACGTTTTGTTTTGCGCGGCGTACCCCGCTTTGGCGGAGGAAATGCTCTTTCGCGGGGCTTTAATGCCCGCGTTGGGCGGAGGGGCGGTGGGCGTCTTGGTCGCGGGCACGGTTTTCGGCGCTTTGCACATCAGCGGCGAAAGAAAAGTCTCCTTCGCGGTGTGGGCGGCTACGGTTGGGATTTTATACGGGGCGACGTGTGAATATCTCGCCGACGGGGACTTGTTCGTGCCAATTTGTGGACACGCTTTAGCGAACATATACTCGGCGTTGTTGTGGAGAGCGAGCGAGTCGGAAAGAGGCTTCGAGTATAAGTAGCCACAAATAGCGTACCCAGTAATAGAGAAAAATAATTATTTATACTGTGTAAAGTTGAAAATGATAATGTGCGTTGATGCATTAAACTGGTATGAATACGTTTTCTTCTACTCCGCGTGCGGGTGAGCTGCGGCTTGCGCTGCGCGTCTCCTTATCAATTCTTGTTCGGCGACGTACCGTCTAGATCTAGAAACTGTTCTTCGCACCGTAATCGCATCCGCCACCCAAATCAACAACATTCCGCTCACCACGGGTACTGACAACGCCATGAACAAAATCTGCGTGTCCGAGTAATCCTTTGAGAATTGCGAATACATGCCTTTCAATACGCCGGGCACTTTGTGCACCAACCCAAAAATCTGTCCGAACCAGTTATTCGCCGTCTTGTGCCACGGTTCTGGTTTCACCTCTCTCCAACCTTTTCGGCAAAAGTGCGTCAACTTCTCCACGCTTCGCTCGCCTGAATAAAAGCGCATTTTATTCTGGTGCAGCAAGATAATCGTCGGAAACCCTTTGTTCGCGCTCAATCGATTCGCTAACGCGCGCTCTTTCTCCCCGTCGATTTTCCCCACGTACACTTCCGATTGTAACTCTCGCGCGAGTTCTCGCCAGACCGGCTCTAACTGTTTGCAGTGAACGCACCACGTCGCGTAGACGTCTATTATCACCGGCAACTGCTCGGCAGTTCCTTTGTTGACGTACTTATCAAAATTACTATCGTTGAGTTCGATGACTTCACCGTTCGGTAATCCTAGTTTCGGTTGTTGTTGTTGTTGTTTTGATTGTGGTTCTTCTCCAAACGCGAAAGTGGTCGCGAAACAGAAACACAGAAGAAACGCGAGAAGAAGAAAACGCATTGTCTTCTTCGTCGTCGTCGTCGTCGTCCTGTTCCTCGTCATTGTCATCATCATCTGATGCTTCTGGTGCTGTTTGTTGCTCTCCAATGAGTCCCGCGATTGTGACTGACGACGATGGTGTCGTGTAAAGTTTTCTTTTCCTCTCTCTCCTCTCTCTCGTCTCTTCATTCTCGGTCGGTTGATTTTTTCCCGCCACAAACAACAAAACCAAGACAACACAACAACAAAGAAAAAATGAAGCGTCGCGCGATCGATCCAAAAATGGATGAGTTTTACCTTTTTTTCCTCTGAAAAAGAGGAAAAAGTGGACCAAATGTCGAAGATATTTTCTTTTTTCCTTCTTTTTTGGTTGGACTCTGGAATATCTTTTTTTTTCCTCTCTCGCGCCATTTTCCACCGTGTCCTCATAACTTGACTGCATCAAAACACGCGCTCGCGAACACATACAATCAAAAACGAGCGAAGAGTTTGAGAGTGAGAGTATATTCTCGCATAAATTTTACATCGCACGCGTCGCGATCAGGTTCTTTGTACTTGAAGAAGCGCGCGCGGTGAAAATTCACAAAGACGAATAAAAAGAGTTTTCGTTCTCACGTTAAGACGACCAAGAAGTAATTTTACTCATAAAGGGGAGATCGATTGTTCTCGGTCGAAGGCGCGTGAGGATACGTAATGGCTGCTAAACGCCCGGACGGGTTTAAAAAGTCCTCCTCGAGCGAGGAGTTCAACAAGAACAAGTTAAACGCGCAAGCGAGCTTGCACAAACCGAACACGTTGGGGTACGAATCCGACACTAACGTGGTGCCTTCTCCAGCGCTTCAAGCGAACAATGAGAATTTAAAAACAACAACCGAAAGAAAGAAAGGTACGTTCTTTTATGCGTAGCCTCGCGCGCGCGGATCGAGACGCTCGTTTTCCCGCGCACGAGAAACAAAGACGGTTCGAGAACAGATCTGTCCTCGTTTTTGCCGTTCGCGTCGCGCGCGTCCCGCCCGCGCGCGTTAATTCTTTATCTATTTTTTCCTCCACCCACGTCTGTTCGTATCCGTCGCTCGTTTTAGATTTTTTCTCGCTGGAAAAAGTTGACTTTTCGGCGTGTCGTTTCGACTTTTTCCAGCGAGCGAGTGGCTTACGATGACTGAGAGGCAAACCGACTGAACGAGAGGCTCACGACGAAGAGGAATTTTTTTTCAAACTGAAACTCACCAACACGAAAATTTCTCACATCATTTCTCATCATCAGGCGTTTCCTGGACGGAAGAAGAACACAGATCGTTTCTGATGGGCTTGAACTCGTTAGGCAAAGGCGATTGGCGCGGGATATCGAGACACTTTGTGCAAACGAGGACGCCGACGCAAGTAGCTTCGCACGCGCAGAAATATTTCATACGACAACAAAATACGCAAAAAAGGAAACGAAGAGCGAGTTTGTTTGATATTCAGCAAGGGCATGGAGATGGAGCGACGACGTTTGTGGCGCAACAAATGTCCGGAGGATCGCAAAATGGTGGATCCGATGCAACTATCGCGACTGCAGCTTTGGCCAAGGGGAGTAAGGGGAGCAACAACAACGCGACGTCGTCGTCGTTGACGAAGATGTTGAAGAATAACGGGAACACCAAAGGATCACAGAACGATAAACTCAATTCGCGCGAGGAGGAGTCAATGCGAACGTTAGCGGACATGGTTTTGACGCACGACGCGAGACAACAGAAAAATGACACGACAAAGCAACAGAGACAACAAAAACAAAACGATTCGGCGATTTTGCAACAGCAGCAGCAACAACAACAACATCAAAGGTTTCTTCAGGAACAAAAGGAGTATGCGAACGGCCATCCGATTGCGGGCCAATTTTACGGCGCTCAGTCGCCGCCGCAGACGATTCCAATGACGAGTCCGTACTACTACAATCCAATGTTTGCGCCGACGCACTCGTTCGTGCCTCCGCACGCCGCTTCGCCGACAGAAATGTCAATGTTTCCACCCATGGATCCCTCTCAACAACAACAAAACATGAATGATTGGATGGCACAAATGCAGCGCAATTCGGTTGCGTATCAACAACAGCAGCAAATGGCAATGGCGTCGGCGATGGCTGCCGGGATTCATCCTTCCATGTGGACCGCGCAATACAACATGCTGTTGTCGGGCCAAAATCCAGCGGTGATGGGGATTCTGCGACCGAGTTCGCAGTCCGCGGAAACGCAATCTACGGCAGAAACGAAGGAAAAGATCAAAGGTGGAGGACCCGATGCTGCTCGGATGAAGGTGTCGGATTCGTTTACTTCGTACCAAGGCCGGGATTCTCCAGTCGACGCGGCTGGTTTATACCGACCGGTTGCTGGGTACCCGTCGAGAACGGAATGGCTGGGAGCAACACCTTTGCCGCAAAAGAGTATTCCAGTGCCTGCATCGACCAATGCAGCGGTGGAACCTTGAAGAGTACAACATGATAATAGTACTCGTAGTACCAATGGTACTGAAATTAATAATATAAATGTGTATAAGTTTGAGAGAGAGAGAGAGAGTATGAGAGAGAAGTGAGAGAGTTTTTGTGATGAGCGAGAGGTGAAACGATTGTATAAAAATCGAAATTTATTTTGTATATTAGAAAGATACGGCTATCGCGTCTGAGAAGAGTGAGTGAGAGAGAGTGAGAGAGAGAGAGAGAGAGAGAGAGAGAGAGATTTTAAGTGAGAGAAAGAGTGAGAGAGAAGAAGCGAGAAGAGAGTGTATGATTTTGTGTAAATGAGCAAATATTATGGAAGCGAAAAAAAAGGAAACATAGTTTGAAAACCAACGCCCACATGTTGTAATATTAATTTGCGTGCAACCCTGTGTTCCTATTCATTGATTTATCTAGTATTTGTGTTTTTCTCTGAAGTCTTTATGCTCCAAATATCACCATCCATTCTCTTGGTGGTGCGCTATCGCTCGACGAAGACTCGACTCTGCCGATGTGCGCGAATACTCTCTCAGTGGACTTCCTAGATGATCTCGGCCGTTAAGGTCCACTCGCAACGGCCCCGCTCTTCCTCCGGGGCCAAATTGTGTGGTAACGACCACTTTTGGGGCGGTGAGCATGTTCAATCGAACCATTCGCATTATTTCAGATATTTCGAAGTCGGGATCGTACTTTCCCCCTGCAAGAAGAAACTCCGAGCATACAGCTCCTCCGATCGTGACGTTCCCGGTATATTGCAACATCCTTGGCGAAACGACGCGAATCATCGGTGGCTCGACCGGGTATCTCGAGCTGAAATTCAATTCCATGTGTATTTTGCCGTCTCCTCCAAAGCGTCTCTTCAGTTCTGCCAGGTCTTCTCTTAAGAGTTGCGCATCTGATGTGTCTTCTACAAAGTCTCTCATTTTCATCCTCCAACAGCACACGTTATCGTGCGGAAATAAGCAAACTTCATCGACCACGCTCGTCTCATCTCTCTGCAGCTTCTTGAACTCTTGAAGGAGGCGCGAACTCATGCTTTTAAAGAAGATGTGCGCGAGCGTGTGCGTTTATTGAAGACGACGTGCGAGTATTTTTTGGAGATTGGAAAAAGAAAAAGATACGACGAAGACTTCTTAAAACATCAACTGTTCGTACGAACTATTAACAGTCATGGAAATTTCTTCCACTCTCGCTAAGATGGCGACTCGATCGCTTTCGTCCAGATATTTACCGTATTTTGCGGTGAATTTATCCGGGTGCCATCGTAAATTAGCGCGTCTGAACGCTTTCTTATAAATCTTCTCAGCCGCGGCTACTTTTCTTTGGGCGCCCTTACCCGGCTCCAACTCTTCTTCTCCTTCTTCCTGTTTTTGGCGCATCTCAAACGCAGCCATGTGCTGCAAAATATCTTCCGATGGTGGCCACGGAACGTTGCTTATTGTAATCGTCTTTTGTTCTTCTCCTGCCTTTCCTCCTCCTCTGTAAGTACTCGCAGTATCAAACTCTGTCCATTTTCGTTCGTGATCGTCCCAGTCGATATCCTGTCTGGTAAAACATTCCGCGTCGTCTAAATATTTACACAACGTTTCAGCCGCCATCTCCGCGTTTCTTATTCTCTCCTCGTCTTCTTCTTCGTTCAAAGCGCTCTCTATCGTTAATTTCTTCTTCATTTCAACCATTTCTTGGTCCAAATACACTCTCATTTCCTTCTCTCGTTGGATTCGTATCAGCGTATCTCGCTCTCGCTCGACTTGCGTGAATAACTCTCGCTTTCGTCGAATGTCGTTGAACCGCATGCGTCTGGAATTTTCTAAGAGTATATCATCAGCCGCTTTATTTTTATCGGTGTCATCATCGTCATCATCACTCGTATCATCATCGTCGTCAGAGGAGGAAGACGAAGATGAAGTGCTCGTTTGTCTGCCTCTCTGTGCATCATCAATATCGTCGTCATAAGGTCGAGATCGCGCTCTCTCTCGTCCTCTTCTTCTCAGAGGATTGATGCGTTCAAACTCCTCCTCCTCCTGCTCGACATCATTTTTCTTCTTCTTCTTCTTCTTCTTCTTCTCTGAATTCGTCGTTGCTGTCTTCATGCCTATTATTTATCTAGCTATTATCGATCGATCGATCGATCGATCGCGATCGATGATGCCTTCCTTCCTTTCTCGCTGTGTCGTCGTCGTCGTTCGTTGATGATTTGTCTTTTTTTCTCTCCCCTAAAAGCGAGCGTTTTTTTTACTTTTTCTTCTTTTTTGTTTGCCGGAATCTCTTCCACACAACATAAAGGAAAAGCTTTTAGAGCAACGACACAACAACAACAACGCGCACAAACACTCTGCGCGATTCAAAGCAGCGCGGGGCGAAAAAAGAGCGAGCGAGACTAGAGTACTACTGGTAAAAGTAGCGCACACCACGCCGTAATACTAATAATAACAAAAGAAGCACAGAGAGAGAGAGAGAGTGAAGAGCATTAAAATAAGATGTCGTTGTATAAAGTGGACTTCAAACCGAGCGCTTTAGCGCGATCGATATCGAAAGATACGACCAATCAACACGCCAATCCTCCCGGATTTAATAGCAATAACGGAACGAAGACGACGAGCGAAGGCAGCGGCGGTAGTGGTAGTGGTGGCACGAACGATGGTAAGAAAGGAAAACCTCCAATCGTTCCAAAAAGAGATGAAGAGAAGATGCGACAGTTTAGAATACGAAACGCGTATAAATTCGCGCAGAGTTCGTTTTCGGGGGTGATGATGACGGGAGTGATGATGTGGTTCACCGGAAACGGGATTCAAATTTTTAGCATTATGGTCACTTTCAACGGCTTATTCCAACCGATTAAAGCTATATTAACGAGTGGGAAAACTTTTGAACGTTTCGGCGATAAGAACACCGACGTGACGACGCCGCGGTTGATGTATTGCGTGATACAGTTGATGGGTTTAGCGTTAGCGTTGAGAAAGTTGAACGCGATGGGTTTGTTGCCAACCCATGCGAGCGATTGGTTGAGTGGATTGAAACCTCCCGTGTTTTACGAGAGAGCCTACGGTGGCACGGAAATGTAATATCATCAATATATATTTTTCTTAAAAAGATCTCTTCTTCTTCTTCTTCTTCTTCTTCCTCTTGAAGTATCTTCTTCTTTAATTTTCAAAACATTGCACACGCTCTCTCTCTCTCTCTCTCTTTCTCTTTCTCCTTCTCTCTCTTTGGTAAGAGCAGCGTCCTTAATACAGTAATACTAATAACAATAACAATAATAATAATAATAATATGAGTAACTTAGCCACCACTCGTTTAGCGCAAGAGAGAAAAAACTGGCGGAGAGACCATCCGTACGGTTTCGTCGCAAAACCAGAAACAAGGAACGGAACGGTCGACCTCATGCAGTGGAAGTGCGTGGTGCCTGGAAAGGCAAACACGCCTTGGGAAGGCGGAGAATTCCCGATTACGATGACGTTTCCGAAAGAGTATCCCGTGAAACCACCGAGAGTGATGTTACCGAGAGGGTTTTTCCATCCGAACGTGTATCCAACGGGATTGATTTGTTTATCGATTTTGAACGAGGAGAAAGGGTGGAAGGCGTCGATTTCGGTGAAACAAATATTAGTCGGGGTGCAAGATTTGTTGGATAACCCGAACAACGACGACGCGGCGAACTCAGCGGCGTATTCAGCGTTGAAGAAGAGCAAGGTGCAGTACGAGAAAAGAGTTATAGAAGAAGTTAAGAAGTATTCGAAGAATTACGTGATGGACGACAACGACGTCATCGTGATGTAACTCACGCACACGCGTAAAAGCACGTGTGTTATATCTGCAAACACACGACTGAATTCAATTTTTCTCTTCATAATAGCTATAGCCGTGTATTACAATGAACGACTTTCTAAAATATAGACTAATTCTAAGAATGATTGTACCTAGGTACAAAAACTAATGCTCGATGAATCGTCTTTGCGGTCTTTCTGGTTCCGCGTCGCCTCTTTCCGTTCTCGTAAACTCAAACAAGACCGTAGGACTTCTATAGATTCTAATCAAGAGCCAATACAGACGCTCTTCCAATAAGTGTTCTCCTGCGTTACGCATGACGTATATATCTTCACACAAGGCGGTCAAACGCCTGGTACACGGCAAATCTTGGTGTGGAATTTTCGTGACTAAATTTGAAGTCATCCCTCGAATGAACGTGCCGATGGCTAAAATGTACGCAACATACATGCCGGTAAGACCACCTACGATTTTGGAAAACTGCGCAAACGCACCGGTAGCGACCTCACTTGAGATTAAGATAATCTCCGGTCCCGAACCGGTATCTTTACACTGCTCCCAAAATATGTTATCGCCTGAATTTAATTTGACATTGACGCCACATCCTACGCTCCACCAAGGTTGAGAAGTGTTCAATGCGTTCAATTTAAACGAGCAATCGACGAATTGATTGGTGGAAATTTCTAGCACTGGATCTCCTTTGCCAAGGACTCTCCAAACGCGAGGATATAAACCTTTAATGAGGACCGCATCATCATCTTCACCGCTGATCATTTTCCTCAATTTCTCCGCTTCTCTTTCTTGTAAAACGACCGATCTTCCACCAGCCGTTACTAATCGATTATCCAAAGGTAACGCGCGGCGGAAATTCCAATACGTTAGAATTTCAGTCCCAGCAACGATAGAATTCGAAAAGTCTTTCATTGCTGGAGGCGGAAGAGCCCAAATTTTATCTGAGTCGGGCGATAAGCACGCGTCCTGAATTTGATTCGGGTGGCGCACGGGAGGCGGGGTAACAGAATCGGTATTCAAGCTCATCCACTCCTCGGATTGAATGGTTCTTCGATTACCGCCGGCGAACACTTCAAATGCGGACGAACCACTCGGTGATACGAACGTGATGTTCATCCGAGTCTCTAAAACTGGGTTTGGTCCCACTTGCGGATTTGAAGTTGAAAACACAAAAAACGGCACGACCAAAGCCGCGAACAAAAGAACGAAAAGACCGCCGCCTTCCAAGTATACTTTTTTCCACGTTGGTTGAGGCTTCCCGAACGGATACCGCTTGTAATACGTCTTATTCCGAATATCAATTTCGAATAAGCTTCGGTTGATGTCTTCGAGTTTCAACCAATCGAATATATCTAAACTCGAGGCTGTGCACGCAAAGTCTAACAAAACTTTGAGCTCGTATAAAAACGGTATCGAGTAATAAATTCCAAACAGAATCGAGGCAAACTCCTCATTGCGCCTTTTTAACCATCGTAAACTTTCGTTCACAACTACTGGAAATCCACACCGTAGCTGCCGAGCGCTCGTTGCGAACGATAGGCATTTGATGAGGAAGAATACTCGCAACGCTTCATGGTTCGACGTCGTGGACTTGTGATATAAAATGAGCAGCCCGGTGGTGTAAAACGCAAAAGTGGTGTAATGATAAAACACTTTCGCTGCTTTCGCTCTCTTCAGATATATCACCGCATCGACGAGTAATAAGACCAGAATAAAGAACATCGTGAAGACATAATCTTGCGGAAATAATCCTTGACTGACAGTTTCAATCAATGCTTGCGGATCAGCCTCGATGCTGGATTGATAAAAGAACAATGCGAATAACGCCGCGATGATATCCACCGTGGCAGTTATTCCGTAAAAATTCTCCGGTTCGCGATGAAATGCCCGCACGGAAGTGATTCCGGGTAAATCGGGCATTACATTTTCTCCTTTATCCTGTAAACCAGCCGATGCTTCCCTGAGTTGCAATTTCTTCACTCCATTGGCTGCATCGGCGGCGGGAGTCAAAATAGTCAGTGGAGCGACAACTTGGAACACAGCCGTACGGTGCCCTTTTTGATGTAAAGTACCCTTCACATCGGTCTCGACGAGATCGAGCGAGTAGTAGTCAGCGTTGTTTGCGTTCTCGAAGTCTTGCAACTGTAAAAGAGCAAAGTTCAAATCGTTCCCTATTTTTGTCCAATCGTCCTCGGTATGATCTTCCGTATCCAAAATTGAAATTGATAAGAAGGAAGGCCCAAATTCAGTTTCATCCGTGAGCAAGCGCTGGAAGAACGTGTCCAGATTTCTCGAGATATTTTGGAATGAGTCTCTGGAGTACATGTAATCATTTCCGCTACGTCTCAAGTTTTCAAAATCAGGTAACGTTCCTCTTCTTCCTATTCCATATCGACTTCGAGGCGACATTTCTTCCATTACTGCTTCGTCCAAAATATTTTCAGAATTTTCGACAATCTCATCTTCAGTAGGCACATATGTGCTACTCAGCCATGTATCGTAACGTGGCTTTAGCTCGTACACTCCACCTTGGCCAAATGAATGCAGTAACGTTGCGAAGTATGCCAAAAACAATGGTAAAGTAGACACCACGAATGGTTGAGAGAAATCCGGCACGCCTATGATGTTGCTCTGGCCGCAAAGCTTCCACGAAAAGCACGCTTTCGAGCATGGAATGCTTAGAATATAGCTCAATACGATGACAGTTTCGGAGTATCGGAGCATAAATCTCCAAAACTTCGGACCCGGTTTCGGTGATGCTATCAAAGCTGCGCAAACCAAAGAAGTTGGATAGACCACTGTAATTAAAGAAAAATTCATCGCGAATGCGAGAAAATAGAAAAAGTACACCAGAGAACTTTCTGGTGCGCTTACCCAAGGCCAAATATCAATTATTCCTGCGACTATGAAGCCAAAGACAGATCTTCTATCGCCTCTGATGAATTCATCAACCAAGTCTTCGAGTTTTTCCTCATCTTCGTTATTTGCATCTTCCTTCACATCACTCGCCACGCTTTCACCGCCACCGCCGGCATACGTCTCAGAATCTTGAATAGTGTCTGAGCCTGCGAATGATCTATCGATGCCTTCCCACGGCGTTTCTCGAGGCGGTGTTTTGGCTTGTTCTTCAACCCAGTCATCAATCTTAGGTCTGGCACCGGCAACTTTGCGATGACGAAGCTTTGATTCAGAGATACTCGGTGTTTTTACAGATCTGTCATCCTCGCCGTCACCGTTGTCTTCATCTTTGCTTTGTTTAACGGCTTCTGACGATCTATCCTTTTGCTGCATATTTTCTAGACGTACAACTTCAAGCGAAAGGTTCTGAATGTCATTGCGAATCTCTTCGACGCGTTTATGTCTATCTTCTCGCTCTCGCATAGCCTTAAGACACTGTAAATAATACTTTCTTACCCGTTTCCACGTTTCCGCCTTATCACCTGTTTTAGTTCTCGAACGTGCCTGACGATCCATCTCTAACACGGCAGCATACTCGTGAGAACTGATAAGATATCGCAAACAGGACATGGTCGCGAAAATGAATAGATCTGGTCCAAGCTGTCCGGCGTCAAAACCAAGAACAGAATCTACGCGATAAAATCCAATCAGGTGCAACAAAGAGCACAGAGTGTTTTCACGATTTGCAAACCAAACACCCACAAGACTCTCAAATGGAGCTTGATATGCCAGGACAGATCCCATTATCAGTAAATTGTATCTTTTCATCCAAACGAGCAGCTCATCTACTCTATCCCACGTTCGATTTTTAAGTATACTGACGGAGAGAATCAGGTACCCGGCGTGGATGACGTCATTCATACACGTGCCAGCTACGATGACGAGGATAAAAGCAGCCTCTCTAGAGTAACGCACAATGTAATATCTCGTCCAATCTAGTATCGTCCAATTCGATGTTGCTTCCCACGTCAGAGCTGAGAATATTTTTAGAGTGGGATCACCGGGGCGTCTCGGAAGTAACGCCAACTGCGTTGGCGTTCTTCTTGGAAGCATCAAAGTTGCCGCTTCTGTAATCTGATGTTCTTCAAGATCTGGATTTTCCGCAATGACAGCAGTTCTTGCGCGTTCTTCCATAGAAGCTAATACAGAGTCCATTCTGAGTTGACACGCAGCTACAAAGAAGGCAAGAAAATGTCCGAGCAACATGTATTTAGAGCGTTTCACCAGACCAAACCAAACAAGTAACTCATCTGTTTCATACTCGCGCTCAGATTTTCCGAGAGCAGCATCATCGCTGCTGCTATTATTACCACTTGGAGATGGAGGGGTTTGTGGCATTTCAGAGAAGTCGTCTTTTCCGTTATCTTTGGGATATTCTCCCATGGATGCTATGTACTGCCAGAATAGCGCTACGCCACAGACGAAGGATACTAATTTCCATACTTTCAATCGATTGCTCGGTGCGGTGAATACTTGCTCTTTCTCCATCATTTGGAGCATTAAGCCCAAGTAAACGAGTGAAAGAACATTACCAGACGCAATACCGACGGTACCAAAAACTACATACGCTAGACCAGGCATCAATAACGCCAATGCCCCTTCCACGAACTCAGGTAAAATGAAGAAGAGAGAATTCAACTGGTCGATCGATGTTCTCGCTTTCTGAAACAACAGCCGCTTAGCTCTTGCTCTTAACGACTCTGATCTATCGCCCGATAAGTAAGTTTCTGAATAAGTCGTAGTGGATGTTCCATCTTCTGAATTTACATCTTCAGATACGAGCTCGTGGTCGTCGGGAATAGAGTCCATCCTTCGAAAAGGGGTCCTCTTAGTTATGGTGGATCGCTTCAGAGCTGCACTTCTCGCCTCTGGATTCCGCGGTGGCCAAAACAAATGGCACAGTTCTGGTGCACAACCTGATTTCAAGGCTGGTGGTAACTTAACGAGCCAATTTCTAGAAATTCGGCAAAATTCTACAGCAACCAAAACAAAAACGGGCCAAAGTAGCATTCTTTCGTTTCGCGGCCATATTGCTTCTTCTTTCATTGGATCAACTTCTCGTAATGGATAATATTGCGCTCCAATCCAAGACATTGTATCTTCACTATCGCTGAGCGCTCTGTGTATCCAATCAATGTTGTAAGTGTATTCCAAAAGGGCCGAAAGTATTGCAACAGCACCCAAAATTTCACTCGTTCTTGCCAATTTCGGCGAGAATAAAGTACACATCAAAGCAAAAAGCATCAAGCCCCCAATGATATCAACTCCACGCTGAAAGGAGAACCCTAAAGCAACTAGCGTCAAAAATTTATCGCAGTGTAAAATACATATGCGTTTTATCATCGGAATGCGGCCTTTTTGAGTACCGGCGATGACCAATCGAATCGGCTGATCACTTTCCCGTCCCGCCGATAATAGACTCGTTGGCTCATTGCGCAACAATCCGATCCTGTGGAAATGCGTAGCGATTAGTAACAAGCTAGGCCCTAATAAGGACGTCATTAATTTGTTTCTGGGTAAGTTTGGTTCTAATCCAACATTATTTGCCAAGAAGTCTTGCGCCTCAGAATTCATCCCGACCCATCGTGCTAATGGAAATGCTCCAAATGCATATCTCACGGCTAAATTAGCTAAAGCAAAAGTGAACAATGCGCCCCACCGCACGGATCTTCTATTTCTATCTTCAATTGTGTCAAAAGGTACTACGAGCGCTCCTCCGAGAAATAAAAGAAGGGCTAAATTCAAAAGCGAGCATTCATTCGTAAGCACAGTGAATAAACCAATAATCAAAACCGAGTACGCTCCAGTAAAATTCAAGACTCTCTTCGACGATATCCAGAATTCTGAGAGGATTGCACTAATTAATAATTTGATTTTTGGGAGTGCTTGTACCCTTTTACGACGACTGTTCATACTGCTTTCATCATCTATATTAGCGGGAGCGCTCGGATTATTCGATGACGGGTCCATTTCTCCATCCTCAGCGCCCGGGAATAAATGCGACAAAGCACGAATAATTCCCGGCATGTGAATCACAGCTACATCTACAAACAACACTAACGCCATTGGCCACATCGATCTAACAACATCTTCATTCCAAAGTCCAATAATTTTCAGGAAATCTTCAAATTTTGAAAACCTGCGTCTACCCAGAAGCGCCGGTAAGGTGTCTAGAGACCACAAATACATGCACGCGATGAGCATTGCCATAATTCTCGAAGTAAATATCAAAATGCTCGTTTTACCAGGTTTAGCTATTGTAAGTAAGAATAAGCAAAATAAACCAGCGTGGATGATATCGTCCCTGGATAATGCCACGAGCCAAAGAAGGAGCGGGATGAGGAGCTTCGAAGCGAAACTGGCTGCAACACCAGCCCATCCGCTCTCTGAAGGCGTGAACCCATCTTCATCAAAGTCGTAATCGACGTTATCGTACTCTGCATTCACAAAAACAAAAGAAGATGGAAGCGATTCCTCTTGCATGCTCGCCGCTGCTTGCAACGCAGTTTCGTTAGGGGTTCCTCTCGCCAATCGGCTGAAATACGCTAAAATTGTCATCCCGGTAAAGACAGAACCCATCCTTAAAGACCCAATCCAATCATTTTCTTGTCTCGATAGTCCTAAAACGAGGAAGAAACTGTTGTTATCGGTTTCTGGAATCGCTTGCACAATGAATTCGACGAAGGACCACAATGCGACGTAAATCAGAGCCGAAGGCGCGAGCAACTTTGAAAACTCTCTGTGCGTGGGCGGATATAACACGGACATCAGAGAGAAGAGCAGTATCGGAAACGCTAATGCAGAGGGAGCTGTTATGGCAGAAAGTATGATCGCACATGCAGAGATGACCCCGGAAAACTTTGCCAAGAGCCGAACTTGTACGCCGGGATCTTCAAGAGTCGCCTCGCTCGTTTCTCGATCAGAACTTCGCATGTGCGAAATTAGGGGCTCGTCAATATCGTCCAAGCCTTCGGTAATGGACCCATCCTGATTATACTGTACCTCGTCCACGATATCTTCATTCGCGGATGCTTCGCACACGGAAGAAAAGAAACCTGCGATTGTAAATAACTGTAACAATCGCATACCTCGAATAACTGGCCCATCACTACCATCCATGATATACAAACCTATCCAAGAAGCGAAAGTTTTATTTGCACTATCGTGCAATTGAGGGAGCTGATAACACACGATGAGCATAAAGTGCACGCAAGCGTATGCCATCGCTACAACCAAAATAAACGCCGGCGGTCGTACCAGCTTTCGCTTGTCCAAAAGTCCCCAGCTCGTAAGAAATATAGCTGCGAAGAGAAAGTAAGGTATTCCAGTTATAGATGGTACTGCCGCTGCAGCAATACCAGCGGTAAATGCGCATCGAATTAATGCTCTATCACGCAGAAAAAAAGGGTCGACCAAAACCACCCCGTCTTCCTCCGCGTCGATGCCACCGAGTAAGGCCAATTCTCGCTCCCGACTCAAGTGTAATTTCCCCGCAGCTGATATGGCCACGAGGAAGAGAGGCACGAATTCCATCACGTACTCTAAAACCGAACGCAGTTTCACAAAACCGAGCACTCGCATGAGCTCTTCGTGCCATTTTGAATTGGTTTTAAATGCTATGAAGGAAGTCTGTACGACGAGCTCGCCTAGCATTCCAAAAATGGCCAGTCCCAACGCTGCCCACCATATTATCTGTCGCCTCGTGCGGACGATTTCTTGCGTTAGCACTCTGTTCTGGGACCCGGTGATCCTTTCTGCCGCGAATACAAACAGAAACAATATCGACTGTCGTTGATGATCGTTGGAAGGGAGGAAAGAGAGAATATTAAATACAGGTGATGAGTTGGTTTGGATTTTGAGAAGGAGAGAAATTGTTAAGGCGCTTCTCAATTCGTGTGAATCAGCACACACACACACACGCGCGCACAGACGAGAAAACAAAGTAAAAACTACGGATAAATGACGAACGTACCAGTATTGATGGTCTCTGCAGTATCGCGTGCGAAGTTCCCGCGAAGAGCAACGCCGATGACGCTGCCACATTGAACCCGGTCTCAACGAGAGGAAAATTCCCACCCATGACAAAAGAGGGAGAGTTTCTTCTCTTCTGTTCTCCTTCCTTCTCTTCTACTCCTCGGGGGCGCGTTGTTGTTTTTGAACGCCGCTCGATTGGTTATGGTGGTTCATCTTCTTTGTCTTCTTCTTCTGCGATGCGCGTGTGAGAAAGTGTTGTTTGGTTTACTTTTGGCAGTTTGAAACTTTCTCGAAAAACTTTTGGAATTGGGATTGGGCAGTTGGGGGAATTTTGCATTGCAATCAAAGAAACTTCTTTCTCTCTTCAGTTTGTTTGCGCGTGGGCAAATAAGACTCACCACTTTGAATATAAAATAACTATTACACGCATGAAAAAGGAATGACAGCGGGTATTGCACCGAAGCAACATTTCCTCCTGGGGCGTACTCTGTCGTTGGAGGAGGAGAAGAGGAAAACGAATTCCCCTATTTGCTTTGGGAAGAAGAAAACAACAACGACAACAACTCAAGCTTCTGCGTTGTCGCATAATGCACTCGCATCTGTTTCCGTTGCTGTGATGAACAAAGAAAGCATCGCGCTGTTTTGTAATAGTGCGACTGTTCTCGCCGCTCTCGTTTCGTGCGCGTTCGCTGGTAAGATCATGGAAAAGAAAACAAAGTTTGGAGGAGGTAATGCGCTGTGTGCGTTAGTATTCGCGTGTTTCTTGGCTTCGTTTACGCGCGTGTTTTCGTTTTCGACAAACGCGACAACGGTTGTTTTTGATTTCATATGGGATATATTGATGCCTCTGGGAGTGACTTTAGCGTTATTAAACGTGAAAGTAAGCGAATTGGCGACAAAATCCAAGGAAGTGTTACTCGGTTTCTCGTTCGCCTCTGTGGGTTCAATTTTAGGCACCGCTTTATCGTTCGCTCTGTTTTCAAAATCTCTCGGCGTCGGCGCGCTCGGATATAAAATTGCAGCGTGCTTGTGCGCTAGCTATATTGGCGGTTCTTTAAACTTTGCGGCGACGGCAAAAGCGCTCGAGCTGACGAATTCCGCAGAGTCCTCGAGTCTTTTAGCGGCGTCGATGGCAGCAGATAACATGTTGATGGCTGTTTTCTTAGGTATCTTGATGGTTCTACCGTGCAAACCTCCTTCTCCTCTGGCAGTCGACGATGAGGAAGATCAGAGGACTATGAAAGTGAAAGGAATAACTGAGGCAACGCTCGGGACGATCGTTAGTCTCATGGTTGCAACAGGAACTCTGCTCCTTTCTTCACTCCTCGCCAAACTTGCTAGTCTCGGAAACTTCTCGCTCGCGATAACATGCATAATCGCCCCTTTACTAGGTGTTATTCTGAACTCGAAGTTGGATTTTTCTGGTCCCCCGCAGTTTATATCACGCAACATTATGTTGCTGTTTTTTGCGTGCATAGGTGCAGGTTGCAACATATTCACCGCTTCTGCCGTCGGGGTACCGCTCTTTGGTTTCATCGCGGTCCTCTTACTTGCGCAGCTTTTCTTCGCACTTCTTTTCGGCAAAGCTTTTCGCGTGCCTCTTTGGGCAACTTTGATTGGATTGAATGCTAGCGCTGGCGGGCCTGCAACTGCTTTTGCTATGGCAGCATCAAAAGGATGGAATCGAGCTCTGCAGCCTGCCGTGCTCGCCGGTACAATTGGATACGCAATCGGAACTTTGGTTGGATGTTTAATGAGTGAGTTTCTGCGTGTTTTTGCGCCATTGTAAAATGACCGAGAAATATCGGAGTAAGACTAGTGCATAGTTTTGTAGTTTCATAGTAATATGTAGAATCAAATCGCTAAATAGATGTATATTATTATTAGAGTTTAAAGTTATGGTACAAGAGAAACGTTCTTATTTCTTCTTTTCGTTCTTATTTCGCGGTGGCCGCATTCGAGCCCAAGACTGCCTTCGGCGCAGCGTCATTGGCTTGCTCCTTTGAACCCACCGTAAATGCTCCAGGATTGATAGCGACTGTCTTAGTGTGATTCTCAGTTTTGTAAATACCAACCAGACGATCTGCAAGCTCGAACATGTTGTTCCGTAACGAAATAATGATGAACTGAGCATCTTTTGTTCTCTCCTTGATGTAGTGCCCAACGATGGAAACATTCTTAAAGTCCAGGGCTGCATCAATCTCATCCATAACGTACAAAGGTGTGGGCTTATAGTGATGTAACGCAAACACTAGCGCGAGAGATGAGAGCGTCTTCTCTCCGCCAGATAAGTTTGCAATATTCTTCCAACTCTTCTTCGGCGGACGAACGGAAAAGACGATACCTTCAGAGAACGGATCGAGCGAATCGACCAACTCGAGCTCTGCATCACCACCTAAAGTAATCATCTGGTACATTTCTTTTAATTTGATGGAAATTATAGAGAATCCGGCCATGAACTCTTCTAATCTCTTCTTACGCAGCTCATCAAACGTCTGTCGGAACGTGTCTCGCTCCTCCGTGACGGTTTTCAAATCTCCAACTCTCTCTTCGTACTCAGCCAACTTCGCGGCGAACTGCTCGATAGAAGTCATGTCAGGTTTCATTTCTTTTAACTCAGTTTCGATGGCGTTGATCGTTTCGTCGTTACTTTCTGCATTGATGTCACTGAGTTGTTCGTCCGAGACGTTCAAGAGAATCTCGCTCTCATCAACACCCGGCGAGAGGGTATTTCTCTCGTTTTGCAACTTTTCCATCTCCTTCAAGCAACCTTTTTCCACCTTGCCGTGTTCTCTTAACTTGTTATCAATATCATCAATCTTGCCTTGAAGGTCAACTTCAACAGATCTCAACTCGTTAACAATCTTCATGATTTCTTCGAGCTCGGCTTGCGACGCAGCGCACTCGCCGGCCTTGGTTTCCGCGAGAGCCTTCAACTGGCTCTGAGACTCCAAAACCTTCATCGCGCCTTCTTCCAAACCTTTGAACTCTTCTTTAATAGTATCCATTTCGCTCTTAATCTTCTCTCTCTCCGTTTCTGCTTCGCATACGGATTTCGTCAATCGCTCCATCGTTTTCTCGTGCGACTTTGCTGCGGCTCTCTTTTCGGTCACCTTCTTAGAGGCCATCTCGATACCGAAGCGGACTTCCTTGACGATAGACTTTTGTCTTCGCAACTCTTCACCACCAACGTTTTCCAAGGCATCTTGCCACTTCTTAAGTTCGGCTTTAAGCTTCGAAGCGCCGTCGAGGACGGATTTCAACGCGGCGTCGGCTTGCGCAACCTTTTCATCGAGCTCTCGCAACTCGGACGCATCGTTCTTGGACGCCTCGTGCGCAGCTTTGAGTTCATCTAATCGACCGTCTAAGTCGACAATCTTTCCTTCAGCAGCTTCCAATTCGGCTTTCAACTTCGGTAACGATCGTTCGTATTGCGCACATTTCGCTTCTGCGTCTCTCGCTTCTCTCAATGCCTCAAACGCGGCTTTTTTTGCTCTTTCCAAATCTGCCGTAGCTTTTTGTAACTCTTTCTCAGACTCCGCAACTTCTCTCGCCGCTGCTTTTTCGTCAACGACAACTGGTTTCTCTTTACCGACGCGCATGCGTCCAGAGATTGGTTTCGAACCACCACCGGACATCGTACCTGAGGTCTCGATGACTTGGCCTTTCAACGTCACCACGCGATGGCGTTTGGCCCCGTATGCAATTCTGCCCGCTTGATCCAAATCTTCAGCAACAGCAGTTTCACGAACGGCAAAGTAAAACGCCGGTAATAATCGTTCTTGCGCTGGCTTAATTAAATCAATCAATCTTGGCGCATTTTCTGGAATGTTATTTTGATTTTCCTTTAACTTTTGCGCCAAGTGCGCTTGTTTCTCCAAAATCAAAAAAGTCGCGACACCCAAGTTGTTTCTTCGCAAATACTGCACGCAGTTCTGCGCGTCCGCGGTTGTTTCAACGACAACGTAGTCCAAAGCACCAACCGCGGTCGATACTGCGACGTCGTACTTCTTATCAATCGCACCCAAATCTCCGAGACGACCAATGACACCTTTAACGCCGCCGGCGCTTTGGGCATCCAACAACGCCTGCACGATGGCACCTTTTTGACTTTCCTGCGAAGCGGTCGTCTTTCGTTGTTCAAGTTTACCTCTTGCATCTCTCGTAATTTCGAGCAAACCGGCTTCTTTCGCCTTCGCCGCAGTTTCAGCCTTTCTCGCTTTTTCCACCTTCTCGAGCTCAATCGCGAGTTGCGCTTCATCATCCGCAATCTGTTTCGTCAACGATTTCACCTTCACTTCCGCGGAAGCTTTACCATCAATGGCAGCCTTTAAGTTCTTCTCGACTTCGGCATGTTTTTCGAGCACCAACTTTCGCTCTGCGTTGGCAACGTCGAATTCGCCTCTAGCGTCGGCGATTTTACCTTCCCACGGCTGCAGTTCTTTTTCGACGCCATCGATCTTCGCGCCAATTTCCGCCATTTCGCCTTTCAACCCGTCCAACATTTCGTCGAGTTTGCTTTCTTCGCCTTGAACTTTCGCCTCGAGATCAGCTTTTCTCGTTTCCAACGCCGGAACGTCTTTTTCGATATTCTCGCACTCAACGACGATTTTTTCCTTTTGCGCGATTTCCTTGGCCAACTTCTCGTCGAGTTTCTTCACTTGCTGCTTCATGTGCTTCAAATCTTCGCGAAACTTTACGTCTTTCTTTTCAAACTCGGCGAACTCTTTCGTGGAATTGTCGAGATTTTGCTGAATTTCATTCATCTCCGTCGCTTGAGCTTTAAATTTCGCTTCGATACCTTTCAGCGACTCTTTGTGTTCGCTTTGCTTGGACTTCTCTTCCTCGAGATTGGTTTGCAAACCGACGCGGTTCTCGGACATTTCTGCCATCACTTTTCGAGTTTCCATGACTTCCAACTGTAAAGAAATCGACTTTGCTTGCAACAAATCTTTCTCTTTTTGCAAAAATAACTCAGCTTCGTTCTTCACGATTTCCAACGCGTCCTTCTCCTTCTCGACGAGCGTCAATCGCGAGACCATTCCCCCTCTCTTCTCGTTCAACTCTTCGAGCTTCTTACCCGCCTCTTCGATCGGTTCCACGTACTGGTTCGTTCCAATGATATCTTCCATATATTCTAACAACCCTTCGTCTCCAGGATTCACTCCTTTCGGCTTCATCATTGAAATTTGCTCGACTTCGCCTTGCAAAATCAAAAACCGGTTGTTGTTCAAGTCCACCCCTTTACCTTTCAACAAGTTTGTCACCTCGGTAAAGTTGGAAGTTTTCTTGTTCACGAAATATTTCGAAGTGTTGTTAATGTACGCCTCTCTGGCAATGGTAAACTCAGAATTCGGTACAGAGGTGAACCCTTCTGGATCTGTGTCCGAATCTACAATTTCGTGAAAGTGCACTTCGACGCGCGCGTATTCCAAGTTTCTAAAATTGGTGGATTTATGAATCAACTCGGAGACTTTGTTCAATCTCAGCTGTTTCGCGCGTTTACCAAACACAAACATCATCGCATCGATGACGTTCGATTTCCCAGACCCATTAGGACCGACTACAGATGAGAACGACTGTTGTTGTTTTAAAGTTGTGAGTGTTGTCGTGAGTTGATGAAAATATCGAAGAGATTTTGAGAGATGCGCGATGAGGGGAACAAAGAAGACGAGATTCGTACGGTTACATTTTTCTCTCCTCTTCTCAAAGAGAAAACGAAACGCGCGCTTTTCGAGAAACACATCTAACGAGAGAGAGAACCTTCAAAACGACGATTGACCGACAAAAGAAGACTCTAGAAAAGATGTGCTCACCTTATGGAACGGACCGACGTGTTGTGCCCCCGCGTAGGACTTGAAATTCTCCAAGACCATGGATTTTATAACCAGTCTCGGTTTTGGTTGTTCTTTCCCGGCTTTTGTCGTCGTCGTCGAGGGAGAAGGAAGAGGAGGAGTATTCGAAGAGAGCGGCGTTGGCGTTGGTGCCATCGTCTCTTCTTCTTCTTCTTCAACCTCCGTCATCTCTCTTCTTGCTCTCTCTTTCTTCAACAACGCAATAAATGTATATCTCTTATTTTTATTCTTTGGAATGAATCAAAAATTTGTGAGAGAAGAGGAAACAAAAAAAATTTTAGCGCTTGTGTTTGTTTAGGGTTACAGTTTTCAAAATTTTCAAAACTCTCTCTCGTCTCTCTCTCTTCATTCATCTCTCTTCATTTTTGAACTTGCGCGCGCGCTTAAGAAGAGATACTAAAATGGTGGCAGAAACGCAACAACAACCTAATCAAGAGAACATCATCGTCGGTGGGAAAGATGTTTCTTCGGCAGCAGTCAAAACAATTTCAAAAAAGAAGAGCGTTGTTGTTCCAAAGAATCCTCCTCCCGCATCGACATCATCATCGACTCGCCCGAAACGTAAAGCGTCGCAAAACGTCCGCAACTCCTCTCGCCCGAAATCGAAGGTGAAACCGAGTTCGTCCATGTACGTCGGGTACGTGGAAGAAGACGAAACGCCGGAGATGATCATGGCGAAGTTCGCAGAGTTGGAGAGGATTCAACAGATGCACAAATGTACTCCACCC